CGTCGAGGTTGCCTACATTAGGCGTAGAGTGCCGTCGAGGTTGCCTACATTAGGCGTGGAGTGCCGTCGAGGTTGCCTACATTAGGCGTAGAGTGCCGTCGAGGTTGCCTACATTAGGCGTAGAGTGCCGTCGAGGTTGCCTACATTAGGCGTAGAGTGCCGTCGAGGTTGCCTACATTAGGCGTAGAGTGCCGTCGAGGTTGCCTACATTAGGCGTAGAGTGCCGTCGAGGTTGCCTACATTAGGCGTATTTGCCGTCGAGGTTGCCTACATTAGGCGTAGATTTGCCGTCGAGGTTGCCTACATTAGGCGTAGATTTGCCGTCGAGGTTGCCTACATTAGGCGTAGATTTGCCGTCGAGGTTGCCCTACATTAAGGCCGATTTCCACTTACAGCGAAATCGTTCGCCAGCAAAATATTTGCATGTTTTCTTTTGAATTTTAACAGCATAAATAAATTAGTTCGACTTGACTGTTCTCAATTCAAAAGAAAATATGCAAATATTTCGCTAGCGAACGATTTCGCTGTAAGTGGAAATCCGCCTTTAGGCGTAGATTTGCCGTCGAGATTGAATACTTTAGACGTAGATTTGCCGTCGATTTGGCTTGTCGGTAATAGCTCAAAAGAGCCCATCAACCTGAAATAAGATTAAAGAAATAAGCAAACTACATTTTTTATTGAGAAGAAACACGCGTAAAATCGGGATTTTAACAGACCCAAAACAACATCTATCAAACCTCTCTGGGATTTCAAGTATTTCCTTGCCATTATTCATATTAAATTATCATGCGGCCGTTGTCGTTCTTGACCTGAATCATGCATAAACTCCCCATTGTTCGGTTTATCTAAAAATGTTTAATTGTTTAATACTCACGTTTTATTATGAACAGGTTTTGTCGTTGTTTCAAATAGCTTGACCCGCTAAATCGCTACCTGCAATAAAACCAAAAGAATGCTTGTTATAGACAGTGATTTCAAGGATTTACCTTCGATGAAGGGAGCTTAAATATCGGGAGAAAACTGCCGTGTGATTATTCAGTTGAGAGAACGCATGATGCCTGATCAAGCGTTTCAAGTTTATCATCCTATTTTGAATAGAATAGACCCAAAATTACCTGTTCATTTCAGCAAGAAGTGTTTAAGAGCAGCTTTGGACTTGCCGTCTCTTTAAATGCGAGTCATCTCGGGGAATTTCAGCTATGGGTTTTCTTTCCCAGCTCATTTCTATATTCGGTTTGGTTTTAGCTTTTAAACTCCACCTGGAAAAACAAAAGGCAATGTTAGTTTACTGGTTTGGTCTTTATAACTCAATTTAAAGGTAATTGCTTGAGATTGGAGTAAAGGTTAGCGGCTCACATACGATTTAGCGTATATTACCTTTCTCATATCATCAACAAGTCCCAAGAAAATGCGTAGACGTGCTTTCTCTTCAAAGGCGAGTTATCTTGAGTCAAATGCGAGTCGTCTCGGGCAATTTCAGCTACGGTAACGGACTTTTTGCCCACTTCACTTCACCTCCACCTGGACGAATAAAAGGCACCATTAGTTCACTGCTTAGGTCTTTAAAACTCAATTTAAACGTAATTTGCGTGTTGTTAGAGGGAAGGTTAGCGGCTAAACGGTAAGATTTGACGTATATTACCTTTCTCATATCATCAATATTCCCCAGAAAAAGCCTATAGACTTGCTTTCTCTTCAAAGGCGAATTATCTTGAGCCAGTTCAGCCACAATTCATCGGTCGTCAATCTCTTGTTCACAAATTTCATCGTTTAACTTCGCTTTAATACGTCAAAATTCTGCATGAAAGGAATAAAAGCTACGTTAGTGCTATACAAGTTTGTATTTGAAGCTGAACACAACACGAGAGAGGCATTACAATACGTGAACTAAAGACACGTGGAACCTCAGCCCAAAAGCTCACGATGAAACAAGCTGATAAAACACGCAAAGGGAAAGGCATATTACCTGGTATTACACCAACGACAGTCTGTCAGAGATAGTAAACTTCTATTAAACTTCTCTTCTGCTGAAGACGATAGCAATCTCATTTTTATTCTTCGAAGACCAGCGCTGAAGTGATGTCTCAAACTGGAATCAAAAGCACATATTATTCATTTCACCCGCTCCTCGTGTCTGCAAAATAAAGTCATCCTATTGGATGAACACTCCCGACCTGACAGCTCAACAACGCTTATGATTGGACGTTCATAGTAATTTAAATAATATGATTAATTCTCTTCTCCTGAGCCTGAACATCAGAAATGAAAGGAAAGAATTAATCATATTATTCAAATTACTATGCTCGAATTCTTGGATATACGAAGCATATTGATGGAGATTTTGGAATAAAATATCAACCTATAATGCAATATATCTGATAACCATTCGCCGACGATTAAAAATTAAATTTTAGTTTTAAATGTACTCAGCGTAAAGGCATGGTTTTAAAGTCGAACAATATAAAAACGAAACCGGGACACAATTTACAGAAATATTATATTATATAAATTTCACACAAAATATCAGTCGCTAATAGCTGGCAAAATATAGCGTCATATTTGACGACGTTATCTTTTGTCGTTTGGCTAAACGTTCTTCTCGTTCACGTGACTGTTAGCTGCGTCCCGAGGGGAGGGGGGAGGTGGGTTTATGTTCACAGAAGCGGACGATAGTTGACGCAAAGGGTGAGGTTTTGAAACGTGATGTGCTTCTTGCATCGCCGAAACTGTTCCCCTTTCGCTCGCCCTTTCCTCTGTATCTCTTGCTATTCCACCCTCAGTATCATCTCTTGGAGTCGCCCCTCTCTCCTCTGGTGCTTGTCCCCCACACCTTTCGAGACGCTTCTCTGATGCTCCTGTAGAATGCGCTGAAGTTCTTTTGGTCTCGGGGCCTGAAGCTGAGCAGTTTTTCCATCACGATGTTGCTTGAAATTCTCTTCTGTCGTTCCCAATATTTCATCAATGTCGTCTATGGCTTCCTGAGGAAACATGAAGAAAGAATGGGCAAATTGAGTAGGCCTGTGTGGGAACAAAAAGAACAGCCTAGACCAGATTCCCTGAGAATTATAAGTTTCCTTGGCAGTAGGAACTAAAGCGAGTGTTCTAGAGCTAGAGGCGCACCCAACGTAATTTTAGATCAAATAATTGAGTTCACAAAAAACTTACTTGAAAGTTACTTCTTCCTTACATATTTGGAGCTGATATTTCTTGATGTATTACAGACAAATTGCGTGCAAAAGTCGATAACGAACCTTGAAGATCATCACTCATCACCCTGGCAAGTAAACGAAGCGACAATTTTACCGATTCTCTAAACACACTATCTATACAACCCTTGCTATAGGTTTACTTAGACGCTTGGTGATTTTTTTGGTAGTGCTGATATTTGGAAGACATGAACATATGAAAACTATACTAAAAACATACATCATCGTGAGGAATTCCTTTTTATAACTATCTACCAAACAAATATTGTTCCCGCTTTCTCCTAAAGAAAAATATGAACAATTTTAAATATCTATTGTATTCTTAACTGACACAATAAAAGGGGCAACCGTGGTTGGATCCAGGCCCAACCTTCATGTCAAATCCAATACCATGTCAGTGTGCTCGACACATTTGAAAGAAGACGCTGTAATGAAGTTAATGAACCACACTCAAGTTGCTGTGTTGGAGCCAAACGAGTGATAGAAAAATGAAAAGTTGAAATGGAAACTCTTCCAACCTTTTCGTGAACGACAGTTTTACGTCGTCTTGACAGGCCTAATGTTGGTTCGGGTTTTTTGACAACGACAGGAACTTGAAATACACTTCGTTCCGCATCAAATGTCCCATTTGTAACATATTTCATCAGCTTCATTTGCGCAAAACTATCGCTATGCGTGAGCTTCAGGTCCACGGCCCATAACACCTGTTCCATCTAAGAGGAGTTGAAATGCACTTAGATTAGTTAGATATGGGTCAAGTATTGCTATGTGTGAGTATGGGTAAACAAGGGTGGATTAACAGGGGCGGATCTAGGGGTTGTCAGATGAGTCACGCGACTAAGTCAAAAATTACACAAATCCAAGGTCGAAATATTTAAAATTCAGTCAGCGAAAATAGTCATGCGATAAATTAACAGTCCAGTTCAAAGTTATTAAGCTTCATGCAGTTGCTGGTCACTGACTTTTGAGCCCTCGGCAAATGAGTCATAATAGCGGATGCCCGCTTGAATTTTGCCTCATCGACTTCTGATTCTAGGTATTTGATTGGCTTAGAAGGATTTTGACTCATCTTTACGGGGGTCTGACTCATCTGCGCAATTTAAGCGTTTCCGATTGGCTGGTGGAGGGCTAATACTGGTTCCTCATTGGCTTGCCTTATCTTTGCGGGGGTCTGACTCATTCGCCAAATTTAAGCTTTCCGATTGGCTGGTGAAAGAAAAATATTTCTTATTGGTTTGCTTTATTTGACTTAAGGCTGCTTTCCACTTACGCGTTTTTTATACGCACGTACGCGTACGGAAAATTTTAAATGCTTTTAATTTTTTATAAGAGACGCGCGTGCAAATATGTTTGATTTCAAGACGGAATTTTATATATTTCTACGGCCAATCCACTTCCATGTTACATACCGTTTGAAAGCGCACATAATCCACTAATATAAAAGTTCAAAGGATTTCTATGGCCCAGGGTTGAGAAAATTAGGAAATTGTTCTTTGCAGCGCGAATTACAAAATTAGCGATAAAAATGTTGGTACAAAATCTCTTTTTTTGGGCACATTTTACGTTGATTCTTCCTGTTTTGTTACAAGGTATAAAGTTCACACTCCAATTGATATGGTGTTTTTGAATGTCGTGTTGAATGTGGTGCGTACTTCACAGTGGTAGTTGGATCATATACCACAGAAAAATACATGGTTGGTTCACTTGGAATCACCTTAACCCAGCCCTAGACCCCCTTTACTCTGCCAAGATTGCCATTGAACTGATGGAAGAGTAAAGCAGAAACATGGCTGTTCGAATGCATTGCAAACTACGTTGCTTGAACTTGCTTGAACTACGTTGCTTGAACTTGGCCAAAAGGCGATGCGATCGCTCTGTTGGCGGACTTATACTGCATAAGAACGGTAAGAGCCCAAAGATTTTTTATTCAGCTGAAATTTGGCAGTTATACTATTTCATACAGCGAATAGTTTATAAATAAAATACGACTGTATTCTACTATTCCACAATTATTAAGGAAGAACTGATGTTTTTTTACAAAATCCAATTTTGCTGGACCAATTCACGTCTGTTAGATGTATTGTACATGTAGTCTGTTGATTTGCAATGTATATGTGCAGCAAATCAACTGAAGCCAATGCAGTACTGCTTTGTTGATAAGAAACTATGTACATTCCATAATCCATACGTCAGAAGTGAATTGGATTCGACAATGCTTTCAAGTTTTAAAAAATGCTTTTAAGTTTGAAAAAGCAGTAGTGTCATTGATATTTTATAATTCTTATTCTTACAGGACTGTGTAAAAGATCATACAGTTCCACTGCAATTGTTGTGGATACACAATCCGGTTTAGATTATGAGATACCTCAAATAACAGTTGCTGTGTGTCTTCTAAGACTACCAGTGATATCCCGAAAAAAAACTGATCTAGAAAAACTGTATGAAGACCTGCAGGAACAATTAGAATTTGAACACAGTTCCCTGTCAGATTATGAAGTGAATATAAATAACATGGAAAATTTAAGGGAAAGATTAAAAAATGATGAAGATAATGAGTCTTTAAAAAAAGAAGTTGCCACATTAGATGCAGAATACCAGGTATTATGTTCAAAATTTGAAAACCATGTGATTTACAATATCACCAGACCAACCAGCAGGGTTGCAAGAACAATATGAAGGCAAGGAGGCAGGTTTCGTGTAAGGATACTCCTGTAATGATGCACACTAGAGTACTAGCAGTTGCTGTCTGTAAAAGACAAAAGCTACCCTGGCTGCTCCCTGGTCCTAGTCAATTAACATTAGTGAAACAATCAGAATTATTTAGAGTATGTTATTTTAATTTTCTCAGGAACTACAAGAGATAGAGCAAAAGCATATAAAAGATGCTTTTTTAGGGAGTAGGAGAACAGATGCAGACAAAACTGACAATAATCATTCCCCAAACAGACAACTGGAAGTACCATTGTTTCTTTTAATCAAAAGCAAAAATGATAGATTTCAGTTGCCACAAGGTACAGTGAAGCCTGGGGAGACATTGAGACAGGTGAAGAATGTATATTTCTTTGATACAGTACTATTTTTAAACAGTGGCATATTCAGCCTAAAGATTTAGTCATACTATGCAAATTCTAAAATTTTGGCAGGTAGAAACCAATTTTTTCAGTCTCACCAATGAAATGCTAGTGTTTATTTTTTATTATTAAAGGCAGCAGAAAGAATAATAAACAATCATATTCCCAGTGAATTAAATGTACAATTTATGAGTAACGCCCCTTCAGGAGTGTACAGACGAGCTGAGAGAGATGGCTTACCAACAAATACTCCAAAGGTAACTAACAGGATTATACAGAAATTTATTTAGAACTGTTTACCAGAAGAACTAAGACATTAAATTAGGCATTTTTAAATGTTGGCTCACTTCCATTTCTAATAATAAGAAATGTACTGTGCATTGGTGATTACTGAGGCATATTAATAAGTGATGTATGTTGTTACAGGTATTCTTCTATCAAGGCAACCTTCAGGGAACGATTCATAAATACTCTGATGATGATATTTGGACAAACTCAATCTGGACTTCAAAAGAGGAACTTACAAAATACTTACCTAAAAACTATTATCAATCTGTTATGAAATTTCTGTTATAGCCTTACTTTATAGAAATTAATACATTTTAATGTATTGAAGGATGGAGTTAATACTTAATAGTCAATGTTAACACCAGTAACACTACTGTACCTCACCTGGCCTTATAGAGTATTCTTAAAATACAGAGATTTCAAACTAATATCTCTTGCAGTGAAATGAGAGCTTGGATTTCCAACAATCAAAAAATTTACTACAAATATTTACAAACTTTACATTTAAGTTCACTATTTTCCACACAATCATTTATGTTCCACCAATTGTCCTTGTAAGTTCATAACTTTGGTTAATAGATGCTGTTTCAACTTTGGTGCAATTTTGCCAAATGTATTTCCACACCAAAGACACATTACTATACGTTTGAAGTGGAGCCTTTATAGCTAAGTATGACAAGACCCAATAGCTTCGGAATATCAACATGAGTGATATCCTAACATACCAAAGGGTATCTGGGGTTGTGTATGGATAAGTATAACAAGGACATTCTGCAGATATACCCGAAACTGAACGATACATACTGTATATGACGTAAGATGGTGAAATATATCTTACGTCATGTATTCAATGGGTTGATTTTAATTTCTTTATTTCTTCTTTCAAGCGTTCATTTTCAGCGACCAACGCGTCATTTAATGAATACTGTTGTAAAAGTGCTTTCATTTCATTCTGAACGAGAAACATACTAGTTACTAGCCATTGTAAATTATCCGTACTTTCTTTACTGGCCATTTTAAATGAACATAATGTGAAACATCAGATTTAAAACAAACATACTTGTTGGATTTGAAACTGCCGTAACATTTCTACTTGAAGGTTCACTATATCTTGATGGAAGTCAATCCTTCAAAAAACACATTCCAAAATCTTATTTAATTTCTAAAATACAATCATAATGATGCCAAACAGTTGAAATCACCGTTTCTATGCTGTTTCAAAATGTGACTTGCGTCTTATGATCTCAAAAAATGGTACGATGGGGAGATTGGAACATTACCTGAATTCATCCAATGCATCGTCGATAAGGTTTTTCATAAATTGTACTTGATATTCATGAAATCCTGACACTTCCTCTTCGTTGTTTCTTGTTGGCTGAATGAAACCATTTAGAACTAGAAAAAAACAAAGAACGAACGTTGAAGTTTATGCAGTAAAAAACAACGAAAAAAATGATGTCGTTTGAACTGGCTTTTCGGCAAAAACGAGCTAAAATTTAAGCGCGCAGTTAAAATTGGTAATCATTTTCAATTTATCCGTTCTCAGGCTGCCAATACAAAGGCTGATTACGGCTGATATTGGTACGGCGGGCACCTATTTTGGCCGTCCCGGGCTATTCGATGTAGTAGGCAAAAAAAGGACTATAGTATATAGCTAGGGAAATTGATAAGCTTAGCATGACGTTCGACTTTTTCAAAACACGAAAACAAAAAATACATTATTACTAAATTATCTATAAATTCCATGCAGAAGTTAGCCAAGATAAATGAGATGATTAAAAATAATATTTTCGTAACTTTTATAAAACTGAATTTCAGTTGTAGACTTAAGATCGTACAAGACTCACATACACGCGAGGATTTTATCATTCAAAATCGTCTAAACTCAGTTGATTCAATATTTTTTAACGATTATATATGCAAGATTTTAAGATTTGAATTGCAAGATTTGAAAGAATGAATATAATTTACGAGTTCAAGGTATGAAGATGATATATTTCAGACAATGCATCTAAACCGTCACTCGTGAATCGTGATGTTTGTTATCAATGAATACATGCTAATTAAGGAGAGGTTAGGACAATATTCACACGGAACTTGCTTGGCCTAAACAAAGAGCCTTGGACAACTATGGTTAACCGGAACTGTTGTTTTAAATAAATTTTCTATTTTTCTTCATAAAAATAACCACACTTATACAATTGACTTTCCTAGTTTCCTCATATATAACATGACTAGAAAAATTTGAAAAATTATGAACGTTACACAATAAGCACTAAGTTTTACACAATAAAACTAGTTGATCCGCTATTTTGTTTTGTTGATGCACTTAATACACAGCTACCAAAGAATGGATTTCAAATATTTCTCTTTCATTTTGACGGCAAACTATTTATGAATAATGGTTGTAATGTACTTTTTAAAAAAGGAAAAAACAGTGCAGGTTCCTACTACGTCTTTTTATTTATTTCTTATTGCATTCTCACTTCCTGATTTGTTTTACAAGTGGTTTAAAGAGATACATTTTCACCACGATTTTCTTACGAATATTCTAACTTTTGACATCTTCACGAAAACCTTTTTGCAAATACTTGTTAAAAGCTACATAATTCATCGAACTATTCATTTAAATCTCGGTGATAAACTATTGTATTAGGGTTTTCAATATTAGTTCAGATATTCAGTTATATTGGTTACGATATGCTGAAGGTTACGGAATGCTGTCATATAAATACAGGCCAGATACGTGCGGTATAGCGTAGGTATGGTGCAGACTTTAATTCTCATTATTAAATTCTACTATTATATATAGTAATATAATTACTATCATTATGGAACGGTATTTTCTAACGGGTATTGTATATACAGGAATAAATTATCTGATTGAATGATTTCATTTCAAACCTATAGCAGAGAACTTTGAGAAGTATATAAATTACGGTATATTGTGACTAGAGCAGAATATAACGTAATATGGTCAGCTCACTGAATATGGTATCCTAAATGAAGCTACAGTACTTTCATTTATTCAAAAACACCTTTTTGTACTAGCAAGACAGACTACAACACTAATTGCTATATATTGCATCTTAAAGAAGTCATACCTTCAAAAGTATCGTCAAAAACTATACCTTCTCGAGAACCTCTCGATGAACCCATTTCATCAAGTTTGTCTGGACCGCTATCAGTAGCCTGACTGTGATGATGTGAAGTGCTTATTTGACTGATAGTAGACGATGGTTTCCGCTGATTACTACCTGTCATGGAGTGTTTGTCGGCACTGACTTTGCGTGTTAACGTGCCCTTATATCTATCTCTGCCTGTAGTTTCTGCTCCGTGGGAGGTGATAGAATCTCTTTTAGACACTTGTGATGTAGTCATAGGTAGGCCACCCGGTTGCCTGGTAACATGAGGTGTGTCGCCATACGTTGAGGATGCAGTGTGTCCGTTTAAGGTAGGGGTGGGGTCTGATTTCGAAATAGGTGGGTGATAGGACAGACTCGAGCTGTTTATGGGAGAAAATACACCCGACGCTACCGGAATTTAAAGAAAAATGTATTCACAAAAAATTTAAAAAGTAGAGAAATGTGTCGCACTTTTCTTTGGGGGTTGTAAGTAAAAATAAATACTCGTACCAGTAATATGTTCTGGTTTTTTCGTATTCATTTGTTCATAATCATCACTGTTTAACTCCTTCGCAACACCTGCACCCATATCTGATGAAATTACACTGTTAATAATTTCAAGCACGTGACGACTTTAACGTACTGGTTTCAATTATTAAAGATTCTAGATTTTAGCTGAGAGGCTCGCTAAGCTTTATCATTTTAACCTACCCTCTCTTAGTGGTGAGAACATGCCAATTCCCTCGCTGGGTTGTCCCCCATTTTGAACCGGCTCTGTCGCTGCCACTCGTGGTTTACCAGGTATACCTGGGGGTAAAGGAGGTGGGGCATCTCTCTTTGTTGCAGAATCCGAAGAAGATCGACTGGTTAACTTCGCTGCTAAAGTAGCTGATGATGACGAAGTATTGCCCTGGAGGGAGACAACAGATATCAAGTTATCAACTACTTTTACCACAAATGCATGTTGTGGAATAAGTTGGTTAGTCCTCTTTGAATTTCTTCTGTTCTTTAAAGTGCTTAACTCTTAAGAAATAGACATTCAGAAACCAAAACCTTCTAGCATGCACAATGTCTGAGATTGATTCACAAGTGGAAAATAAATTTAATAAAATCCAAACCTTTGGCAATTGAAAGGAAACAGACTGAACAGAAGACTTGTGAGCCACAGTTGAGTTTAGTGGAGTGCTTCCAGATCGTAGATCATACACAAATATTCGCCCTTAATTAACAAGTTAAAAATTTAGTGTAATACGTATTTCAAGACAATCATTTTTGTTTTATAAAGTTACATAAAAGTTGCTTTCAAGAAGTATTATTGCTTAGTGGTAGTTATGAAGAGCGTATCTATATAGAAATAATTTGTGCTTACCACAAGTTGTTCCAACAGCAAACGCAGCACCATCATGCATGAATGAGATTGACGTAAGAGGTGATTCAGCATTCATGTCTTTGATCATCCTGAGAGCATATCAAATAATCTTACTTAATTTTATAAAATACATAATTTAAAAGCATAATTTATGTCTGGTATACAATGCAGTATTGGGGTGATTCTCTGGTCGCACAAGTGACAATGCTATTCTATTTTGTTACATACAAAATACGAAGCCTGAAGAAACAGCAATGTTATGTGTGTGAGTCAGTGTGACCAGAGAATCACCCATTGGCTTGTGCCTTTATTACTTGCCCTGTTGACAGATAAAGTACAAACCCTGGACTATGCCCCCTCCTTTCATGCCCTACAAAATCTCGCTCCAACTCACTTCTTTCCAAGGATATCATAAAACACAATCTTCTTATCCAAACCAACAGAGGCCAGCAACATATCATTCATAGGAGAGAAACTGAGATCCCGTGCAGGGGCTGTGTGATTATCAGGAAAAGACACAGCCATCTTCATTGTATTTGTATCCCAGATATTTAGAGCACCATCATCACTCACAGCACCTAAAAGAGCTTTCTTGAACCGCGAGTACTGGATTGCATGGACTGCCTTGAAGTAAAAGAAAAATGTTGTGGTAAAGAATTATGCTTCTGTAGAAAATGGGCTTAACCTACCTACAACACTTGTTCCTAACCCATTGTATAAATGTCTCATATGCATGCATCATTGAAGTGCAAATTCAACAAATAACTAAATTGAGTAGTCTGAATGCATCAAGAATGGCAGGAGGGGAGGGTAGGAGGGAAAAAATCCACTTGGCCAGAGTGACCTACAGCAGAAATATGTTCAAAGCAATTTGCAGGTGATGCATTGCAAGGAATATTTTGATGAATTACCTGAGTTTGAGGCAAGCGTAAAGGTGTTGAGGTTAGTGTTGTTGAAACACTGTGAACCAAAATATCACCCATGGTATTTCCAGTTACAATATTTGTATCATTCCAGTTGAACTTCACACAGTTTATTGCATCTGAATTATTCTGAATATGAATGGAATAAAATATATATGAAAGACTACAGCATGATGAGTTAAACAGTAGGCATAAAATAAGTAAAAACTTGCCTTAATTTTCTTCTTGATTAATTTGTTTTTAAGATCCCAAACATTTACAACTTTGTTCTTTCCAGCAGTAATTAAAAGCCTTGATGAAGAATTGAATGCCAAACATGTGTCATCTTCCTGTAATTGAACATTAAAATAAATAAAATTTCCTTCCAGAGCCAGTTCTTACAAGATTCACTAAATTACTTACACAACCCTGGAGCTCAATTGATGTTGGTGCTGGTTTATTGAATGCAGTCACCACAACAGAATCTCCCAAAGCTGTGCTGGCTAGAAAATGATCTGCAGACATGTTAAGGCATCAAATACGTGCCAAATCAAACACTGTCCTCAAGATATATATTAGTATAAGTGATGCGCATGCAACAATGAGAGAATAGAAATTGTGAGAACAAGGGCTTTCGTGAAAATGCAAGTGGTGACAATTTGTGGTTGATATGTATTATTCTAAGGAATGATTATTCTAAGGAATTATTCTTTTAGGGGGCTAAGAATGGCTGCAAGACCTAATTTGCTTGGTAAATTTCTGCCACACCATTCCTACCAAATTTTATTACCAATGTCATCAAGCTCCCATGACTGCTATGGAGATTGGTGTCCAAATATTCTTTGTTTCTTGGCAAAATATACACCAAATTTGACATTAAATTAAATTTTAACTACTGAAGCATAAGTCAGAATATGCTAGTAAAATAAGTAATATATATATGGACCAATGTCGAGTAATGACATTGCATTGAAAACCACAACCTTTTCAAGTGATATTTACGGTGAAAAAAATAGCTGATATGATAAAGCTAATAAACAAGTAATTATGTCAACTTCTCAATCTGTCAATTTGATTATAACAAGGATACTATTAGGACTCCACGTAAGCGAGCTAATTGCATTTGTATGAGGTTTAAGCGTATGAAGAGTTTTCAACTCTGGCCATCCCCATATCTTTATATCATCTCCTCCTGAAACAAGTGTTAAACTATCTGCCATACCGATTGCTCAGGTTTCCCCTAATTTCACTTCTATTACATTTTGTTAACCAAACCGTTCATAAATTATTCACTGTAAACAAGTGAAAAAAATAAGAACAACAAGCCGCCATTATTTTTAATTTTAACTTTTAAGAATGTTTCACGCTGACACAGTATCAACGCTGGCTCCAAAACTGAACCTGGTAAACGCGGCAGGGATTTCCTTAATTTTGTTTCGTAATTCGTTTTCAGTTTGCGTCTTTGCGACGATGTAATTTCTTCTTCCCAATGCAGAGAAAGCCGTAAAAACAAAAAACACACGCATAGATGAGGCATCACGATGCTTTACCATCGTATATGCAGACTATGCTGGATGGGTCAATAATACAAGTCAATATATGCGACCTAACCAATGTTAAAAATACAATGTTCCGGTATATTCGCCCTTACTCAGATTGAAATTTGAAAATACCATATTCCGGTATATTCAACCTTACCAAGGTTGAAAATACCATATTCCAGTATATTTCAGTATATTGGATTATATATCATTGTTAGTTTTGTGCACTGATCAAAGTTATTAAATATCTTCAATCTCACCATTCACCAAGGTCGAATAATTCCATATTCCGGTATATACGACCTTACCATTGTCGAACCTTACTAGAGGACTCACCATGGTCGAATATACCATTTTCCAGTATGTCCAGTATATATCGTTTCCGGTCGTTTCATTCGCGCAATGGTAAGAATATTCTCATTCAGGTGATAGATGGAATGTTCCATTCGGCTCGTCAAACATTCATTATTACTACAATATTCGACCATGGTCGGCGAGTATACCATATTTCGGTATGGTATATTCGACCATGGTCGAGTAACCATTTCGAAAAGTCCCAATATTATGTGATATGATATTAATTAATAACCATTGAGAGAGAGATTTAGTGCATATGCATGCATCTTCGCATGGTCTTATCCATAAACAACGTGCACTTAGAAAACGCCTCTAAACTATATAGCCCGACTACCCGAGTCATGTTTTCGGACAATTCAGTTGAAAAATATCGAGAAGAAACTGTACAATGAAACATCTCATTTGGTTCAACCAAAGAGTTTTAGGAAAGGTTCATAGACTACGTATATGCTCTTAAAAATTATTTTATTTTCCATACAATAATGTAAACGCAGTCTACATACTAATAGCTAAAATAACTTTTAAAATATGGCGCACTAAACGCTTCTGTTGTCATCAATTTTCGCACAGTGGTTAAATCATACTTCCTTAACGCTTTGTGTGTGTCTTTATAACTTTCGAAAGGATCATTATAGCAAATTCTTGCTCTTAGAATGTTGGCATTATCAACCACGTTTCTTGCTAAAATATTAGTCTTATAAATATTATAATCTGCTTTATTAAAAAACACCCATTTGTGTTCTGGACTTTGGGCTTGAAAATCTGACCAAATTTTATCCAAAAATGCATGATGTAGCATGAATTCAGGGGATCTACTGCCATATTTATCCCCCATAGTCCCACTGATCCTCCAGTGTATGACGTCATGAATGAAATTACGTATGTAGTCTTCAAACTGTGTAAAATTTGCCGGCTCAAACCGCAAAGCACGATGTATAGTCATGATGCCAGGAAGGATCCCTAGAAAAATCACGTGGATAGCGTCATTGTTTTATAAATTCTGATAAGATCTGAGTTTGCATGGTTGTATTACTTTATCAGTGTAAATTCTAGGAATGGCAGTTCGGACTGTGTTCGTGCATACAAACAACGCATGATGCAAATCTGTTTTCAAAGGCCTGTTAAAACTAAATAATCTAAAATAATGAAAAAGTTGGGCGGGACATTTTACATCATGCAGATAAGTTCCCCATGCAAATGCCAAATTCTCAGAATTATTCTTTGTCTTCCCTTTCTGGCACTGCACGCCGAAAATAGAGTTGAGAATCGAACAGTTTTATTGGGTGAAGATACTTGCAAAGCTTGGTCGTTACGATAAGTGAAGAACTTTCATAAGGTTTTAATAACTTCTTACCATTAAATCTCCTCTTGAGACACGTGCGTCCACCGTTTCCTGTCGCGATTTCCCATAGATCACGTGAAAAAGGACCATTGGTCACACAGCCTGTGACGTTATCACCATTACCGCCCAGACCCCAGGGCTGAGCACTCCAGATATCCAATGTTGAAGTCCTCCACGGCGAAAGATGTGTTAAACTCCAATCCCAATATGGAAGTGTTACACGAGAATCAACCTTAAAATTAAATGGTAAATTATCTTCATAAAATTGATCAATCAGTTTGGTTCTTATTCAAATACTAAAAAAGGCAGGCACGGAAACAAGCAAAATATACCTCCTGCAAAAGTTTCTCAACATTGCGTAACATCAGACGATGCCAAGGAAAGAACTGTTCTTTCGTGTGGATATGACCGGCCAACAAGGGATGATCAAAAATTAGTGATTGATAACGGGATACATAGGGTTCCTTGGTGGTTATAGTTTTGTATGTTTGAATAAATCGCATACGCTCTGGTATTGACATAAATGTGAATTCTTTTCTCACATTGCATTTTGTGTTTCGTATTTTATTCTGAGATGGCGCGGTGTATAATGAAATGTCTAAAAACAAAAGTTGGTTATCATAAATGCATTCCCATTCCCATTATTAGCATTCCCATTCCTTAAACTAAACGCCGTGTTGTTGTTCTCTTGCAATGTATACAAATAATACAATTCTACTCTTGAGAGATGTCAATATGGCAACTACGAAACTTTTATGTTTCGACGTTTTACATTGACGTACATTTTGAACATTCAACAATTTACTGTACACTTTGAACACTCTCAACAATTTACAACTCTTAAAAGTAGAATTGCATTGCAAGGTGCACTAAAAATTGCCCCGTGATGTGACAGGGCTTTTAGGGCAGTTACAACACGGACGATTCTTGCTGCGATTTTCTTTTTTTGTGTGCATGTCCTGCCTAGATGAATGATTGAATTATAGTCGACGGTATAGTGTAATAAATTGGCCTGTTTATATTTGCATAATCTCAAGATTCATAACTTGATCAACTTCTTCACTTCTTCAAATCCATGATCATATATATTTATCACACAAAAACAATCGCTCCTAACGCTAAACCGTGTTTTTGTAGACGGGCTTTTACGATACTAAGTCTATAAGATAGCTACTTCATCATTTAACTGAAATTTGACAACAGCGCTTTTAACAACCTTCCAGATCTTGCTTCAATGATGATGAGTAAGACGTTGCTTCAAAACCAAACAGAATGAAACTAATCCACAATACATTGTAATAAACAATTTTCCAAATCATCACCAATAAATTTCTCAACTAAACCTTTGAATCATTGGATTAACCAATAATTTCTTTCACTTTTGAGTGTTCTTCTCCGTGCATGGTATCATGGCAATATTATTATCGAATCAAAGACTTGCGTGAAGTTTGTCTTGACATATTGTATATTGCTCTTATATTGAAACAAAGACTGTCTAATGTATCCGTTTTCATGTTAATATCACAGAATATTGAATGAGGATATTTTACGACATAATTTTATTACATTTGTGGACCAGAAAATATAAAAACATTGGGTTCATGGAAAGTTAAATAGTATTGAAAGGCGGCAATGCAAAATCGTTCAGGCGATTTTGTGCCTGTAATTATACTGATTCGTTTTTAGTTTTATATTTTGTCCCTTTGGTTGTGTAAACAGGGCGTCAAAACTAAGAACGAGACAAAATCGATTTTGCTGGAACACGCCCGAAAATGACGCTAGTGTAAAGAGCAGAAAACATTGATCTGAATAAACTGAATAACACTTGGATAAGGACTCGACAAAATCTGCTGTTTAAAAAACTGACATTTCCTACAGTAAGCATAAGTAGGATTATTTTGTAAGAGTTGATTAAGGAAATACTTAACAAAGTCCAAATGTCACCTTGGAAACATTCACTGAATATTAATAACACCTGGTCTACATTTTATTAAAATGCAAATTATAAAGATTTAATAATCATCAATTTTTTATCATAAAGCATATGCAATTTTTTATCACAAAGCATTCAATTTGATAGTGATTTTAATTTACCATAAACTTATGTGCATGAGAACATTTTTGACTAGGCTAAATATTTTTGGCTTTCAATTAGGACAAAGCAGATATACTTCCTCTATGTACCATGTAAATTAAAATTTCCAATATTTTAATATTACTTTTTCGGGTAAAATTGTTATTAAGAAAATATTTTTCCCTTTCCAGAAAAAGTGAACGTAAAGAACGTTCTTATACACATCTCCTGTGATCTCCAAAGGCCACAATAGCAAACTAAATCAGTTTAAAGTGAGAACATTCAACATGGCCGTCGTCGGATTCAGATGAGTGATCTCAAATTCACACAAATCCCCCGATCCCAAAACCATTTATTGAAATTTTCGGCTGCATGCATGACACAACCTTCATCAGCAAACTACAACATTTGTATATACATTATACAAGCGCTATACTCACTACAGTCTACACTGTATAAGAATAAATATTAATGAAATAACTAGACTTATTGTTGAGTAAAATCATGAGTACCTACTCAAAATCATGCAGTAGTGTATACCTACTCAAAAACTTTCTCATTTCCTGCGATTCTTATCTTTTTAGTCTATTGTCTTTGACTATTGACATAAATTTCACGCAGGCGATTGTCTCCCCCCCGGCTTATGTGTATCGATAAATTGATTAGCAATACCTAACATTATATACATACTCTGTCTGCAGCTAAATATATCCTGCATGGGAAGAAAGTTTCAGCTGTCAATGATTTCTCACAGTAGTAAACCTGAATGCTTCTTCATAATTCAAACTTGACACCCATGCATCATTTCATGCATACAAAGTTTAATTTTTCTGTCAGTATGAGGACTTTGTCACGTAAATATAAGTATATAACCCACGCACTTATAGTTCCTTTATATTAATTGAACATCCCGTTCATAACTATATAAAAGCTTTAGTGTTCCATGGCAACGAACTACATAAAACGAAAAAATTTATATTCATCCGTGTACATTGTATAAAGACATGCTTTAATAATGGTGTTTATAAGATGACAAACTACAAATTTGTTTAGCAGATAAAAATTATATGACTACCGCTTTCAGTAGGAATGAAAACTCGATTGTAATTAACCACTTTTGCACGAATATGCCAAAAAAATGAATATGGTTCCATATAGTGGTTTTGTTATTTGGGTTTTGTTATTGCTTAGTTCAACTTGGCCACTGGTGGGCAGTACAAAGGCTCATGGAGGTAAGAAATATAAGATTGCATTTTGCTGCATGATCTGATGATCCCCTCAAGGCTCAAGCTAATGGCATTGTATTTTGTAGTGATATATACAGTTACTGTTAGATTGATTGACAACATGAGTATAACGTCGGCCCGGATTCTTCATTAAAAAAAACTTGGCGTTCAACAAAGCCTTCTTAAACATATTATTTTGTATTAATGTTCAATATTTAAACAATATAATCGACAGTAAATGTGCAACAAATGAACCGTTTTAATGAATTAGTTTTTATTCATTGAACCTTGAATTCAAACCTTAATTTTTAATCATCTGCCTTAAATTTCTATTTGCTTATCCAAAATTGTTTTGTCTTGTCCGTGATTATGACACAATTTCATTTAAACAGCTGCCCCGTAATGGCCGTATGAATTAACCCTATATCCACCATGTGTGTGCCAAATATTTTTCAAATGCCAGTAATGGAACAATCGCTGTAACTATTGATCACTATTATATCCAATGAAATAGATGATGCCAAACTGTTACTTCGAACTTCGTTTTATTTTTAACGTTTTATAAACTTAGGCCCCTGCCTCTCTCTAGGTCAATGGCTTGCAAGCTTTGCATGATTATGAAACACAGTTTGAAAATCAATAATAATTTGTAAACGACAATCGTTTACTGTCACAAAATCTCCTGATGAGTTTGACTGGCAATAGAAAAGCTTTTGGAGTGAAAACCTCACTAAACATAGCTAAACACGTTTTTTCATTGTAGGTAGGGCTGGCAAATTTTCCGTGTATCGAGATGTTAGAATACGTAAAGAGTTCACAACAATGTCCTATGGTGAGAGAAAGAGATTCGTCCGAGCTTATAAGTTCGTATCAACTCATCAACCATTCAAACGACGTTTCGAGTATCTAGTTGGATTACACCAAAGACTATTCAAAAAGGTTACAATATGTTTTAACTTCTTTAAGTTTTAAAAATATTGGTCAGCTGGCTTAGTCATCAAGAGAACTAAATCATATTAATGAAGAAGTTGGTTAGATGCATACTACAAGCACATATATACATAATTTTATATTATATAAAGCTATATATATAAGCTATATAAATATATATACGTTATCAGTAAGGTTGTCCATGTCAATATATATGCAATATATAAATATCAACTACGTGACCATTAAACATGGGTTATTTCGTTCACTTTTCTTCTGTTTATTATTAATATCAATATTGTTCACTTAATTGTGGCATTTAAGAATTTTTCAAGACTGATGTCCAACGATTTCCCATAAATTTGACATATGCAGTATAATCACGTGATCGATATTTACGTATTTATGTATATTTACAGGTGACAACCTTAATAATAACGACTGTATATATATTTATATATATTTGTATACTGCTTATACATATATATCCAGCTAGGCGTTCATGAGAAAGTGCGATTATCTCTGCCTCACCATATCTCGCCAAATCTCCCCTGAGGCTTAACGTTTTTAAATCCAATGCTACAGGTACATGTTGAGAAACAATTCTTTCCATGGCACCGTTGGTATTTGTTACAATTTGAAAACCTGTTACGTAGAGTCGACCCTCGAATTACATTACCTTACTGGGACTGGAGCATTCGCAGTCAGAGGCTTTGGGAAACTGGCAGAAAGTCTGTGTGGAATAACTATCCTTGGGGTCTGGGTGGAAATGGCACAGGGATGTTCAGCTGCGTTGACACTGGTCCTTTTAGTAAAAGAACGTGGCGTTTAGCCCCTAAATCTGGAGGGGGGTGCCTTAGAAGAAACTTTATAGGTGGGTACACCCTACACTTTCCCTCTTTGAAGTACTACTGGGAAACAAAGAAATGGAGGCATCTGAACCTTTTCGATATTTACACGTCACAACATTATCCGTTTTAAATTGACACCATCTTAAATGAAATGGATTTCAAGTTTTTCTCTCACTTGCCATGTGCGAAGATGCAAAACATCCCTCTTCAACACATGCATGAAAAATATTTTTTCATTTTGAACACTATATGTGGAAATAAGCCATAACACGAGAACGAGGCTCAGGGGCCAAGACCGCGAGCCTCGTTTTAGCGTTAGTTATGGCTTATTTCCATACTCTTGGGTCACAGGCGCTTGTAGCTTCTTGACAATCTTGTGTTTGAATTGCCAAGAATCGCTAGAAGCCAGCATGTACATGATGTGGCTATTCATATTGTGGCTATTACCCGAAGAACAGTTTAGGACTGTGCTGGCTGTTTCACATAAATGATGTCATTTTTTATACACTTATAAACTTTTCTTTATAGGTCGAATGCCAAGTGTAGTTACTGTTCACCGCACACTTCGTTATACAGCAAAGCAGTTCAAAATATTCGAAGACCAAATCCGAGAGTTTTACCACAACGAGCTTCACTGCTGTATTCAAGGCACCATGGAACTACCCAGCGCTAGCAACACGCCGGAGTTCCTTCTTCATCACACATTCATGGATAAACTATGGTATGACTGGCAGAGTAAAGGCCCTGGATACAAATTCAAAATTGAAGATAACCTGGCTTCAAGACTTAGAGGCTCCCACTACCAAGTTGGACAATTTATGGATCCAAGCCACCTCGGGTACTCTGACACTTCCGTTTACTATAAAGACCCTCTCCCCGGATATAAACGTCTCCACGCTGCATTAGGACTATTAGACCTAAAAGCCCTGAAAATGCTGGATTCCTACGATTGGAATTCGAAGTCAACATGTTGTCCAAAAGAAAATAACGATGTGGAAAGGAAGGGTAGAGAAATTGACAAAAGTCTAACGGATATTCCGCTTGAAGTCGCATTGGATTATGGAGGTTGAACTGAAAATTACTGAAACGGTTTAAACAATCAAAAAGATGATGGACAAAGATGTTCGGCTGCAGCATAGTTTGGCAAACGAAAGTGCACCGTATACATCTTTGAAATCCTTTTTTAGTCGATAATTGTAGCAAATATAGAATAGAAGTTATTCCGAATTCCGAAAGTGCATAATAAAACTTATCAAACTTCAATTAGCCTGATCAAATTTGATTATAAAATAACATGTATACTGTAAGTGTATTTGCCGTTTTCACACTAGAGACGTACAATGCGTCTTCAATATTTTTGACTGGTTATTCGTCTTCAGTATAAAGACGGACAACAGACGCATAATACGTCGGGACCACTGGTCGGGACGGTTATAATGTTCAGTTTTTCGTCTTATAGAGACGCATTAAAAAACGGTAGTTCGTCTAGACGGATATTGCGTCTGTTGTCCGTCTTTATATAATTATATTAGTCGTAAATTCAATAAATTAACGCCATCCAAACACGGAATGACGGAAATTTAATTCGCTTTTTGAGATCAAACTTGGAACACTACCTTGTTTACTTTGTTGTTGTTATTTTATAAAACAATTACTCAATGGTCTCCCGAGTTTGGATGGCCTGACCACCACTTGCGTGCGCGCTTTTCTCTCGCAACATTCTCGTTAATCATTAATCATCAGCAGTTATGCATTATACGGAAATCATATACAGAGAAGTGGTACTACCTATTATTTACTAACTGTGGTACAGTGGTAGTACTATGGTATTGACTCAAAGCATCACGAAAAGCAAAAATCCTATTATTCAATTTAGCCTCTTTGCCTAATTCAATACTTTAGAGTTCGAGCGATTCTATAGAAAAACATTTTTAAACCCTCCTATATTCCATAATCATTGGTACTCAAGAATATGCGAGGCTCTTCAAAAGGCCGTATTTTATGCTGAAATACTGTGGTCGATAAGATACAATTCTTTGGAAAAGTAAATGCATCGATTTTTTGCTAAATTCTAATTGAACAGGCAACCAATAAGCACAAAAGATTCACAAACCTTTCATAAAGTAGGGTGCAAAGTGCAAAAGAGTTTATGTAACCTCGGGCTCGGGTAAATCGACGTCAGGTTCAGAGACCACTCGGCAATTGGAACTTGGAAGCGATCATTCAATGAAATCAAATGCATTATAACTTATGTAAGCAACTTTTTAATTCCGGAGCTTACCTCATTAAATTTTGCGTCATATAATTTTGTTTGGAATTACCCTAGGTACACTAGAATGATCTCGTGATTTTGTTGGCATCTCGTGAGACACAGCGATACGGAGAAACAAAGCAACACTTCCAGGTCACAAATGCATTTCCGCTATTATTTCGAAACGACCACAAAGTGAATATTTAAGATCGTGTTTGTATCTTTACGAAAATAATGACAGGGGACGTGTCCAGTTCACTTCGGAGATGAACGGAAAAGAAATTCTGTTTAAAATTTTAATCGTAGGTGATGCAGAGGTGGGAAAAACGTCGCTCGTGAGACGATACATTAATTCTTCATACGATAAAAACTACAAGGCTACACTTGGAGGTAAGTTTTGTTATCTTAATACCTTAGATAGTTCGTTTATACATTGAATATCATCGTTCTTTATTGTGTGTTTTTGATAGTGGACTTTGCTTTGAAAGTTATCCCATGGTCAGAAACACAAACAGTTCGTTTACAGGTATAGCTGCAGCTTTTATATTCGTAGTATTTAAATATCTATATATAGGAGCTGTGTGCGTCACGCAAATCATGAGAGACATACACAAGCATGAACGTTCATTCTAAATTATCTTTTATATCCTTTTTTATATAAAATGCAATGACAAATCATGAAGTTGTGGGATATAGCAGGTAGGATTTATTTTAGAAAATTCTATTAAATTAAATCAGCTACCATATGTAATCTGGTAAAACAGATTCCAGCTAGTGTATCTACCAAGGCTGTGAAAGGAAGGGCAGCCCAGGGCCTAGGAACACAGAAATCTCTTGCAAGTAATTGGTGTGCATGCCTTTGTTGATTACAAGAGACCAGGATCCCAAAGTCCCAGGGTTCTCACGTACCAGTCTTATCTAAATAACACTTTCTTCATCCCAAAACTGTTTCCAAAGACATAATTACAACAAAGTCCCTGATATAGTGGGGAAGTCTGCATATTATTAGCAAGGATTGCTAATTCCGACATGCGTTATGCCCAGATAAAATCCAGATATTATAGAATTTAAAGTTTGACTTGATTTATCAGTTTTGTTTTTGACATTATACCAATATGTTATGTGTTATTGCCTGATTGATTTTTTACAGTAAACGAAGTTAATTAATAAAATAAAAATGTGACCCGTGATAAACTGATGAAAATAGGATAAAAAGAATGAAAAATTGATGCTGTATATTTGTTTAGTTTATATGCACATGTGATTTTATATTTAGGCCAAGAACGATTTACCTCAATGACACGAGTTTACTACAGAAGAGCATCAGCATGTTTGGTAATGTTCGATGTTGCTCAACCAAATTCATTTTACAATGCAGCTAAATGGAAAAAAGATTTAGATGCAAAGTGCTTTAATGCTAGTGGAGAAAATATTCCTTGTGTTTTAGTTGCAAATAAAGTAAGTATTTAATCATATGTTATAATAGCCAATAAAAGAAATTTATTCTATCTTTTTACTGGATGGCTCTTTTTCACAGATTGATTTACCAATGAAAGTTACAAAAGAAGAAATCAATAACATGTGCAAGCAGCATTCATTTTTAGGATGGACAGAAATGTCAGTTAAAGAAGATAAACATGTGGCAGAAACAATGGAGTAAGCAAAACAGATTAACTATACCTTAGATACAATCCAACAATATAACCAAGGAGCAGCTTGACAGCATCCTAATAGGGCTAATATAGTGTCATTTTTAGGCAATTAATATTCCACATTTGTTATGTATGCATGTCCATGATGATAAATTAATTGAAGCCATCTTGAAATGTATAAGAATTCTGAAGTACTTGGTGTAATACCCTCTTTTCACATGAAACTGCAATGAAAAATGAAAAAACAATGAAACAAGCACATTTAATAACCAATGTATATCCCATGATTCATGCTTTTTCAGTGACTGCAACTATAAATATACCAACTCTACCTTTCAGGAAAAGGATATACCTTAAGGTTACAATTTACTGTTTTAATTTGCAGGTTTTTAGTAACAGAGCTAATGTCACCATCCACGTTGATGAGAACAGAAAGTACTGGTTACGTTGGTCCACCAGAACCCCCACTAGTTAATAGCAAAAGATCATGTTGTGGCAGTTAGCACATATTATTGTATGTAATTTTAGTTTAGTAATAGGTTTTAATAATGGTTTTTGCTGTTGATAGGTTCACATATTAACTATAATTTTGTTCATCTATTTATGGTTAGAATGCATCCCCAAATGAAATGCAATTTTTTCTTTCATATGCAGGGTTGCCAGATTACAGTGAAAAAAGAAGCCAAACATCATTCTAGCCAGCCCTTTGATTTCTTTGTTTGAGAGTTGAGACAAAGAAAACAATCATTATGGTAAATAATATTTGGCTAATTTATTCAGTAACCTGGCAACCCTGATTATATGCACCAAGTTTAGGTAGTACACGGAAAACTTGGGCACAAGGTTGGTTTACACTATTTTACAATCTTGTTCCACAACCCCATATGTGACTTTTTCTGGCAAGAAAACAAAGGCTCTGCGATAATCCAAACCGTAAAGCCAGAAATCCTGGCTGTTAGAGTTTTGTGCCATGCGCATGTTTGCTTTTTACTCAGCATTAAGACTTAATTAACTTTGGTTCTCAACCGCCATGTTTCCAATATTTGAACCCACCCTGTTATTCATCTTAAATTATCATCCTCTAAATTAAGAATGACCTTATTATATTCAAATAAATTTATTCTGTTAATAATATTGGCATATAAATATTTCAGAGATTTTAGTACAAGTGCATTATCTAAATTTTTACAATACTACCAAATAATATATAAATTATTGTAAACATTTCACATATTATTCACCAGTTCTCTTCAAAATAAATGGAATACTCTGTTTCACCCCACCTGGGAACAAGCACAAGAAAGAAATTTACAAAAATACTGCCTTCTGATAAATAATCCCCAAAACCAACTCTCATTGACCACCTTGTTTGCGTATTTGACAACACATGGTCATGCAGTTGGTGGATTTGGCAAAGCAGCTCCATCTGAGCTATATATAATACACCGTTCCAGTGTATTCGCGGGGTCAATTCTTATCAGGATGCGATCGGAATAATAGTATCTTGGTCCCGGCAAGTGCTGAAGTTCACCAATCTTTACTGTTTCAAAAGAGTACACTCTTTTGTAACGATAAAATTCTATGTACAAATGTATATCGTCGTTGAAAGACAGCAATCTATACAGAATGGGGATCGAGCAATTTTGACCATTCGTCTATCCTACAGTGTTCGCGGCGTTCCGACTGAGAGAAAACTGTATTTCCCTGGGAGGATTATCGTTTGTTATAAATACCGTATTTGATGTCTTTAATACCTGCCCGTTGGCAGGTCGTAACGAGAGCGTATGGTTAGTTTGAGATTGTTGCAGAAGGTATGTTGTCTGTTGCGAAGGTTGTATTGGTGCCGGGGCAATACGTTGTTGGGTGCGGTATTGAGGTGGTTTTGAATGTTGCAAAGGTTGTTGTGATTGTTGTTGTTGTTGTTGTTGATCACCTTGTTGTCGTGGAGGATTGTGCGATTGTTGCTGTTGTAATTGTTGAAATTTTATTTGTTGTAGCTGTTGCCCTTGGTTTTCAACTTGTTGTTTGAGTTGCGCGATTGGAGCTTGAGTCGAGACAGGAATATGCTGATGATTGAGGTACAGTGGATGTTGATATTTTGGTGATGGGGCGTTGCTAGGTGACCGCTGTGGTGATTGTCGTCCTGGTGAAGGGATCTGGGGCGAAGGAGGTTGGCAGGAAGTTCGGCCGGGTGATGTCAGAGGTCGTTGGAAAAGAGTACTTTGAGCATGTGTTTTGTCTACGGAGAAAATAACATTGACCTGTTAATCGTAAAGTTCCCCCCATCCCCCTTGCTTTTAATGAACTTAACGTGAGATAGAAAGGCAAGCGATCACACACACAATAGTAAAAAATAGATACAGAGCTGGAACTAGTGAGATATTCCAGTTTGGATTTACGTGAATAAGGATAGTCATTTGAGTATACATGTATGGAGTGCACAAAGTTATTCCCAAACACCATCGTGCAAATAATTATAAAAAATACAAACCTTGATTGATCTGAGGTGTCATTGATTGTGAGATTGGTTGCCCTTGTAGTTGAGATATATTTGTATTAGCAAAAACGACAGTCTGTCCTTGAACGAAGTTTGACATAGAATGGCCGGCATTAGATGACATCGCCTTGGTATTTACATGTGAAGATTTTGGAACAAAATTTGTAGTATAGCCTTTTACAGTACCACCAGCAGGTGGTGATGGTGCGGTACCATTGACCAGTGTACTTAACTGCTGACTCCCAGTTGAAGTCTAGTAAAATATCAAAAATAGTAATATTAGTGTGCTAGAAACCACTGCTAGAAACGTATACGTACAATGTACAAAAAGATCGGGCATTAAGCTGTTTTTGCAGTCTATAGCTTGCTGCTGACAGTTTTTTCTTCCTCGGGTATATGACACAGAGTTGAATTCTCATGCAGAAATAGCAGGGGTAAATTTCTCTATTGCAACACCCCGGTGGGTTTTACTGATTGTGCTGTGTTTTACTCTGCAGTAAAGGACCGTTAAGATTAGAGATGTTCACATAAAGGCAGTTGTATTCGCGCGTTTCAATCCACTAAAAAGAGGGTTCAAATAAGGAATGGTTGAGGCTAAAAATGTCGACGCTCTCAGACTCGTCAGAACAATAAATGGTTCACTGACGTGATTATATGAATTAATATATTTCAAAATACCTGTCTTTGAAATACCGTAGGAGGAGACATTGCTGTTGTGGCAGCTGAGAAAAATAAATGAATTATGTTAATCAACGAGTACGAAGACCGAAAATATGCATGGAATTATTTACACAAAGTACCTGAAGATACATCCACTTGATTGGCAACCTAGGAACCAAATAATGAAACTGTATTATTGATGTCGAAGTATGGAAGTCCATTAAACAGGTTGATAGACTATTAGGCAAAGGATGGATTTAGGATGATATTTCAAAAAGCACGCTCAAACTCATTGAGTTCCCCTCTTGCACACACTCTCCTCCCTGACGAAATGTGTTACTGCATCAGACGATGCTACAACGGCTATCTTTAAAACGGTGAGCGGGGAAGATGGGAAACGTGGAGCAAGGAAATGGAGGAACTGGGAAGCGGGAGAACTGAAGAACGGGGAAACAGAGACACCGGGGAATATCCCATTCCCCTTCCTCCCGACCCTGGTTCCCCCGTTCTGTTGTTTCTCTGTTTTTCTCATAATTTTGTTGTCTCACAATAATGACATACCTGGTTGGTCTTGCAATACACGCCAGAGGCTGGTGAGGAAGGCGAGGCTGGTATAACGTACGATCCTCGTGGCGAAGGTACCTGAGAAAAACCCTTTGCAGATGACGTCTGTACATGATTACTCAATAAATCCCCAGTTGTGATTGGTCCATTTAATATAACCGACACAGATGCCGGGTCAGCAATTCCAAGATTCTTTCCTAAAGTTAAGCTGGATTCCATTTCCGTTGTGTTCACCGCACCAGAGCTCTCCCCAGTAGGAACTCTGACATTTTGAGAATTGGATAAACCAGACGTGTCTGAAATAATATTTCCTTGAACACTTGAAGATCGTTGAGCCGTAGTATGCTGGGATACAGTAAGTCCCGAAGATGTTTGTTTGGAAGTCCTACTAGATTGAGAGCCTCGCTCTGAACTAGTCGATCGAGACGTTTTCTGTTTGTTTGAATTTCGAAATACCGTACTATTTGTAGGCGCTGCGTTCGTGTTTGTAGAACGTGCACGATTTGAAGCGTCTATTCTTATATTTGAACCTGAGAGAGAAAAATAATAGAGAAAAAATGAAACATAGATATTGATAAAAACCATAACAAATTGTTTTCTTGCTAGATACCTTGATTAGAGGACTGACCAGCAGTCTTAGTGTTATATCTTCTGTGTACAGAATGTTTTCCAACAGTTTGCCTGCAGAAAAGAGTCGTAAATATTCTGCACTACTGTACTGGCTAAACGCACACACGTCAGTTCAGTTAGGGGTTACCCGGGTTAGACAATTTATCTACACATAGGAAACGACTTTGGTATTGTGATTTGTGAGAAGATTTTTTTCACGGGCCGCAATGATGTTACATATAGGCAAATATAAATGGTGAACCTGAACCTGAACAAAATAATAACAAACTCATATACCAGGATTACTTTTATGTTACGTAGCTTTGTCAGAAAATTGCGTTGAAAGTTCTCTCGTGAAACCTAGGGCTGGTTGTATAAAAGCCGGATAGCGCTATCCACCGGATAGTGGTTCTTCATTTGCTTTAAAATCGCCTGTTGTCGCTAAAGCTTTGATTAAATCTTAATACTCCTAAATCGAGGGTCCTCTTTAATAATTGTTGCTTCCAAAGCTAAAATTTTGTTGCTTTTCAAGCATTTTTAGAAAGGTTGAAAAAATCACTAGCGGTGGATACGGCTATTGAACCAGCCTTCGCACAACCGGCCCCTGACCATTAAAAGGTGGGAACTGGATAATAATGGGACAATAAAGAGGTAGAACAAAAACTAAACCTTGACTGTGTAGGATGTAACAACCTTTCCACCATCGACAAAACTGTAGTCCTAAGATGATCAGATCTTCTGTTGAAGACATAATGACCAGGACCTCCTCGTCGGGCTCCAAACTTGCAACACTGCATAAGAAAATTAAGAAATCAACAACGCAAATACCCCCGTCCCCCTCTCCCTAAGGGTAAACAATAAGAACAAAATACAACTAAACAAATGTGAAAACAAATGTGAACATACTGCAAGAGGCTTTGGATGATAACTGAGGTACTGTAAATCTGATTGATCATCATCTAAATTTGAATGTTGTGATTTGAAAGCAAGACTAAATGCAACATCCTTGTTTAACTGACCACCTTTTTAGAAAAAAATTGAAAGTTCTTCATTTTGGGAAAACAAAAGAAACCTTATTATTAAGAATGTATAAAACAATTTACCTCCACTAACTGCTTGACTTGCAAGACCATTTCTGCAAACAAGGTTTTAAAATGAGATGAAGTTAATTGCGTTTATATTCAAATGGGATATTGATGATTAGTGGTCACTACTAGTTATCCTAAATTCTTGAAGTACTTTCTGTCTCAAGTAACCAAACATTTCTACATTAACATGGCCATGTCTTAGTTGGTCAACCTGCATTTTTTGATATGAAGTCAATTTCAGATCTTGTAATAGATTGTAGTGTAGTGTAATAGACAGTGATTAGGTGAAAAATGATTAGCGGACAAGATTTTCCAGAGAATTTTTTAGAGGAACAAATTAGTACCATTTGGTGATACTAAAATAGGATTTACAAGTGCTACACAGGATTAAACAAGGTCAATTTCTGTTTCTTGATAAGGTCTTAAAAGTGGCAAAACTTTCAAAAAACACAGGGCGAGTTGGATGTCACTATGAAACAGGGAAATGAAGCAGAATCAATAAGGATGATAATATACCTTTGGTCAGAGAATTTATTTGCACAGCTACCAGTTGAATTTGAAGACATATTTTGAGCATTAGAAAGCAACTGTTGTTCTTTTGCAAGATTGACTCTTTCACGGTGTTCAAGAAGTAACATATCAAATTCCTTTATTCTTCCAGGTACAGCTCTTCGTAATGACAATGCATGCGTCTGTTGCAACATAAAATTGAGGCGGTGTTATATGCATTTTTGCAATACTATTCAATGCTAATGAATTTCTACTTTGAAGAGATGTAAATTAGTAAAGAAATGTATGTATATATAAAAAAACAACAATTAACCATTTATCTCCCAAAGGTAAAATTGCATTACAGGTTGCATGAAAAATTACATTGCGTAACATTTTTTCAAGAATAAAAGCAATGAACAATGTTCATATTATACTGTTCATACTTGTCAATGACATTGAAGAACATTATTGAAAGTTGACGACAACTGTGTCTTGGGAAGGGAAGTGTTTGCCCCCTACCTTGCAAGTCAAAGATCTGGTACAATTCTTTTGCAATTCCTCAACCCATACACCACAATGTCGATTTGGATCATATTCACGATCTGAAAAAATTCAAATTGTAAGATTCTCCTTGCATGATACACAAATTTGGGTTAACCATTCTGGGTCAGAAATTCATGTTTTACAATACAATGTGACAATTACTAGTCTTTAAGAATGGAGACAAGTAAAAATGAAACAGGAAAATTGTATTTAGGTAGTTGTCATGGTCGTTATGATTAATATCTATTGTATTATGTATAAATATTTCAACATACATGATGGAACTTACCTTTTGTCAAAAGAAATTTTCTGGGAGAGTCCTTGCTTCCTTTTTTTAATGAATTGCTCTTCTTCAATGCATGGTTTGTAACAACATTGCTTGCTGTCACAACAATCTGCTCTGGGATATCATTGTTCTCAACTTTGGGAATAACAGGAGGAGCCTCCTCTATCTTAACATCAATTGTATCAATGTCCATACTTTCTGTCTTAATCATGTTTAGTTTATTGATGACAACCTTTGGTTGCATCACTTTAATGTTTTTATTTCGTTTTACTTCAGGAGGCAGTTTTTGAGTAGGAATTGATGAGAGAAGATTTTTATGGTAAATTTCTAAAATACAATAAAAACATAATTAAAAAATTAATAAAAAACATTAATTCAATAAATACTAATTAATTTTATTTCTCAATTACTCAAAGCATTTAGACTTTTTTCAATAAACCTCTGGTGAAGGTTTTGAAGTTTTATCACGAATAGATAATAAAATTGTGAGCAAAAATTGTTTGGCATCATAGAGGCTGGAAAAGTTTAGCCTATCAAGATTACCGTAAGATTGGCAGACATAATTGTGAAAGATAACATTGATTTACCACCAATAACAAATAAATTAAAAATGATTAGAGACACCAGAGGTAATTGAAGTAGATTAAAAGAAACCATATCTTCTTACCACAGTGCCTGGTAAACAGCAAAGTTTTAAGAATTTTTCCACATTCATTGCAGGTAACCAGGGAAAAATTATCGTGTGCTGGGCAATGGCCATACAATTGCATTTCTATTAAAATATTTAAATAACATTAAGACTTTAGAGTACGGCAATATCAATAATAAACAAAACAAAATTAATAACCAAATACTATATGACACACCACCTAATAAATTATGATGACAGTTAAAATCTAACTGTGCCCTATTTTCATCTGATGCACAAAGGGCAGATATAAAAGGTCAAGTGTTTTATACTTTCATGTAATCAATAAACCTTTAACAAAACGCTTCTCCAAAAGGCACCGGTATAGTTTAGTACACCATTTAATATAAACACACAGAAAATAGAAACATACGAACTTTTAAAATTAATCAGTTGTAAACAAAGAGACGGGAAAGGATGATTTGATTCTAAAATTGTAATCGAGTTTGATTAGATTCAGTCATAATAATTACCATTTCTAGGCAATAATGTTGCATGCCGTTCTTGTAAAACATTGTTATTCCCCCCTACAAAAAATGGTAACATACAGTTTACAAGACACGCATACCTTCAATCAAATTCGCACGAATGCGACATTTGAGAAAATTTCATAACAGAGAAAACATTGATAGTACCTTCTGAATCGCTGTCCTCTTCCGGCTCTGGAAAGGAAAGCCACGAACCGCCTGTATTTGAAAATTGACAGTAACTTTTCTCCATTATTTTTATCCCTTCATCTCAGAACAGGCATCGAGCGACCTTGCCGAGTAAGCTACGAAGTCCCGCCGAATCCTTTCGCTGACTGTCGTAAAAGATTCGATTCTTTCCGTTTATAACACAAATTCAAAATATTTCATGATTCATGTTACAATCTCCAAATGTTGCGTTTAGTGGCATACATAATTCAGACATTAAGTACGTTAATCAATACTTTGTGTAATGAACCTCAGTTTCATATAAAAAAATAAACGTAAATTAAAAAAAATATATCTGTTTGACTTTCATTCAAGAACGCGCTTTTATGAACTTTGATACACTGCCGACAACACTTGAAAAAAAGTCGATACTAGTCAGCAGATTCACTGTTGAAAACATTGTATTATTGTTTAGCGCAAAGATGACTGACCAAATTGTTTTGAACTTTCAAGATAGTTTATTGCGAGAATCTGACGTTAAATTGCTCGAAGATGGACATTGGTTAAACGATAAGATCATTGGTTTTATGTTTGAGTAAGCAGCAATACTATACGTGGACATTTATGAGACGAAAACATGTGAAAATTTAAAATACAGTGTACCACTTTAATATAGTCTTTTGACTGTCCAAAAATTATTTCTCTCTGTCTATATTCAAGTCCTCTTTTCTAGATATTTTGAGTATATAGTATTTAATAGTTTGGAGGATGTTCTTTTTGTAAACCCAGATGTAGCCCAGTATACTAAATTATGTCAAGGTAAGCCGTCTCATTCAAGAAAAATTGCAGTAATAAAGCTAGTTTTCCCTCCACGCATCGATAACATGGCTTTCGCTTTATAACTTTACATTAGTAATTGAGTCTTCCCTTTTTTCCTTTTAATACCACTATATAACAATGATACTAAAAAAAAGTTTTTGAGAAAAAGATATAGCGTATTTCTTTGAAGGTGCAGAACTGGCTATATTTCTTGAGCCACTTGGTATGCACCGCAAGAAAACGATATTCATTCCAGTCAACAGTAATTCTAACCCAGAAGGGGTTGGTGGAACTCACTGGTTAGTGTCGCGTTTCGTATATTAGTGATGAAGAGTTGGCTATGTGTTCACAGGCTTCATTCTGGGGCATTTTCGATCGTTGCTTTTGACGTTTTGATGCACTGTTCACACGACCCAAAGGAAATAATTTCTGATCTATTGAATTGGCTCCAAGCTCTGGCATAGTGTTTGCACAATTGCACTGGTTTTTTTTCGTACGGTAAAACAAAAAATGAAAAAAATGAAAAACTAACAAGACGAGACGACGCACAAAGCCCGCTACATACATGCACTCGCACACTCCGAAAACATGAAGAGAAAGGAAAAAAAATAGACAATAGCTATTAGGCCTTCCGATGACGATGAATAATTCTACCAGTCGGTAAAAATATGAAAATCTTCCAAAAGCGCTATATTTCATTTCGTCACCTAAAGCTAAGAGGCAGAAGACAAAAACTACGAACTATGACGTCACTTGCGAGAGCTAAATTAACCTTTCTGACGATGACGTTTTTGGGGTACTTTGAATTGTCTGAAATGGGTTTAAAAAATTATAACAACATGAAAAGCATTTTTTTAGAATCAACATACCATTTGAAGAATAAATTCAGCCTATAAAAATAAAGACAGTCGCCGTTACGAGGTCTTACGCTCACGGTTTTGAAAAAAAGTACCCCGAAAATGGCGGCATATTCGTCATCGTGAGAAAGGTTAATTCGTCAGTCGCCTGCTTATTTTTCTTTAACAAAACCGAATTTGGTTTTCGTTACTCGACATATCTTACCATTCTTTTCAATGCAGGAGTCTTTTGGTGTACGATGCTGACGAGATAAAATTCAAGCACTACGATTCTTGTTTATCAAGTAATCACCCCCATGCAGTTCAACTGAGCAATGCCATACAGCCGTTTCTTCGAGGTATTTTTTATCTTTTCCTGTAATCACAAAATTATCTATATCTCTCTGTCTCAATATTTTATCATGGCTACAGAAAACGATCATAACATACTAACTCTCCTGACGAAGGCCCTTTGGTCAAAACGTCGAAAATATCTTTTGTCTATTTTAGGTAGTTGATTCTTGTTATGCCACATTTGATGGGAAATTCGTAAAATTATTATTGACACATTCACCATTTTTTAGTTCAGCAGAGGGTCAAATTCGTCGAGGAGATGACACCGCAACAAATAAACAGTGAGTTATACTGAGATATATTGTCACAATTGGGCCTATATTATAGACTGTAAAATGTAGGTTCAACGAAATATGTAACACACTTTGGTCACCTGAAATCTTCATGTACCAATATTTTCTCTTCGCAGGTTATGATTGCGGAGTGTACGTGATTAGCATCACACAAGTATTGTGCAAACAACGACAAGATAAGTTCAGTTTAGGCCAGGTCCTAAGCACACATGTGAATGCTGACTCAGTGAGAAAAAAACGAAATGAAATTAAAAATATTATTAAAGATTTAAGCAAAACGAATCCATAACCAAGCGTACTATTATGCTTAGGTAACGCGATTGACAGTTTAAAGTTAACTAAGTCCAAGGCTGACACGCCTGACTATTCAGCCACGGGGACAAGAATATTAAAAATATATACGTATCAAAAATAAATTTTTATCGTCAAGTATCAAAAGCTTAAGATGTTGTTTTTTTTTGTTTTTTTTTTTTTTTTTGTGTTTTTCTTACCTCAATATTAAATACAACCTCAGACTGGGTATATTGCATCGCTCAGCGATTTGTGGAGAATAAATACAAACATTATATAAAAGATTATATTTATATCATTGTAATCGTCTGTAATGATAATTGATAACTTAACTGAAGGTTCAAGCTTTGTAATATAAATAATCGCTTCATTGCATGATGAAAAATTGAAACAATTCGGTCGCGTATCGATTCAGATCATGTTGATATGGTAAAAGCTAGTTCCCAAGGCCATGCAACGTTTATTGGGCAATTCCAGCAATATCGCTTTAATTTTCCAGTACAGAATAAACAGGTCCATTTTCATCATCAACTTCAATAGACTCCTCCTTGCCTTCCCTATTCTCAAGTTGGTTACATATCGACTGTTCCTTAACGGCTGGGGCGAGGGGTTTTTGGCGGCTCATTGGTTCTCTAGACGTTGCGGCTCATTTTGGCGGCTCATTGGTTCTCTAGACGTTAGAGGATTTCTGGGGGCTAAAGGCGGTGGTTGCACATGGTTGGTACTATTCCCAGGTGTCGCCACCTCTCCACTATTTTCAAGCACATTATATATAGGTTCAGATTTGCGGGGTTCAAGAGGTGGCGCGGTGAGTCCATTAGCGTTCCTGATTTGAACTGTTGGTTGCAGCTGATCAATTTCTGAATATAGCGGCTCTTTGATGAAAATTATTATAATAATTAATATTTATGTATTATATAATCAATGACATAATAAAATATATAGCATGAGTTTGCGTATCTCACCTCGCACAGGGTCGCCTGATATATCAGCAACAGTTGAATACTAAAAAAGGAGCAATATTATGAAGTGGTTCTGGTTCAACATATCTTCGGAGTATACCCAAGTTTTAACGTCCATGCTTTTGTCTGACATGAAGTAAGACACTCATGAAATACACTCACAAACCAAGGAAATGTTCAGTCAATATTCAACTAAATGCCAATCTTCTGTGATTGCAGTGTAACATTGTTAAACCTTCCTTCATGGTAAAAAGGTTGGTAAAGCTATAACCATCAGTACAAACCTCATGGCCAGTTGGTTTGATTAAACTTTCATATTTCGCAGAAGGTTCTCTTTTGGTCGGATCCAAGGCTTTATACATATTTTCTGGCGGCTCCGGGACATTATCATACATACTCGTCGCCTCACGATTAGCTGAAGGGTTCTCCACAATTATACATGCATCGTAAGCTGCTGAATCTGACGTAAAACAAAATAAGGTGTTTGTATTGAGTGGTTCGTGCATGTCTCATTATCCATTAGGCTCGTTTTGCATTGGGCGAATTTGGGGCAAATTTGTTCGCGCGAAAAGAGGAAAAAGTACAAAAAATAAATCCTGATTTTTCGCGACCATTATTTTTACTGACCAATTGAGGGTTCCCGGATCTCGTAGCGCAAACAAATTCGCGTACTGGCAAACGGGCTTCATATGGGTGGCTTTGAACAATGCAAGTTGATCGATATATAGAGTCAGTCTACAGCCTTTTTAATATACCACAAGGTTTCTCCTTTTACTTTGCCAAAGGAAAAAGAATTTCTGTTTCACAAGTCTCGGATATCTTCCAATCCACAACAGATGAAACTGCATTCATAGACTGAAAACTCATGCAACATGCAGCTACAACATCTCAGACCCATGATATTAGTCAAATTACATACCAACAGCCATGATTCCTGAGCGACGATCTCGTTCATCTTCAATCACTTCAGGGTTTACATATATTCCATCATTTAATGGGTTGTTTAAAGCTGGAATGGCGTCGGGCTAAAATAACAGTTTTACTAATCATTAAAATGGCATTTTGTCTGTCTTGCTATATGTAAAACTTAAGTAAAATATCAGGATATTCCTCGCATGTAGCTACCAGGCAGGCGGGAACTAGCCATGCATGGAAATAAATATTCTTGCAGTTTCATATATTTGTACTTGAGTTCATTTTGCATTGAACCCGAAAAAAACTTCAGTCGAAACATTCAGAGGTAATAATGTTTGCCTTGGTAGAATATGAGTGGCGGTTGTACAACAGTGTTATACCATTACAACAACAGGCAATTTTAAAACGATTGAAACACAATCCAGCTCTTACAAGTACAACCGGTAAAAATTTATTTTGTTTCATCCGTAAGATTTTTTAAAATTATATTTTACTTGGTATAGTGTCTGAACGCATTTTTTAATAATGTCAATAATAATCCTTCAAATCAGTTTGATCTGACAGTACATATTTAGGTAATAAACATGGTGAAATTTGATAGTATGTATACTTAAAAAAAAGGGGGAAATATTGTTACCAGACTAGAGAGACTTGGATGATATGGATCTAATTGCCCTAAAAATAATAGAAATATTAATAAAAATTTCAAATAAACATACATGCAGAACTTAGATAGTAAAATTTGTAAAAACAAACGAACAAACGTGAAATGAAACAATTGCAATCTCACCAAGATCAGAATGTGTTCGTCTAAATGAAAAAGAAAACTTGATACGAAATGTATATATCGCACATGAACATTCAATATCTATGATCCACTGACCTCTTTATATCCATTCTTCTCTTTCGCAAAGTATACACAAGCAATGCCAGACCAAGCAATAATAAAACAACTCCTGCTACAACACCACCCGTGACTGCTGCAGTGTTTGGTGACTTTGACGCATTCATTGGACCTGCTACAGCTGGTGATGAGGAATTGAGAATCATCATTGAAGACATAGTCTAGGAAGAATGTACGTATATATTTCTTTAACGTAACGAAAACAGAAATACTAACTTCAAAATAACAAACTTTCCTCCGACAGATTTTCACAAACGCGTTTCAAATATTTGCATACCACGTCCTAAAATATCTAAAGGCCGCGATATTTGGGATAGCTTAATCGGCTTTACAGGGAATAAAGTAAAACAGGACAATCACTTTATAATTTGACCGAATTCATAATATAATCTTACGTACCGAGGTGAACCTGGTTGTTTCAAATTTCGATGATTTTGGTATGAATGATGGCGACGTCAATGGCTGAAATGACGATGATGTCATTAGCACATGTAATGATGATGTCACTGATATAAATTCCGATGATATCATAGAAACAAGTGATGATGATTCCATCGACAATGATGTCATTGATATAAATTTTGTAGATACAACCACCACTGTATCACTGGATGTAGTCAGTATTGATTTAGAAGACAGCGCAGGAGTAAGGCTGTGAGTGGTGGACATGATGGGAGCCATAGACATAGTAGATGTTTTAAAGCTCCTATCAGGAACTAGAAAAAATTCAAAAGAAATTCTTCATAAATTATAAATCTTTCACTTATTCACATAAACGATTAATTGAGGTCTACAAACACAATGCGATTGATCATTACGAACGCTATTGGGTGAACAACGCATATTTAAATTTCATGCCGCAAGAAAATATCCCCTTTTGAGCATCTTGAATAACATGGGAATTGGGAACGCTTGACACTCCCGAGTATGTATGGAAGAATTTAGACAGAAAAAAGTTTATTTGCTCACCTCTGAGCGTCCCATTGACTTTAAAGACCATAAAACCAGACACGTTTGTCGTTTTTTTGTTGCCTTTTTTTTGGCCTTCGCAAGTCACATTTAATCTCATGATACGGCCAGTAAACGTATTGGGATTGATAGTCCACTATTGAAGAGAATAAAATAAAACAAATACGATTGAAACAAATACGAAGGAAGGATGACAGGAAGGTTGAACAAAATGTTCTTGTAACTGTCTTTCCTCCCATCCTGGGTCTGACAGTCGAGGGGACAGGCTGGCTTGGGTTTGCTGTTATATAGGAAATATTTTCTTATGGCTTGGTACCAACCAGGTAAAAATAGGTACGCTAAGCGGACACGGATCCCACAGAGACATTCCTGAAGATTTTCAGAGGTGTGGAGCACTGTTTTCGTCTCGGCTAGTCTACCACTGCCGAGAAATGTGAAGTCAATCTGAGAAATGAAAGGCTATCCTCTTGCAGAGCTTGCATATTATAATAGAGACATTTAGTTTGACGTTTTTTCTTCAACCGCAAACCGCGGCTTGACGTTGAAATTTTGCCGCTTGACGTTTGCGGTTCACGTTTTCAACCGCTGGAGGTGTATTTACACGTAGCTCATTTTAGTCATTTTACCTCAGCGAATTGTCATTGCAATAGTGTCTCGTTTCACGTATAAACACTGATAGTACTAGTAGACATATTGGATATCCAAATCTTCCTTGTGGTAATTTTCTAGCTTGTTTTCAATGAGTTTACCGATTTTCTTTAAGAAAGCGGCTACCACTATTCAATAACACGATTAGCAATATGGCGGTTTACCATGATATCGTAGTTCGATAGACGGTTATCAAAATGGAGGTTCTTTCAACTTTTCCAGGTGTAAACGACATTTGATTTTAAAAAAATTGAAGCATTAGAAATAGCTAGCAACAATTAAACAGCGAGACTGTTTACTGGATGTCAATGTTGAATCGTTCTAACATAAGGTATAGGTAAATGACTGCTAACTAAATGTCTGATTTGCAACAACGGCAATGTCAAACCGCTAACGTGAAACCGCGGTTTGCGGCTTGCCGTAAACGTCAAACTAAATGTCTCTATTATATGGTACAAAATTCTTCACAGCAAGCTGCTTCGCAGCTAACTAAAGGAAATGTCCAGTTTTTCACTTTCTCTCTTGCACCATTATATACCAGTGCCATTAAAGAGTCATTCTAGACTTGCTTTTACTTATCTTGCCTCAAGTGCTACAGCTGGGTGACTTTCTACACACAGATACAGAAGGGATTAGGGGGGAACTGGACTGAGTTTTGAAACTATCACATATTCAATCAATTGGAAGAGCATTGGACTAGCAATTAAACCAAGCCTTTCAGCAATTAAAGCTAGCCTTGTTGGTAACTCGAAGTAGCACCATCACAATATTAATTCATACAAGTCATGCACAAAATCACTCACAAGACAAACTTACATTTAATGTTAACATAATCCAACCTTCATGTTTGTCATTAATCCAGGGATAATCTTTCTCAATGTCACTATCATCAAGTTCTTTCATAGTATAATTTACATCACTTTTCACTGAATTCCAATCCAAGGTATTTCCATGACTAATCATACTAAGAACTTCAAAATCATTCAGAATGCATTTTTTATCTTCATCATCTAGAGCTGGTACTTTAAACAAAATTTCTGTTGCATTTGAGTCAAATTGTGTGATGTAAAGAGGGCTATAAGCCCCTTCCTCTTCATATAGTAAAAATTTCAAAGGAGATTTCCCTAAAAAATACAAAAATAAAAATTATCTAACTATTGAATTACTATGCAAAAATAGATGCCACACACCTAGGATTGGAATTCAGAAAGTCATAAGCAAGCAACTGGGGGATTATAGGTAGATCATCAAAATTCTCTCTGGTATAGGCTGGTGCGGTTCTCGGAAAAAACCGAAACCGTTTACAAGAACCTATAACTATAACACAGAAAGGTGGCAAGATCAAAATTTATTTATAATTCATTTACTAGTAAAAAGATTTCGTAGACTGATAGACATTTACAACATTTACCTTCAATGTTATTTATAAAGGTATCATATGATAGGTATATATATGGCATGCAACTATATTTAAGATTGCATGGTAGAATTGATGATAAGTCATAAGATGGTAATTTGTGGTCAGTCAATGTTTGCTGAAATCATTAATCTGCCCTGCTTCCAATCTTTGTCACAATTTCATGATTGAGACATATCAAACATCACAGGAAATCAGTCACAGGAAATCAATCATTTAAATCTTTTTGCAGGCTGTTTCATATTAAAAATATGAAAAATTTATTTCGAAATTTTTCAATTCTTAGAATAAAAAGATTCTCTATTTTATAATACGATTCTTACTAAAACGGTCTATAGTAGTTTACACTTACCTGCATTGCGTAGATTTTTATCAGCCACGCATTCCGACTTGGCTGCGACAAATGTTCTAAAGTCGCTACGACATTTACAAATACAAATTTCCTGGCTTTTCGAATACCCATCATAAAATGACTTTCTCTTTTGACAAAATGAAGCACATAATTTATCTTTCAAAATACCAGGAAAAGAAAGAATATCTCGTTGACTTCTTGTGACATTAACAAAAACACAGGAAACATGACAGCAGCAAAGCAGAATAACAAAATACAACAATACAGACAGCTCCTTCAAGTAATTCCGACCGAGGATATTATTAAAAAAAGCCATATAAACGTGTTCAAAAATCAATAAAATTTCACTATACTTCCGTCCATAATATGTCGTTAAACTATTTATTGTAAGAATCAAAGCTACTCTTTCTTACAAGTCAATCAATATGGAAATTGCGTTTCCCTTTAAATTTAGTATATTGCGCTTCTGTTTACTTAGAGGGGGTTGTTCAAACATTGACAGCGGGGGGGGACCCTCATTGTATGTTGACTTCTAAATATTTCCGGAAGGTGGCTTATATAGCTCTGGGGCAGGTTGTACGAAGGCTGAATAGCGCTATACAAAAGGGAATCTTTATTTTAGGAATGCAAAGATTTAATCAAAGTTATACCCAACAACAGGCGATTTTAAAGCAAGCAGAAAAACACTATCTGGTGGATAGCGCTATTCAGCTTTCGTACAACCATGGGTGACATCACATGTGATGTGGTGACATAGTAAGCCAAGTCTGTAAATCTTGCTTCACGCTTTGCCTAAGAATAGATAATTCTCTAATTTCTCTTTGTTTCAATTTGCACTTTGCACCAATGTGCAAAATGCTTCGTCTGTCGGAAAGCAAGAAAAGAATTATAAATTAAGTAATAATGAAATTAACTACGTATTTTTATCCACTCCTAAATCAAAATGTTCGCCCACTTCTTCATTTCTTTCGCTTCACCAAACTTTCATACTGATTTCCACCACCTCTCTGATCAGACAAGTCCGCATAAAGCGATCCATTCAATTGGCAGGGTTCTGGCGACAAAATAGTGACATAATCAGCTGCGGTAGTTATTTTGTTTTTCTTATCGTCTTCGAAGGACACATAAATCGGGGCAGTGTCCATAGTACGCGCATGAACAGAGGGCGAGGGATCTTGCTGTATTGAAGTAGGACAAGTAATCGTGCCTTGTTCTGTTTGTTCCAAAATGCTGTACTCATGATCGTTCTCGTTAACATCAAATGCCTGGTTAATTTTTGCACCCTGTTTTCCGTCATCAGTTATTTCAGGTTCAATTGTACTGTACACACGGTCAGCATCTGCATATAGACAGTCGTCTGACAAAAACACCCCACAAAAAGATAAAGTTAGTCAATTTATTACAATTAAGAAATAAAAATTAATTAAGTTGGATTAAAGCTTTAAATAAAACCCTTTGATATTATGAACCAGGGTTATTAATGGCAAGTATATATAGTATGACCAAGGTGTTAAGGTACTTTTTTTGCTTCAACTCACATACTTACTTGCATTTTGAACTTGACGCATATTTTTGTTGTATGCATTCGTCGTAATGGTTTGACGCTAAAGAGGAAGAGTATCTGAGCAATTGGTTGAAACTGATTTATTAGCTAGATGTTACCGTGCAAGGAAGATTGCGCGCAGACAAAATATATATATTTTTATAAGGTGTATTTCAAAGTTTGGATGTCTAGATTACAACAGAGTTTATCATTTACGACCGACAATGGAACTCCTAGACCATCCTTATGTGGAAACCAGGAAAACCTGTCAATATATCGCATACCTTATTTACAGCGCCAGGAAGAGTCAACGCCTGGTAATTTGATTCAGCGTTGACTGCAGATCTGTCTAAATCTGTGTAGAGTTCGTCTTTTTCATTTTTACCATTATTGAGATCTATAGATTAAAGAATATTTCACAAGCCTGCTGCTGTGTGGCCACCCGATGATAAAAAATTCTTACTCTTTTAAAAATAGACTAACCTGACATAATAATGTTAGACTTGCTTTCACATCTACAAAAAAAGGAGTCAAGTGTTAGTTGACTATCAAACTCTCAGTATAAACAAAATTCAAAGCAAATCCGCATTGCTCATTATTATTCGCCTAACATCACTGTAATAGGACCAAAACTCTGCGTTGACCACACACTCGTCATCATTGAGAACAATTCTCAGCTATACATTTTTTAATTTAAATATTCCAGAAAAAAATATCATGCTTCTACGATAGTTGGTGTTCGGACTGGAGCGTAGGGAAAGAAGTACACCCGAAAGAATATAATAATTTATAGAAGTTTTTTCAAAACGTAATCGTTTCCTCAGCCAGCTTACTCTGCCAGGAAGATATAAACTTCAAAAAGGTCGTTTCGACGACGCACGACAACGTGCAGCAGTGTAAGTGAGCCTAGTGGAAAGATTGTACATTTATGACAGAACGGAGATAAGTAATCTTACTTCTTTGTCATTTTCTTCTTCTCACGTATCATGGTAAAGCGAACCACAGCAAATGTGACTATAACGACAACAACAACCATAATGGGAACAATCACATACACCAGTGTGTTTTCATCATTCCCCGAAATTTGCCTTTCGTTTCTAGAAAAACTAGTAGGAGACACCGTGTTGGAAATGAAGGTGGAGAAGGAGATCACTGCTTCCACGGAATCCCGATGTTCAATCTTAAAAAAATAAAATTCATTTTACTTTAGAGCTTTTAAAATGATCCACTGCCACCAGTGGAAACAGGGACAAGACCAGCCGACAATTTTGTGAACTTTGTGAAATGTATATAAAAAAAACCGAGGAACGAAAATGTATATAAAAAAGACCGAGGAACGAGAACATTTTGAAGACCCAATTAAGATATGAATTTTTAGAATTCTGTTTTCCATTCTCATCCAATCAAGACCATTGTATAAATATATAAACTCAGTATTAGTCCATATCTTGGGCTCCCAAAGTGTTTATCATTCTCTCGTTTTCTATTTTAGAGCAAACGCCAGTTTGTACACAGTACCGTTGTTGATGTAATTACGTTAGTAAAAAGGTCCACTTGTTCCTCTTTCACACTCGATGGAGAAAGAGGCCACTGAGTGATTGAAGGTGAGATATCCTTAGTAGATGATGGAATTACAAGGATTTCCCGAGATGAAGAGTGGATGGTCCATGGTGATGTTGTTCTAAATGACTGGGTTGATAAAAATTCACTGGGTGTTGGTGCTGTTGATGGTGACAGTGGAAGAGATGGTGAAGATGATGGTGAAGATATTTCAGTTGTTGGTTCAGACGATCTTGCGAACACCGACGAAGATTTTTCGGGAAGGCCTGGATGATCAACTAAAACGTACATTTGTGATAGTTTAAGTAGGCCCGTCCACTTTACTCATTACTTATTAGAGCATGTTTTGTGTCCAAATGTTTATAAAACACCACAGCATTTTATCCTCTGTAAAACAGACATTTAATGTGAATAGAAAACTCACTTCTAACAGTTCCGGTGGTTTTAAGCATCAAACAACCAGTTATTTGCCCATTACTATTACCAGGCCTTTTATATTGACAGTTAAATGTAATTCGATAAACCTTTCCATGAACATCTTTGTCCTTGCTTGCTCCTGGCCACTGCACAAAACAAAGATTCACGCTTCATTTATCATATCAAAATAATGTAAAGAAACTAGCTGAACCACTAAAAACTCAACATGACAAAAATTCCGGAGATGGGAGACACTATCTGATACGACAAAATACCGGAACGAACGTCGTCAGGGGGTTCGATACCCGGCCAATAGGGACCTTAGAAGCATGTATGGCAGACGAACAACGACGGTTATCAATGCAAGGGTTCATTGAAAAGGAATGAATAATTGAAGACCCATGGGAGTTTTAGATTTCGTTCCCGTTCTGTATACAACGCCAACATAGTGCGCAGCTAGCAACATGCACTTTATATTTATCTATTTAATTAAAGAAGTTTGCTTTACGAGTCATCGTAGCCGTTGCCATCTCACATGCTTAAGGTCCCTCATACCTCATTCAGTAGGCCCAGTATGGGATAAGGACTTAAAAAAACTCGCCTCCCAACCGATATCATCAAATACCCAACAACAACGAAAACTGTTAGCAGGTTAAGTTCTTTTAGGCGCTGATAAAAGCACGATAAAAGAAGCAGACTGCGACTATGATGCATGAGGGCCTAGTAGCTTGTATTGATTTGTACGTATAAAGCACTTGGCAGAGAATTTAACAAGAGGGCTGGGCGCTCCTAATCTAGCTCCCAAATGGGCTGAAAGACGTGGACTCCACGTACCACATCAACACGTTAGCAACAAATAATTACAACCCTTTAGACCCTTTCTCACAAAGCTAGCAAGTCAAACATATAACAATTTAGCTATATGCACTTACAGTCATATCAAAGTCTGTCTTCCTTATAGACCCTGTACCAAAAGTATGTCCGGAAACTGTCTCGTATCCGTTCGAACTCATCTGTTCAACTTTTCTAATAGGACAGCTTAGAAGTTTATTCTGAGGTCTATTCGGCAAACCTGACGGCAAAATTCTCTGTTGTCCAGATTTTGTCAGGTCGATACCAAGGAGAAAATCTTCGTCGTACTGGGCAGCGATTTTGAAAGAACATACTTCAAACAGAACAAGCTTTCGTCAGTTTGACATACAATAATCAGTATTGCATGAAAAACCTGACCTCGATAGTCTATATTATACAAAACACCCTCAAACAACCAATCTTGCGGTTTAATTGTAGTAAATTTCGAAATCACTACTCACTAGTTATGTTTATATTCAACTTTTGTATCTATACTCAGTCAATTGTAAGCACATTCCACAAAGCTTCCGCTTTTCCACATACCTTGACGGTAGTCTTCATTTCGTACACAGCGAGATGTTTTCAAATTGAAAGTCGAGTATTTTATGTTGCAATGGCAGTAACAACATTTATTGCTTGGCTCAGGATAATTTTCAAAACACAATGAATTGCTCCCAAGACAAAATGTTTCATCGTCATCATAACAATTTTCAACATAAGGATTGTTAAAACAGTCCCCTACTTGTTTGCGCGTCAAGTCGATCTGGAATCCAGAAACGTTTTGGTCGAAGAGAAAACAGAATAACAACATCAAAACCTCAAGGTCAAGAATGATTCGGTTTCTTTCAACTTTTACCATTTTAACTTGAGCGTGTGGAGCATAGAAGCAGCGACTGAAATGTAAACACGGGATGAGCTGAAACAAATTTAAGTAAACATTTTACCAAAAAAGGAGAAATAGAAAATTGAAATTAACTATTAAAAAATAGGCCTCTCATTCTGAGCACGCAAAATGTGACAAAACAATGCACCACAGGCCTTCCCAAGTGAAGTATCAAATAGTGTAACCGACTTAATTTGATTTTAAAGTTCCTCCTATGGTATTTCAAACTTTGTCAATAATTACACACGCGGATATCTGGTCTGCAACCACGCGTCTGACAATCTGACATGTGACCTTTTTCTGCTGTTATTATAGATTCATTAGATACACAACATATCCAGAATAGTTAAACATTTGCAAAACAGTTTTAAACATCGGAAACGTCTTTGTTATTTCGTCTACAAGTGCATATATGCATCTCTGGATAATTGCTGGCGTATATTTTAAGCCGCTGGGTATTTAGTTCCTCGTTTTTTTGTACTGATATAGCCACTATATTCTGAGTCATCGACAAATAGCTGAAAGTCGATGTATTCTATTTGTATTCTGCATGTGGTAGCATCGCGACATGTCGTTTAGCCAACTTTAGACCAGACTTCACGATAGTGTAAATCCAGTGAAATCCCAGTGTTGACCTGGGGCTGGTTGTATAAAAGACTAGTTAACTTGTAATTTCTAGTTAAGGACAGAATTCAGATTGTCCAATCAAAATGTTTTGTTCACATTAACGTGTTCTAGGTTTAAAAATTTATTTAAATTACATCAATTAAATATTTCATATTTCTGATTTCTGAGATTTGCTTTAAAACTACAATTATAAATATAAGCGACCGATAATTATCGAGAAACGTGGTCTGAGTGTTGATTTTCATAGGAGTCTTAGGAGATATTTTTTAAGATCTTACTGTCAAGAAGGGAAACAAATTTCTCTAGGCTTACACAGATGGCTGTTCAGTAAAGATTCTCAGCAAATTTAGGGAATATTTTTTACATTTTATATACGACCGTAGAATGACAATTTAATAACTGACTGTTTCTCGAGGTTCATTAACTAGTTCGACAAACTGAGCAGGTCGCCATTTTCTCGCATTCCTCTATACCATACGCAAACAGTGTCACTAACTGTCGATGAACTCTGTAAAGAGGAAGGGAGCAAAGGATAATAAACTTTACAGACATAAAAACAATACATTTTCAGAAACAGACTAACTAATAAACAGAGCTTGAACATTTGGAAGAAATTTCCTCCGAAATGGCCGCTGATATGGAGAGGTCCGTTCAGTACTAATGGCGTATTTTATGAAATTCTTTGTTTCTTTCTATGGCAAATATGAGAGTAGCTGTACGCGAAAACTTGTGTAAACTCTGCTAATGAAACAGTAACTTCCACACTTACTAACATATGAGCTTTATACCATGAAGTGTATACAACTTACATACCTTACATGTATTGCGGGCTCGTCAATAATTTCACCATCTACATTCCATACACTATGACGTGATTGCGACCTTTCCTTTCCTCTCCTCTGTGTTCTCTGTGTTCGTCGTGTTAATTCTCCGCCACATTCCTGCCTGCTTGAACTAGCCCCCGTTTCTGATTCATCATCTTCACTGACCGCAGACGACACTGGACGAAATGAAAACTCTTTGACACGATGTACTTCCACGAAATCAAAATCCATCTAAAAGGTTTAGATGCAGTTCAGTTGTCATAAGCGTGCAAAATGTCTTGGTTGAAATTTATTACAGTAAGAAAACTACACACACAAAAACGCACAAATTCTGACAAACCCGCAGCAGACTTGCTACAAGATTGTTCCAAAAAGCCGACATCAAATATTTGCACTGCTTGACTGCTTGTTCCTGGCTTGTTCACAAGTTGCTACAAACGCGCAGCAGACTTGCTACAAGATTGTTCTATCAACTTATTTTTGTTATGCAATTCCACAACTTGTCAACAATTAATTTGTCAGTGACAAGCATGTAGCGACAATAGTGATAAAAAAACAACATTGTAATGTTACAACTTGTTAAAACGATGAATTTACACTGAACTTGCATCCCTCTTTCACCCCTATTGTCCGAAAGATCACAGGTTGTCCACCCCTGAACCAACTTCGCAAGCCAGGCTTTTCTACTTGCGCTGCACCACGGGCTCCACGGGCCGTAGAGCGTAGGTAGAAAAGCCCGGCTTGCGAGTTTGCCCCTGAACATCCCCATATATCGACCAACGATCTGTGGAGAGTTTAAATATAGCTGTAGATACAGAAATGGTTGCTTAACCCAACAAAGTAACGCTGTTTGAGCATATGTATTAATAATGTTTACTCACGTGATCAGCCCTTCCCGCTAAACGTATCATGTGATGTAAATATCGAACACGTGACGTGTGACGCACAACAACGAGATCAATGCAGCCGTCAGCAAGATGGGCACTGGGTGATATTCCCTCCGGACTTTTTTTATTTGCACAGCAATTTGTTGCTCCCATTACACTAATAAAACGCCCAGTTATACTGTGCCAGCCTGACGTCTCTTCTATAAAAACAATAGACCTTTCTCGTGATGACGTCAAACTCGAAACTTGATTTGTTCCGTGGAACTGAACCGTGTTTGACGTCATTATGAGATATCATTATTAAAAGTTCAGACACAGTGTTGTCCGAAAATCCGGTCATGCGCGAGGATGAGGGAAATTCCAAAAGAACAAGGTTTAATTGTCAGTAAGATATAAGTCTTTTAAGAAAAAGGTCGGACAGAATGTGGAAATTTCCTAAGCCCTGGTTTTGACCACGGGTCTCACGTAGGCCCGAAGTCGGGCTTAAGGCGGTTTACCTTCAACTCTTGCTTGCATATAGAAGCATCTCAAACCAAATGGAAATGTGCCAATAATTCATCATATTTTAGAAAATATTGTAGTTCAAAATGTATCTAAGGTATCTGCTTACATGACGGCCTATAATACCCGGTTCAAGATACCGCCGTTCAGAATAAACGTGAACTAAAACAGCGAGAACTAACCTGGTACTAGTTTACCAAACGATGGGTTCTGTGGAGGAAAACAAACACTGCAACTGCAGGAAAATAGTTGTAAGTTGATTTAGCAAGAACTTCAAGCTTTGCCATTTTACAAAAGGACAACATTTGATAACCTACCCAGTTCTACATTTATTTTTATCTTGGGGATGTCCTTGTGCGTCTGAACTAATTAAGTAAGACAACTCTCCTTCATAAAACCTGGTGAGGGAGGAAAATATTGTCAATTCATTGGTGATTTAAGTTACTGTACCAATGGTATCAGCACCACCCAGCCTGCTACCACACACCTTATTTTTTAACATTTTCAAGCAGATCTCGAGATTAGGTTAGGTTTCTTATGATATTCGATGATGACTTGGTCCTGTACCATTATATTACACAACACTGTAGCTTAACTTTATGATAGGTGTGATTAACCTGGAAAAATCTAAAACAGTCGCATGCAATCATGGAGACAACAATACCTATTAGCAAGAAATATCTTAGCACCAGAAATATCGTATCGTTTCACACCAGCCCATCGTAACTTTTCACTGTCCTTCATCACATCCCCGAAGAAACCATAGCCAGCAAACGAAACAGAATATCTCAATAATTCGCTGCCACTATGAATGGATGAAATGTCTAACGGTTGATCCTCTCCTAAAGATCATTAACAGAAAAAAATTAATAAAATATATATATAAAAATTAAGAAGAACAATGCTACGAAGAACAACGTTTAAGATTTGAGTTTGCCATGATGAGAACAAACTATAGCTACCCACCAGTTATGATCTGTAAGGCTGAGGTTACGGCATCAATACATCCAGTTGTACAGTAACACACACAATCTGTTGAACCTATTAATAAATTTATATATACACTTCAAAACCAACCAAAGATGGTATTACACTTAGTCAGTTCAATAGGGTAAACTTTCAGAACAAACAATCTACCAATTTGTGTATTAAAATAAAATAAAATATATTCAATTATATTCCACACACCAGCAGGTATTATTCCAAGTTTAATTTCAGGTTTCTCTGGATTAAATTCTGTTGAGGAAGATGCATGTTTGTTTTTGCGCATTAAAATACCATTCAAAATCTCACTGAACATTCCATCACCACCAACAGATATTATGCTGAAAGAAAGAATTTGCAAGTTTCTCAAAACTGGACAAAATAATAATAAACATTATTAATTCTTCATGTAAGTAAAAGGCAATAGGCTGACGTACATGACATGTTCCCGGGGGGGAACAGGCCAACAAACCTGCTTCAACACAACCCACATATTTTAATAGCTCTGTAAGAGCATGTGAAAGGTGGAATTAGGAGCCGGTTAATACTTCCTTTTTTTTAAACTGTCACCAAAGGGGTCATTTAATGAAGCAGGACTGAGATTGGAAAGTAAAAGTAAATAAAAAACCTTTTCAAGTGCTCGAGTCAAGTGCTACATAGTACATTCTGACTGCACTTCATTTGCTTTGTGACTAAATGGTAATCTCATTCCCAGACCTTTCTTTTGGTGGGTGAGAACCAATAGAGAACCACAACTTACTTTTAAAGAATTTTCAAATATTCACTTTCTATATACTCACCCATCATATTCTGTCAGGTCAGGTTCACTTGTAATAAAATCTTTGGCATGATCTGCTCTTGTTGTTTCTGCAATATATTAATTCTTTAAAAAATTGTCAACTATATTCATGCATTATGTTGAGCAGGGCATGCTAATAAAATATACATTTTGCAAAATTTTGCAATTTTTAGGTATATCACCTCTACTGTGCCTCTACAATATGGAAAAGTCAGAGGTATATTTGCAAATTGTAAATTTTAACTTTGCAGATTGTAAATTTTAACTTTGCAAAGTGATAAAAACCTACCAACAACTTCCATGTCTATCTTTGCTAAATGAAATAAAGGTTCCACTTTATTTCTAAAAATCTTTGGAGCTTGTTTCTTTCCGCCATACGGGTTGACAAAGATCAGAAGTTTTTTGGGTCTTTTAAAATCTATTGAGTGAAAGCTAATTGAATATAATTTGTAAAAGGTATGTTTAATTAAAAACAGCTTGGCGCCTGGATTGACTTCATCAATAATGGCACCGAAGGGCAAACTAGTTTTGTTCTTACTCTTGATACAAAAAACCTCTATGCACATTTGGTATTTGGCAAGTTTGCAAGTAATTCTCGTACAATTCAGTGCTTTCCTGTCTGCTTAAGAACAATATAATTTGGGTACCCTGTCAATGGGGCAATAAAGCTCTGTAGGGATAAAAAATAAATAAATAAATAAATACCTGTTAAAATATCTTGTATTCTAGAAAACCATTTACTGCCCACATCAACAGATGGACATTCAAACAAAACCTTTCTATGTTGCCATTTATGATTTCCTTTTTTGATGACAATATGAAGATGAAAAGAACGATAATGATTGACTGGACTGATTGTGTTTAGTTCAATGTCGTTTGGATGAACGCCAGTTTCTTGCTTCACATTAGGTACAATAGCCAACACTCGTTTTAATTTTAAAACATGGCAATGGTGAAAATGATCTGGAAAATAAAAATGAAAGGAAATGAATGAAAATAATTAGATGTTTAATAGATGATGCAGAAAGTTTAAGAATGTTTATATGTTAGATGAATTGCGCATTTGCGCTTATGCACTTCCTTTGTTTTTAGCTGATTTAGTAACAGTATTGCATTGTACGTGGAACACAGTGCCACACATTGAATTTTGACACATAGTATCACATTAAAAACGAAATTAAGAAGTGCATGGATTTAATTAATTTCAAATTCAAATTTAATAATGAAAATATACATAATAGGACCTTGATGTTATATAAAAAATGCAGTTAAAATATAGAACCAGCGAAGCAAAATCTACCTTTCTTTGTAGCACTTGTTTCACACTTGCACCAAGATAATGTTTCATTGCTTAATTTTGCAAAATAAGGTTTCTTATTTATAAAAACTCGTGAACTAAGTTCGGGATTCTGACTTGTATTTGAGTCATTTTCCTCCATATTTGTTTTCATTTTACAGGTGCGCGCGCTCTGTGAAAAGCCTGGTTCCGAATTGTTCTACAATAACAAATTATGATTTGTCGGATTTGAAACAATTTCCCTCAGAAAAAACATGATTTTCAAAACTATTGTTTTATCCGATCTTTGAAATCTTGGCCATGCCGAAAAAATGGATATGGATCTAACTGGAAAGCTATAAATCAGTGGCAAATTATGAGTGATGCGGCCAAAAATCGTGTCTTAGTTTTAGGAGCGCAGTTTAATAGTGCAGAGAAATCTGCTTCGTTTCCTTCACAAGAAAAGAAATCGTTTTGGAAAAGAAACACGAATAAATTGCCCGGAAGGTAGGGTATTTGTTAGATTGTATCTTTCTTTCTATGTACAGTACATATTTTGCCTATACTGATCTTTTTCTTTAATTAATATGGTCGAGAGATAGATCTTCAGTGAATTATTTCGCGTTGACTTCTGACCTTTACCATGCATTTCACAGTACACATGTACATTTGTTGCGATTCCTATTAAATTAACCTTACTAAAGTTTACTCCCAGTTATCCATAAGGTAAAATGATATATTATTAGCATCGTAGGAGTGGACGTTTTAACATGTTTAACTATTGATAAATATTGGAAAGCCTTATTGGTCAATGATCAATGAACGATATAAAGAGATGAAGGATCTTGCATAATTATTAATTATCGAAATCATTTCAGGCACATAGATGAAGCATAACTGTCTGTTAATGCAATTAAGCAGATTGCAGTAAATTGTTTATTTTATCATAGATGATAGAACTTTCCATGATTTTATTTTTCCAGCATAAAAGCTGTGCATAGCAAAAGTCAAGATCAACCAGTAAGTCCATCAAGCAGTGGCTCTCCTTCTCCCCCTGGGAACTCAGTATTAAGGTTTGTATGTCCATTTGGCTTATTTCTAGTTATTTTTAGCTTTCTTGCTGTGTTCAATGTTTATTCTTCTTGTTCAGTAACACAGACAAAATGCGAGGAAAAACTCAGTCATTTGATGATTTTTCGAGCAAGACACATGATGCATGGTGTGAGGATGATGATGATGTTGAAAAGGTTGGTGAGCGTGTTGGTTCTGTGATCATCCAAGAACCATCTGTGAAGATCATTAGAGGCGGTGATGTTCGCTCTGGTATCTTGTCCAGGATTAAAAAGAAAAATACACAAGGTATGTCACCATTGTCACAAGACCTAACAAAATCATTGCTAGCAATTGTGTTATATCATCCCTCTTATCTCCATGATCATTATTATTACTCTTGTTGTGGTCATATACCATACTTTTTCTTTATCCTATCCTCAGCCAATGATGTGAAGCCTAAAACGACATCATCCAGTTCAAACAGAGAATGTACTGTCCAAGCAAAACCCCTCCCTCTGCCACCACATGCAGAAATACAGTTGGAACTACAAGAACAAGAAATGTTAAAATTGGAAAGATTTGGAAAAATTTTGGCTGGTCCAAATACAGACTTAGGTATTAAAAGAAGTCAATATGCTTTGTCACAGGTTGTAATATTGTTGTTCAATCCTTAGTGTGTAATTATTGTTTATTTGTAGTAATTCTACGGCAGTACAGTTGGTCAGGCATACCAGCTCAGGTTCGACCCACAACATGGCAGCTCCTCTCTGTATGTTAAACAGTCTATTTTATTTTTGTCATATAAAAATAAAGTTAATTTGTAAATGCAATTCTGTTTTTTAGAAGCAATCTAAAACTAATGATTGTTGAATATATGTAATGATGATTCTGAATATCTTTTTATACAGGGATATCTCCCAGTGAATATAGACCGAAGACAGAGTGTACTAGATAGAAAACGACAGGAATATTACAATTTATTAAAACAATATTATAATACAAGACATGAAGATATACACCAAGACACATTTAGACAGGTACATCACATCACATCACATTTGGAAGCATAATACGTTTAATGGAGGTACTTACTCAAGCAAGTTAGTAAATCTGTGTGCATACAGCAGAACTGCTCAATTGCTAAAAGTAACTAAAAAAACTCTGGCAGTTTATTTTAAAATGTTGCTGATCATGAGAAAAATTGTTAGAAATGTAATGTAATGTCACTTTAGATTGTTTTGCAAATTAATGTTTAATAAACTCAGTCCAGCATTTCTGTCATATTTTCAGTCTGAAATGATGTTTTTTCTAGATTCATATAGATATTCCAAGAACAAATCCACTCATTCCACTATTTCAACAACCTGCTGTTCAAGAAGTATGGCTTCAATTAGTTAATTTAAATTTTTTTTTGCAATAATATATTTGATCTTACACTTATGTCGTATAAATAAAATTGTTTTTTATATTCTTGAAATTTTGCATGGGGAATTAACACATCACAATTTTTTTTAAACACAGCGCATTTTTTTTTGTATCCAGAGCTTTCTAAATATAACAAATATGCATACTGTCCCTACAAGTTGATGATTTAAATTTTAAAAATATTTTTCCACATTTAGACATTTGAGAGAATTCTTTATATTTGGGCAATACGTCATCCAGCTAGCGGCTATGTCCAAGGAATCAACGATTTAGTCACCCCATTTTTTGTTGTATTTTTATCAGCGTTTACAGGTAAACGAGCAATTGTCTTTCTATATATCTTTATTTTGAGCTGATATGTCCCACATAATTGTGCAAGTAAAGCTAGTAAATGTTGGTTGTAATGTTCAGATGGAGAATTGGAAACATATGATGTTAGTAAACTATCGAAAGATGCTCTGAATACGATTGAAGCTGATAGTTTTTGGTGTTTAGGAAAGTTATTGGATGGAATACAGGTTAATGTTTTTAACAATATGTTTTGTGGTTTAATCATAACTTACTTTTTTTAATTGAAATGTGAACACATGTATATGTAGTTACAAGGAGGTAGACCGTTCTGTGGCAGGAATTTCCATTGTCTTTCTCGAATGTAAATGAATCTTTTGTTCGATGGATTTTTTTTTCATTTATTGCTAAGAGTATCATCATAATAAAAACTAATCTCCAGTCACTGAGTCAGTATTTTCTTCTCATCTTCAGGACAATTACACGTTCGCCCAGCCTGGAATTCAGCACAAGATCCACGCATTAAAAGATTTGATCCAAAGAGTAGATGGTACTTGCAGGGACCTCGTATCTTTATTAATCATTGCTAAATCACAATTTGAAAACTTAAGGTGGCTCGATACAGTTTCTCGAATTTTTTTTTGGCTCATTTTAAACAGGGATATTAAGCACCTAAATATTTCACTATAAGGCTAAAAGTTAATATACTTTGCAGGAAACATATGTAGAGCGGAAATATTCTCAGAACCTTTGCCGGGCACCCGTTACCATGGAAACAGAGACGTTTCAAAATGGCCGCCAAACAAGGTTTTATCGTGTTTATATCACAAACGAGTTCGGTGACCCCCAAATTTTTTTGCATTAAACGTTTACGCTATAGATTATTTATCTATGAAAAAGTTTTAAAAAAATTCTAACATGGGGGAATTTTTTAATAAGCAAAAATAATGTTTTTGTAAATAGAAAAAATTCCCCATGTTAGAATTTTTTCAAAACTTTTTTATAGATAAAGTATTTATGGCGTAAACGTTTAATGAAAAAAAAATTGGGGGTCACCGAACTCGTTTGTGAAATAAATACGATTAAACCCTGTTTGGCGGCCATTTTGAAACGTCTCTGTTGCCATGGTAACGGGTGCCCGGCAAAGGTTCTGAGAATATTTCCGCTCTAGATATGTTTCCTGCAAAGTATATTAACTGTTAGCCTTATAGTGAAATATTTAGGTGCTTAATATCCCTGTTTAAAATGTGCTTCTAAAAATTTCGAAAAATTGTATCGAGCCACCTTAAAACAACAGATTTCGAAAAACAACATCTTGGTTAACACAAGAGACGGTTGTACTGAAAGGACTTGCCAATCAGAATCATGCATTTTTTATTGAACTACACAAAATAGGATTTCTAGTTACAACCGGCCCCAGATCATAACAATCCTTTGAAATAGAATGGAGAATTTGACGTCACCTCAACCAGGGGTATTTTGCAGGGGGGGTTTCTCGTAAAAATCCTGAAATCCGCCAAAATATCACTCAATATGCGCCTCAAATGGACCATCGCCTCGCTTAGTAATATGTGAGAGTGTGAAATGACCTTTAAGTTCGTGATTGAAAATACGTAAAATGTGGGGAAGCGCTCATCCAAGTGCCAAGACCTAAAATGCTCCTTTATGCTACAAGTTTTCCGTCATGCTCACTGATGCTTTCCGAAGATCATACAACATCTGTGATCAACTCTTACAAAGTTTATCTTCTTGTGTCTTTTAGCTCCGCTTCATGATCATTTAGTGAAGCACAATGTGGAATATTTACAATTTTCATTTCGTTGGATGAACAATCTCTTAATGAGGGAACTTCCCTTAAGATGTACAATACGATTATGGGACACCTATTTAGTAAGTGTATCATACATCAATCATCACATTCATCTGCTGTATCCATCAATATCCATGAGCATCACCCAATGTTTCACATTGATGTTTTAGTCTGAAGCTGAAGGTTTCGCCAAATTTCATCTGTATGTTTGCGCCGCTTTCCTTATGAAATATTCCAAACGAATTCAAGAGGAAACGGATTTTCAGGTAAATTCTTTTTATTCTTGGTTTTTCGTCTTTGATATAAAACAATAATGTGTGGTTATGAACATTCTTTACCATTTCTTTTTCAGAGTCTACTTATCCTACTTCAAAACTTACCAACTGGAAACTGGGGTTATAAAGACGTTGAACTGCTAGTAGCTGAAGCATTTAAACTGAAGTGCTTTTTTGCAGAAGCACCAAAACATCTACAGTCAAAATGACACGAAAAATATTTGCAAATTTACGGTAGTGAAAACGATGATAAAATTTTGTACATAAAATATCTTTCTGCGCAGAAATAAGGTATTGTTAGATTGCTGTGTTTAAAACATGAAAACGTCGGATGATGATAATTGCCATGGAACTTTAAGCAAATAGTTTGTTTAAATTGACACAGACAAGTTAACATCCGTCTGCTGTAGATAAGGGGATAGAAGCGGTCTTGTCATTTTGTGCAGCTGGCTTACGAACTGGTCTACGCAGCTGTTTTAGTTGATGAAGAAACAGAATAAAATTTGTTAAAGAAGTACACACTCTATTCTACACGTTTTTAAAACGAGGCTAATCTATTTAATACAGTTTTAGTGCACCACTGAAAAGACAAATCAGTCGCGCATCTGACAAATAGATATGCATGAATATGCATCTTACAATGAAGCTTCTAGCTACGGCCCTGTGTACTTTAGTTTAGGATATACTCTTCTATGATCCCCTAAAGATATAGCGTTGAGCTCAGGGCTTCAAAATTCTTTTTACAGGTGGTCGATCTATTTTAAATAAATGGTCGAAACGTCCCATTTGAGTACGTCTTTTAATGATGTCTTTCTAAGTTCTGTTTAACTTCCGAATGTCAAACGTGTTTTTTTTTCCCGTATCATATTTCGGAACAAGCTTGCCTATTAGAACCACTTAGAACTAAGTTTTTGCATTTGAATATTTTAATTAAGGTCTGGCGTATCATAGCATCCCGAAAATAATACACAAAGAAATTTGCAGCACCATTACAATATGTTATGCTTGTTGTAATGCTGTTGTTTATACTCCAATTCCCATCAAAAATATCATCTAGGGCAAACCATTGCTTCACAAGAAACGGCAACCACACGATTACAAAAAGCAGAGTCACCAGAAAAATTGTCCGCACAGCTTTCATTTGCAAGTAAAAATATTTCTGCCTTTTCCATCGAGTTTGTCGACAAATTTTTAACTTGTGTATTTTTGCCACCAGGAAGATTTTGTAATACAAAAAGGGAACAACTGTGAAAGCAATTGTTACGTGTGAATAGAGTACAATATAATAAACATAGCCTGGTATAAGAAAAGTATAGGTCTCTTTTGGAGTTCTGAACGTGAATTGCACTAAACCAAATATTAGGACTGCCATGTAAAGCCACGCACAACAGCAACAAAAAACTGAACGTGGTTTCGTTATGATTGTTTCATACGAATATGGGCGTGTGATAGCTATGTACCTTTCGCATGCAATAAGTGTGATGTTTATGAAAGCTAATAGTGTAAAACCAAACCAAATGGAATCAGCAGCGATGTTTAGATGTTCTCCAAATGACCACGTTTCATGATGAGATAAAAATATCATGGACATCGGAATAGAAAACAGACAAATAAGCATGTCACTGAAACTCATATTGACGAGAAAATAATTTGATGGAGTTCGTAGATTTCGATTCTTTAGTATAACAACACATACTAAAACATTCCCAAGAACTGTGGAGATGATCAAAAAGGCATAAAAAGCAAACCAAAAGATTTTTACTCCCGTTAAAGAAAACTGAGAAGTTACATTCGACATATCGCCTGCCCATCAACTGAAAATCTCATTCACACATTCTGTGCTTCTATATCTTTCGTAACCAATCTTTGAAGTGTTGAAACTTCTGTTTCTTCCCGTTAACGATCTTTTACCTTTGAATTATCACTGTGTTAATAGATGCAGTCAATATCTTTTATGATATCCAATTGGGTTCACCGTGAATTTCCTCTGCGATTTGATTAATTGTTTATATTAGCTCGTAAATAAGTAGACACGTTTTGCAGAAATTGCAGATAGAACATAAAAATATAGGATATAGGATGATATGACTAATTCATATTTAATGAAACATGTAATATATGTAATAAAGTAGACACTGTAGACTGAATGGGAGTAAGATCATTCAGGCAATTACCTCGCACATTGAGTAAAAGCTGCTTTCTGATTGGTTCTGAGTAGGAAAGATCTTTTCGAGTCACCTGCAGACGTCTGAACTCTGAACCCACCTGCAATAGACCTGCTTACGTATGTTATGTGAGGTGACTGGTGAGTTGAGAATTTTCAAGATGGCAGCCGAATGTTGGGCAAAACTTATTTACATCGTTAAAGATTTCAAGCTTCAATTTATGCTTAAGTTTGTTTATTTGTATTGCTACAGAAATGTTGGTTTACAAAAAAAGAAAATGAAGAAATACTACAAATTCTACAATGTTAAATTAACTTCCTGGACACCTTTTCTCGAATCTAACAAACTTGCAGAATTTTACGCATCTCGAGAAGTTCCGCTGATGTTTGTTAGGGAGATTTAGCAGGAGGCACAGAATAAACATTATACAGTATAATGTCTATATACTCTATTCTGTGATATGGTCAATCAGGCACCGTGAGGTCCGTGATATGCATTGGCATTGGTAATATGTGATTGCCGTTATTTTTGCACCAGAGTGACCAAGCTTTATTTAGCGTTTGACTCGTCCCCAGTAACGATTACATATGCCCAGCGAATGTAATCCGCTGCACGGACTGAAATTATCGCGTTACAACTGGACCGAGCTGAATCCTACTCGACGAAGACGACACAACCCCATTCCTCGCACGGCCAAATAATCTCAAAATTACGTGCCTTATTTCACGATTCCAAATTGAATATACAAAAATATTAACAGGTCCGTTGCAATAGGTGATATAAACCATAACACTGTTCCGTTGGTCCCAAATACCCTGATAAATATCACGAAAGTCAACAAACTGGTTTGTCAGGAATGGTGACCAGACTAACAGAAATAGACAAATGACAAGTCCAATTGTCCAAGTTGCTTTTAGTTCACGATAAAAGCTTCTTGACGTGTGCATGTGAGTCTTTCTGTTTGATTATTTCGAGTTTATGTTTTTTTGCAATGAGAAAAATAATGATATACAACAAAGGCACTGAGACAAACGTAAAAACTGCATGAAATATTAGGATGGTGTAGTAAATTCTTCCTGGAATTAAGAATGCATAAGCTCTTCCATTTGTCTCTTTGAACGAAAAGCTCAGGCCAAACACAAGCATTGTAACGTACACCCATATACACACACATAACCCAACTGTCCGCTTTTTTGTTGCAGCAATTTTATAGGCATACGGTTTGGTAATAGCGACAAATCTGTTCAAAGCTATGACCTGAACATTCAAGAAAGATAAAACAAAAAACAAGAGCCAAACTGCATCAAAGAATACATTTCCCGCTCTGCCAAGCGGCCATTCTGAGCCACGGGAACACATCAAAACCATTGATAAAGGGAGAGTTGAAACAGAGTATAAAATATCTCCAAAAGCCATGTTTATGATTAATAGATTAGAGCTTGTTCGCAGATGTCGATTCTTGAGTATTGCAACGCATATTATAACGTTTCCACAAGCCGTTAGGATAACCAGTAATCCAAGACAGATAAAACCAAACAATTTTTTTCCATGTAAGACGTCTTTGAGATCTGATGTTACATTAACAATCACGGTTGTCATCGCAAATCTTTATAGGTTAAAAGAATTCAATTATGTTAAAATTCTGTCTGAAAAATGTGAAAAAGATACCGCATGGCAGAGTGATTTTTGTTGTCCTAAACACTCCGTTTGGTATTTAATAGTTGAGACGTTTTGGAATTACGTATTGAGTTATAACCGAGCCTGTTTCAGCCCCGCACGCTACGGTAATTAATGCAACCGGATATACGTGCGTTTGAAAACGACTGAATTATTCAATACTGCGATCAGTGCGGCACACGGAGTAATACAGGGACGCCGGAACAGGGGGGAGCAGGCAACTGCCCCCCTTGCCTTTTACCAGCAGGGGTAAGGGAAGCAGAAATGTCCTTTCATTTTAGAAGATTAATTACATTCTATAGTAGAAGTGCCATAAACGAGCAATAAGAATAAAACAATCGTCTAGACACAGAAATTATCTTGGAAAGAGAAAACACGACGATTGCGCCGCTACAGGAGTGCCCTTTCACCAAAACCTCCCCCCTTTGCCCTCGCATCGTTCCGGCGTCCCTGGAGTAATACATCTTTCCCGTATCTTTTTAAACCTAGGAACGCTTTAAGTAGAACCACATCAAAGCACATAGCACGAAACTGACTAAGGATCTGGGCCAAGACATGTAGCCTCGTTTTCGTATTATTAATGCCAACTTCGATCAAGTTTATCGGTCAAAATACAAACTAATACGTGTGTGAGTTTGTTAATGCACGAATGATCGATGCTTTGCATCATTGTATACAACTCATTGCTTGAAAGCAATTATAATATTATCAAACTTATCAAAAGGGCTTTTGTACCACGGTAAAAAAACCACAATATAGCTAGCCTGCGTGCCTTAACTAACCACGAACTAACGTGCGCCTAGGAAGAACGTTTGTTCGCTTGTCACTGATCTTTATATAGTATTACTAAATTTGTTTTAGTAATCCATCTCTTGTTTCCAATTCAGTGCGCGTCATTGCAATTTATGATCGGCGAGAAAACCACATTGATGAGTTCTAAAACCACAACAAGTCAGAGTACGTATTCTAGCAGAAGCATAGCTAGAAGACTATTCAACTTGGTCTTGGTGTTTCAGTGCGAATGGCCACCTGAATGCAAAAACCATGGTTTTACACTGGGCCGGACGAATGACCAAAACCGAGTCCAAACTCATTTGGTTCTGTGTAAAACGGCGTCTGGGGTTACGATTATACACGAGACCGAGTGAATTTAGAACCGTTTTCTGGAATTTACAACCATTTTCACACGCGGTAAAATGGATGAAAATTTGACAGGTTTTACGTGTTAACACGAGGAAACTGAACAAATTCGAGCAGGGTCCCAAATTCGTCTGTCATGACGTCCGAGTGAAACAAACCAAATGACCCACACAGTGCAATGCATGCAGTTATGTTCTGCAACAAGCGTGGGTGAACGACAAAGACAGCTGCTGCGTTTTGGATAATATTTGTCCAAATAATTTCTCTAGTCATAAGAAAGTGTGTTTGTTCAACGTTTACGAAACCACGGAAACGATATTAAAATTATATTCTTCGACAATTTTGAAGATATATTCTGTTACACCCCAAACAATTTTTTAAATTTTATCGTTTCATGTGCATCCGACTGTAAAGACTGAAATTACCTTCGTCTTTCTCACAGAAAAAATGTGTCGGCCGTCACTGTCGGCTACTGCCCAAAATTGTCGAGCTGTCAGTAAGATTTCATAAATGAAAAGAAAGGCAACATGAAAATAAATACGTACCTCAGGTAAAGATATAACGTTTTATAAGTCCACTCCAGATTCAGTTTGCCACCACTGATAACTAATAACTTTCGTACAGCGACTAAACGAAAGTTACAAAGCTTCTATTTGTTGTTTTCATTTCCAGCTTCGTTGTGAACCAGTCGAAATAACACTGATTTCTCTACAGCTGTAAAACCAAGTAAAGTACGCTTCTCGTCTAGTTGCGATGCGACAATCGAAAATTTCGTTTTACCACTTAAATGACTTCATCCCGAAGATCACTTTACTCGCTGGATCAATTTCAGCTTGTTTCTTTTAATGACTCAAAAGAGAAACGCAATTACACCAATAATTTCTTCTTCCAATAAATAACGCCCCAACTGTGATGTGCGACAAGTAGACAAGTAAAAGAGACTGAATAAGCGTCTAAATAATTATATTCCAGTGAAGGCTGTCATGCAGCAGAACGAGTCGATTGTACAAATGAATTATAAAGTTTACGGCATCAGCAAACAATAGAATAAGTCTCACATGCAGCGTCAGGTATACGTAATAATTGCCACGATCTGACAGTCTGCTAGATATTCAAATTTTCTTCTTCAATAGAAATTGCTCGTCCATAAATTCAAATTTGCATAATCGTCGAGAAATTTGCTTTAGTAATCCATCTCTTGTTTCCAATTCAGTGCGCGTCATTGCAATTGAGAAAACCACATTGATGAGCTTTAAAACCATAACAGAGTCAGAGGACGTATTCTCGAAGAAGCATAGAAGAATATTCAACTTGGTGGTTTTTCAGTGCGAATGTTAAATGTTGTTAAATCTGTTTAATCATGCAACAAACATATAGCCGAGTCTCTTCGATGCATTAACATTTAATATTAAGTCACATACGAACTACACGAAGAGTAAATATAATCAAATGCAAAGAGTACGACAAATCATTAAACATCTGTGTTTTGGCAATGCAATAACGTGATAAATGCACAGAATTCAATCTACGTTCACTATCATGGTTTTCAGGTTTTTTATAACGAGAACTGACCATTAACAGCTAAAAACAGTATTGTTTTTTGCTGAATTAATATGAATATCCGTCATTTGTCGCCAGGTTGATATATGACCATTAGTGACGCGATAAGATTAAAAAAATAAGATTAGAAAGGCAAATTGATTTTAGCCAATAATAGCAGTGTCGTCGAATTTGCATCGCAAAAACGGACTGGAAAATGTTTTCCAACACGCATGCGCAGAGACTAGATAAAGGATAAATAAATTCGAAGACTGGGTAAGAGAATGAAGTTAGTTCATTTTTTCTGGTAAGAATCTGATTATCTGAATAACTACTTGAGACAAATTACCTATGACCACAGTCTACAAACTGACAAACTGATAGCCGCACTTAGACAGCTAAAATCCTTAGAATATGATATTTTCATACTCAGAGGCGCGTATTAAAAGAAGTCATTAGCCAGTTAAAAACTGTTTCTCGATCGCCTGTCAAACCACGAAAATAAAAGTTAGTAGAAAGGGTCAAAGGGTTCATTTATCTTTCTTTTTGAGTTGGAATCAGGATAGAAATCCGTGCATGGAGTTTTAGTGGGCACCAAAGTGCATGTCAATATACTCAGTTATGTGCACACAAGCTTGTATTGCGATATGTTCATTTAAATCCAACCGTAAAACATAATCTGGTTGAGGAGATGTAAAAATCGAGTGGATATACCGAGTACAAAGGCAAAATAAAGACATATAATTATATATACTCCAACAGGTGGTTACCAGACGGGGACCTGTATAACTTTTTGTTCGTTTCAAATCTTATTTAAAATATCAGGTAATATACGAGCACAATAACCTAGTTACTTATTTATGGATGTGATAAAATGACTAAGCGAGAAAATAGGCAAGAAATATGATGTGATGTAATCTGATATAACCAAGGTATGGATTATATGAATACGCCCTGATAAACAAGGTCTAAGTGTGAATAAAGTTGATATATTACAAGAGGTTTGAAGATCGAAAGCGAAAGGTTCCATTTAACAGTCAGCTCATTGCCATAAACAGGTATATGTTAGTCATTTCATTTTCAGTCAATTTTCGTGCATTATGTAAATTATGGAAAAGCAACGATGTAAAAGTGCGAAAGAATTTGTTTTATGTTTTGTAAAATCTTACTTTACGATCATCTGAAATTTGCCTTGAAAGTACATCTTTATTCACATTGATTGGCAATAATACGATCGTCATTCAAAGTTGTTTGATTTTAATATTCACTTCATCCTTAACTATAATTTCCTCCCATCAAAGGTTGGATCAATTATCGGATCATGTTATTTTAACGACCCCCCTCTACTATTGGGGTCCTAAAATAGACAGAAATCCTCTCGGCTTTTCGACCTGATCGAGGACCTCAGTCAGGAGAGCTGTTTTTTCGGCGAAAAATTATTTTGTCTAATTTAGGTATTTGATATATCTTATGGCTCGCACTTGATGAGAAGTTAAATGCTTTACGCCGCTCTATTACATCCTCTGTCTATCAAAATACTATCCTGTATGGGTATACAGGCATAACGGCAATATTCTTCTTATTTTTGTAGCAAATTATATCTATACGAGACATATCATTATGGTAATTGCATTAACGTTTAATTTTAGGCACGTTAAAGAATGGTTCAACGTCACGTTTTTGTATTTATGTTCGGATTTTGCTGCATCAGCTTGAAATGTGGATATCTCTTTGCTCGTACGATAAAAAATAAAAGTAAGTTTTCTGGTAATGCCTTTACTCCTGGCCTGCATTCCACTGGCAGAGAAAACGTTCGCTGGCGGAATATTCGCATATTTTGTTGTTATGCAGTTAAAAGTTAAAAGGAAATATGCAAATATTTCGCTAACAAACTGTTTTCCGTGAACAGTCTGAAGAAAACAATAAATTTGAACAGTTAAAAGTCAGCTGTATATTTCAAACAACTACAACCACCCACTTTTCACTCAACATCTATTTTCTGATTATCTTAGTTTCCGAGTTCATCAATTCTCTCCTTTTATTACCTAAAAAGCGTACAAGAATACGCGCCTCAAAAAGGCTTCACAAAACAAAACAAACTTAAATTTGTTGCTGATTGATTTATAGAGTGTAACGAAGCCGTTGGCATCCAATCAGGAGATGTGGACGATGACGATATTACAGTTAGCAGCAAACGTAAAGATTTTAACGTGCTTGATGCGTGGTGTCCTGCCACCATTAACAGGAAACAATATTTTGACGTAAACTTGGGTTTTAAGACAAAGATAACAAAAGTGAGCACTCAAGGTCGTTTAGGAAGTCTTGACAGACATGTCAAGTCGTACAGACTGTACTACAGTATGGATGGTCATGACTGGAAAGCATATAAGACAGATGGTGTGGATAAGGTAAGGATAGTTAGGACATTTTGTGGATAAGATGGGATAGGTGCTATAGATTTGCTTAAGAGGCTAATTCAATGAGGAAATTGGAGGGTGTCTGACTGTCTGTCTTAAAGACAATCACGAGAAATACAGACTTAGTGAACATCTAGATAGACAGTTTAAGCTATCAAACATGCACATTTGACAATTAGAAATAAACCTCACTCATGTTTCGCCCTTTTTTCATGGGAGTGTTTTTGAAACGAGGTTGTGACAAAAAACCCAAAATATGGTACAAAATAAGCAGACTAACTGACTTTGACACAAAGTGAAACCAACAAACAAAGTTTAACAAACAAATAACAGACAGACAACTGAAAATAAAACCCAGTTTCGTACAAGTACGGACGAATTACAGCACCTGACCTGACGGCATGGTGCTACGAACCAGAGAAGTGAGGACAATTTTTGTGACAGTGATAAGAAACTAATGACTAACATGATAAGGAACTAATGACGAACACACTGTAACACAGGTATGTTATTTGTATACTACATTTTTCTGAATGACAAATAATGACAAACTGGATGAGGGCGTTCTCATGTATTCGTGTGGGTTGAGCATCATTGGTATTCCGTTCAACTCTAGTTGATAGTGCATCTCCTCCAATCTCCTACACATTGAGTCCCAAATGAGAATGGGATTTATGTGAACTAGGATGAATTACCAGCAAAAGTGATATGGAAGGAAAACTTGTTAGGAAGGGAGGAATGTTTCACATTCTGATGCAGCTAGACAACGGAAAGTGCCTATTTTGATATAAAAGTTTTTGTTTTTCCAGATATTTAAAGGCAATCAGAATTCCTATGATGTTTCGGATCACATTTTAAAGCCGGCAATAATTGCAAATCATATCAGAATAAATCCAACATCTTGGAAAAACGACATTTGTTTAAGAGTAGAATATTACGGCTGTGACGGTAAGACACCAATTTTATATTTTTTAATACTATTATATTGCAACCAAACGTTTTTCTGCGGGATAAAATAGATGACAAAACACGGAAGTTCGTAGTGAAATAGAGAAGTCTCCTGCTCAAAACAAGACTTTCGTACTATATAGTACAGATATTAAATCATTCAAGTAGCAGTAATATAATCAACGCGAGGGTGATTCAAACCTTACTTTGCTTTTTCAGCCTAAAACGCATCTTCTGACTTATCAGTTATGGTTTGAACAACAAAAATCAGCGCTTGAGGAAGATTCAGTTCAGCGCCAAAATACGACTCCGGAAAGACTGACAATCATATTCAAACCATCCGTGGCATCGCGCGATATCATCGTACATTGGACATTTTTGATGGTCAATGTGTAACAATAGTTTGCCTTGGAAGTTGGAATCTGGAACACATCCAGATACCTTAAGAGTTTGACTGTAGTTCTATTTTTGTATAAATCATTTTTGTATAAACACCGGGGGACAATATACTGGAGTAGATTTACGTCCCACAATAGTTCTTGAAGTTGATTATAATTTATAAAGCAAAGAAAGAAGCTATATTGTGAGAAAGGTGACGAATTTCTTCAACGAAAATTCTGAACGAAGCAGAATAGCGTCATGATCTCATCCACAACGCTACGATCAGTTTACTTGTCGATTGGCACTAGATGGTTACAGGAGTGAATATCGTGGTGTGTGCGCGTAATTAATCGGAGAGCATTAACAAATTAAGAGGATTTGAACAGTTAAAATACTAATACTCTAATGGTTTCGTGGTTTATGAGAATCTAAAGAATGGAGACTGCTGTAACAGTGTAAAGGCTAGTTTCCACTCAGGAAAATTCTCCTTTGAATCGGATAGGACAGGAAAGTTTCCTTTGTGTAAACACCGCCTGAGAACTCACCGACAAAGGAAATTTTCCTGTCCGTTCCGATCCAAAGGAGATTTTTCCTGAGTGAAAACTAGCCTTAACGATTACGTACCGTGATATAAGTGGGATAAAACTTGCCGAGCACAAATTTGTGCAACATCTGTCAACTCACTTTATTTTCCTTCACATACAAGTGTAGCCAATATAAAATGACAAACTGTAATTTGCAGGCAGATTATTGCTAATTGAAAGACCATATGCTACACAGTGATGTTTTCTCCCAAGGCCCCAGCTATATTTAAAGATTCCATCTGACTTAACTTCAAAATGATTTAACTTCACAAATATCAAAATATGCAGAGCTCAAAGACTGTCAGTTGCACCCACCGTAAGATCCAGTGACAAAACGGCAAATATGAGGAAACATTCGTGAATTTATACGTAATGCAACTGAATACTTCTGTTCATCTTTGACGCCATAGTCCCCCGTTGCTATGGCAATGACCTAGTAAAGTAGAGAATGTATTAAACGTGCTTGAGTGAAAGCAACTGGTATTTTCCCACTATTTCCGTACCTTACGTTCAACTCTCCCAGTCTCCTTATTACGCATGCGTATATAAACACCTGCGCCAGCAGTCTTAGGGACGGTATCACATCGGCTGAAAATTCGCAATGGTTTTATTTTCTTCATTTGGCAAAAACGCATATTCAGGTCATCTGAGCGTCTCTCGTCGTCAAACGCTGAGAAATACATATAAGTTTTATTTGCTCGAAGAATTTCGTTGCCGTCTGCGTCTGCACCGACATAACCAATCGACATCGGTGTAACTGGAAGCGGTGTTTTTGTTTCCAGAACAGCATAGTCTTTCAAGCGCCACATTTTAATTATCTTCGGGGACTAAAATATGAGAGAAAAGGCGGTTATATAGACCCAATGTAGTTTAACCAACAATCTCAAGATGAGCTGGTATATAGCTACATCAGACCATTCGTTACTTATTACTCGTTCCTATATATCAAAAGAGGAAAATCTTAAGAGGAGTGTAACTGTTTTTAAAGAACGCGACCGAGATTGGTGATTGGGTTGTATTGGAATATTTCAAAAATTCCAGTTTCAAAAAGTAGATTTTTCTGTCTCTTAATTTCATTAACATTATAGAGTGTAGAGTGGTTCTGTTGTAATTAGTGTAACCATCAATAAAAAGCGGATCAGCATGCACGGATCATGACTGGACGGCTCATAGGACGAGCCTGCAGCGCTAAGAGCTGTGCACTTTGGTTGAGTCTAGTAGCAAGATATCTTTACCTTTCTCTTGCTCTTCCAGATTCGATGAACACGAGTGTTAACGACTTTAGACCAAAGCATTTCTCTGTATCCTGATAGAACACCAACTTCGAGATCTAAGGAATAATAAAGAGCAACTTTAACTATATTGGCATATGAATATAATTTCTCAAACATTGTATTCTGATCAAATGTCCAGTGATATCTCATCTCAATCATCCATATCAACTCTACATAAATGACCCTATATAAATTTCTCGCCTCACTTCCCCACCTATTCCCTTCATTGTTGCCCTTGAACTCCACCCTACCTTTCCGGCGATCGTCAGGTTGCACACAATGAGCAGCAGTCAGGAAGAATCTAGGTCGCAATAAAGCAACTCCACTACACTTCACTTCTCCATTCACTCGTATCGCTACAGCGCTGTTAAATGGAAAACGACCAACACTATTCTCCCGAATACGTAATCTATTATCAGGCAAAAATATCTTTCGCTTTGAGCGGGTATGAGTATTTTGAGGCCCGATATTTTCTACTTCCCAAGGTCCTGGCTCTGGTAACTCTTTGACAGATCCCTTGATTAATTCGCAATTTTCGTCGCTGCATTTCAAATACGACATATCGAATTCCTCCAAAGCATCGCGCATTTGATCGCGTTTTGTCCCGTTTTCCTCATCAGCGTTGGCTTCATACGAGCTTTCGTGATCCAGAGTATTCCCCAAGGAAATGCAGATTTGAATTGAACACATGAATAGTAGAAAAACCCTCGCGTTCATGCTTAAAATTACGAGCATTTGCGTTTCAAATGAGACACACAAATTGACGCAAAACTTCAACATAAACCGTGCTATAAGACTTCCCCAAGGCTTCACTGTTATGCGGCGACAAGAGTTGTGGAATTTGTGGAGTTTGTTTTTATTAGAATTAACGTCGCAGTAGGTGACTGAGTGGCGTGCGCATGTGATATTTACGAATATGGTAGAAAAAATTAACATAGCATGCGTAATTGAGACACGATCATACCGTATGTTCCAACAACGGCATTAATTGGACTTATTCTTTGGCATCGCAGACAGTGACGTACGTGAGCGGAGAAACGAATTCGTTTGATAAGGAACACATTGTCTAAAGATCTTGATTTGTTTTGATTATTCTCAAAGCAATAGGATATATAGTATTTTTTTAAATACTTTCCAAACGCACGAATGAGATTCTTTGATTTTAAGCATAAGGTGCGATATCATCTGATATGCTCCTATCATGAGTGAGATTGCATTATTAAGACTATAATAAGGAGTGACGCAATAGATAAAATTTGCAGCAGAATGAGACTGTAAACAACGGGTTTTGCCGTAGAGCAAACTCTTGCTGGTAGCCTGGTAATGGTGCACGCTAAGCCATGATCATTATTTAGTTTGCACAACATGAAATATCCTAGACGATTCAACCGCAAGACTGATAAGAAAACCTCTGTCTTAAATTGCTTGATGAAATACGACAGTTAAGGATATTTAAAAATACCCGGCCTTTCATTGGTGAAATGTTACAAATTCATCACGGGTTTTTTTATGGTAAAAAAATTAAATTTCCCTAAGGATTAAATTATAAGAGCCTTTTTAGTTGTGATTTCCTATTTCCGATATTGAAACAGATTATGAACAGGAAATATTTCTCATGTTTCGCCAAAGTATGAATAACTATTCTCGACAGGGGAGAAAGTATTTCCATATTGCATTGTAAAGTATATATGCCACCCTGATTTTGAATCAAATGGTTTCTATAAGAAAGTATGACACTTCAGTATTTCCACTCTCGTACTTTGATAGACGTGAAGAATCAAATTAGAGATCAATTATCTATTTCTTGATACACCTTAATTCACAATTCCATTTGGTTTCTATTTCATAGCTGCGTTTATAACTCCATTTTTATTTCAACTTATTGATTTTATCAGCGCTCGGAACAGCTTGATGTCGACTATTACCTGTTGTTGAAATGAATTAAAAACCGCGTGAATCAAAAATGATATTTAGCTAGCGCCACAGCTGAGGAAAATTGATCGCCTTTCAAAAACAGCCAGGGGGCAGTGTCACTGTCACACTCTTAGACAGTGTAGAAATGTTAGATTCAGGAAAGGAAATCGGATTATGAAAATCCATTCCAACCACTGCACTGCAATGTTGTGCCAAAATACACGGATAAGCAGCCAGCGTACGCAAAAATAACTCATTTTTAAGCGGAGACGCTGAATGAAGATTCTTCCAGCTGAAAGGGCCGGAAAAGGGCCGACTTTTAATGTCCCCTACACTGAAGAGGTATTCTGTTTTACCAAAAAATACATAACGTGGTTGACTTGAGTATAGCCACACCAGTGAAAACTAACAAAAACCCGGCGTTTCGAGAATAGAAGTTATTAGAAATTTTCTACCATCAAATATTGCAACACACAATCATCAGATCTCACGTCACAGATCTCTCTGGTTGGAAACCTCGTGTTCGTACAACATTAACTTATAGCATTTCATCGAGATTCACGAAAGCAAGGCTCCCAAAGCGGAGAAAAAAATCCGTGTCGCAGTCGAACTACCAAATGACAAGTAAAAAAACAATGAAATCGCAAAGCAACAAATGCTCTCTACTTGGCAATCTTCTCTACATCGTGCAGCTCCTAAGAATATATTTCTCGGTAGGAAATTGATTATAGTTATACTTCTAGAATACTGGCGTGATTATTGTGCAAATAATTAAAATAATTAGTAAATAATTAGAAAATTATATTCCTGTTGTGGGACCATTCTAAAAATTATTTCGTTCGTTCACAATCGGGTTTAGCATCATCTGACACATTGAGATCTAACTATACATTACACACGGCTTGCTCTATATTGACGCTTTTTTCCAAGAATACTGGCCAGTATATTGAAATCCAACTTTTTGCACGAGCTTGTCCGCTTCATCGGGGCCTCGTCTGGGAAAAATAGAAAAATAAGCTTTTCATTCTGGAGGCCTTCTAAGTGCTAACAAATAATCAACCGACAAATATATTTCGAGTTGAAACGTATTTTTCATGCTTTTAAAAATACTGTTTGAGCACCGTTACTATTTTAGTGACGTCACTCGACCATACTGTCGACTCAGGGAAAAAGGTTGAAAAAGATTCCCGATGGTGGTGAATTCCCCAAGGTGGGGTGGGGTGGGGTCGTGTGGCTGTACTTACGTTCCAAATTTGTACGGAGTTGGTTTAATCTTTTCAGTCTCAATCTTGTGCAGAAGTGGAGTTACGATTCTCCATGCTTCAGCTAACTCATCACTGCAGAAATAAATAAAAACTTTTTCATTTGATTTTACGTTTTAACATTCTTTTTTTTTCGTTCCAAGCAACCATTTTAGCACACATAAACTCCATTCCAACGGTAAAAAGATGATGAAATAGATGAACATGGAAGTTCATGAATATCATCGCATACAGTATATCTTTGTATCAGGAAACATTACCTTCTCACAAAATGCGTTTGGCTTCCAGAAAAGACATCCAGAATAAGTCTTTCATAGGCATCGGGTAACTTCGCGTCCTTTTTAACAAAAAAAATAATAAATTATGTTTGTCTGTGGTCATAAAATTATCTAGAAGAATGACAAAAATAACTGACCTTATATCTGGAGTCATAACTAAGGTCCATTTCGCTAATGATAGGTTCAAATGACATTCCAGCTTCTTTCACCATCATTTTGATGTATATTGCCTGAGAAAATATAAATAAATTAATTATATAACCTGTCAGTAAATAATTAACAACTTTTCATTCAACTGATTTATCTGAAATGAGGAACTAAACCTCTTTAGGTTGCAGTCGTATGACCAGTTCATTTCTGCTGCATTTTCCTCCAAAAATATCACCAGGCACATCTTTAAACTGGACTCTTATTTCTGCTTTCTTTTCATTCAATGCTATTAGATGAACAAGCAGATATGTTAGACCTATTGTCAAACCTTACAGGATGATTGGTTGAAGGATCAGGATTCCTAAAGATTAAGTTTGATTAGGTTTGTTATCAAATCGCATTTCTTGATATTAAGGTTAAGAGTATACAAAGCACTGAAAGCAGCACCTTTCTATACTAACCTTTTCCACATTTAAGAATGAAAGGGACTCCATCCCATCGTTCATTCTTGATGTAAGCAACACATGCTGTGAAGGTGGGAGTGACAGACCCTTTTGGAACTGTAGGATCATCTTGGTACCCCACCTTAGCTTCACCCTCACCATCTGGGTTACCTACATACTGTCCCAACACAACGTTATCTAACGTAATTGGAGGCATGGAACGCAGCACTTTCACCTTACAAAATAAAAAGGAATTGTAGCATGAATTTAAAAAATAATTCATAAAATCCTGTATTGATCATACCACATAACACAAAAATATTAACTATGTACATTTTCATAATTATACCTTTTCATTACGAAGATCTTCGGCACTCTTTGAACATGGTTTCTCCATTGCAATTAGACATAATGTTTGGATCATATGATTTTGAAGTATATCCCTAACAAATCAACACAATAACACAAGATTAGCAACACAGGTAGTGCAAGGGTTTATAATAGTTATATTGTAGGCATACCTGATTACCCCAAACTCATCATAATATCCACCACGACCACCTGTGCCAATATTCTCTTTGAACTGAATGGTGATGTTGGCAATATGATTTCGATTCCAGATTGGACTGAAGATCATGTTTCCAAATCTGACAATTTTAATTGCAAAAAAGAGAGTAGTATAAAAAAAATAAAAAAACCAAAAAAATGTTATGTTATCAGAGCAGCCAGGATTGAATTGACTCCAAAAATACTCACCTGAGCACCATAAGATTTTGCACCATTTCTTTGCCTAGGTAATGATCAATTCTATAAATCTGTTCCTCAGAAAATACATTTGCAACATGATTGGACAAATCTGCAGATGTATCAAAATCCTTGCCAAATGGTTTCTCAACAACAACGCGATTCCATCCCCTTAAAATGGTGGATGAAGAAAATGTTTTGATTTACTTATCTATAATTAAGTGCCATATAAAAAATACAATAATCATATTTATATATTCATTCTTACGTTTTAGACATACAACAATTCTTGATGTTAGTTGTTGTTTCTTTAAAAACTGATGGCGGCAATGCCAAATAAAATACTCTGTTCACAGTTTTACTTTTGTTCAATTTGTCCAGTTCTTTACCAAGGTTTTCAAAATCTTTCTTTTTGTCATAGGATCCTTTGACATAGAAACATTGCTTGAAAAATTGCTCCAGATCTGCCTTATGCTCATTTTTCACCTAAAATGGATGCACCGTGTAATCCATTTCCTTTTCATGGTCATTTGTCAATTGTACAACAGCAATACCGCTGAATCATTACACATTTATAACTCTTTGAATGATAGAATAGCTCACATGCAGACAGTATTTCAAAGAGTCCAATGAAAAAGACCAGTGTAATATATGCTGCTCATGTAGCTGCAGAATAATATGCCAGCAGAGGAATTGTCATGAAATAGTTTTAGGATGATTTAATAATTTAGATGGTATCTGTTCAATCTTTAGAATCTAAGCCTATCATATCATGTTGATGTGTGATCAATCTTGTGCTTTGCTAATTCATTACAATGTGCATGCATTGAACCTTACATTTGTAGAAATGTAAATTTTTGAAGTCAATTTGCATTAATTGTTCACTGATTTTATCAGCTACACAAGCAGACTAGATCTGGTGGAATATTTTAAAATTATCATGATTGTGACAACAATATAATATAAGTTGGTCACTTGGTCCACCATTTACCATTTATTGAAAGCCAACCAAATCACCTAATTGATCAACCCCCCTAAGCATTCTGCCCCCATGCCCCAGATATTTTACAACCCCCCCTGTCCCTGCTTTGCTGGCCTTGTACAGCCTTGTACAGCAATATAAACTGCATTTATATTAAATATGTTACATGTGGAATCAGTTCATATATTTTGTCTATATTCTGCAAGTTATGAAAATAAGAAGCTGTTCTGCAGCTAGAAAGCACCTCAGTAATATATTATTGCATTAGCAAGTAACTTGTTTATACATTGCCAAGTTAAACAAAGTTACATAACTCCATGCATATATTTAAAAATACAGTGACAAAACGAAACGAAACGTCTTTGAACACCTCTTATACAATAAAAATAACAAATTAGACAGTATTTCTTTATTTCTACACAATACCTTGAAATAAGGCTCCACTCTGGATCTTAAAGCAGCAACTGTCAAATCAGATCGCGCATATCCAATAAATTGGGTTCCGTCTGGGAGTAGCTTGTCCTTGAAAAGTTCCCTAAAACATCAATACTTTGTAAAACGACGAAAGCAAGGTGTTCAATGTAGAATCAGAGAACGGCATTCAACTAAAATCACACAAACCATAAGCTTGGGTATATTTTCTTCTTGGCCAAATCGCCCTATAAGACAAAGACATATGCACGGAAGCCAATTATAATATGCCTCAAAATACTAGAACTGGATGTTTGAAGCAGAATATAACTGCACACCTAAAACGGTGAGCATATAAAATAAAACAAACCTTACCGAAGCTCCAAAAATTATAACAGAGGTCATTCTTTGATTAAAATGGTATCAAAATCAACAGCCGAAAGAGAAAGGTGCAGGACTGTGAGGGCGTCTCGAAAATTTGAAGAGCATGCAAATTAACTCAATTTATGTAATAAATAGAACCAACCTCCAAGAGTATTTTCCATAGGTTTGAAAATCCGGTGGTATATTCGCCCTCAGCTGGATATTATCGCCACTGATCTTTGTATTGTACCTGAATACAACTTTATAATTCTTGATGTTAGCCATGTCAGTCTAGAGTAAAATTACTATTGGAATGGCACTCAAAGGAAAATTTCAAAATGAAAAGACCATTTCTCTTTTAAACTAAGTTTAAAACTAGAAAAAATATTCAACACGATATAGCGGTTGGAAGTTGGCGAAAAGGCGTTGCCCACATTTCAAAATATACCAATTTCGCACCGCAATAATTTGGTATTTTTCAACAATAAACTCTTTCGATAAGTTTTACTCTCAGGAGCCATTGGAAAGATACAAAACATTGTTCTTCGATACACGCATGAAAAGGAACTTTTCATTTCGGCATAATAAGTGTGGTGGAGGAAATAAGCCATAACACGAGAACGAGGCTTCCGGTCGTGGCCTAGTGGCCTCGTTTTAGTGTTAGAGCTTATTTGTTAAGTTAAAAATTCTTTCTCATTCGTGTGTTGAAGCAGAATGTTTTGCATCTTTGCACGTGGCTTGTGAGAGAAAAACTGGAAATCCATCTCATTTAAGGTGGCTCTAAATTTAAAATGTTGTGACGTAATTATTGAAAGAGTCTAATCGCAACTAAACTTTCCAATTTTACTAATCATGGGTCGCCATTTCTTAGTACAATGTCTTCAGACTAAAGGGTAATGATCCATTATTTACACTTCTCTTGGGCAATCGAGATCAAGAAACTTTTCCATTTATTTTATGAAATAGTGTAATAACAATTTTTTACATTTTATGGCTTTTTACAGTCCCACCCTGGTTGAAATAGTTTTGTAAACATATCCCAATGCAATGATTAAACATGACTTAGTTTAGTCATAGAATGATATGTAAATGTATCTAAATAGTCAGTTTTGCATAAAGGTACAGTATATTTTCACTTAATTTGTTGGACCAGTGGCGTAAGGGAGACAATAATTGGGGGGCACATTCATATATTTATGTTAACAGACCTGTAAAGACAATGGGTTTGAAAAGAAACAATTCTTACACAACATGAATATATGAATATGTGACCCCCCCAATTATCGCTTTTCGTACGCCACTGTTGAAGACATACTAACAACAGTCACGTCGCCACCTCAGGATGAACCTCAGAACTTGCTTGAACCATCGTTGACTGTTGTTGCATAAACATCATATCCTGAGACATGTATCCAAGTTTATTAAATCATGTATTTATTACCCTTGAGGGTTAGGACACTTGGTTTTTATTTCCTTACTATTAGCTTTCATCCATCTTTTCCTCTTCACTAATCTCTTTCTCATCTGTAAATGGAAGATAAAATTGCCTGGTTAATATAACAAGCTGAGTTAAAGTGTTTTCACTCTACATAAAGCAACGCACAGTGAAGGCAATGGATTTCTTGCATGATAAATCCCTCATAATCCTGATAATCCTTCAATAGCATCACCACACCAAATCACTCAACCACGTGATTAAACACTAATACGTAGAATTTCTAAAGATTTGTGCATGGTGAAGCTGTCTCAACATTAAATCTTAGCTCATTATACAGGCTTTAAAGTCTGCCTAGTTTCAAGACTCACTCTATTGACAGCTACTGTACCTCTGAGTTTATCTCTATGTACATTCTATGCACCTATTTATAAATATCTGGTATTAAACTAAAAGAGCATCCAACCTTAAGAAATGGCATTTTAGAAGGATAAAATCATATTCAATGAATACTACAAGTCAGAATGTTCAAAAAATGTTTACGTAACTTTCCACTGACCTGTTGTTTCATTATTTCCAAGATCATCCACTTTTTCAGGTTCATCAACTGTTTTTTTATTTGTACCATTTTCAACACAACTTTCTGCATTATCCTTTATCTGTGTTTCCACACCACTTTCAACTTCTTTTTGAGACACTTCACCACTGTCAGAGCATGGCATGTTGCTAATCACAGAAAATTGTTCTTGTGTGTTTTTACTATCTTGTGCTGTGTTTACTGAACTGTCAGAAGTGTCAACATTGACAGAATTTTCTTCTTTTATTTGTGTTTCATTCTTCTCCTCTAATTCAACTTTAAAATTAGAAGCTGGGCTTGTGTTATTGTCTTGAGTAATAGAATTCAGTGGTGAATTGTTTAAAGGAGCAAGATTTGGAGATGTAGGTGCAGTGTCGGGTTTTGTAGGAGATAAATCTCCATTTGTGAAGGCAGTTGGCATTGATCTATTGAGAAATCAAGGAAATATGTAATTATAAGGGTTGAAATAGAATGAAATAGATATTGAAATAATTTAGAACAATCTTCAATTGTATTAATAAGCAATGCTTTTATATATGGTAATGCAATTAAACACATGAACATTACAAACAATATCACAAACTAGATTTGTTACCTAGTTGTTTATGAAATATTTATATAATGAAAGGTTTTAGCAACATTAGACAAATATATTACCTTGTAATAAGAGAGCCATCTGTTTGCACTGTACTGACAACCATAATATTCTATTCATTTAAGATAAAAATGATTACCATGAAAGCTCACAAAATATCAAAATTAAGAAATACATTACTTTCTTACTTTTTCAATTCCTCTTAGAAATTTATCTGTGGTTCTGTAATATTTTTGAGGTTCAGTGATCAATTCACATAAACGTTGAATGGTGAAAGGTGTCCTAAATAAAATAAAAAAAAATTCAAATTTTCAAAACTTCATATTTCATTAAAAATTTTTAAACTTGCATTGGAAGAGTTGAATTAAAATAACTTTCAAGGCAAATGAACTTACCCTGAAAAATGATTTACGTTGCTAATTAGTTTCTGTGCATCAGGATAAAGATCTTTAGTTTTTGACTTAGGTTCTGAGTTATATGCATTTGATGATGTATTCTCAAAAAATTCATTTACAACCTGTGAAAGAAATATCAATCACATAAATTTTGGCATGGTTTAGAAACTTTCTCTCACAAAGTCTTTCTGAAATGAACCAAATGAAATTAACCTGGCCTGTGTGACTAACAATAAAACTATATTTTACAACTTTTTTGGCAAATTCAAGGTGCTTGAAAAGTGAAAACACTTGCTCACACCAACCTAAAATGTATTTTCTGATAATAAATTACTTGGAATAATTATATATAGCAGATGTTTTGCTGATTAACAAAAGGATACCTTGTGCAACAATTTGGAATAATTTGTTTTAAAAATACTTCCATCTGATAAACAAGTGGTGTTTACTACACTTGAGAACAGTTAATAAACTTGAGAGACCAATCAATGGTCAGTGATGGCAATTTACTCAGATGTAGTAAATGACCACATGCACAATTTGCACTTTACATACCCTTTCCAATTTGTAAGCTATAAGTGGTTTTAAGAGGGGCCAAGGAAATCTAAAAGAAGGAATAGATGTAAATTCATGAAAAACTTGTGTGTAGACATGGCTATATATATATGGAGCTGATATTTAATAAGTGTTTGATATTGTCAAGGAATTTCATGTTGTCATCATACTCTGTTCTGCCGGTTTTGGCTATATGAGAAAGCAATTTATCTAATTCCGGCCCAATCTTTTTGTCCTTGGCTCTCTCGAAATCTAAGAAAGGAGAAACATTACATAGTTACAAAAATACAAGTTACATATAATGAACTCTGAGGGTATAAAATACGATTGACAAAAACCACTCTTTCGGCGTTTCGATCGCTAGACATACCGTTCAAACATTGTAATACTGTTTCTAGGTTATCCATTCTTGGTTACGATAGAGAAATCTAGGCTGACCACATTGAGAATAGGAAGATATTTCATAGCAAAACGTTCATTATAAAATACAACTCTCTTTCACTCCGACACATTTTTTACTTGGGGAAATGGGAATATGCCATGGTAGTGCCAATCCCCCATAGCTCACGGCTGGCCAAATTGAATACTACGTCATTTCTCATCATTTATAGATCAGTGTCAGTGCTGGAGACGAAGCCAAAGATAAACAAAGATGTCTACAACAAAAAGCAACGAAAGCTCTTCTCCTCCGTCTGTTTACCGTCAAAATATGTCTAAACATGGCGTTTTTGAAGATGACTTTCTTTATGGAGTCACCGTCGCACAATCGAGCATTGATTTTCGTTTGGGTAAGGGGTATAAAAGTAATGCTTATTCTGCAAGTTCGTGTAATCGTGTTTTGAATGTTTAAAAATAAATACATTGCATCTTTCGTATTTTACAGTGTAAGATTAACATAATTTTATATTTATCATTTCATATCTCAACTTATTCGTGTATCGTGGTTGAAAATATATATTTTAAGGCGATTTGTAAAATCAATATTATCAATTTTAGTTATTTTACTGAGTAAACTGTGAAAACGAAAGCGCTTAATTTAAATAGCAGTATGAAGAGGATGTCATAATTTGAAAAATTCTTTGTCAACTGTAATTTTGAAAAGAAAGGATAATATTTGCAGCCATTAGTCATGGAGAGGGAAGAGTACCAGAGCTTAAGAATTTTATAATTTATTAAATACAAGCAAAAAGTTAGTTCTAATATTCTAATTGTTAATTTTTAAAATTATTTTACTTGTAGGATTTCTAAGAAAAGTATATGGAATCCTTTCCATGCAACTTGGCCTTACAATCATTGTGTCAGCTTTGTTTATGTTCATTGAACCAGTAAAAACATTCGTTCAAAGCAGGTGAGGTATCAAAGGCAACACTCTCAAGCATTTGCATCACTGACTTTTACTAAACATTTATTGCTAACAATTAGAGGAATGATCTAATTGGAATTAAACGTTACCTGATTTTGACTAGGATAACAGTTTGGTGTGCACCCTTTGCATTTACACCCAGTGTGGGTTGGCATATTGCTTGCTTTATTACAATAATTCTTTTATTCTGTGGAAACTAGAAATATCATATTTAACGACTAATTACTATTAATCGTACTTCTGTATAATGTTCTTTGCATGCTCTCAATGAACAAAATATGTTTATGTTTGTAAAACTATGTACCAAATTGTCTTTCAGTCCATCACTTCTTATTGTGTCCATGTTTCTATCGATTGGTCTTCTCATTGGATTGGCCATAAAAAGACGTGATAGTCCAGTTAACATGTACCTCCTGTTAGCTTTTGTAAGTTCAAGCTTTCACGTTTCTTCTGTCCACAATTATGACAATCACTGAATACAAATAATCAATATGCACTCTCATTTGCAGACATTTGCAGAATCCTATACCATTGGTACAGTTGGTAAGATTGATTACGTGGTTACACATATTTTACCCTTGCAACCTTGCATTGGAAATGACATTTCAACCAGTTCTTTGACAAATAAATGTACTGCTTTTTACTCATGCTAGAAATACTCCATAAACGATAATCTGATCTATTTTCTAGTTACTTTGTATGATGTCCAGATTGTGATTGAAGCTTTTGTTCTTACAATTGCAACAACAGTTGCTCTAACACTCTACACATTCCAAAGCAAGAGGGATTTCAGCAGCTGGGGGGCAGCGTAAGTTTATGACCTATTAAAATGACTGTTACTGGTGAGGAGTTTCCAAGTGGATACAAATAATTTACTTTAAACCTACCTTTTTAGTTTGTTTTCTACTCTGTGGATCCTGATTCTTGCAGGAATTTTACAGGTAAGAATGTCTAAAAATTTCTGCAAACTTGTTTACTAGTCATGAAAGTTATAATAGGCTCAGATTAGGTTGTGAATCTATGGTTGGTTGTTTTCAAAGAAACCATATTACATGGACTTGAATTACCAAACAGGGTTTATGCAAATTTCCGGAACTTATGAATCAAATTTCCGGGAAATGAACCATAGTAGTTGTATTTGAGCAAGTTTCCAGCAAATAGTTTAAATGTACAACTTTCTTGTAGATATTCATCCAAAGTGAAATCATTGAGCTGGCAATTGCAATTGTTGGTGCAGTATTATTCTCGTTATTCATTGTTTACGACACACACATGCTCATGCATAAATTATCTCCAGAAGAGTACATCCTGGCATCCATCAACCTTTACCTGGATGTTCTCAACCTTTTCTTGGAGATTTTAAAAATACTAGATGCTCTGAAAAGGAATTAAGAAAAACATGTCTGTACATTGCATTTTTTTTTGCTTTTAAGTAAAAAGCTGAACTGTTGTCATAGAGAACTATACAGTATACCAGTTATCGTCTGCAGAATTGTAGTAAATTAGAATGATATAAATTTGCTTTTGAGCAAAATGTTGGTTAATTATGTAAGTTGTAACATTACCAATAAAGAATCATTGATGATGTGTATCATCATCTATACATGGGCAGTATAGCACAAAAATTGTATTTTGATTCCTGTTTTATGCACCCAAAAAAAGCAATTACATATTACAAAGCAATTTCCAAAAAAATAAATTGTTCTTGTTGGCTAAAAACATCTGACTTCCCATGCACATTGACTTCTATGTGAATGAAGCAATTGGGTTGTTTAGAGGACGCTCAATAAACTTGTCTGATTTCTTGTATGCAGCAATTTGTGGAATAGCCTATAAAGCATTGTGTATTGTCAGTAAAAATCAGTATTATGGTATTGATTTACAAAACATAACTGAGTATATATTATTTGTGTTTCTCTTCCACTGACAAGTATGTTCAAAGGCCAATGTAATGTAATACACTGCATGTCAGAGCTACACATTTTGGCACATTTAAATGCAGCTACAAGTTGACACATTAATTTTTCTTACCTCAATTCTGTCAGCGAAGGCCTGTTAAAAAAATGTTTTTTAATTATTTTAAAATTTTAACCAAACAAGGCATTTTGGTATCTTGGATTAAATGGAGCTTTCTAATACAGTCATTCCACCATAGGTTTCATATTGAATGTTATTTACTGCATTTCACTTAATTAATTAGGGTTAAACTAAACATTTCCTACAAGAGTATATAACATACAAATTGAGATACTTTATTACATGTTGCAAGCTATTCAAACAATTAAAGTATGTGCATGGTGATACATTTAGTACCAAATTAATACATACCAACAACTTTTTGAATGGCTCCAACAATGTTTTATCAAATATTTTATGTTGATCAATCATCTCATACATCAAGAAATCAGGGAAGGTCAGCTAAGCACATTTAAAAGAATAACATCCACTTAACAAATTTCAAATGTTATCTCTACCCTAAAACCATAGATTGAGGTCACACCTTGTCACCAGCAAAAAAAGGTTTATCTCCAAGATACTTTTCAAAAAGTGCCAATTTAGCTCCAACTGTCTCTTTGTAATTATCCACACGTTTATCCTAAACACACACAATCACATTTTGCTAGAGTCTCTTGAATGTTTGAACATGAACTATATTAACAACCTATGCATGCAAAATAAACTGCATTATTTTTTTAAAAGGATTAAAGTCTCTGATATAGGCTAATTATATAGCTATGTGTGAAATCATCCTGCCCAACATGTGAAAAACATCATAATGTGTAATAGAACTCTTTTAATGCATTTATGCACACTATTAAGTTGTATCCTATGTTGACATCATCCAATGTATAAGATATTGAGATCCCAATAGAGTGGGAGTATGAAATTGGAACACAAATTTATTCAATAATTGTTAATTATTTAACACTTACAAATGCTGGATTATAGCAGAGTCCTGTAAAAGCTTTTTGGAAGTCAATTATCTTCAAGATTAAAAAAATGCAATGATGACAATGATTATATTTAAAATATAATTGTACATTAATTCAGACTTACACAGTGCTCTATCATGTCAACTTTCAATTTCTCCTCATCTGTGGTCCCCACTAATAGTTTTAAACGCAGAATTGGTGTACAAATAAATATTTTGAACTATACATTAATAATATTAAAAAGGAGGCATTAAAAGAGGTTATTAAATTGTGTGCAGAAACAGTATAAATTCAACTTACACAAGTTGTGTTTGCGAGCAATATATCTTATAATCTAGAAATTGAACAATACATAAATTGCAAAACATTTTAAACATATAAATGTGCCATACACATATAAATTAAGACAGCTGTGCTACTTGCAACAATGTCAATTAACTAATATTACTGATATATAGAAAAATATAAATGTCTGTGCCGGAAAAGTACATTAAATATTCAACACCAGAACATTCAAATAAATGCAATTCATATAAATTCATATACTTACAGCACTACTTTGGGTGATTTTTGTATCACCATCAATATAATATGGAAGCTAAAAAGTAGTCATGGATTGTCATTACAAGCACATAATTAATTCAATCGACAATATATAATTAAGACTGATATATACTGAAAAGATAATGAACCAGGATGTTTATGTATTATATTTAATTGCCTTGTACTGAAAAACTACATTTTGAGTCATACATTTACACTACCTATGCATATATGCATATTATAATCAAGGAGAGCCTAATTGCAAAGACTTACATTAGGGAAATCAAGTCCTAAATTGTTTTTCTCCTTTAACCAACACTCTCTTGAAAAATCTAATGTAAATCATTCAATCATAGAATAAAATCACATATATATTATTGCATTTAAATCTTTATAGAAAATTATTAGAATAATGCAATATTTAGTATCTTTTTAGAACTGGATTTGCCTAAGCACAACATTACCTGGGGCAGGACCACAGGCATAACGTTTCTCCTCAAACACTGTTTCAGTATAAGCTGATCTGAGCAAGCTATATGATAAAAAACCATGTATATATGTGGCATTGTTACATGGTGGGATATTCTAAATTAGTTTATTAATATTTCAAACAAGGCAGTTTCTACAATACAATGGATTCATGAGTGTTATGATCCATGTAGGGTTAATACCCTACTCCCTAAGGCCTGGTATTCTACATTTTTACGGTGAGTGCCCCCCACGCGTCTATGTGGGGATCAGGCTCCTGTAAGCTGCAAGGTCACCAAACGAAACATACTTTTATTTTACATAAAAAATAGGCCTTATAAATCAGAATAAAGGAGCTTTACAATAGTATTTTCAGCTTCCTGCGCAGGAGTAATATTTGTGATTTCTGAAAACGTTCAAATGACCCTGGTGAAAGGTTTTTATCCGTCTTTGCGCATAAAGAATCGTGCAAGATCAATAATTTGTACATTACACATTCGTCACATCGTACATACATGTTGCAAATTTTGAAATAGTTACAGTAACATATTACGTTCTATAAGGTGTCCGGATCAGTAACCACTTGCACGCATACTTTCTTTTATGTAATACTCTAGACTCTGAACTCGAGACGCGAAAATGACGATGGATATTTTATTACGTAATCTATTCAGTATTTATCAAGACACAGATTAGCTATATAGCTAATCTGTGTCAAGATGGTAAGCAATTTAACTTACTCCGCGTATCTCCCAGTAGCCAAGGATTGGTGCCATGCTATATTTTTGAAGAAAAGCTTTTTATTCAAGCCTCAAAGAGAATCTTTGCTACAAACTGCGGTTCAAAACTCCAGGATCGTTGTGCAGAAATACTGTGACAGGCACCACGTGTTTCGTACAAACACATTTCCACTTTGAAAATCTGAAAAATCCTTCTCTCCTCAATAGCATAATCCAGTGAACTGCAAATCTGCTTTTTATTTACTTTTAGTGGGTTATAGGGCATTACACCATGGCAGGTGCGATCCAACCGTGGAGCGTAGCTGTAGGACGTAGGTAGAAAACCTGGCTTGTGAGGTTAAGTGCCGAGGTAGACCGTGGAAAAGTTGGTAATCCCCTCAATTATGGTTCCGGATATTAATCCGGGAGGAGAAAATGTTCTGGATTATTGCATTACCAGAAATTTCCGAGTTCCGACATAGTGACTTGCATGTATACTAAAGGCTAGTTTCCACTCAGGAAAAATCTCTTTTGGATCTGAACGGACAGGAAAATTTCCTTTGTCGGTGAGTTCTCAGGCGGCGTTTATACAAAGGAAACTTTCCTGTGAATCCTGTCCTGTCCGATCCAAACGAGAATTTTTCTGAGTGGAAACTAACCTTATTCAGTTGCATTTAGCTGAATAATGACTTTTAAATTTTACTATAAGATATAATCGATGTCTTTTATAGTAAAACTCGAAAGCCATTATTTATGGTGAAATGCAAAATAGTGCACGAGCGACAGCTATCTTGGCAATTTTGTCAATGTAAATTTAGTATGTGTTTATTAGCATATGTTTCAAGATTTTACTAACAACGCTGATTATATTACATGCTAACTGATATACAAGTTTATACTTTCTGTAACAAGGGAGCCATTAATGCAATGAGAAATATTCCACTAAAAGAGCATAGAGCACCCACAATTTTTCCTTGCACTGTTTGTGGTACAAGATCACCGTACCTTATAAAGAAATAAATGGATCAATGTTGAAGTGTACTTGTGACTGTAGAGGATATGAAGAGACTCATAGAAGTAATTGAAGTAAAAGTTTTCAACCCCCTTATCATTGGATGACTATTTAATATCCTGGAAGTTTAGTAGTAATAGTATATTGGTATTAACAAAGAAATCAGAAAAATCTCGGCATAAACTCGACTGCACTAGTAGGGTTTTGAATGCAATGCGATTACATATGACTTATACCCTCGGCAAAATGTAAATATTTTACCAACGTGCAAGATACAACCAGTTGACTAAATGAAGCACAATGTTTGTGACTTACCCTAATGACGTCATCGTCACAATGGTGTACCAAAAGCATGCTGGGATGTTGCCAAACATGTCATCATTTTTTTCACTGTAGTACATGACTGTTGAAAACACAATAAGCACTGTTACGAAACATACCAAAAGCGGAGTGAGTTCACCTTTATTTTGTTTTAACAAATTCCCATGTTGTTCCATCTTCTCTGCCGAAAATCTGCTAATCTTTAATACTCTTGTGACTCGTAAAACACGTAATATAACGAAGAAGCGACTGTTACCACGATTACCAAGTACCAGACCGAAGTAAAAAGGTAAAATCGACAAAAGGTCGATGATATTGGAGAGCTGTTTTACAAAATTCCAACGGTTTGGTGAGCAATAAAGTTTTAACACGTATTCTACAGTAAAAAAAATGACGCAAATTGTTTCTGAAAGATTAAAATCTTCCCGATGTTGTGAACCCCACGTTGTCGTTGATCCACCTTTTGGAACAGTTTCCAGAACCAAACTTACTACCGTAGTAAGAATGAACAATATAGTCACGGCCCAAACTGCAAGACCTGGGGTCGACAACCCAGGCTGTTCGAAGATGAACCAAAGCTTTTCTTTAAAACCATGAATATGTTCGAGTCTACGTGCCCTAGCAATTCCCATGCTTCTTTTCTTAGATTGTGCTTCTCTAAATTTTGCTGTGTTATTCTTTAACAGTTCAAAGTTCTCCACGCAGCATAATGAGATGGATTCTGTGAAAATTCCAAAGAATTTGAGTTCGCTTTCAAATAGTTCTGCACATTCATTTGGCGGGTAGTGAAGGTTTCCTGAACGATAGAAATTTAGGATGTGCGGAAATATATCTGGATCACGATCAAAAAAATACTCTTGTTTCATACAGTCAAAGTAGTAATAACGTCTTTTGCCACCAAGTAATGTTTCTAAAAGGAAGATAAATTTTGTATAAATGTATAAATGTATGAATGGTTTTGAAAACTCAAAGTAAACTTGAATATTCCACCTATCATAGCTTGGTTTGAGTCATAATTTGCAAGGTAAATCATCTACACACCTGGATATCTTTCCAGTAATCTTTCATCGGTTTTGAAACGTCGACCGCTGACATTAATAATAATGTAGTTATTTGAAGCTAAGGCCACAGTTCCAACAATTTTCCCGTTCATCTCTTTATACAAAGTTGCTGACATGCGTCCCTGAGAGCAAACCTGATAGGAGAAATTTGGAAGTCAAAACCAAGCCTTGGTCAATTAAACGCTCTCAAGTTGTTTCCGGTTGATGAGAACAGTGCCTCAACAATGTTGTGCTGCGCCCCATGAACAATGTTTTCAACAATGTTGTTCCAGCTTGTTACGCTTAACAATATTGCAACATATTGTTGACAATATTGTTCATGGGGGGCAGCACAACATTGTTGAGGACTGTTCTCATCAACAGGGAACAACTTGAGCGTTTTTTGCCGTGTAGTGAATAAGTAACACGTAAAAGTGTAAACGACACATCGATAAAAAGTGTAACCGAAGATTTAAGAGCTGAATTTAATTTTATATGTTTTAACTAGATAGTTTCAGATATCTTACGCTTGAATGAAACAGAACGCCGCACGCGTTGAAGTCAGTGGGCACTGAACACTGACTATATATACGTACGTACGCGCACGTAAAAGTTTAAATGCTTTTAAATATTTATTATTTAACATCTAGGTCAACTAATGCATACTAAAATATGCAGAAAACTAAGTTCCTTCGATTTATTCACTTAGTTTTTTCAAAGTTAACATGTATAAGGATTTAAACTTTTACGTGCGTGTACGTGCGTATGAAAAACGCGTGGGTTGAAATCCACGCACGTACCTAAAATACCTGTTACCTTTGAGAAAACTAAGTGAATAAATCGAAGGAAATTATAGTTCTCTGCATATTTCAGTATGCATTAGTTGACCTAGATGCTAAATAATAAAAAAAAAAAACCATTTAAAATTTTCCGTACGTGTACGTGCGTATATAAAAAAACGCGTAAGTGGAAAGCAGTCTCAATACCTGTTATATACCTTTGAAAAAACTAAGTGAATAAATGGAAGGAACTTAGTTTTCTAGATTCAATAAATTCTTAGATGAACAGCGTATATATTATATAATACAAAACTTCTGCGTTTTAGTTTGTCGGAAAAATGTGAATCTGATGTAATAAATCCTGGTTTAATCCTGGCTTATACACCCGGTGCTTTCTCAACGCCGGCGCACACTAGAGCTATATGTGCTTAGCAAAAAGTCATTCGTGGCCATTAGCATAAGCCAGCTGCTCTCGTGTGCGACCGACTTTTCCGACGACTTTTGGCACGAATGACCAAAGTCGCCGGAAAAGTCGGCCGCACACGAGAGCAACTGGATTACGCCAATGGCCACGAATGACTTTTGCATGCCTTCATGAGAAGAAGAGTCGTTCGTAATCAAGGGTTTAATTCAGGCGGCCCTAGACTACTTGAGTGTGCGGCTAAAATATTTTTGTGAGTATTTTTGTCATTTGCGAGAAAGTCAAGTTGGCACCTGAACTCGAAGTTCTCCCTCCATATTTTCAAAATAGCGTTCATCCCATATTTTCTCCCCTGAGTATCTACATCACCGGGTCTAATATAATAAGTGATCACTGAATCTCTGGCTCTGCTTTAAATATATATATATATATATATATATATATATATATATATATATATATATATATATATATATATATATATATATGCGGAATGCCGGATGAAAAACAGCTGCCCTCGCAATCAAATATTACTGTACTTCCTTTAAACACAACATGGGCACATGAAATTTTCACAAATCCATTTTTTTAAATTCACTTCATTCACAAAACGAACGAATCCAAAAATATAATATTAATACTACTCTGTCTCTGATCCATTGCCTTGGAATAGGAATTGTAGCTTAGATAACGTTTTATTTGTTTTTCAGTTCACACGGAAACGATGCAGCATGCAAATTAACATATTAATATTATTGTCATTGAAAATGCTTATCTACTAAGCTACAGAAAGTGTTGATTCTAAAAAATTTCTACATATATATATATATATATGCTCATATATAAACGTTCTTTTGCATGGGTAGACAATATTCTGTGAAACCAAATGAAACTGACTGATCATCGACTAAATCGCTTATTGTCGAATTTAATCTATAGACTATACTATATATAGGAGTATAGCGTCCATGGATTATATGTCAACAGATGTACAAGCGACTCAGTACAGTTTACGTAATTTATACCTGTAAATGTGAACGACACACGCACGCGACAAGATACTCGTTATATTGCATGTGGTGACTCACAATTCATCCGTTCTGCATATTATGTCTTTATCGTTTACGTTACATTGCAAAACTTTCAATACCGTATAAAACCGTTTCGTTTTTCAGATGACCCATGCACAGAGGCGTAGATAAGAAATAAATAAAAGATCAGGGTTACTGAGATAAAATTGTAATATACAAAATGCAACAAATCCTATTCTTGCGGTTAAAGACTACTTAGTACTCTTAGTCATTTTTTTCTTGTAATCAAAAAGTCGTTAAATATCTCCATGACCATGACCGTGCTTGCCTTCGTGTCGCATTTTACATTCATCCCATTTGTTGTTATTCCTTTGATGAAGTTATTTGCTTCTAGTCATGAGCAAAATCCTTTTATATATTTCAGACAGAAACAAGAAAAATGAATACAAAATTATATCATTCACATATAACGTTATTCAGAAAGATTTCACAGCCACGATTAATTTAGCGAAGCGTATTTGGTTGAATTTATTATGGCCGGATATATTCAAGACTCGCAATTTGCATTTCGACAAGACAGGCGATTCAAAACGCAAAAAACAATGCCTCGAAGTGAGAGTGGTTTAGCGTACTACTCTCATATATAGAGCCAGTAAGGCAAAGCTATCAATTCGCCACACGTTCTAATTATAATTGGGGAATGATTTTGATCATCCAAAAGATGTATTTTAAACAAGAAATGCCAACAGCGACAGTAACGGGCAAATAACTTTGAATATAACTTTTGCGAGGCTGAAACCCCATTCGATATATAAATATCCACACTATAGTTGGTCTTACCCTTTCTTTTTGATTTTCGAAACGATACATCTGTCTATTCGTTCATATCTTCTCCCGATCAATACTCTCTCACTCAGTTTTTTCGTAGTGAAAAGCTGTTTTTGTTATAATCATAACGTTGGATCTCTTTGAGAACATAAAATTTGCGGGAACAACAAATATTTTAAGGTTTTTCTCCACTAAGTAACGGTTAACTGAATGCAATTAAATAAAACCCTACATAGACATGCAAATGTGTTTGTATACCTGGGCAGCTGTTCCTGGGACGGCTGGTTGATGGTAATTAAGATTCACTGCGCGTCCACAGCCTGGGAACCGCCGAGAAGATTCCAAGGACGTTTAGCGTACGAAATTTACTCATAAAATATTGGCCAACTACACAAGCCTGTTGCGATATTCCCATAAGCTATAGGGATTCCTGAAAACGTTTTTTTTTAGTAATCTATTAAAAATTGGGGGATTGGGAATTGTTTAATAACTCTTAATCAACTAATGCCTCCCGCTCGCTTCCAAAATGAAAAGCGTAATTGGATAAGGTTTGAGACTTATTTCATGGATAAATCGCGGCGCCAGACTGCCACTTCGGTGTAATTGAAGAGGATAATCAACTTCACTCCTTACTAAAACGTCGCTGTTATAAAGATCCGAGCCAAACAGTGTAAAGTGTGAGCAGCTGGGTTGGATTGGCAGAAATGCGATTTTCCAAGTAATAGACTTTAGTCTCAAGTTGCGCACATGGGCGGACGAATGGCGGGTGAAGTATATTAGTGATAATTTGTGGTCAGGCAATTTTCTTCAAGTAAATCATTCGTCTGCCCTCTCCCTGGCCTAGGTATTTTGGCCCGTAGCCTACAACACCTACAATACTGACTGCATGGTCACTTATGACCTAGGTATAGTCAGTTTAATTAACCCACCCAGTTGCAGTTCATGAACCTTTTTGGAGGCTTACGAACGCAAAATCACATTGCTCAAAGGGTGACACTGGATTCACATCAATACAACATTTTCGGTGTTCAATATAAATATTTTAGTTATATAGACATTTGCATCGTATGTTACAAATATTTCAAAATGTACACAATAAAATAATATATTTTGTTTTTAAACTAACCCAAGTGTCTCATATTACTTAGCTATTTCACCGATTTCCACGTTTTATGGACTAATAATTTCTTTGGTGGTAGGCAAGACGGCAACCACAGGAACACGTGAACTCTCACTTGCTGCTTCTTTTTTTTCGTCTTCGTTTTTAGTAACATAAGGCTGAAATGATTTTTTCCCTCTAGCCTTTGGAGTCATAGATATGGACTAAGAAGAAATAAAAAATACATGCGTAAAAGAATACCTCGGGAATCTTGCCATTGCAAAAACTAGTGTCTATTTCTGACCAATGCTGGTGAAAACTAGTATTTTACGGTCGAAATTCTTCGACCATTCAGAAATCATAATTCAAAAAAGAAATCATTTTATATCTATATTTGGAAATTTCGTTAAAAACTGTTTTTCAGGGTCATGAACAAAATCAAAGAGCTCGAAATATGACAGTACGAAAAAAATTGTATGAAAACAAAAGCTTGCAAAACAACAAAAGCAATTAAATAATTGAAAAATATAGACGTTCTCTGGTTTATATTTATTATTTCACGAGCTTTCGACTGTCAGTCTACAGACTTCAACGACAACAGGAGGAGAAAATAGGATGGAAACACTTCAATTTTCTCCACCCGTTGAAGACTGTAGACTGACAGTCGAAAGCTCGTAAAACAATAAATGTTTTAACCAGATTACGCATCAAATGGTATTCAAGTTAAACAACTCACCTCATTCGTCAAAATGCTCATTCCACTTTCGGTGGCTGTCTTGTTTTTGTCATGTATCGAAGGCAGGGCTGTAAACGAGCCTAACGAGGGAATGGTTTGGTAATCGTGGTAACCATCGAAGTAACTTGCTCGTGGCATTTGAAATAAAAATTGCTCGCCAGAATTCAAGCTTTGGGCAAAGGTCGATGGGTTTGGGTTTCCTTGCACCAATACTGTTGTAAAAACTTGATGGGTGCTGGACATACAACCAGTTTGGTATCTCGGGGAAGATATCTGAGCAATGGTTGGGGCTTGAACGGTCGGAACATAGACAGGGTTTTGTCTATACTGCCACAGATTGTAGCCTATCGGTGCCATAGAAAATGAGTAATCCATAGCAGACTGAAAATCTTTCTTGAACCCGTGTCCGCGAGCTGCACTATCGCCAATCTTTTCAGGAAAAGCCTTTCTTCGATACGCCTCGTCAATACACAGGGTTTTATCCTGAAATTTGACGAACTTTTCCTTGCACAAAGTATTTCGCACATCTTTGGATTCAAAGGTAACAAAGCCGTATTTTGCCATGCCATTTTTTCGATCAATCACAATGTTTACATGCTTCACTGTGCCATAGACTTCAAAAATTGTCTTTAGATCATCCTGAGTTGTCTCACGTGGAAAACCTTTTACAAAGATACGTTTTTCCATGTCTTCGTCACCAACCATGGCTCAGAAATTGATTTAAAGCACTTTTTAGCACAAAAATGCAGGAGAAAAGCAAAGCAAAATTTTTTTCAAAATGCACTATGTTGAACTTGGTAGGCTGGTAGCGTATTCGGACCAATCAGTGTTCAGCTTTCGTTTGATCAATCACATGACACCACTGTGCATTCCTAAATACTTCCAGGTTGCTAAATACTGCCATGAAAGTCATGATTTCTGCACCATTCTGCATGGTCAATTTTAGTATATGGAACACTGGTAGAAATGCAGTCTGGAAGACTGAGACGTTAGGATATTAGTCATATTACTCGGCTTGTCGTTTTCCAAATTGTTGTAGTAATTGTTTCCCGAGTTCTGTAGTATTTTTCTTAACGTTTACTTATAGCTACAGTGCAGTTTTCCTGAACATGCAATCCTCAGTTCATGCAATTTTCCAGAATATATCTCACCAATCATTACACAGCTCACTTACCACTCGGGCTTTTGTTATCTAGACATCAAAGAGCCTCGTTTTCGTGATTGAAACGTGGGGCTTTAACTGAGATGTCTTTTGGTGCACGACAATCCCCAGTATTTTTTTTGGAAATAGTGTTCGATGTATTACTGTAATTTAAACATATTTGACAAGCATGCGAGTTCTGTTCGTGTGCATTCCTGCCACTCTAGAGTGCATAGTAGCTAGCTCTGGGTCAAAAGCTTCCACCTTTATTTCCCTGGTCGTTTTTACCTGTCACCCAAAAATAAGATAAATTGCCATATTCTTATATCGCAAACACGCCATTTTAAAGATATCATGTTGAGGCCTGGTTGATAAATACTACACTTTTACATGCATGCACTTTTACAAAATGAATGACTATGAAATATAGATATGGCATATTTTTGTGGAATATATATAATTATGCATAGTTCATGATTCCTTATACTATAAATGGATACACTATTAGATATTTCTATTATTTTTTCCTCTCATAAAAAATTAAGCTATCCTCGCCCAAGTGTTTCTTCAGTATTACTTTGCTATTTCACGTTTTATGGACTAATAATTTCCTTGGTGGTAGGCAAGACGGCAACCACAGGAACACGTGAACTCTCACTTGCTGCTTCGTTATTTTCCTCTTCGTCTTTAGTAACATAAGGCTGAAATGATTTTTTTCCTCTGGCCTTTGGAGTCATAGACATGGACTATGGAGAGAAATAAAAATAAGTTTAAAAATGCGCATACGTATACTTTTGGGTAGCTTTTTTATTGCAAAAAGGTACAACTCAGTATTTATGACTTTCAGACAGCATGGAAAATAGGAGCGAATAGGAAACTATGTCTAAATAGCTGAAAATCTCGATATATTTATTTGTCGACCAGGGCCATTGTATACTTTTAAAGTTTAGCATAGTGATAGTGCTTAGTGGAGATGAACAAGTTATTGAGTCAATATTGACATCATGACATCATTCACATGCAAAATACTAGTCAGTCAACCTCGTACTGTCGCCATTATGGCGGCAGAATAAATTACAGAAGGGCTTTCGTTGTGCAAAGTTCAAGGTTATTTACGCCTCGGAGAATTCACTCACTACATTTTAGCCAAAAAAGAACCAGAAAAACACAAATATAGAAATATAGAAACCAAAATGGTCGTCTGAGCGAAGCTAGCAAGGAAAACGCCTTTATAATATCATGGATAATAAAATCAAGTCTTTTAACTATCCTTGATAACATATTTTGTATAATCAAAATATACAAGTCAAGGTCACCATTTGGTCCAATTGCATGCTTGGAAATATGTACACGAACCCAAGGGACATAATGCTGACTATTTCATTTTAAAGAACAACAAATTCGTGTAATTTAGGTTGCTTTGTAAAATAAAATTTAAAACAAATCCAGTAATATTTTTGACCTAATTCTTTTTGATAAGAAGCCGAGCAACCAGAAAACTAAAAAGGACGAGACTGCGAGTCTTTCAGCTTTAGGCCCTTCGCTTTAAAAGTACTTTATTTATACACTTTATTTACTTGTGTACTTTATTTGACTTAAACACAGAAAAGAAACCAGTAAAACACTTTCAATGCATTTTTGTATGTCACAAAAAAGGAAATAATCTTAAATGAACAGAATGTTTGTTTTTGTAGGTAGTACCAAATAAGCAAAATGTTAGTAAACAAATCTCACCTCTTTTGCCAGAATGTTCATTCCGTTTTCAGAGGATGTCCAGTCACTGCCGTGTGCCAAAGGCAAGGTTATAAAAGAAGGAACGGTCTGGTAATCTTGGTAGCCATCAACATAACTTGTTCGCGGCATTTGAAATACGAACTGCTCACCAGAATTCAAGCCTTGAACAAAGGCTGATGGCGATGTGTTTTGACTTCCAGGCATCAATGTTGTGAAAACTTGGTGGCTGCTCGGAATATAGCCAGTTTGGTAACTAGGGGAAGATATTTGAGCAACGGTTGGGGCTTGGACAGCTGGAACATAAACTAGGTTTTGGCCATACAATGGCCAGGAATAGCTCGAGGGATAATAGCCCATTGGCGCTGTAGAGGATGGGTAATCCATGGCTGACTGCCTTGATAGGAAGTATCGCCTGAACCCGTGAGCTGCACCATCGCCATTCTTATCAGAACCTTTTCTTCGGTATGCCTCGTCGATACACAGGGTTTTCTTTTGAAATTTAATAGATTTTTCTTGGCACAAGGTATCACGCACATCCTTAGACTCAAAGGTAACAAAACCGCATTTTGCCACGCCACTCTTTCGATCAATTACGATATTTACATGTTTCACCGTTCCGTACGTCTCAAAAAATTCTTTTAGGTCATTTTCAGTCGTCTCGCGTGGAAAGCCCTTGACAAAAATACGTTTGTCCATGTCCTTGTCAGCCATGGCTCGGAAATTGTTATTTAAAAGGTTTTTTTGGCACGTTCATGTAACCAAACGAAGGAAAACGCAGACAGGGCAAAATTCGCAAAGTGGTAAAAAAGCAGCTAGGAACTCGTAGAGCATTTGACCAATCAACGTTGAGAAAAAATATTGACCAATCAAATTATAGCAAGGGCTAAAATACTATAATCACTGACTATAATGACTATAATGTATGCAAATTCTTGTTTTAATTTTTGATACAATTTCAGCATTTTCAAGCAATTTTGTCAAAGTCGTTCAAGAATAACTATAAACTATACTTATGATAGGCTGCTTCTGAATTTTTCATAGGTGACGCCCTTTGGGACGTCGACGTCCAATGTGGAGGCAAAATGCCCTGGGTACGAGGTTGGTTAATTTAAAGGATTGCCTTGCACGATAAATCGGTTTCCGTTAACGTCTGAAGCCTTATCTAGCCTCAAGAATAGCACAATTTTCCAGCCTCATACTAGTCAGACACCGAAATCACCTAAAAATTAAAAAACACTGCGTCAACACAAAAGTTCCCTTTACGTGCACAAAAATTTGCTTCCCTCGCCGGTGGCTATCATTTCGCGTCCCTAAAAAAAATTACCGCACATTTTGAGACTCTAGTGCAGTCTCTTACATATCAGTAATGAATCAAGCCGCAAGAAGTGTCAAACTTTAGCAGAAGCGCATATACACGAAACACAGCTGTTCATAAATTACATAGGTTAATAAATTACATGTATCTCCGACATAAACTTTCTATATCCAGTCGCTAGAGATCAGTGATGTACCTCCATGCAGTTTGTTTTACCAGATAAGATCAGTGCCGTAAACAATAACAGTTTTAGCATTTATTATTTATAAAGCTAATTTTGAATTGTGTAAGAAAGTTCGGAGTTAATGAATGCGATAAACTATATAAAGATAATTATAACAAGGCCAACACTTCTAGTAAATATTGCCACGGAAAAAAAGCCAACATATTCAGATCACGAAAACGCAAATGTTCGCAGTTTGTTAAAAGGCTTTGGGTATTTCTATTTTCTCTTGATAAAACCACTTTGGCTTCAAGTAGACAACTATCAGGCCTCAACTCGTCTTTTCATTGGATAACTGCAAGCAACCTGCTGAATTTTCGCCTATATTTGCATTTAACCCTGCATTGAGGATAGCGTTATGAGAAATTGGAAATAAATCAGGAACTGAAAATTGAAATTATTGCCACATCTATCAGATTATGGCCCATTGAAAAAGTAACTAAGCATAAAAGAACTAATTTACAGGGGTGTAATTTAGGAGAAAAAGGGGGTGATTTAATGATGGGTTTTTTGAATACGCAGCCGGTCATTTAAGTGCTTGTTGATAAAATGCAAATTTCTTCCAAGCATCTGTTAACAACATTCGTCTCATTCTGGCTAAGAGTGCGTCTTCAATGTTTGCCGTACGATAAGATATATAGAAAAGCAGTTTATATTGAGACCTACTGTTTCACTAGCCGTTTATACAAAGCGGGAAAGAAGTGTCGGTGACGTGAAGCTACTAATAGTCACGAAATAATGAGAAAGATGTTAGAAAGAAAGGAATAAAGCGTCGTATGTGTGTATTTCAATGGCACCTGTTATGCGGACGGCGAGCGTTTTACAATATGGATGAAATCGATTTACAGTAAGACAAAAAGTATTCTGGAAAAGTTCAAGCTAAAATGGCGGCCGATGTTGGCGCTTGGTTACCGTTTGCAAGAGCTGCGGCAATCGGATGGGCTCCTCTCGCTCAAACGCCGATGCCGCCGGCACCCGAATCACAACGGGATGATGATAAAATTATTATCAACGTTTCGGGAAGGAAATTTGAAACGTGGAGAAATACGCTGGAACGCTACCCGGACACGCTACTGGGCAGTGCGGAGAAAGAGTACTTCCATGAACCGGATACAAATGAATATTTCTTTGACAGAGATCCGGATTTATTTCGACATGTTTTAAATTATTATAGAAACGGTAAACTTCATTACCCGCGAGGTGAATGCGTATCCTCGTTCGAAGACGAACTTATATTTTTTGGCATTTCAGAAGACCACGTACATGACTGTTGTTGGGAGGATTTTAGCGAGCGAAAACGGGAGTGCATCGAACGAGTATTTGAAGACAAAGCCGACGAGGAAGAGGAAACCGATACGTCGGATCTGAACGCACGCGAAAGACTCTGGGTTGCTTTCCAAAACCCCGAGAGCTCGAAAATAGCTGGCTTTATGTACTATGTAACGGGATTTTTTATTGCGCTTAGCGTGTTGAGTACTATAGTCGAGACTTGTCCGTGTAAATCAGACAAGAATTGCGGGACGGCGTATAAGAAGGTGTTCTTTGGATTGGAGTCGGCCTGTGTGATAGTGTTTACAGTCGAGTACTTAGCAAGACTCTACGCGGCACCAGAAAGATTTAAATTTGCAAGAGATTTGTTAAGTATTATTGATGTCGTTGCGATATTGCCTTTTTACATTGGACTGTTTATGCCAGACAATTCCATCAGTGGTGCCTTTGTTACGCTGAGAGTGTTCCGAATTTTTAGGATTTTCAAATTCTCACGGCATTCGAAAGGTTTGCGAATTCTAGGATATACGTTAAAGAGTTGCGCATCTGAACTCGGATTTTTGCTATTCTCACTTTCCATGGCTATCATCATTTTTGCAACGATTGTCTACTACGTTGAAAAGGGAGAAAAGGGTACAAAATTCACGAGCATTCCTGCAAGCTTCTGGTATACAATCGTCACGATGACCACTTTAGGGTAAGCAGCTAACACAACAATATTTCTAAACGTATTTCTGCGTACACCGCGCGTGTCAGTAGTATATTACATTTGTGTTTATCGACATGCGAAAACAGTGTTGAACTAGTATATTTGAGTCGCCTGTAAACTTTAAATATTCTTGTTTACATATGCAGACCCGCTTTTGTCACGGCTTACGTTCAATCAAAAACAGTCAGAGGCTTTTTAATCGACTTAATCTTCGTCACAGGGGCTGGAGATATTTAAGAAAGGAAAAATTGCACCGCTTGAAAAGAAAATACTGCCCTCAACTCAATTTTTCTAATTAATTTTTTTCATCCAACTACTTCACATCATGCACATATATATAATTTTCTCATTCACATATATATTAATTTCATACCTCATACAACGTTGAAAATTTGATTACCAGCATGGCCTAAAGTTTAACGATTTAATATGACTATACTAGAAAATATTATGGTTAGTCTTGGATAGAGAAATATAACGTTTAATCCTTGAAAAATTAAAAAAAAACAATTGTTAAACTTGAGAATTTGCACTAAAAATGCATCGAATGTGAAGGTGTTTGATGTAACATGTCACATCATGCACGGTTTATCAATCCCATCAAAGTATTTTGCTCAAATATTAAATGTTTTGACCTAGCGTGTTTTCAAATCAATCAGACAATAACTTTAAACCCAGCATGAGTCAATGAAATCCTTAACAAGCTAAGTCCAAATGCCCAAATATTCATTGCGATTCTTAATCAGACAACGACGTATGAGATAAATGAGTCTGTCGACCTAGACATATAATATTTAGTAGATGCATTACGCAGGCATTCAGCAAAAAGCGAGTTTTTCGATGTGCTGTAAAGCGTGCAAAAACTGCGGTAAGGGTATCCAGAATGTGACCAGGACTATGCATGCATGCAACATTTCTAAAGATAACACTATTCAACTGCAGTCGTTTTTTTTGCTTTAGTTGTGGTTTCGAGCTCAGAATGAAATAAGTTGAAATAACGAGGCTAGATTATGAAACAGCTTTTGAAACAAAAGCCGCAAATGTCATAATTGAGACACTCAAAATGAAAATCCAAGCGAGATACATTCTATTTGAGGCTATAATTGGTTCGAAACCGAATTAGAAAACTAAACAGAAACATTAGAATGTAAACTTTAAGTTTTTCTTTTGCAACAAGTAAAACCTTTCTTAGAATTAGAATCATTCTGTTTCTGTCATCCAGTGGTCTCAGATTTCATACACGGTTGATTTCATTGCTATAATTGGGAATATAAAAACTTTAGTTATATCTGATCGTGAAGTTTGTTCGTACAAATTTTTTCATTCAAAAATTTGCGACAGGTGTCCAGTATTAATAAATCATTAAATCTTAAGCATCGTTACGAAGCCGTGGTTTTGCACCAGCCAATGAACGTAAATGAATAGCGTTCTGGTGGACATAAACATATTAAACATTAATTTTGAGAATAAATTTAGGTTGTCCATAAGAAAAGACATAGTAGCTTAAAAAAATCACTGATATAATGCTATACACTGATATTGTTTCAAAAACCGCACTTCATAAGCCTTCATTTAGTTGGAAAATTGGGTGCCTCTGTAAGGTTTATGAAACTAACTATTGCATTCATGTTCTTACAGGTTGATTAGGCCAAAATATTGCCATGCATACTAAACTACATTTAATAACTTAGTTATCTATATAAGCAATCCTCGAAGAAAAAAGGCCGGTAACTTGGAAAATCTGTGTCGTATTCAAAGATGTAATCAACAGAAAAGTTTATACAACAATTTGCTATCGGTCAAAGCTTGAATTGCACTTTATTATACTCCAAAGAAATCAAACAAAAAGTTTTTCTGTCTATAATTTGCGGTTTGTAGGAAATATATTTAGAAATCTTGGTATACAGAACAGCGCGGTGTTTTGGCTATTGCTAGATGTTAATGATTTTTGATAGTTGATAATGTTGTTATGCTGTCTTTTGTTATACGTATCATAAATATATATTACAAATATATCATCAAGTGCATGAATCTTAACCACTTGATAATTTGCTTGCATGTGCGTCAGTAAAATGTGCCTTAACGTAATATTAAAATGCTGCTGCCTTATGCATGTACATCTGTGAAACGGATTCTTTATTAACTAGTCCCTAATGGAGAAATAATCCGCTTAAAAACATTAATATAACGGTTTACCACTTTTCACCAGAATTACTTAGAAGGTTAATATAAATCGCAGCTAAAAAAGGTAAGACGCTTCTTAATATGTTCGCCACCCAAAATGCTTTTAAGCGAAATTAGTGTAACGCAGAAAGCTGTTAGATCGCAGACTTGAAAGCTTTTAACTAAATTTGTGTGGCTGTTCTCTTAGGGCACTAACATGCAGGAAGGTTGTTATAACCACCGTTAAAAAGGATATCATTTGTGCAGACACTTGAGATATTAGCGTTGTACGTGCTGCATGTACGTGCAGCACTAGTGCAAAAAAATTAAACACTTTGAATTTGAATTGTAGATAAGGGAGATATATAGCGGCTGAAATACGGAAGATCGTTTATTGATAATTTATCGCAGCATTTTTGCCCAAACTAGCTGACGCATCATTTGATGGCGTCAACATAAAAACAACCGTAATTACAGGCTATTGAAAGTGGTCTGTGCATGGTCTATGGTATGCATCTAACAATGCTATAAAACTGTTCACAGCAGATGTGAATAGAAATTAAAAGAAAATGCGATTCCAAACCCTAAATATCAGAATACCAATCATCGAAACTATGGACATTAAGAGGGCCCTTTTAAAGCAAAAACCTAATGGGATTTTAAGTATGCAAATAAGTTTTAATTACTTTAATTACCACGACATCTATGGCTCCGTCTGTCTAACAAGCGTGCTTTTTTGTTCTATTTGTAATTACTGCATGGATGTACAATGTGCAAAGACAAAATAATGAATATTTCTTTATATATTTATAATGATGCAAAATCGTGCAAAATATCGCAGCATGTTATGTCTGGTAGGTAACAATTGTTGTTTTCCTCCGTCTGACCGACGCGCCATGTAAACCTTTAATTAGAGTGATATATAAATATAAACATAACTAATCGAAAAGAGCACATATCATGGCACCCAACGAAGCTTGTTCGGAGCAGAATGATAGTTTAATACAGATCTCTATATAATGACGTCATTGATGACGCCTCTTCAGTTCTAACACACCTTCAGGCTTCAGTAGAACAGGGCAGCCAAACTTGAAAAAGTAATGCCTAATAAAAGTAATATTTTGATATTTTGTTGTAGATATGGTGATATGGTTCCTCAAACGGTATTTGGTAAAATAGTTGGTAGTTTATGTTCCCTCAGTGGTGTGCTCGTCATTGCTTTGCCAGTGCCCGTGATTGTGTCGAATTTTAGTAGAATTTATCTCCAAACTCAACGAGCGGACAAGAGGAAAGCTCATAAGGTTAGAAAATTGCATTTAAGATGGTTAGGAAAGAGGATATACTACCAGTATGACGACATGCACTGGTTGTATTTTGATAATGTTGCCAATGATAACGATAATCATTGTAGTTTGGTGATGATTATTTGTAACGATTGTGATGGAAATGATAATGATATTGTAGCGGTGATGGTGATAATTGTAGATTTTCAACACAATGGTATTTTTCTTCAATGTAGAAGGCAAAGATATCGATATCAAAGACAATGACAGGGACAGCATTTGTAACTCCTGGCGACGTAACGTCAGTCGCAGTGGTGAGTGCAAAAAATTGTTTTGGACTTGAGCAAAAAATCGCGAGTGATCATCACTCTGAGTAGGCTTTGACCAGAAACTCTGGTCTCCCTTTATTTGATCCTACTGTTGTCTTCTTTAACATTCCAAGAGGCATGTTTATATGATCATTGTTAGCCGATATTGCATGGGGGCATTTGAGGTCAGAAATAAGTAAATAACATGACGTAGTATTGTCTTACGTCATTCCAATTGCTTTGATTGATAAAGACTATTATTTTAAACCAAATTCAAAATTTATTTTATTAACTTCGGGTGACCGAGAGTATGTAGACACAACACCCAAGTATGGTCACGTTTGTCAAGTAATCTTATATATTTTTCTTTGTGTATACTTATATTTCTGATTTGTTTCACCAGGGTGCTGGTCTTGAACTTCAAGTGACATCAAAAGATAAAGAAAAGTCAATGTTGGATAGACAACATGAACATCTAATACGCTGTTTAGAGAAAGCCACAGTAAGTAAAAATCAATGCAGTTCTCAATTTTTAAATATTTCTACTCTTTGAAATTAAAATATATCCAAAAACATAGCTATACGTATAGACTGATAGCTATATTGTGGGTTGGTTGAAGCAAAAATTGACTTGAAAACAGTATAACACCACTGCATGTTACTTAATAAATTTTGCTTGCAGATGCCTCGCAATTTTCGGACCATAGAGCTTGTCTAGCGAATAAATCTGAATAAGTTTCAAAATAGCAGTTGATGTATTTTTAAAACGTGTGCATGTTGGTCTTCGAGTATGCGACGTGTTCAATAAGAATACTGTCTTGTAGATAGGATAATGCATATCATCGAACTAAGGGTGTATAAGTTATAAAAGTCAATCTATAGTCATTCAATATTTTTATGATTTTTTAAAATCTTTAGTCACGATATTTCACCGAGATGGAATACACATACAACGGTGAACCCTTAGCACAACAAGACCCGAGAAGTTCCTCGTCATTCTGTACACCTCCTGGATCACCCCTGGAATCCACTCTATCCCTTGCTAGCCCTGACATACACGTCAATGATTGCAAAACGAGTGGTACCAAGCGACGAATCAAATCCGAGCCGATCCGGGGGCCAGCGGACAATAAGGACAAAAATGACGTAAAAGGTAATCATGTGAGAAAACGTCACACGCAAGAAGACGGCGATGAGGCAGAGACCTCGGTACTAATACCCACAGACGAGGAACCTGAGGCGGTCGCTAACCACGTTGGGGAATCACAAGGCCGTCATGTACATCGAAAGATGTCACGTGAGTCTACTGTATGATGACGTCACATACAAGAAGCTTCAAATTCGCTATTTTTGAAGGGAAAATTGTTTGAAGTTCTATATTTTTCAAAATGGTAGAATGGCAGGGCTGATCTTGGTAAAGTATTAGATTTATTTTTAAGTCATAAAGTAAATGAAACAGAGAGAACGCGTGCCATATCCGCAAGTTACCAAAAAACAAATGGCGTTAAAACGACATAACAAATGGAGCAAAGACGGCATCCGACGAGAGGAAAATGTGAAATAGGATGAAAAAGATCCGCAGCAGAAGCATTGTCTGCGAAAGAAAGCCGTGCCAAAATACAGACACAGCCGCAACACAAAGTACATTCATGAAAAGGAGAACGCCTGGACAAAGACGTTAATTAAAGAATTTCCCAGTGTGATTTAGAGCATACTTGTCGGATATTTTATCATGTAGAAGTTTCACGCAGTTTGCTTCGAGACACGCCCTATCCAAGCTCAATCGAATAGAAAATAAACTTCAGAATAAGTATATAATCTGGGGATGTAAAATGACATCATATCGCGCCAATCATCTCTTTACAAATCATCGAGATACAAATGGATGCAAAATCTGTCTGTTGTACGAAGTGGGGCGCAATTAATATAACTAATTATAATAATGAGCGCTGTGCGCAAGACGATTTAGAATTTTTATTCACTATATAATAGTTTGATGTAGTAACAAATTAACGTGATCTGATATTTTAACAGAAATTCATGTGCACTATCATAAAAAGCCAGGAGCTGGTGGTTTTAAAGCACATTTACCAACTCAGTTTCAGTTCCATTAGCCCAAATAACAAACAGGTCTTATACAATATATTTATTATCAATAATTTTCAGCACGTATATTTAATAAAATTGATGAAAAGAAAATAGTTTCAAACGCTTAAAAAAATTAAATATATCTTAGGTATTGAAAAGAAAATGCTGAGATATTTAACTTCAATAGTTATACTGCAATAATAAATAGCTGTTTACTAAAAGCAGATATACGAGATAACATAATCATGAATCTATTTTCTATTTAATTGTGTCACTATAGATGCAGATCGTAAATAAAGAATTCGCATATTGAATTAAACTTGCTTCAGATGAGTCCTTGTCACCATGTGAATGCATGAGCAAAGTTATGCCAATTTTCGGGGGTCAGTGACATGCACAGTCATAAAATTCTTCGTGGGAAAACATTTTTTTCATTAAAGATAAGAAAGAAGCTGCTGGTTGCCACCTGCAAGCCTTGGCCACAGTTGCCACAAACATTGCTTGCCAAGTCTTGAAAGATCCGTGGATCATACAATGTTTATCATGCATGCACCCATGCAGCAATCCAATGTTTCATTGTCAAAACCTCATTTGCACAGTATCAGAACTGAGATTCCCATAGTGACGTCACACGCAGAAACTCTGATCTCAAACTTTTTGTCAACTAGCTTGACTTGAAACCTTTTGCTCTGAGGCCTATTATGTGTTGTTTCGTGGCTTGCGATGTCGACTTTGTTGTTGCGACGCAGGCATTTTATTTCACTAGTAACAACATTCATGCATTGTTAAACTATTTCCTTTCATATTCTTTCTTCTAGTCCAATGCATTACCAGAGGTTTCTGCTAAAACTGGAAGGTCTGTAGTGCATGGGCGTTACACTGCAGAGTACAATATACGATTTTCATATTCCAGAGCGTTCCACCTTATGCATGAATAAGTCGTACCCACGACGAGTTTTCTACTGCATGTCTTCCAGTTATGACTGATGATTATCAGTTTGTCTTTTTTCCTCAACCAGCCTGGGTATTATAGGCTATTATACAAGGAAACAATGCATTACATTGCAAGTATAGACAAACATGGTGGATGCTATGACATTGTGTTAAAATTCATTGTCGAAGAATATAGATGAGAAAAAATGAGATTTATGTAATGTATTATTGCAATATCATGGAAACCGATGAAATTTTAAAAACAATGTAAATAATAAGGGACAAATCAATGGATGCCGCTTATCATAAATGTTGTGTTTATATTACCAATTAAGTCATATTAGGCCGCGAGATATTAAAGTTTCGGGTTTTTCATTGAACAGAATTCGAGGTTTAAACAGTTAAGGACTGAACGAGACACAAGACAATCAAGAGAACCGGTCAGGTATACATTAGGAATTAAAATGAAAACTACAATTATTCTTATCCTTCTTCTATTAACCATTGTCTCCGAAATATCGGCATCAAAAGACGAGAACAAGAGGGAGACACTGACAAAGAAACTCAGCGTGAGATGCGAATGTTGTTCTTTTTAAAAAACATTTCTGGTTGGAAAACTCATCAGTACACAACCGCAATTGATTGCAATCTGATTTAAATGCTCATCTTTCTACTTTTTTTTAAGACACCCAAATGTTCCGCAGATCAAGCGTGCTCACCTGGGAGAGTTTGTGTGCCTTTCATCAGTAAATGTTCTGGAGAGGGTCACGAGAAATGTTTCACAGATGATCACTGTCCTGGCGATCAAATTTGTTCTATTTTTATTGGATTTTGTTTAACAAAGCCAAAATGTGACAACACAAAACCATATTCATACTGCATGAAGGTGTGTAAGCATTTAATTTCGCGATTAAATTGAATTCTTTTTTTACGTTTTAGTTTTTTGTCATATATCACAAAAAAAATCAAGTTCGCTGACGCTGTAAGAGCCGAAGAAGTCAGTTTATGTCACAACAATGTTCGACCATTATTAGTTTGGTCATGGACTATGTCGTCTATAACAATACAGAAATCAAACGAATTCCCACCAAAAGTGTCATAAAAACTGTTTCGACGTTCGGACCAAAGAACCTTCGTCACGACAGAATGTTTCGAAACCGAATGCATATAATCTGTCGACGTAATTATATGCAGGGGCTGGTTGTATGAAGGTCGGATAGCGCCATCCACTGGATTGTGATTTTCTCAACCGTTTAAAAATGCTTGAAAAGCGATAAAATTTCATCTTTGAAACCAACAATTATTAAAGAGAATCCTCGATTCAGGAATATTAAAATTTAATCAAAGACAACAACGGGAGATTTTAAAGCGATTGAAAAAAAACACTATCCAGTGGATAGCGCTATCCGGCTTTCAACAATTTAATAATTGTTTTTAAACTTAACAATTTAATAATCGAGCATTTTTAGAACGGTTGAAATCGGTGGTGGATGGCGCTATCCGGCTTCGTACAACCGGCCCCAGGGCCAGGTGTCCACGCAAGAGAGAATGAGCAAAATGAATTATGATCGCTGTGATCTATACTATAGGCGTGTGTTTCAATTCTACTATACTTTCAAGCTTATAGTAAACAATAGTATTTTACTTTCTAGGGAATGTGTCCATGCCCACAGGGTTATGAATGTAAGGGAAAGCCTGGCTTTCAGAAGTGCTTACCAGAAGAAACTGGATATGACAAAGGAACTTATATTGTAAATTAGCTGAGCTTTTACATATGTGGAATACAAAGTACTGTAGCTATATAATAAAGTCTCCATTTGATTAAATATGTTGGCATTAGTTAAAATGTCTAGCTCACAAAGAAAAATAATGTAAAATTTAAATATCCCAGTGAATAGCCATTATGGAACAGGATTGAAAGAAACCTTTCCATATTTTTAAATTGTTACAATAAAGAAATATCATCCAAATGGAATCAGAATCTTTTTTAATGCATTAGCTAGCAAGATAGCAATTTGCTAGAATTTGTAACTCTTCATTCTATTTTACTCTTCACTCTTTTTCCAACACCAGCTGAATTTGGCTGTCATTGAAATGCACAAGTCATGGCAGTCAGTTCATGGAACATGCATTCACAAAATGGGGTTATAAATGTAGGATCCATAGGTTATTGCCCTGGGTTTAACAAGGAGCATGGTAGCAAAGTTGTGTTTGATAAAATTCAATGATATTCTTTCCATTGTATTAGGCACTAAAAGTTGTATCTCAGGTAATAAATAATTAATAACCACAAAATGAAACTGTTGCTGTCGCAAAGTTACACAGTATTATTTAGTGGTGTTACAGTTTCTTGAACCACAGTATTATGAATTGGATTTCGTTTCGGGGAAATTGATGAGAGACTATAGACAGAGTTCTGAGAAGCAGTGTGATCTGCATAACGGTTGCTCCGGCAACCCACTAGTGGTTTAACTTCAAGAAAGTCATCTGTGGAATTCCATGCTAACAATGGTGCAGTTTTTGCTCTGGGTGGTATAGTCGAGTGAACTCGAAGTTGTCTTCGCTGTGTACCTAGATTACCTCGAACATGTAAAGGTTCGCTGACATTACATGGCTCTTGCGGAGTAGGTGAAAGAGAGTACTGTGAACGATATGTTGATATGAATGGTTCACGGCAGTCAGACCATGTTAGAAGGTCTCTGGTATTTTTATTACATTGGTAATTGTTGGTTTTTCTCTTGCCAAGACCCTGTGTTAGAGATTGTTTATGTAAGCTTTTAATATTAATAGTCTTGGCTGGATTTTGCTTACATGCAGTTTCCTACATGCTTTTCATGAGTGTTTTTTCAGGTCTCAGACATAAGAGCAGTTTTCACAATAAGTTTGATTTAAGGATAAGACTAACAACTTTAGGATGGTAACTGATTATGACATTTCAATAAAATATAAGTTTCATACCATGCCAAAATAGGCCTCTAGGTTTCCCTCATTTGTATGAGCATGTCTGTTGTCATGTCTTGAGAAAAGGTGACTGTTTGAGCGATGCTGAAAAACACAAATTTTGGCTAGTTGTCATTCATTGGGTCCACCTGCGTTCAAAAGTGAAGTGGTGTGATATGTGCTGAAGTCCTGTAAAATAGCGGGCTCCAAAGTATATTTATCCTTCAGTTGATGCACACCCTGCCTCCAACACTGACCATAGTGGTGTAACATAATTCCACAATCACAAATCTTACATAAGCCTACATCATTGTAAATTTGTTTGTAATTTATGCAAAATGATAAAAGACTGGCAGCAGTTTCTGCCAAGTGGTGAATGTATGTAGTCTTTATTGCTCACACCCAAAGAAAAGCAAGAAATTTAAAAGAATACTTTTGATTGGTTGAGAAACTTCTGTGGTGGAGAAGGTTTTGCTCTTTGCCGAAATGGAATGCTGTAATCGGATCGTGGCCGATTTCTAAAGTGGCCATGGTAACTTGTTGGATACTGTAAAAAATGAATCATAATTTAAAACATTTTATTTAACAAGATTTTAATATTTACTGTAATATTTCTGTTTTAATAAAAAAAAGCCCATATATATATATATATATATATTTTTAATAATTTTAGTCAATTTATTTATAGAAGTCAATTTATAGAAGTCAATTTTTAATATAATATTTCTATTTTAGATTTGTAAATTATTTATTTTATACTGGTTGTAGACATTGCTTATAGAACGAACCTGTGCATGTTAAGCGCTATTGATCTGTCACTGTAAATAGGGCTATACAAGTATTAAAATTATTATTATTATTATTATTATATATATATATATATATACACACAAAATAATTAGTAAAAAGCTATACATTGGATATTACAAACGCACATGGATATTATTAAAAATATGAAGATTGCGACAAATTGATAGTTTAGTTACTTAAAGTAATAGAATAAAGTCAATAAATTTTAAAACCGATGAATTTATCTCTACCGCAACTTAACACTCAAAACTACAAAAAAGAAGACGGTACTTACCCAACTTCCAACTATATTTCCATTCTTCTCGTAAATGACAGATGCCATCTCGCTTTGCTCATATTTTGATCAAAATGTTTTAATAGAATTCCTCTAGTGATTTTTAGTGGAAGAAATAAACAAGACGACTGATCTTGCTTCAGTCGTTTCCAAGGAGCGAAATGACGAGTATCTTAACCAATCAAATTACATGATAAATGAATTAGCAGAAGTTCCGTACGGGTAAACTACCCCTTAATTGTTCTTGGCGCAAGAAATATGTTTGTTTTCAGCAATTTTTACTATGTTTCATTGTTTCTAGAATAATTTCTAGAATTAACAATGTCATTAGACAGATATAATTATTTATTTTGTCAAAACAAACTATATTGTGATATATCTTCTAGGGAAGACTAGGGGACATTACCCCTATGTTACTGGTCTCTGCCAATCAGATCTCAAGATACAGCCTTTACAAAGGGCGGGAAAATTTTAAAGTTGTAATTGTTGAAATAGCCACTGAAAACTTGACCGGACGATTTAAATAAATTTGAAATGTTTTGCTGGATATTTTCAGCGTATTTTCGAACTGCTGTGTGCAAAAGACAACTGCGGAAAATATTATAGGCTAAAACATCTCATTCGTTTGGAAAAAATTGATGTTCATTAGAGATGTTTTCACAAAACGTCTTCTCAGCAAGGGATGTCCAGGTGAACTCTGCCTTGAGGTGAATATAATGCACTACCGAGTCACTAACTCAGTTACATTATCTAAATAATAAGTACATCAAGCGAGCTATGATAGGGTAATATTACTCAAAACGTATTCAAACACTATATGTATATTTACTTTTAGTGAGAACGCTTGGGACTCACAACAGTATAGTCAAGTTATGTATTCTTCACAAAATTCTCAACTGAGTTCAATGGAGCTGTTTTCTCAGCAAAAGGGATCTATTCCCTCGTCAATTCCCACAAAGTATGATCAATATGATCGAAGTCAATCACAGACAACAGAGGTACTATTAGCTATCACACTGTTATTTTCAGTGTCGATCAATGTATTATTGTTTTTGTTTTACTTTTTCAGAATATTGCCGTTAACATATATTGATCGTTAACATATAATTCATAAATAAAGCATTTAAACATACATCCGTTCAAATTATACATTAGTAAGTAAAAAAGGACTTACTTTAAGGACGAGAATCCAAACTATTTTTCCAAATATGTGAACAACACACCCCTGTTTCCTTCGTCGTCCAAAAATAAGAAAGTGACAACGTCAATGCAAGCTTTCATTGAAGAAGAAAAGAAAATCATCTCAATGAAAGAAGAAAGGTATTTATTTATTCCACACCTAAACTTTCTCGTACCCTACGCCATTTTATGATATTTTATACTGATTATCCCTCCACAGAGACATGCTTCAAACATTTATCAATCTTTTAAAAGACTACACAAAGGAGGTATGTGCCCTTTCGTAGAAAAATGGCCGGTTTGTGGTAGTAATCAGACGCTGTGCACTTTTTCTTTAGGTGGATTGTTCTTTTAAAAATTTCAAAAGTGACATGGAAAACACATTGCAAGCTATTATACAGAATATGCAAGACGGAACTCAGCGTATTGATAATAAAGTTATGAACGGTGACTGCATTCATATCCTATACTAAAATCTATATTTTTTGTACTTGGTTCAGAGAAAATCCTGACAAGCTGCCAGACTGATAATCAGTATATTATGTTTTATAGTAAAGAAAGAACTTATTTCAATTCTTGAATCCAAAGACAAAGAATCTCACGAGAAACAAGAACTAAACAAGAATATCGCTGAAGTACGTTATTGGCCTGTACTGGCCCCCTGGCCCTGTAGTAAGAAACATGTGCCTTCTCTGTAACTGTACCGACGAAAACCGACTTACATGTTCTGATGGTGCATGAGACCTGTTTCCACAATAGAAGTGTGTTCTTATCTCGATTTTTTAGTACATAGAACTAACAATTCCATATATATATGATATGATATGCAGAAATCTGGTACAATCAAAGTTTTGGAAACGAAGGCGGGTATCCTAGAAAAAGAACTGGATGAAATGAAGGATAAAGAATCTGCTTATGCTGATCAAAAAGCAAAATTCCAAGAATTGGAGCAGAAGTATATACAATGTATCAACCAATGGAAACCAGATTCATGTCTTGGAAACACTCCACCATTATCACAACCGACTGATTCACTGTGTGATTTCTCAATTCTGCCTCTACTCCACAATGATAAGAGAGTCGTACGAGACTACAGGGCATTTCCAAAAGATGTACCTTTATCAGGCACTGGCTATGGATATCATACCTGGAAAACGGGACAAACAATGAACTACTATGACTCGTCGAAAAACCACTCCCTGCCAGTGCACCTTACGGTTAACCAAGACCTACCAGTAAACCCAGTAGGTCCCAAACAACTGACAGGCTCGATGATTAATACACAACTCCAAGTATATCCCACGGTAGACTCTGAAGTACCATTTGAAATTATGGTTAACCATAATCCTTCCCTTACAATGGCTTCGGCCCCTAATCCACCATATTCTGCTACCACAGTCTCCGAATCGGAAAGCTCATCATATTTGAGAACCCATATTCCAAGTTCAAGCTATGAAATACCCTCACGACCAAATCAGCCACTCTCAAAATGTACGTGCAATTTACTGAAACACTCAGTACGCTTGTTCACTACGTGGTCGTATGCAAAATAGATTAGTTATGGTTAACGCCCATGTTCAGGCCAAATGAGAATTTTCTGAAGGAAAATGTTATTCAATCCTTTCCTACCAAATTCTCTTGTGTCAGTTTGTAGCTTTTATAGCAACGTAGCTTATGTAGTTTTTATTGATTGGAGATTTTAGCAGTTTGATTGTTATATGTCAAACGTTCAGCTAATTTTAATTATTATTTATTGAAAATGAGTCAAGAGTTTTGATTGGCCAGCAGCTGTTGGCGAAATCGTCATATCCGCTCGGCAGCTGCCCAAATTTGGACAGTGACGTCACTTCGTCGGATATGAAAAAAATTATTGCACGTTTGACGTCACTTCGTCAGATATGAAAAAAATTATTGCACGGTATGACGTCACGCTAATTTATGCGGCTTGTGCCAAAACCTAAAAGCGGGAAAATACGAATGTCTAAAAATGTCTACAACGCAAGCGTTTAGTCTAAGCCCAAAATTTTTGCAAATAAATAATAAAACAATTATTGAATTCGGTTCTCGCAGGATATGAGGAATTATCAAGGCCTCGGTTTGTGTTATCCGCCTCAGCCTTCGGCTTCGGCAGATAACACAAACCTCGGCCTTAATAATTCCTCATATCCTGCTCAACCTCATTCAATAATTGTTTAATGTTTGTTTTTATATTTTCCCAGGTTCTCCAACTCCTAAGTCATATGGTCTAAACGTATCAAGAAAAAACTCTAAAAAACCAAAGCAATCTCCGATGGCAATGATCAAACCTCAAGTTCGGGCTCCTCCCGCTGCACTAGACGACGAAATATTTTTCGTAGATGTAGTTGACCGTCCCGAACCTTCGACGTCGATTAAAACTCTGTCAGACTTGGACGACAAAAAGTGCATTACGGTTGATTTTGCGAAAAGAACACCGAATAGAAGGGCAATTATAAGGCATACCGGCACGAATGGTAAGAAAAAACGATGTCGACAGGAAGACACAGTTGAAAGAAAGCGTACTTCAGTATCAATGCTTGGTAAGACTCTTTCTTCAATGTTTATCACCACCACTAGCATTAGCAACCACATCAGTACCAAGACGACCGCAACCGGCAACAAATATTTAGGAAAATTCAAGATCGAATGGTTTTTTTAAACTTTGCCGGACATACAGCCATGATAAACCTAACACAGTTGACGTGAACCTAACACATATTTCTTTCCAGGAATATCCAGTGATGACAGTGAGGTTCAAGAAATCGCAAACTTATTAAAGGCACAATCACGTCATTTTTCTAAAAGAACTAAAAGCATGCCATGAATTGTTTTTTTCAAAACTTATTTATAGGTCGTTGGAATTTGTGTACCATTTAGTGCTACAATTTTATAAATATTTAAATCATTGCAATATGTAAATATTAATTTAAGTGTGTGTAAATGATATGAAATGAATTAAATTGAATGAATTATGTTACAAAACAAATACTAGAGCCGAGCAACTAACATTTTAAAAGCTTTTTTAGCAGGTTTTCAGCCAGTTGGGAGCTGTACTGGTCTAGTTGGGTACCATGGTGACAAAATACGTATAACCATGGTATAACCATCCATACTGGTTGGTACTGCCTAGCCTCCTCTGCAGGCATCTCTTATGTATTTATTTTAGTTATATGGATGGTTATATTAGGCATGGGTTAGCTATAGGTACTGGTCACTGGTACTGGCAACTGGCATGGTTGCTCTCAATCTGTTTTCTGGTAATTAGTACCAAGCCCCCAATCACGCGATATTCAAGATGGGGGCAAATAATAGCAGCCAAGCTAATCAAGCTAATAAAGAGGAAATAAAAAACTGGATAAACGAAGAAATAAGTACGAATCATGTAGTTATATTTTCTAAAACATACTGCCCATATTGCCGTAAAGCAAAAGCGGCCTTCCAAGGGGTAGGCTTCGACAAATTCACTGTATACGAACTTGATAAGAGAGATGATGGCGATATTATTTTTGACGTTTTAAGAGATATGACCGGTGCAAGAACCGTAAGATATTTAAAACTATATTATTAAAATGTTCACAATTATACACATATATAATATGTTTAAATATCATTATTCGTGGAAGTTTATATCTCATCAACATTTAAAACCAATCGCCTTGCAAGCAAAATGAATAAAGAAATTAAATTTACAGGTACCTCGTGTTTTCATCAATGCTAAATTCGTTGGCGGAGGATCAGAAATCGAAGCATTACAGCGAAAGGGAGAACTTAAGTCTATGCTAGAATCATGTGGGGCATTATGAGCGAATTGGAATGTACACTTTTAATAAAATATGTTCTGGAATGCAGTGACATGCTAGTATTAGGACTTAGGAGGGTGGGGTGGGGTGATTACCTCAGGCCCAGGGCCTACGGGAATTGAAGCTTGGTCTCAAGCAGTGAACTCTGTTCAAGGCATTTTGCAAACAAAGTAACGAGATGATTAGGCTACTAAAAATTTACCAAAAGAGGGTGATATAACCAGAGGCATATTCAGGTTGCCAACCACTGTTGCAGTAAGCAAGTACCACAAGGTAATGCCACAAGAATGTTACATGAAATTGACTCCAGCAAAAATATTGTTCTGTTCCACTTTACCTCTTGATAGCCCTGATAGAATGTAATAGTAAAGGCCTATTTAGAATTTTAGATGGCAAGATAAGTTGTATTATCATTCTAATGAATGCAAAAGAGTGCCTGTGCCACAATCTCCATTGATATTGTTCAGGGTGGAATTTAAAATGTCATGTTTGTACTTGTGTTGGTATACCACAAATTGCATAGTGTAAATGGGCCTAAAGATAACTATACGTGTGAATATAATATCTAGTATATATTTAAATAAAGGTATTCTATTTTACAATTCAGATTATAAACTTGAGGTCACAGTTGATAAGGCCACTTCTATGAAAGCACCCCCATCAACAGATATTTCCATTAGTATCATATAGAGTATAGTTTTATTAGTATCATATAGAGTATAGTTTTACTAAAAAATTAGGCGAAAAAAATGTTTGCCAACGTTTTGATTATATATGTCCATATAAAAACTAGAAAAAGTTTCAATTTTTCACAGCTTGCTCTAAAGGTTGACGGATAGTGAGAGGTATAGGCAATTAAAATGCAGTATTTCCAATAGTATCAACTATTAATACTGCAGCATTTAACTAAATTGACATTATTTCGAGACTGTTAATGGAGTGAGTGTCAAAATTTTGAGGATGAAAATCACTGCCTTCTAATGACATAGACAGGTTCACTTGTGCTGGCACCATCTCGTTTTCAGCTACCTCAGACCCAGTAATATTCTCCGTGGCTACGACGTCTGTGTTCGTAACCTCAGGTGGTGAAACACCGTTTAGAATTGACGAATCTAGAGATTGCTCATTTATGTTGAGAGAATTGGTCGTTGGATCACGATCTTCAGAGTGTCCTCGATATCTCACCGAGATACGCCTAGTAGCACCAGCAGAATTCGAGTTGTGTCGTGGGTTTTGAGTTACATCAAAATACACGCCATTCTCCGAACCTGAGGAAATTGTCGATTCTAATTGCGCATGTTGTGACAATTGAGAATCACTTCTTTGAGGGGCGGGAATGATCTCTTCAGCCTGTTCAATAAATGGGTAATTAGGTCCAACATTAGAATGTAGAGGTGGTGGGTTGCTTCCTTCATGAGTAACCATCTCGTTTGTATGCTCAATTGATGGTTCTTGACTAGGAGGAGTAGTACCTTGACCAGATGAATTTCTTATTTCAAGCATCTCTTCTGAATTACTTTCCTCTTGGAAGACAGGTTCGTCTGAAGTTTCATAGGGACGCGTATTTCTAGATCTTGTCTCCAAAGGTTCAGGACTTTCATCTGTTCTTGTATTTCGATGATTTGACATCGCTTGCTGTCTTTCAATATTTTCTTGAATCGTACGACTGTGATCATCTGACACCTGCATATTTCTAGTTCTTCCTTCCTCGTTTACTGCCGCTTGTGTTTCTATGTTTTCATGTTCATTTGAACCTGGAACTTCGTTTGTTGAACTCAACCTTTGCTCCGCTTGTTCTGGAGTGTAATTATTGAATCTTGAACTCGTTTGTCCTACATGACGTACTCTCGCATTTCTATTTACCGTTGTTTCCCTGTTTCCTCTATTAGTGACGTCGTATGTCACTATATGTGACGTCATATCATAAGGCGCCATATGAAATGATGAATATGGTAGTAAGGATTCGTAAGAAGGTGGATGTTCTGGTGGGATATTTAGGGATATTAGTGACGGATGTTGGGATACAGAAGTATCAACGTTTACGTCACTGTCATGCTGACGACTACTGGCATGAGAGAATCCTCCATTATCTTGCCCGGGTGAGGTGGTAGCAATTGCAGGCTGAAATATAAGGAAAAAACGTCTTTCAATTTATTTCTGACGTTTGCTTCAGTTCATTTAAATCAATTGATACAGCACACTAATCTAGTACACGCTAGTACAGAAAACTAGTTCAGTTCGCTAGTACAGAACACTAGTACAGTACGGTACTAGTACAAAATGCAAATACAGGCTTCAAGCCGAGATCTCAGGACCAAAAAGACAAACGAATAAATCAAACAGAAACAAACAATTCACATACCTCAAGTTCAAAACAATGCAGTAGGAAGATCACAGATATGACAAGTATCCCGTGAAGCAATGCGAATGCAACGGAACAAAATGCTAGTAACGCTCCATGTAAATCAACCAGTGGTTTCTGCTGAGAGCATGACACGTAAAATTCTTTAGTGCTGCTATCAAAATTAAAGTTTCGTTTTTTAGTACAATGACATGCTATGGTTTGTGACGGTACGTCTTCGCATTCGTAGTTTTCATCTTCCAGGGACAAACGCTCTTGGTATTTTGAAACAAAGTGTGTGTATGCTGTTCCATGAAGAATTACAGCAACCAAAGCACATGTGAGGAGTGGAATACTCATGGATAGATTTAAAACGGCCTGGAAAATATACAATAATAATACAATAAGACAACAACCGTTTAATCATAATGTTTCAGGCTGTTTAGTTATTTTTAATGCGCGCTTTGCATTCAAACTTGCTGGCAATATTATTGAAAGTTCTTGTGTATATCTGAAAATCTTTGTGTACCTATAATTTTTCTTTGTGTTATTGCTATTTGCTATAGGGAAATAAAAGTTTCCTTTTGTAAAATTCTACCTCTGCTGTTCCAAAAATGCCTCCGACGCCCCTGCGCTCGGCTTGAGTTCTTGCTCAGGTCAGAACTTAGGCCTGACCCTACCGATGAAACCTCGGATGAATCGGTAATATGATCATTGTCAATTTATCATTGTCATTAAGATCAAATTTGAAAAAAAAAAGGTTTGGAAGACAAGATATTTTTAGTATCTTCAAAGTAATAAGGTGTGGATAGATCTGCCAGCTGTTATATCGCCCACTTAAGAGCGTTTAACAGCTAGTACACACATCGCTGCTAGGTCCCAGTTTGAGACGTCGAACCTTTTAGCCCCGTTTACACTACACTACACTCGATTTATTGGCACGGCACGGCTAAAATGGGTACCCGTGCCCATTTCTTCTGTGTCCGGCCTTTGTTTTGGTAGCCTGAACACTAATGAAATTGGGTACGGGTTGGGGTACGGGTAGCCATTTTAGGCTTGCCGTGCCAATAAATTGAGTGTAGTGTAAACGGGGCTTTTATGTGCCAAACCTAATGTTAATGACCTAAAGGCTTTGTTTAAGCACGGTTTAATTGATTTGCATCAACCACACAAGCCAGGCTTTTTGGCACATGAAAATTTCGACGTTTAAAACGGGCTTAAATTATGTAAATAGAGAATTTTTTATGTCAATAAAGGTTTGAAAAGAAAAGTAATCATCAATCATCGACAACCCAAATATTATAGTTTTAAAACTTTACCATTTTCTTTTTTCTATGCAGTGAGGGTGAAGTAAGCATCACAAATCCACCAAACGCTATTATCTAAAGAAACGAGATTTTTCCTGAGTCAACCATTATCATTACCAATTACGAGACTGTAGTCACTGCACCTTCAAAAGTCTTCTAGGCTAGAGAAGGATTATCGCATCAACGCGAAATGAAAAACCAAAGAATTTTGATTCTTCATGATTATCGTAACCTATGTATATTTATAAAATTAAACCTTAATTCGTTCAAAATCATTTGTCGTTTCTTAGTCAGTAGTAGACACATACTATATACGGTCTTTAAATTGGACAATTTCTAATATTTTCAGGCATATGGGTCATATTTCAATATAGATTCCACAGATAATGAGGGCTACGTTCAAAACAAATGCATATCAAGGCACTTACAGGCAATCCAAGCCAATATTGAGTGGCGTACGTTCTGCTTTTAGATTCACGACTTAATTTTAAGTCAGGATCATGATTAATCAAAGTAGCGACGACCAGACATGCAATTCCACAGAGTGCCAAGAACAATCCACACAGAACCAGACAATACTGGTAAACATTCTTGGCTTTCATCTTCTCGTATTGTCGAGACGATTTGAAAACGTTTGAAACGCAGTTCTACTAAGGAGTGCTTCCCGTTTAATCAACAATTCGCCAGTAAAACGTGATGTTAATACCCACCAATACTTGGAACGCTAATGAACACAGTAACGACTGTAAGATAACAGACAGATCTCACCTGCTGTGCTATATGCCTTGGCCAGTGATGAGATTTTCTAGACGTTTCAATTTTTAACACAGTCAAAGATCTCGTATATGTTTTGCCCAGGAAATTTATGTAAAAGTGCTTAGTATACACAGAAGGAAACTAAATCCTTTGTGTCTTTGAATTGCTAAGTGTTTCAGAGCGTTGCATAGCAATTATATAACCTCACGGAAACCCTTACTTGAAATGCTATTGAAAATAATGGTAATCTTGAGCTATATTTTATACATGGCTAAACAAATATCTGATACACGACATGAGTATGGTGGGTGTCAGATAAATGATTCCAAAATAAAGCTAAGGAAGATAATTGGGCTGAAATACGTTACCGTTGTGTTAACATTCTTTCCTGATATCTTGTCGTAGGCTATAGAAATAAAGCAAAGACTCGTTTGCAGCTGCAAGGGGATTAATCGGCAGGCAGGGGGGTGGTGAAATCATAGGTAAAAAACACCTCCTGTGAGACACTTTTCCGCGCTTTGAATTGAGAGAAACTTTGACAAAAATTTAGGACCACAAACAGCGTCATAGCGATAATGAATAATGATTTTTATATACAAACACAAATACGTGATTCGATGTAAACGCTATCAAATGACGCGAATCGTACGTATAATTCGCCAATTTCAATTATTCTTGCTTTATTCGTAGCAATTCTTATTGCAAATTTACAACATTTACTTTGTTTAATAAAATTTCACAACAATTAAATGACCGCCTATGATTTCACTCGATAGTTTCGATCGATGATCGATCAATATCATCATACACAAGTCATCGATGATTCTGAGTTCTCCCAAACAAGCTTACCTTACCCCTCCAATGTATATAATATATAGAAACAAGTGTTTTGTGCTTAGCAACTCAAATATGCAACAGACTACTCTGGAGTTGCATGTAGTGCTCTTGGAAGCCCTACGATAAAACGTATTGCGACGTATTAAATAGCAAATTTCATGTTTACCTTGTTTTATTCCGCTGAATTGGCACTCACGTCATCTCATAAAACATCACGGGCGAAATTTGTTGAACTTGATAACATGTCTCAACAGTTTTATTCAGAATCAGGCCATCTTATTCGTCTCTTGCAATGAACGTATCACATGCAATTAAAGTAAACTGCCATCTTGGGCAGGCAAGAGTCTTTTATTGAATGATTGCCACAACTAGACGTCACTTGCAAGATAATTGTCTTCTAAGAATTGGAAACTATGCACGTATTAGTTCTAATTAATAATTTATTATTAGTACTAGAGAAATTTACAATAATCGATCATGCATTAAAACTAAGTTCTACAGACTAAGTTAATAGTTCTACATACTATTTACAAAACAACTTAACTAGACTACTCGCTAATGTTTGAGTTCCATTCAGACAACGTAATGTCATTAGTCGATGTGATGGACGCAGTCCTCCAACTTCGACTGCTACGAACACCACGCGAGCTCTAAGCAAAGCACAGGCGATCTTTCGTCGTAACCAGCTACAAACCACCATAGATGGAGAGTGATTCTTCTTGTCAGCCAGCTTCACACCCAGGAAGGAGAGAAAATGTTGGGTCTCTCTTCCGCATCCGCCAAAGGCGCTGAAGACAACCGGTGTGAAGGAGCCAATTCAACAATCCGTTGTAATGTCGGTTATGTCGCTTCTTTTCCCGTTCGTTGGCTTTAAACGAGCTGCTCAACGTCAGGCGTCGATGTGTTGAGGCGTATGGGTTAAACACCCTTACATAAAAAAATGCCTTTTCACATCTCTGCCAGAAACCTCTCGCAGCAATGTCCACACTGGCGTCAACGGCTGAGTTAGCACTGAATGAAAGAACCTCGCCAGTCAAAGGAGCAAGGACAGGTTCAATTGAAACATCTCAATTAGTTCTAATTGCTTTTAGAGTGGGAGTATTTTAGTTGGGAGTCTTCTAAATTTTCTTTGATAAAAGAGCAATTTTCCCAACATCTCGAGTGTAAACATACACCATCTTTTGCCTGCTCGGGCCACGGGGTAAAAGTTTCAAGAAGCTCACTGACACTTTTTTAGTGTGACAGCGTGTCTAACAAATTCTGTTATTACTGATCGACGTGAAAGTTCTTTCTTAGTCAATGGGAAGTTTTCAAAGAAAACACTGAAAGTCAAGGTCTAGTCAAGTGGCAGTCAAGCTCTTATTCAAGTGGAAGTACCGATGTGGGATCCTAACCACTGAGATCTCTCATTTAATAAGTTTTGAGCACTTAGAATACCAATACGAACCAATACGAGGTGGTTAGAGTACACAAGTTAGACGTTAACTCCAAAATACACAATTCTGATTGACTGAATTTGTCACTAATTATTGTTGAAAAGTAACAAAGTAAGTCACTTCTTCAACATTGGTATAATTTCTTATCCCACCTCTGCGTATCCCCGGGTACTCCGTCTCCAGCAACCCTACCGCTAACGGACGCCACTTGCGGGGTAAGTTGACCCTCAAATTCGGGTATTTTAAATTATTAAAGTATTTAAAGACTATCAAACAGCGTCGCTTTAACGGAATTTAAAATATCTGAACTTTTTATAATGTTCATTGCTGAGCTAAGCTTTGAATATAAAATTTTATTTTTATGTTCTATTTCAGGATACTTCATATATCTATGTATATTATGTACACTATAGAATACATATTGTTATTCAACTATCAATGTACATTCATTCTCAAGAATTTTTTCTTCACGAAGTATCTATTAACATGTTTTCTTTTTTCTCCAAGGAGAGGTTGGTAACTAGTGTTAGACGCTATATATATAATATGATGCAAGCGACGTCTCTTGCACGCTTGATGTTCACCGCCGCGCCAATAAAGCGTTCCAAAAATCGCACTTATATTTACGGAATTCGCTAAATATTCCGGGAAACTCCTGGAGAAACTCTTTACTTCATGTTTATTGACCGACCAATCACGATGGTCAAAGAAACAAATTGAAATTTGATAGGCCAATGAAGCCATTAAGAATTGTTCAAATAAAAGGCAAAGAAATTATTGGTCAGCGAAAATACAGTTACAGGATGTAAAGCGTTCTTCAAGGAGTTTACTAAAAGTATTTGATTAATCCTGTAAGCCCGCTAGTACTGATAAATTTGAGCAAATAGACCTTTTTCATAATGACGTCAACGCGGAATGTCCGATGTTACACGAAGTTTGATTGGCTCGTTAGTTTTGTGGAGCCAATCAAATTCGATACATTTTGGAACGCTTCAATTACCGCGACTGCAAGCTATGCTCAGAAGGATTAAGATAAACCCTGATCCTAAAGAGGGTCTGAAGAAGATTTTGTTGAGTAGATAAAAAGATAAAGAGAAAAGGATGGCAGATCCTATGCAGTGACGTCATTTGCAAAAAAAATTATTTGATAACCTATCGAACTGAACCAACGTTTGCTAAGCTACAAAACGACACTTCGTTAATTTCTATGTGCAAATTTTATAGAACATTTATATTCATTTTAAAAATTGGACATATAAGTATATATACTTCCCTGCCCATTTATACTACGACCAATTTCTTAGAACAACATACTCTGCCGCCTCTTTCCTAAAAAAAATTCCACGTGTCACAGCTTCAATCATAGAGTGAAATTAGTTGAACAAAATAAGTAAATTTTAACTATTTTAACCATAGATCGATCATTGAGGTTGGGGTGCATATTCATATATTCTGTTTTGTCCGACGAATTTCCTTTAAAGACGCATATACGTGCAAAAGAGTCCGCAAACCAAAATTAACTGTTCATGATATTTTAGAAAATATTGTAAATTATTTTAAACAAAGCATTTGTTTATATTACGGACTGTAACCCACCGCCCAAGTTAAAAAAGTGCTTATATCACTTCTTTCCTTGGTGTTCACTGGACTAGTAGTAATGGACTGCTAATCATTATTTTTTCGCTCAGAAACTATTTTCTGAGATAGTCTACGTGTGTATAAGTGCTTACCCATTGACGTTGATCGACCTCTATTTCCAGTCCCAGGATCCTTCGCAAGTTTAATGCCGTCCAAGGTGAATAGTGATTGATCTGTATCATAGAATAAGTAGATATTGAACATTGTGTTTGTACGCAAGTAAGCTATACAAAATCCGTTCACATACCATCCTTCAATTGCCCTATTCCTGCTCCTAATGATCTAAAATAAGGATGTTTCATTGCAATGCCCGCTGATTTTCTGTTTGTTGCGATGTACTAGAATCAAAAGAATATCATAATAAAAATTTATTTCATTACCTCAGAAACCTAATAAAAAATTATCTTAGAAATATGTCCTGAATTCTTTGGCAAACGGTTATGAAATTCATTGTTGGAAATTTATATACAAGTACCTCTAGAAATCCTGATAATAGATTAAGCCCATCACCATCCAGTCTAAAGAGTGAAAGTTCATAAGAATAACCCTTCAGACTACATTCATCACTCAACAACATGCAGAAAATCAAAGCAAAATAACTTCGCAAAAAACTTACCTTGGGGCATGATTGATTAATGGTTGTGCTGAAAATTTTGGAAAATTTCCTGAAAAAAAAGAGCCAGTAGAATTTCTGAGCACTAGCTTTAAGCTGACAATTGGAGTAATCAGTGAATAAAATTAATTGCAAACGTACCTTCATTAAAATTGGTATTATTGGATATACCCGGCCAAACTTTTTCGTTTGGACATCCTAAAAGCTGAGGATTGAAGTGATATATGCAGAACTCAGTTAGTGAATGTATCAAATTCAAATTGTCTAATAAGAAAGCTAAATTTCTGCCACGTGATCATGACTTTAAATTAAATATAATGTTGCATCATGAAACGTTTGACGTCTGAAACGGGCCTCGTAGATCTAAATACTTTGATCTTCTGACCAGCGGTTTACTCACTTTAAAAATGAGGTGCAGCTGTTCATCTACAGTTCCGCCAGGAAACATGGGCCTACCAGTGGCCATTTCAAAAAAAATACATCCTACACCCCTGTAGATGAAGATCGAAAGCGTATTCAGCCGTGAAATCATCACAATTAAAGATTCATCAAAGCATCACAATAACAAATCCATATATTAGGGGATTTCTAAAATGTATGTTTAGCAGATTCGCCAAACCATTTTTTTCCTACATATATTCTCAATTTGACGAATTCCAAGTGAAAAATTCCACTTAAAATTTCGCTCGAGTGTTTACAAAGCAAGAACAAGAATGTTTACATTGCAAGTTATACGAAAACAAACTCAGTCAGACACTTCTGCTGACACTTCGCAATGATTTGTTTATTTCCAAATTTTGTTCGGGCCTGTTACAGAGTAACGCGAAACAAGGTCAGTTTTCGCGAAAACAAGGTCAGTTTTCGCCAGTCAAATTTAAAAAAAACAAATGATACTAATATCTTGAAAGAAAAACCTGAACCTATAGCCTCATCTCCGGGTGCCTCGTAAGGGGCCATGCACCTGATCTATTTCCAAATGGTCCATAGAGTGGAAATAAAGCGTATAAAAAGTCCAATGAAAACAGATTTTAAGTAGTGTGAGGAAAGACATTCGACAAATTGTCGACTTTCACACGGTCCTACCAGTGAACTATTCATATTAATCAAATTTCAAAAGACGTGCAAAGACGCACAACTCTGAACACGAAACTCAAACAGCTGTTTTTGACATCATTCTGAACCAAGACTGGAAGTTCTCAGTCGAATGAACATGTCTGTCGTGAAATTATTGGCATGTAGCTATTTCGACGTGAGATTAATTTTAGCTCGCAATTATCTGGCGTGTATTTGAGGCGTTCGTTTGATTATATAGATCAGTGGATAGTCTCGCCGCGCGCTTGCTCTGGGTACGAGGCTAGTCTCTATAGTTTGAATTCGATTGATTCAAAAATGTGAACTCACCACATATCGATAGACATATTATATACAGTTGATCCTAATAAGACATCCGGAGGCCGATACCTAGGAACCATAAGAATCAATATCAGCCTAGAGAAGATCAAAGATCCACTGACAATAACTAAACTTACCATAATGTAACGACCTCATTAGAATATGTTTTAGTTGGCACTGACTTTGCTCTTGCAAGACCTGGAAAGATATCAAATGTGGTAAATAAACATCATTTATCATATTTATTGACGGGATAGACTGAAACAACAGCTTACCAAAATCAGCTAGTTTTAGTTCACCCTTCTCGTTGATGAGCAAGTTTTGAGGTTTTAGATCTCTGATGAAAATGAATAATCAGAAGAAACTTTTAACAAGAGTCTGCATTAATTATAAAGTATGATCAGAAGTGTGCTTCTGATTGGTCAATGCGCCCATTTGCTACTTCTGCGATGTATAAAGATCAGGGAACGGTTGTTCGAAAGGGGTTTAGGTTAAACGGCGGATAAGCTAAAGTTTAAAAATACTCTCATACATCTTGTGAATGACTGAAACTACATTTTATGCTTTTAATATGTACTTCCAATGACAATTAAACTATTTACATCGAAATATTTCAGCTCAGTCGTTCAAAAAATAGATAACTGATTTGGTTTTCCATTTTTAACTTATCCATCGTTTAAGCTAAACGCCTTTCGAACAACCGGCCCCAGAAAGTCATCCAGCGCAACCGGTAGCAGTGTAGAATATGATTGGGGATCTACCTGTGCAATACTTTTCTATTATGACAGTAGTCCAAACCACGCAGTAATTGAAATAAGAATAACTAAAAAAAGATAAGATATTTTTAAGAGTTTTTTTTTACGACATGATTGATGGGTTTTGCGATATTCGGCAAAGATCACATCTAATTGAGCTATTAATAAAATGTTAACGATGACAGAGTTCAAAACCGCATTGGCCCGAGAGTGATAAAAACTCAAAGTTATGAAGGCAATGTTCATCCTTCTCTCTAGCCTGGACAAGGAAAGAAGCTGAAACATGTCTGCAACGCCGAAGATTCAAGTTGGACTCATCACTTCATTCTTTTTTTAATAGTTGCACCATGCCCCATAACATGTTCCAAAGAACATTTTGAATGACAGCGGCGTGGCTGAAACGTTATTTGGGGGGTGTTTATTCATATATACAGTTTTGCCTGACAGATTTCTTGGGCAAAACTCAAAATATGAATAAACACCCCTCCACCAATTATCGTTCTAGCTACGCCCCTGTTCCTGGGTAAGGGAGTTCTGCATTCGAAGATCAACTCCAGTTGAGGAAGTAATTTTGAAAATTGAACTGATTGAACATGACAGAAACATTTAGCACAAAGATAGGACTTTATAAAGGATTGGAAGGATCAAGGACTTACCCTGACATTTGTCATACTTAAAATACCACCACATTCATCCATGTAAGATTTCAAATCACGCTCCTGAAGATTACAGACAATGAAAATAGTAAATAGCAAGCCATTGGCTATACTATAACACCATCATCAATCACATTAATAAATGATTTCATAGTTTACCAGATATTCAAAGACCAGAGTTAGAGCATTTGGTGTATGTACGGTATCGTGAAGTGTAACAATGTTGGCATGCTTCAGATCTTTCAGGAGTGAGACTGGATAAGAATTTAGATAAACAACATTCAAGTCATTTTCCATGAACAAGGGAAAAGCATTGTAAGTTGGGTCTGAGTGATCAGGAAAGAAGATTGTGTGTTTATGAAAGGAGATTATATATTTACCTTCTCTTATTGCTGTGCATGGTGCACCCTCTTCATGTTCCAGACGAATTTCTTTTAATGCAACAATCACATCAGACAGTCTTGACAAGCAGAGCAAAGAATTTGTTTTAGAAAAGATTTGTTTTTGTTCAAAAAGAAAGTATTTTCAATACTCAACACTGGTATACCTGCTTTTTCCTTTAAAGACTGTTGCATATGTTCCCTAGAAAATTCAGGAGATGTGATTTGTAGGAAACTACGTAAATGATAGATGCTTTAAAGGAAGGACAAGAACTGAGAGTGCTTAATGAAAATATTGAAATACTAACCTCTCCTAATTTATCCAATTTAGTGTAAGTCTCACTTTTACCAAAGCCAATTTCAGACTAAAGTTAAATAGGAAAATACATTATGAATAGGATTCAAAATGAAATAGAAAACTGGTTAATTCAGAGATGCTAAATGACAAAAAATTTATTACCAGTGACAAACGTCTTTCTGTCCTTGACATTTTCTCTTGCAGAGGTGGACTAACCATTTTATTTTTATGCTTCGATTTAGGTGAAACACCATTTGAAAAATCAAGCGATGGTAATGACAACCTTTTTGTTAACTTGCCCCTGCTCTCCTAGACAAGATTAAATAAATATCTTCTTTGTTAGAAAATATGTAAGTCAAATGAGACCATACCCATAAAATGAGGAAGGAAAAATATTATATAACAATAGATACATCCTCCCACAAACCGTTTTCGATCGTTGCCTTGGATATCTTGTCCTGAATGATGGTGATACCTGATCAGCTGATGCACTGATATTGTCTTCAGATTTTCCATACAAATATGCTGATTGAAACCCTGAGAAAACAGTCAGAAATCAAAAATCATAAATACGTTTACACTAGAAAAATACACATACTCTGTTTACATACAAATTAATTTGATGCTAAATAAAATTATATAAAATTAATTTAGCTTTGAGTAACTTGTTACTTAATAAGGGCATTTTTATTGGGTGACTGCAATATTGACTAGTTGCTAGTACTTTATCTATAGTTTAACAGTTAAGTATTTTATTCTTTGTATAAACACAAGACAAATTTTGGTGATGGGGCTTTTATATATCACATGATATGCACTAAAAAACCTGATTTGTAGGAACTGAAATGGTGTATATTTTGAAGGATAACAACTGCATTACCACAGAAAATGTTTCCCAACTTAGACAATCATAAACAACATGGGGGTTGTTAGGCCAAGCTTCACAGTGAAGTGGAGAAAACAGTTATATATTTCTATATGCTTAGGAGAGTAAAATTCAAACTAAATGATATTTTCTAGGATGTTTTTATATGGTAATTGCAGTAATTACATGCAAATCAAGGATTTAATTGGTAGCAACTTTAAGCAGAATATTATTAGTGTAAAATAACAACCATCCTTCAGTGTAAATTTAATTATTAACAGTAATCCGATTGAAAAGAATACGGTATGTAAAATATTCAAGAAATTGTCTGTAAGGCCCAATCTTTAATACAAGCCAAATATGCAAAATACCCGCGTACAACACCGCATGATAGCAACCACTATATTTCGAGGTTTCCTTTTATGAAAATACATAAACAAACATCCTGGGTTTTTCTTAAGTGCAAGCGAGGGCTATTCGTTTTGTAACCGATACCCTGACATCTGATATTTTAAGCTTACACCTAATGGATTATAATCATGCCATTTCTATCGCATTTTGGCATTGCCCGTGTTTACGAAGTAGGAGTCAATAAATTATAATCCCAACTACACTGAATTACCATGCGGTTTGCAACAAATTGGGGTTAGAATTTCACAAATTCCCTACATTTAATATTATAGCTTCTCAAAATGCGTTTCAGGAATTGATGTTTCATTTGTAAATAAGAATAAACCTGCGTTTACATGTATTGAATTCCCGGGAACCAGGAAACCTAAATAGTTTACACACCAGGGAACGGTTTATACAAATACGACACAATCCAATGGACACAATCCATTATGGAGATCTAATTTCGGCTAATAAAACTGAAATATCAGGAGACAGTACGATTTTCAGCTGTTTGCTGAGGTTTAGCACGCATATATTTGTCAAATCCTTTGCATTATCGAACATTTCATGTCGAAATATGCCAAAAAACCCACGCGTTTTTGTCTTGTTTTTTTGTTCGTTGTCTGAAGGCTAATCTTTGTTAATAATCTTTGCATATAAATTAAGTGATAGAGGAGCTATTATTAAATCTCGCTTCAATTTCTTATAACAACTAGAAATTCATGAAGCTAACGTTTATTATAACATATGGTTATTTAGCAAATAAAATTTCCGCTTTATCGTTTCTAGTGTTTATGAAATGCAGAATAGACAGATATTTCAAATGCCATACTTGAATAGGGATACAAGTTATTTGCTGAAAGCTGTATTAGCACAAAATGTCAAGTTAATTTTTTATCTCATGCCTGCTTAGAATTAGCACCTATTTTTCAAAAGAAGGGCCGGCTAATTTTGGAGCATGGGCTTATATTTACCCCTATTTTTGTGTCCATTTTGGCTGTTGGCATCTGCTACATAGTGTTCTGTATGTTCTTGAATTGTCTCAGTAATGTCAAAGTGCCTTTCACGGCTAGCCTCAGAAAAGGAAAACGCTCGCTTAAATTTCTTCATGACTTTAAAGTCTTGCTTCCTCTGACAAATACGGCGCTTCTTTCATGGGCTCAAGCCATTCTGAAGTGTGTATTCTAGAATAAAACAATATAAAATGAATATGTACAAAAGGAAAGCACGAGTGACCCAATATACAGGCATTCATAATTTGAAATTCATGACAGACTGACAGTTAGAGAGAATCGTGTGTTTGATCTGTAAGTAAAGCCGAGGTTCAATAAGGTGTGAATAGGTTCGTTAATAAATATTTTTGCCATGATAAACGGCCGTACATCGTGAAACACACACTTGCGGTATCACGTAAGGCTGATCGAAACCACTAATAGCTAGCTTGTGATTTATCGTCAATTTTCATCGCTCGTATGTGGTCAAAAGCATACAACTTTTCAAAAGCATAACGATGATAATGCCACTGAACAAAACTAAAGCAATTTTCAAGCAATAAAGATACCTATCTAGTGTACTGACCTGCCGAAGAGCGTGGAATATTAGAAATACACTTTGTTTTGATTCCTTCGCCTTGTAAATTGACTCGCAGCTGAATACAATTGTCACGTGACCTCCTACTGGAAATTATTATCCCAGGAGGAGTGTTGATGTATTTCAAATATTGTTTGACCGGCCTAATTATCTGGATTAATTATTAACCCGCCATAAAACTGTGCAAGGTCTCGACGAAACAGTAGGGGGGTTATTTTCCTATAAATTCTTACGCAACATAACTCTATGAGGATTTTTAATAAAACAGGAAAAGCTTATATTTGGCTTATTTCAATCACTGTGTTGCATAATGACAGGCAAAATTAGAGTGAAACAGGTTAGCAAAGAAGATCTGAGCATTCAGGATCTTTATTAATTGCAGCGTAATTGCTGTACTTAATGAATTAACTAGTTGTAAGCACTGATGTTACCGGCTCGACACCTAAAATAATCTATAATTTTATATTTATACAATTACACCACACACGGACCTTGTGAGACCTCTAAAACAAAATGTACATATTTATCCCACTTTTAATTTCCTTTTCGTTTAAAAACTTTCACTACACGATTCGTCGTCTTCATCTTGATCGGCTGGTTAATAAAATGTAAAATGACAACTTGGAAACAATCCAATAAGCGACATCATAATCTAATAATTGACAGTAATAGACAATTTAAATCAGTACTGGTTAAAAAATACCAGAACCGTACCTCTATCAACGCTGACGATACTTTCTTCATCATCATTGCTCTGCTGAAATACGAAACGTTTTTAAGTGTGTAAAAAGGTTTTTAGTAAAACAACATAAGTGAAACAACATTAAATATATTGCAAAGTCGAAGTTATGAGGAGTCCCTCAAGTGGTTTATATTCAAACAACCACAGGAAATGTTCCTGAGGATATTTCTGCTTACAGGATACACGGATATTTAGCTTGGAAGCCTCGCACACATTAATTGACTTGCGGCTTCTACTCTTAAGAGAAGCATTGCAGAGTGTATTATTTTACCATAGAGTTTTTCCAATCATGCAGTGCAGAGAGAATTGAACAAAGGACTTCACATCTGCTACTGGTGAATGACACGAATAACAGCCACATTGGAGTGCCCCAAACTGGGACTTAAAAACAAAGAAGTACTGTCTATATTGAACCATTGATAACGTATCTTCTCTAAATGTACATTTACATTGGCGACATGAAAAGAGGAGTTAGAATTTTTTGCCAATGACTCAGAAATCAATTTCTAGGGCGCTTTCTTTTAAACGGCCAAAATAGTCAGACTGGCGAAACTTTATTTCCCGTGCTAGTCAGATGTAAATAACGATATACTTGAATACAGATCTCTTGAAACACTCTAAAATACCAGTAATCTGTCTGTACTGAAATAAAACATGCAGGACCAGTCTGACCGGTTTTACCGTATAAAAGAAAGCGCGCCTAGATTTCTTACTTTATCCTCGTCGTCATCCTCGATCTCAGTCTCCTCGGGTTCCTCCTCTCGATCTCCTATTGACTGCTGGGATACGATTTCCTGACCTCGTAGATCACGATTCTTAAGATTACCGATCCAGAATGCTTCGTGACACTGGTTCACCGCTAACATCGCCTGCATATGAGATAAAGGAAATGAGTAACAAGCGACTAATAATATGTTAATAATACCTTTACATGACGATTAACAATTATTGGATGAGGTTGAGTGTTGAGGTTGAGTTCAGTTTGCATTATCCGCCTCAGCTTCGCTTCGGCGAATAACCCAAACTTCGGCTTAATAATTCTCGATAACATGCGAAAACCGAATTCAATAATTGTTTTATTATGTATTTCCTTTTTAGAGAGGAAACCTGCGCCATTATTGACAACAAACTAGCGGCAAAAAATTACGTCACCTACAGATAATTTTCAATGTCGTGTAGGTGGCAAGACATTGAGAATTATCTGTAGGTTTTTAGCCAATCATAATCGAGATTAATAATCTCATTTTGACCCACGATTTGCTTACAATGTTTTAGTATCTATACTATCTGCAATATATTAAACTAGGACGGTACGTGCAAGAGGTAGACTTGTGGCAGTGTTTCACGCAAAAAAGAACTTATAAACATTAAACATGCATGGAACATTAACAATTTTCGACAAAAGTGGAATCTTATTCCACATAATAAAAAGATTGGTTGATAAAGAAAAAACGTGTCCAGCATAATACCTTCACTCGGAATACAAAAGTTTCCAGAGATTTTTTGAGGCCTGGAACGTGATTTGTCAATGAGATGTCTTTAGTCACCTGTTAAAAAACAAATTTCTGGAAATGTATATCAACTAACTTGGCGACCGATTTAAAAAATTGAATGTAGGTTCACCTTTGAATGACCGCAAAAGTGCTGTAAACTTCTTGTACTTTGTTGAAACACTTTCAATAAGCCATGAATATCATCCTGGGAATGCATCATTGGACGATCGAGCGGTTAATGGAAAACTAAAGTCAATTGACAAAATTGTCCAACAAACCTTGTTTGTGCGAAGCATATCGTCTAACGCTGGCATACCAAGACTCACAAATGCCTCAACAAAAAGACGTCCATACTAAAATAAGAAAGATGAACAATAATTAATATTCAATATGACAGTTGTACGAAACAGTTTAGTTAAAACCTTCCAGTTAAAAAAAAGTTTACCTTCAGAGCGGCCCCTAATACATTTCTGTGTTCAAAAGCCTGCAAGAGATATACACGCACCTTGTTTTATCATTTTCATGCACTTCAAACTGACAAACTGGGAATAAAAAACAAACGTTTACATTTACCTTGACAAGATTGACCAAAACATGAAACAGTCTGACAGTGACATTGATGACTACGAGTCTCTCTGCTTTCATCTGCAGAAATAGCAATGCACGACAGTAAAAACTAGGGCTCAATAATTTTTATTTATTTCAGCTAGCATTTATACCTAAAGGTAGAGTCATGCAAATTCTAAAGTATTTTCTGTATTCAAACTGGATAGCAGTATTAAATATTTGATAAACCAACCTCTATTGAATCAGACCGTTTCATCGGTGCTGACAATGAATTCTTGAAACACGAAACAAGACAATCAAGCAATGTTTTGTAATATGCGGGAAACGACGGTCTAGAGATAATAAAAAATGAAAAATGAGGCAAAGGTAGACACAAATACTAGCCAAAAGGCGTAATCCGTTAAAACTTATACCGTGTTAAAGTAGGCATCGTTGTCGAGGCAGTGCAAACACTCTTCTCATCCAAGAGTTCAGGAATAGCACAAGTTGTAATACTTTCAATAGCTGCTGAAGGATCTTTTGCTTGGAGAATATGACGTCTGTGATAAAAAACCAAAGATATTACTGAATATTCCAGTTCAATTATTCCAGTCGGTGCATGGGAATTTCAGGGGTTAGGGTCACAGATCAAAATATATGAAAACAGGCAGCAGACCTAATAATATACAAGCCTCAAATATAATTCGTGCAGTAACATTTATAAAACAACGAGATATGTTCTCGCCGTGCACATTTCAACGACAACATGCAAATACGCAGTTGTAACCCAAAAGACTGTCTTCCATTACGTTCTCTTTAGTCGCGCACCGCGCCAGCGAAGCGTACTTTGAAAAAATCTGCCCATGCATGCGCGCGGGGCGTGGCGGCGTGACGCGTTTCAACGTTAGAGTTTTCCTTGGCAAAGAGAACGTAATGGAAAATTTTCCTTAGACCTTACCCCTTTCCTGGTTACATTACAACTGTGAATAGCTGGAAGGTTAAAACCATCAACCCCAACCCAGAATCAAAATAAAAGGCCCTGGGAACCAGGTTGTTAAAACCTTGTTAGAATGTTAAGATGTTTAAAACGTACTTCAGTAAAAATTGAAGATTTTCATTGAATTTTGATCCTTGTTCTCTCTGTCCATCAGGCTGCACCCATTCCCGTTTGAGAAGATCGCCACATATAGAAGCTGGAAAATAGCATGGACATGCAAGAAAAAAAACGGAAACGAAAGAAAGAGGGAATGGATGAAAGAGGAAGTAAGTTTAGCTGGACGATATGTATCACCATATAAGGGGTCGACATGCAAGCTTTAGAAGCAACTGAGGCGTATAGTCGATCCCGTATGATTCAGTGCACATAACCAAATAAATCACACTTACATACTGACAGGCAATTAGTTTCGTTGTCAATTTTACTTTTCACGGCGGTTAGGAGTTTGACCAAAGTCACAGCAGTCGTAATTGATGGAAGAGTGGAGGAGAACTGCTCGAAGTACCGGAAGGCTTGACTGGATAGGAAGCAATCAATAAATTAATTGATTGATTGATAAAATAATAAATAATTCAATGTTTATTTACCTTGCAAGTTCCTGAAAGCCAGGTTGTGATTTCTTTGAAATTTTCGTTCTTGAGCTCAATATCACAAATGCCTTTTTGAGATGACTTTTGTTGCACGCATTATTAAAACCAGACCTGCAGAAATTGAAGACAGTTGTGTTAATTATTGTATCGCTGGTTCATACCAACAACTCTCAAATTCGTAGTTAGGTTTATTCCCTCGACATTTGACGAAACATTGGAGATGATCTCTGCATATATTGCCCAAATAGAAATGGAAGATATGAGACCTCGAAAGATATTCAACAGTTTAGAACTATAGCAGACTTTAATCAAAATTAGTTGAGTTTACCATGAGAAAAATTGAGCCATGCAAAAAAACAGACGTTCAAAACATGACGCCATTATTTTTGCTTCGTCCGTATCACTTCCTGGTCCATCCATCACGCCGTCATTAGCTTCAAACAAGTCCTGAAAGAACGCACTCGTTGTTTCCAAATGTTGACAGAGTTCAGGCAACAGCTCAAGAACGTACACAACAATTTCTTCGACAGTCTTTTGCGCGAGATGTGAAAAACCGATTTGTTTATCTTGGTGAAGCTGTAGTATGATAATAATGAAATGTTGAAGTAAGTCAATTGCTTCTCAGGACAATACAATTCAACAATAAAAGTTTTTAGTATTTTTGCACAAGTGAATATAACAAATCCTACATTCTGATTCGTGAAATTTGACGTATTATGCTGGTATTATGCTCAATTTCAAAATGGCGGCTAGCCGTTTTGTGGACGTTTCTTACAAAGAGATAAGCGAATAAATGCAGTTTTTGTGTCAATTCACTTGTGCAAAAATACTAAAACAATTATTCGCCCTAGCCTCGGTGATTATCGGGGAATATTTACCTCGACTTTCCCCGATAATCTCCAAGTCTTCGGCGAATAATTGTTAAATATCAATTGTCTAAAATATTAAAAAAAAACTTCTCGAGGTTTCGTACAATTCGTACAAGTGTATAATTGGTATGAACGAAAATATGAAAAATTACATGACCGAATAAAAAGTTAATTAGTAGCAGGTTCAGTATCAGGTAATGCATCGACTTGATGTGCTCAAAAAACAATGCAAATTAGGCTGTTTTCCAAATATTTCCCTTATACGAAAATAAATCAAATGAGGCGAATTAACTGTTGTTATGTACCTTTGAGAAACCTGCTTTGACAGAAGACGAAAGAGAGTATTCCAGTTTCTTAGCGAGATCATCCAGTAGGAAATATAGTTCTGGTGCTTGTAACTGCAAAATTTCTTTTTTCTGAATATAAATGGTTCATATATATATTAAACACAAATTCTTACATTTGACACATCATTAAAAATTGTCTCTTCTTTATGTCGTATCATTTGACAATCGCAATTATCGCATTCCTAACACCAATCGTGAACAACCCAGAACTCATTAATACTGTGAACAATTTCTACCTCCGTATTCATATTTGAATCAAGAACGGCTTTGGAGACCAACCCACATTTCAGAATCTCAAAAACATTTAGATCCAACTCTCTGAAATTAAAATAATCGGTATAAATATGACATGAGAATTCGTCAAATACTCTCCTGTTCAATATCTAACTCTACTGTACCTGAAACAAGCACGATATTTGGAAGAATGAAAAATGCCGGACATTGAACTTCTTTTTTCCTTCTTTTCTTCAATTACCGTAACGTCGTCTTTACTGGAAGTGTCTTTCTCCATGTACTGGATGTTTTCATGGCGGGAGAGAAAGCAACAATAGTATTAGTTGTTTTTTTAATACAGTTTTAAAACAACTTGGCAATTTGTCATTTACCTCGTCAATGGTCTTGTCATGTTCATTTTCCTTGTGTTTATTTCTAAATAGGAAATTTATCAATGGTCGTATAGGATGCTGTGATATACGAATGATCGAATAAACACGAGTGCAAACATCAGGTTTCAAACTTTGTCATTAGCAAATGCCCAAGACCTTGGCATCAGCACTCGTTCCTTTTTGCCAGAATGCAATTGCATATAATTGATCGTGGAGAATAATCTTATGTCTCTCATCATTTCACATGCAGCAGCACGCTTCTGTTTCAGTGCTGGAGAAAAGATGAAGATAACATACTTACTTTCCCGTTCGCGTTCTTTTGGCACTGGTCCTGGGAAGAGCAGAATTCTTCCACGCGTTTTCCTCTGTGTCAAAGTGAACCAGCGGTGGTACGAAGTTTGGAGTATCTTCAAAACAAATGAAGAGGAACGAATTATAAATAAAATTATTTATCTCGTGTTTATCTTCAGCATAAATAAAGAAGTACTAATATAACCTTTCAAACATTGATCCAACCAATCTTGTAAAATGACAATTGTTTTGACACGATTTAATGTTTTTCCCTTCATCTCCGGATCTGTTTCCGTCGAGAAAGCATTGACCAACTAAAACGATGGCGATGGAACTGGTTAACCAAACACTTCTATTGCATGGTTATATAGTTGTATAAATTCGTATAAGTTACCTACCTCTCTATACCAGTTCAAGCAGTAAAATAATGAACTACAAACAAGTTCACGATCTTGAATACTCTGTTTATTGAACGTTAAAAGGATCTCCTCCATTTTAAACATCACCACCGGGCAGCCTTTGTTTAAGCATAACAACATAAGTATCGATATATGTGAACTGGAACAATATCATGTAATCTTTTATGAGAAATTATAATGTGTTTCCATTCATACCTAACAAGGCATCGATTCCTTCAAGCTTTCCTTTGTTACGATTCTGTTCACAGACTCGAAGAAGACGGAAATGAGGCGCCGAGCAAACAGGAGCAACTGTTTGGGAACTACAAAAGATGGAGTGAAAGCAGCCCGATGAAATGAATGTGTAGAAATGTGCACGGCAAGATGATCGTTCTACAGTTACCATGGGAAGAACATGTGATATTTTTCCCATGACATAGTCTATCTATTGCCCAGGCTCTCGACCTTGAACCTGGGCTCCCACTATATAGTATACTCTGTCTTGTAGGTACATGGAAGAAGATAACGAGGTTACCTTTTGTCAGAATGGTTTATTAACAATGAAACCAAATTAAAAGCAATACAGCCTTCTTCAGCATCGTCCAAAGCCCCAACAAAATCAATGGGAAGTGCACTCCTGTGTTTATAAATGTAAAATATTTAGAGAGTGTTGGTTTGCACCCCCCTTGAATACAGATATACGATTAATATTACTCAGGAAATTCTGTTTCCACGTCGATCAAAAAGTCATCTTGGAAATCGCTAACAACTGTCTCACTGATCCAAGCCTGAGGAGAAAACGAGGTGGCAGTCAGAGAATGCCTTAGAACTATAATCGCCATAGCAATACATCAAAACTATCAAGAGACAGTTTTCACCAAAGTAATCACCATACAAGTGCCATTAGTACCATCAGATGTCACCACAGTAATCACATTGTGTGGTAGTGACATTAGTACCATCAGATGTCATCACAGTAATTACATTGTGTGGTAGCGACATCAGTACCATCAGATGTCACCAAAGTAATCACCATACAAGTGACATTAGTACCATCAGATGTTACCACAGTAATCACGCTGTGTGGTAGTGACATTAGTACCATCAGATGTCATCACAGTAATCACCATACAAGTGGCAGAAATCAGTACCATCAGGTGTCACTCAGTAATTACCATACAATGACAGAAGTACCATTACGTGTCACCACAGTAGTCATAGTCATCGTAAACAAACGTGTTACCTCAGTTTTTGTATCCAACTGTCGCTTCTCGATAACGTTCGCCAACTCATCGTAGAACAATGCGACAGCCTCTGGCACCCGAGTGATGCTATTGCGAACTAAGTCTAACAAATTGACAACCTGCAGAAGAAAAATCTTGAAGAATAAACTTACTGCTGCTCCTATACTACAAATGACTCTCATATTTCACTTCATACTTGCCTGTTTCTGTTTCTCATTTATCATACTTATTGGCTGTGACTGACTCGTCGAATCCAGGCCTGTCTCTTCTTCACCAGAGCTGCAAGAATTCAAGACGAGATAGTTTTCTGATTTTAACAATCCCACAATCAAATAATTCACAAGATAATATGAGCCAGCAGAAACCGAACATATTTCTAGCCTACTTCCGCAAGAAACGTACTACTCTTGGGCTCGGCTAAATCGCAAAGGAGTAGGTTCGATTACAACTGGTGGACCTGAGTTGCATTCCGGTTGTACGAAGGCTGCATAGCGCCAGTGGCGTAGCTAGCCCGACAATTTAGTCATGCTATGATAATATTTTGGTGTTCATTCATTGTTAAAACAATGAATTTCTAAAAAAATGAATAATGATAATAACATAAAAGTTGCATAGCATGACTAAATCGTCAGGCTGGCTACGCCACGCTAATGCGCTATCCACCACGGATAGCTGATTTCAATTCAACCAGTGCAAAAATGAATGAAAAAGTATAAAATTGTAGATATTGATCGAACAATGAATAAACAGAAACATTACTTCAGGAATGGAAAGGTTTAATTCGAATTGTGCCAAAAAACGGGCAATTTTGAAAAACCCACTGTCTGGTGGATAGCGTAATCCGACCTTCCTAAAGCCGGCGCGGCGGCCCCTGATACTTTGACGCCAGAACTAACCTAGGTTTTGCCATACTTTGAACGATCATTAAAGCACCAATGATACCAATTCGTTTATACCTTAAAACGAAACAACATATAGCGTTCAAATTAAATGAGAGCAGTGGTAAGCAGTGCCGTGGCCAAGATTACGTTAACTCTGCGAAATTATGTAGGTTTAAAGTGGTTTGCCGGATACTGTTTTTCAAAATTTTAGTGTGTATGAAACATTTATTAATGTCATGGCAACACTTTTTGCGAACGATAAATGATTCACAACCGTCTGTCTTAAATGACTTTAAAAAACGAATAAAATTATTACGTACTTCACTGAGTTGCTGGAAAGTTGTTTTCTGATAACCATATGAAGATCATCCTAAAAAAACATCGCATTTGCAATAGACGTTTATCATGATAACGTCAAACGTGGAGAGCCTGATATTACACAAAGTTTGATTGGCTCGTTAGTTTTCCTGGTGCAACAAATCAAACTTCGTGTAGCATCAGACATCCACGTTTGACGTCTTTGTCAGAAAGTCTATTAGCTAGCATTGTTATCATTCATGACCGGATTTGTATGAAAATAAAATACTGGTTTCATAAACTCTACAATACCTAGACTGAGGTTGATAAACATTTTCATGAATAGGAATAACTGAGATTATTATATCTGGTTGCACAAACATGTTATCCTTCCCCTTAAAGTGATGTTTCAGACATTAAACTGATTAGTGATTACCCAGACGATTTGAAGGAAAAATACAACAGAAAAAAACATCGTCTTTGTCTATATATATTTATCGACGGTTATGATAGAAAAAAGTGGTATTAACTAACACCAAAATACGAAATAAGCCTGATAAATTATTACACAGATAAAATGGTATATTTACATCATTGGTTACAATTTCGTTTACAACGCCAGAAAAACCTATCTAGGACGAGTACGACCTGTGCTAACTGTGCATGGTGCTAGAAATGTTTGGATCACGTCAACTACAATGTGTTACGCTCTCGATCTCTCATATTCTCCTGAATTATTATATGATTAAAAAACAGTGCACATGGAATAACTTATTGTGTTCAAATGCGAAATGAATTTTATCCAACTACCAACTATCATGATACTGACACCATATTTACGTCTTCTGGACTGCTTCGTGCAGTTAGTCCGTTGCTACCTTGAGTAACTTTATTCTCGATCACATCTATCAGGATGTCACGACCTTCCACAAAGTGAGTGTAAATTAATCGGACGTCTTCGTCATCATCTATCTTCAGGGGTATCTCTTTACCATTCCTCATCACAAAGTGTCGTTGAAGAACTTGCTGACATGCTCTGACCCCGGTGCGACGTTCAACTTCTGCTTTTAATGCGGATAAATTGAGCTGCTTTAAAACGCACAGACGTCCAGCCTGTTCGTTCTCTTTTCTTGCAATGAAATTCATTTGCACTGCATGACGAGAATCACTTAAATAACTCCCCAGTGACTCAGGGGAAGCGTCAGTTGAATCTGTCACTTCTGTAGAAAACATATAGCTCTTCAAAGCTTTCTGAGCACTTGGCCGTTTTTTCGGGTCCTTTTGAAGAAGATCTTTAATGAGCTGGCTCAAATGTATGTCATCCTTGTGATGTATACATTTATGGACGTCAAGATTGTCATTTCTTAGGTCCTCTAACTCATCAAACAAAGCCTTTTTATCTTCGAGGTAACGACTGATGTAATACAAAACCATTCCGGCGCTGTAAAGGTCTACTTTGAAATCATAATTGTTTTTTTCGAGCTCAGGAGCGCTATATAAACCAATGTTCTTTGGCGTAACGTTCTCAAATGTCGGGTCCACTAACCACGTGGACGGCGAAAATTTTATTTTCATACCGAGGTATCGTGCTTGTCCAAAATCACTTATTTTGACATGAATATCGCGGATTTGTGTTGGATTTGGAAGTGCTATGAGGATATTACCGGGATGAATGTCGCGATGAACCCAGCCACTTCTTTTCATAACAACCAAACCAATCAAAATTTGTCGGAATACATGCTCATAAAATCGTGGCCGACCTTGAGCTTGGATAATTTTTGGTCCACCCATTTTGTTGTCATAGACGAAACTTGATAAGTCTGTGGAACACAATTCCATTTGAATACAAAGTTTCTGTTCATAACCAACCTGCATTTTCCAACAATTGAAATACTTGATGATATTTGAGTCTTCAGACAGCTCCAATCGTATCAAGATTTCAATCTCCCGTTCCTGATATATTTTCTTCTTACTTCCTTCGCTTTCAACATAATCCAAAATTTTTATAGCAAACGATTTTTCTTTATGTTCCCCTTCCTCTTTACACTTCGCCTCATAAACACGACCATAGACACCTTCGCCAATATGACCTTTCCCTAACAACTGGAAGTTGTGTTGATGTGATAAGGCATCTCGGAGTTTCACAAAGTTTGTATACTCTGTTGCCGGAGTATTCATCGTCTTATATCTCAGAAATAATGCTCAAAATATATGTATCGAATAACGAAAGTACACAAACACAACAAACCATTCTTGATATATTTCACCACACGCAGATAAAGCGTCGTCATGTGACTGTAACAATATAGTATGATCTAGGGTGCCTACCTGGAAACTAATTAATTATGAATCACGAGAATTTAACAACACAACACCAATTAACGCTTCGCTTCCCACAGTTCGGCGAAACAGAGAAGAACTTTCAGGAAATTGTTTGTTATTTGTCAAGTGCTGTTATAAGAAGTCTTAATCAAACACAACTCATACGGTAGAAGAAAATATGGAACTGTCTCACGATCAAAATGCACCTGCTCAATGCAGATTTAACAAAATTCATATACTGGGAAGAGGTGCGTTTGGCGAAGTATGGAAAGCACAGTCAGAAGAAGATGGCAAATTTTACGCAATAAAAATAATGCCTTTGTCTACAGAAGGAGGCACGAAATATCACAAACGAGAATTAGAATTGCTTACAAAATTGGAACTGTCGGAGCGTAATGTTATCAAATATTTTAAGAGCTGGATAATGAATGTGGGTAGTGGAAGGCAAATGTGTATTCAAATGGAGCTGTGCTCGGTGAATTTGGGAGATTTCATCTATTTTAACAACATGGGTGGCGCTGAAATTATCAAAAGTGAAGCTCCAACACTTTATCAGCACGTTTTCCCACAGATTTTGAATGGTTTGGACGCGATCCACTCAATCTACTGGGTACATCGAGATATTCATATCGGCAATATTCTCATAGCAAACCACAATCCACAGGGAATTAGTGATATTAATGTCAAAATTGCAGATTTTGGACTAGCCAGGTACATTGAAACTGACTTCAAGATGTCAGCAAACTCGCTGACCGTAGTCCCAACATTCGGGAAACTATCTGCAGGAGTAGGGAACGAACTGTTCAGGGCGCCTGAACAGTCGAGCGAAGAATACGACTTCAAAGTAGACATTTACAGTTCTGGAATAGTCTTTTATCTACTCAAACGATATATCCCGAATAGGAGTCAGGTGGATGAAGAAATTAAAGCATTGCGAAGAAATGAACGCCATATTGAGCATTTATACCATAAGGGAGACCAAATATTTAACAACTTGATCACGCAACTACTACATGAAAACCCAGAAGAACGACCGACTGCATCTAAAGCCTTAGCATGTCTGCGTCGTGGACAAGCTGCAGTGAAGAAGTTTCTCGTAAAGAAATATGGGGAGGAAACTTGGCATAGATGCTCGTCTGATGGTGATACCTTATCAAGTATAAAAGCTACAATACAAAATAATCCTAACATAGGCATTAAAGCTGATGCACAAGTTCTACAACAAGAGATGACTATTCAAAACAAAGAGAGATTGGTGGCAATAACGTCGGATGAAGTTGCTCGTGAGATGTTTCTTAGTGCTGAAACCAAAGGGGAGAAAGTGATGATTATTGAATCAGACGGGAAAAAACAGCCTCTATAAATTAAGATCTTACTTAATGTAACACGACACGGCTATAGCCTTCGAAAGCAATGACCCGAGATGACGGTGAATTTTCTGCAATAAAAATGATGTCTCTCTATCCATAAGAGATACATACCCACGCAACAAAACGTGTCAAAAACTTACAAGCGCTACTTGTTGGATGTAAGGAATATGTTAGTTAGGGTTAGGCTCAATAATCAGTTTGTGAACCACATCTTGAACTGTCAGTTCTACAAGCACTCCTTTATGAATTAAATTAAATTATTATTTAAAGTCTTTAAACACTTTAAAGAGGTTTAAATAATTATTTTACTCAAGGACACCCGTTTTAGCCGCTTCCGATAAATTATAGGTTTAGTGAAAACGAAGCTTTATTTATTAAATATTAATTCCTCACGGTAGTCAAATATCAAATAATAAAGTATATTTTGTAGTAGTGAGGTACAAATTTTAGTACCTCCACTGCTATTAGAGACAGCTGCCCCCTTGCCTTTTGCCAGGAGAGACAAGGGGAGCAAATTAATTATAAATTTTATGTTCAGTTGTGACATACAGGTTTGACATCGAACCAGCGCTGATTAACAAATCAATTTACAGGATAAGGCCACAGTATCTGGTTAACAAATCAACCATGGCCATAAACGCAATATGTCAGTGCATGGTCAAACCTGCATACTATTATAATAAAACACACTATGATATATAATGAACAATTGTGTTTGGAATTGATTGACTTCCTGTTTTCTTTCGCGGAAATACCATGAATAAATAATTACGCAACAACAACCTGCCGGGTATTTGCTTACAACTAAGTTTCATCACATTTTGAACGTATAATACCTATTTAAAAGATAGAAATTATGACTAACGAGACGGTGGAATATGATAAAGTTGGAAAAGCTTTAGAGCTTAAATATACGATTGACGGTTTGCTTGGAATGGGTGCCTTTGGTGACGTCTACAAAGCCAAGTGTACGGAGGATGAGAAAACTTATGCTATCAAAGTCCTTCCGTATGGCGATGAGGGCAAACAAAAGTATCAAGAACGAGAATTAAAACTACTTACAAAAATGAAACTGTCAAATACATCTGGCTCAAATGTTATCAAGTATTTCAAAAGTTGGCTTTTACGCGTTAGCGATGGAGGTTATCGACTGTGTATTCAAATGGAACTCTGTTCGTTTAACTTACGAACTTTCGTCTCTAAACACGAGAATGGCATGAAATTTATCCAAGATTCGCTCTTTCATCGACATGTATTTCATCAAATTTTAAATGGCCTTGTTTTCATTCACTCAATGTATTGGGTGCATCGCGATATTCACCCAGGTAATATTCTCATTGTTAATCCAAACCCACAACAAATAACTGATATTCATGTCAAGATCGCTGACTTTGGACTTGCTAGGAATATGGATCTTAAAATTAAATTAAAAGTTTTGCCTACGGGAGAAATCGGCCATGAGAATGAGGAACTAACGCAATTTTATTTATTCTCGAATTGTGCGTACATGGCACCGGAGCTTGCCACTAATAATTATGATTTCAAAGTCGACATGTATAGTGCAGGAGTCGTGCTGTACTTCATCAGCTGTTTTCCACTGAAATCAGATGATCAGTCAAAATTGAAGTCAGAGATCGAAGAGCTAAGACAAGGCCGTCGTGACATAAGAGAATGTTTACATCACAAGAGCGACGAAATATTAAGCCGTCTCATATTAGGGTTAATTCAAGAAAATCCAAAAGCACGCTTCAGTGCCCATGACGCTAGGAACTTCATGTCTTCTCAAGAAGCAAATGATTTACCTGACGGGAACGAAGCCATGGTTATTTCACCTGCAATTGACTGCAGTCAGGCATCGAAGATCACGTTCATTGCAAGAGTAGAAAATGAAGAGCATGTTCATTTCTGCGTTATAAAAGAACTCACATTATCCGCAATAAGAGCAGAAGTTGAACGAAATACTAACGTGAAAGCCGACCAACAAGCTCTTTTTATCAAGCGCAAGATCAATAATGAAGATATGCTTATCATTATCAAAGATGATGAAGACGTCAAGAATAATTTCCAGGACGCAGCAGATAAACATTATGAGATCGTGATGGTAGTTGAACAAAGAGAGAATATTCAAGAAAACAGCAATGAAACAAGTCAAAACAACTCTGGAGATACGACTATGGTGTCTACCGAATGATAGAACGAAGTTTGTTTTAGATACAAAGAATATTGCATGATTGAAGATGAGATTGTTATATTCTTATACTCCAATATAAATGAGCTTTGGTCAGGATTTGGTCAATATATTTGAGGACAGGAAGGTTGAAATGACCAAATGAACTGCCGATAGGCTACATAATAAAATTTGAATTCTTTTAAATTATTAATTGGTTTCCAATTTCATATTCATATCTGTTTTGTGATTTTACAGTTTGTTGTAACTTGTAAACTATTTTAATGTAACTTGCTTATTAATTTTAATACTTTACACATGCATAGTTTTTTCATGCATCTATTATATCATTTATTATAATATTATACGCTTTCATATATATTATTCATGTTTCAAACAATAAATAATCCTACCTGTATCATACTGCCATCATCATTATGAAAAGCCAAAGAACTCAACATCTGAAATAACTTGCGAGTTTGGCCGATACTCAGGTTGTCCAAATAATCCAGTATACCCTGAAGAAAGATTCGGAAAAACGCAAGTATCAGAATGAAAGCATTCTCCACCCATGCATTGCATGGTACCTTCAGCGCGCCATCTCTTTCCCTTGTTAAAGAAGGCAGAGAGAAAACACTCATTTTGACTAAGAGCATACAGGCACTTTGTTTCCGCAAAACCAAACATAGTACTGTAAAACTGATTTTAGATCAAGAACAGCCTGCGAAGCCTGTGAGAAGAGAAAATGCCATTTCCACTTACTTTGAGAAAGATTGCAAACGAGGACATATGAGACGGATGGTGTTCAACTAAATCACTCAAAACATCGAGAGATGGATCTGCTTCATTGGGAAAACCACTACCAACATGAGTGACCAAGGCACCAACGACTTCCTACAAACAAAAATACACATTTAGAAATACTTGGTCGTGATGTGACTGATGTCTTCTTCCACGTCGACCAACATCAGAAACGTTTTCTCCTCAATATAAAGATCTTGTTTTATAGTAAAACTAGAGACATGAAGATCTTCCCACGACAAATGTGATCTTCAGCATGGACTACCAATTTTATTTTACTTTCGCGCCAAGCATGTGATTGTTTAGCGAAACATGGCCAGACCATGAATGGGACGGGGGGTTGTCCACGCCATTATGTAAAAAGTGTAGCAGTTAAACATAAACGTTCATGGGCCGGTTAATGTTTAAAGCTAGGTCGGCGCTAACCCTGGGTTAAATTTTACTGCGCTGCTTTGGCTTATGCGCTTCTGAACCACTGTTGATTCTAAAACTTTAGAAAATATGACTACAATCGGTCCAGAAAACAAGCGGTTGAAAAAATTAATGTAAAGATTTGCCTTAACCCAGGGTTAAAACTAACCGACTTTTTAACAACCGGCAGGCCAGGTGTCGAGAATTTCTTACTAAAAAGCTCGAGGAATACGACAAAAGAAAAGATAATTTAGCGCGAAAATGACGAATTTTGTACTCGTAGTCACCCTCAAAGCTCCCCAATAATCCTTACCGTCCCCTATTTTATAAAACTAGCTTGAATGCTATTCTATCTACCTGTTTGCAGTACAGATCAAAAGAGAGAAAAGCTTGAACGTAAATGGCTCTCGCGTAAGAAGAAACAATGGAATCAGGAGATCGAAGAAGTACTTCAGAAATGATCAAAAGATTTTCGAAATATTCTCGTAGAACCTAAAAAATAGGGAACATATACGATACGTTACTTCAAAGCATTTCATAACTGGCATCTGTGGTCAATGCGTAATACATGTAGTGCATGTCTGAGTCTGAGAGCAGTTGTTCACAGCAAGAAATTCACGCGCGGCAGAATTACTCTCAGTCTTTTTGAGGACTGTCAAAAAAATCAACAAAAAATGACGAAGTATTCTCCTTGCCAGGAGAAGTGAAAACTACGCTTATCCTTCATTCAAACTTTCTTTAAAACCTGTTTATAGGATGTAAGAGACGATGTCGCAAACCTGTCCAAAAAACTTGAATGCCTTGCCCAGAATATCTTCAGTAAAACAACCGCTGCGGATTTTGTTCCGTAGCAAACTTTCAACAAGTTTTCTCTTGCTGGTCACAGCATAAAGAATGAGAGCGACGAAAATATCTATCACCAAATGCTCCGATGAATTTTTTACATTGTCCAAGGTCTACAACAACAAATATTAAATACTCGGTCTCGGTTCAAACCAGAAAAATATATAAATCAGTGCAATGGGTAAAGCCAAAGGGCCGGATTAACGGACTGAAACCTTTCTAGTATTAAATACTTACGTGCATGGTGTATGACCTGCAAGCTAATTCACTTATATTGATATCACCAAGCAAAATTACTAGAATATTATTACAAAATAATGAAATGTTGCCTCCACCTTAACGATAAGGGTTAGCATAAGACAGCTTACCTTCAACCAACCGTCAGCTATAGACTTTCGAAATCTGATACTGGCTTTAATAGCATCCAAGGTCAGTAAAACGCCATCTTTTGAGTTGCGTCTATCAGAACTTGGGAGAGAAAAAACATGCATTTCTTGTGAACGCATGAACAAGGGTAATCAATCTTATTCTGATATAAATTAAATTACCTTTTTCTAACGTGCGATGGAGTTGAGGTAGCCGACGGAATCAGGGAACAACTAAACTCCAGATTATTGCGTAGTTCAGTTATCGCCTGCAGTGGACAGAGAAACGACATTAAAATCTTTGTGGAGAAATGATTTACATATCACACGTTCGCACCAGCTGACCTCACTTACAGTAGACAATCAGTATTACTAACGAAGGATATTACTATTATCTGGGGGATCCATGGTCATCTGGAGGCGAGGACCGCGAGGTTGCAGATTTTCCTTGGGGATGCACTATTCGGCTACTTGTACTACAGTCCTTGCCCACCTTCCTACCCTCAAAATATTTGTAAATGTCCACTATAATAGGAATCATGTTTTTCATCATGTATGATGCTTGATACCGCGCATGCAGCAAAAATCGTGGGAAACCTAGGATCTGACTCAAGTCCGGGTGATCATCACCGTGACGTGAAGGAGGTGTTCACAGAAATGTTCAAAGACTCTGGGTTCATTCTCTTCATTTCTTTGAGAGAAGTACAGTATCAACAAAAATATCACCTCAAAAGCTTCGTTGTCTGCAACTGATTGTAAAATAAACTTCACGACCACGGGAAGATCATCCATTTCTGTTGAGGATAACATATTGATTACAGATTCTCGCACCTGAGAAAGGAAAGGTATCAAGACAACTGACTCAGAACCTGAAATAGCGACCGGCAGTGAGTTTCCCGACCAAATTCCAGTTGTTCCCCCTATGGTTAATTGCTGTACTGATTGCAAATTCGACCGGACAAATTTTAGGCGAAAAATATACGTATTAAATGCAACCTAAAAAGACACTAGATTATTAAAGAGACCAGATTATTAAAAGAGAGGAACGACGTGTTTTTGCTAATCACTATCAATGAATCGGACTCTTGTGACTGACTGTACCTCAGAAAGTAGATCAGTTTTCAAATTGAGATTAGTGAGAGTGTCCAGTATTGCCAATGTCAACTGTGAATTCTCTTTCATTATGTCTCTAATAATTGAACAACAAGTTCTCACTTACTTTTCATGCTACTAATTGTTATATATCATACAGGAAACTATGCTGGGACCCGCACCACAAATTTCTGTCCAGTTTTTACATTGGAAGAATACTCAAGTTCAAGAAGATGACGGAATCGGATAAACATGAATGTGTGCTTGACAAGATTTACACGTGAGATTCTAGACTTCAGGTCATGCTTGGTTAACCAGTTAGCTTGGTTAACGCAAATCAACGAATCATTTTCTCTCCGGCAACGAGAATGTTCTACTATCCTAGGTTTTACTGAAAATTGCGCAATTTTTAGTGCCTTAAAAGGAGTCAAAAGGAGCAGGCACAGGTTTTTGAGAAAAATAAGCTTAGAAAAACTAAAAAAATTGGGTGAGGCCCCAACTCCGTTGCCAGAAAACGAGGGCTACTGAAAATATTAGGATGCTTCATGCTTGACTTTAGAGAGTAATAGTCATGGGTAAAAATATTAGTTTACATTAATTCTCTGGCAATTTCCACATGTTCGTTGTCGTCAAGGATTTCTGGAATAGCAGTAATAATTTCACGTTGTATTGACACACTTGAGATACTGATGATTTCCAATAATTTGCCACTCAAATCCTGGAATAATGATGTATAATGATGTATTTCGTTTAGTCTAATATTCTCTTGAAATACTTCATACATACAACTACATAATACAGTATAATGACCCTAATAAAACTTAATACTTGTAGTGTCAAAATATTATCCCAACCATTTTACTCAGCTAGTTAGCTAGTAGCTGCCACTCACATGCAAATAAAATGGTCGATCTATACAAAGTAATAAAGTTAAAGCACCTTTGGATGGGAAATTTTATCCAACCATTTAAATTGATTAATAACCAATCTTGGTATGTCATGCTCTGAAACTCTACAAAACATAATAATTCTAAAATGAATAACAATGTTTTCCACGAGAGCATCTAGTAAACTTAACTAGTTTTCAAAAACTATTTTACCTGCTGCTATCATCAGAAAACTCTGGGATTTTCTCCAACAGAACATTGGCAATTAATGGCTATAATATGGATAAAATAATTTATGATTTAGGTTTAGTATTCCTTATCACCTTCATATGAGAAAACTGTAATTAGTATACACCTGTAGCATTTCAACTCCTAGGAATATTCTCATCAAACTGTCTTGAACTGGGCCACGGGTACTGAAAATTTCAGCATGTGATGTATTTAATACACAGTAGAACAAAAAAGATGTGTTGGTCAAGGTATGTATATTCCGGCAAATACCTTTCTTCAACATTTTCAGAAGTTGATGTTGGCAACAAGGATACACAGAACCTTGGAAAGTAAGTGTTACAGAAATTATTTTATGGGTAATAAACATTAAGGTGTACAGAAATTCCTATATATCAATGTATCACTGTAAGTATATGTTGATTACTGCAAGAAAACTGTACCTAATGACATAAAGTTTTTTACCTCTCTGGTTCTTCAAAATAGCTTGTTAAACCTTCAATGAATTCATCCAGAACCTATTAATTGACAGGACATTAAATGATATGACCAATCTTAATCACATCATATGAGGCAAATTGTATTAGTTAAAATATCAACATGGATTTTGTTGATCAACCAACATATTGGTATTAGAGAAAGCTAGTATAAAACTCATAATAAATTTCATTGCTTTGCAACCAAATGAATCTAAATACCTGAGGATAATTCTGATGTCTTTTTAATCCATTTGATAAATTTCTCTGAAATATTGTCTGATCTAATTCTAAAAAGATAATCAACATTCATTTTTATCAATCAGATTTTGACTACTTCAGTACTTCAATATAATAACATCAAGGACTTACTTATTTTATGTGGTGCTTCTCCTATGCTAAGAATTATACCAGCTTTAGTCACTAGTTTACCAAATGTAGATTGCAACACTTTGTTATTGTGATCATTCCTAGATACATCATTTTCTTTTCCATTCTTTCGTTTCTTGTTGCTTGAAGCTGTATGTTAAGTAATGTACATGATGAATGAAAATAAGTCAAGTTGTTTGACCTACTGATGTAGACACATCCAGATCATGACAAACTAGTGTTGGTGATGGAATAGAATTGACAACAATTTCAATTAATGTCAGGTTCAAATTTGCAGGCAAGTCTAATTGTTTTCAGTAATCTTGATGTTCACACTAGTTGAATAATGGAACTCCCATATCTCTCCTCCAAGGTATTTATACCATCCATTGACAAATAAGTTTTGTTTGGAAATGGCAGACATGGCCACAATTAAAGTACTAAACTGACTCTCCATCTATTTATAGATATGCTACACGCTTGATGTTTTACGACTAGATGGTTAGGTTCGGATGAAAATGTCATTTTTGCTTTTGCGGCAACTTGAATAGTTTAATTACACAACTAAAAACTCTGAGTCTGCAGTTTATCAGCATGCAACAATGTTGTGCTGCCATTATTGTTCACACTTGTCAACAACATTGAACAATATTGTTGAAACTGAATCGGGTGTAACAATATTGTTCAATGTTGATAACAACTCTGAACAATGTGGTCAGCACAACATTGCTCCATCCTGTTCATATCAATATTGCATCAACCTGATCGTTTTTACGCGTGTAATTATCAGTGTGTCCCAGTGGTGTGTCCTGACTCCTGAATTGTTAAAATGGATTATTAATATTTTATGTCTAGTGAATCAAATCAAATAAATCAATCAATGGATAGAAGTATGGCAACTAACTTGGGTTTATCTTGTCTGAATTGGAAATTCTTTTCCTTGACTTTAACATTATTGTCAAACATATGCACGAACGAAAATTACCAAAAATACAACTCTCATATCAAATATTAAAATTCATTTATTTCATTACAACATTGCAAATTGCCGCCATTTTCTTTCTAATTTCCCGCCAATATCCTCGTATACTGTCGTTAACGGATCGTACATTGTCGAAAACTGTCGGCCAAGTCGGAAGTAATGAGTAATGACAGTAAATTTTTGAATTTTGTCGCCATCTATTGTGTGTTTTTGTACTGTTGTTTTTCTCAGGAAGCTATCAGAAATTTGACTCCGATTGCATACTTTTTACACTTAATTATTGTCTGTGTTAGAAAATGTATTTCCTAAATACGTTGGTAAGTCAGAATATATTTATTTTGTTTTGAATTTTAGACGTGTTCTCATTTCAATTAGAACAATTTTCTGCATTTTGACGACTTTGCATTCTATTGTTTTGGCGCAATCCTAAATTGTTCTTGACTAATCTTGAGGATGAGGATAATGATTTTTATTAGCAATCAAACAAAACGCTCACGTTCTAAACATCATTAGAAATTGTGACGAACAATAACGAGTAAGCAATTAAAAGTTATTTAGAATGCGTGTAAACGAACTTTGATACTGTCTTTCCTTTTCATGTGTAGCTGTCAGATTCTTGCTGAAATATATACACACGCAGTCGGTGTCGAAAATCCAGTCTTCAAAAGACCTTTGGCCTACTGACTTTTTTATTAAGGGGGAAAAATAAACACATTTTTAATCAGGTAAAATAGTATATTTTACTTCTTTATCAAAACTATAGGAATGAAGACCCCCTGGTTCATTGACTTCATTCTCGTTGTAGATTTCATATTCGGGGGGATTCCCGTAATTTTTTACCCATGCTATATTGAATTCCAGTTTATGATTATTAGGAATATCATAACTCATAAGTGTATGCAATAAGAATGTAAAACAACAAAAATAACTCTCCAAGGTTTATGATTTCAAATGTATTGTGTTCTCCATATGTGCCATAAAGTCCATCAAAAACATGCTCCGTTTTTTTGGACTAAACTCTTAAAATATTATTATTTTAGAAACTTGAGCATGCAGATGGTGCGACAGAGACTAAACATAATAAAGCGAGACAGCCCAGCTGTGACAAAACCTGTGAAGGATGGGGATCTGGATGAAAAAATCCGTCGGATACGAGAAGAGAACAAGAAAAGAGAAGAACGCTTTCATGAAATTGAGCAAGATAAGAAATTAGCATTAAATGCAGCATCAGAGAAAAAATCTGATAAGACTAGCCCAAAGGTGAAATCAAGTGAAGGTAATATTGACACAAACCAAAATAGAACTATGATGGATGGAGTTCAGTTAGGTTACCACAAAAAAACAACAAAAGGAAGAGGACAAAGGCTCTTGGAGATGAGTCATCAACCTTCAAAAGCTAAGTTTTTTGAATCTAGATATCATTCTGATCATCTGATCGAACATTTGCCTGGACAAATTTCACTCAAGAGTAAATGTCGAACAAGCATCCGAGAACGAATTAAAACCATAAGTAAGCAGAGTGTGACCACAAAACCTGACGTCAGTCTAAATAAAGAAATGGAGATCAGCAATGCTCACACTGAGTGTGGGAATAATGTGGATTGTACTGGAAATGACCAGTGTCAGGAGGCAACTAAAGGGAATAAAGAGTTGTTGCAGCATACTAAAGGTGATCCAAGTACAAATGAGGAAAAATCACTAGAATATATGCTGGATGAAGTTGATATACAAGAAGCAACTAAGGAACAAAATCAAGGAGAAAGCACTGAGGGCAACATTGTCCCGACTCACACAACAAATCCTGAGACAGACAAAGACATTTTAAATGACGTGCAAGAACAAGACACAATAAACAAAACAGACACTTCACAAACACAATCACAAGCTGAAACTTCTAATTCTACACCAAAAAATGAAAAGCCTAAAATTACAGTAAAATTAAAGAAAACTGTGTCAAATAGTAGTTTTGACGAATCTATGTCTCTGCTTAGTCCACTAGATTTGCCAAAAAACTGGGGGGATTTGGACTTTAGTGATGATGATTTATTACCTGTGTCAATATGGAAGGATTAAATCCTTTAAAATGTTACATGGTGCAAAATTTTAATAGCTTTGAGCTAATAAGGGATCTTAAAAAATACCTTCATTGTAAAATGACCACATTCATAAAAATACAGACAAAAATTCTTTTTAATTATTAGTCTGTACTATTTTAATCATCTACTGTATATTTATAGTCACATTTTACTTAGAAAGTTTACATACCATAGATGTCTAGGAAATAGATATTGTAGAATTTGAATGTTTATAATCACTAGATGATGCTAAATGCAATGAATGAATATTGCCTTCCTAACTGCTGTTTTCATGTGTTTGTCTTGATATTTTTTCTAGCTAAACTACTTTTGTCAAACTAGTTATAGTTTAAAGAGCTCCAGCAGACTTCAGTTTAGGCACAAGTTGCCCTTTACTTTGGAGAGCTGTGGTATCTGAACTGCCACCAATAGATTCCCCACCAATAAACACTCTAGGAACCTATAAACAAATGTACCAGGTTTTATAAAGGGTTCACAAATGGACCTACATGAATGTATTTAACTAAATGGTTTGACTAATCTTGGATCTCTGTTTGCAGCATAATGACAGGTTATTTTCCCATCCCTTGAATTACCCTAACCTCATCACTAACATGAGATCCTGTCTCAAAGACAAACGTATTTCAGGGTACATTCTAACACTTCATGCCATTCGGAATAACCCTTTTTTTTACCATTGCTGTCGTGCAATTCTAAGTCAATAAGACTGGCAATTAAATACAAGATGCACAGTCATTTTACTACAGTATACATCAAAACATCTTGCAGGTGTTCTAAACATACAGCCTGCAGCAAAGTAAGAAATTAATAGCTTAAAACTTTACAGCACATATGCCTTCCATGGTTTCTGAACGTTTAAATATAAGCTTACAGTTTTTGCTCCAGTAATACCAAGCAATATATCTTGAATTTCGCCACCATCATCTCTCGTGTCGAGCTCAATAACCAAAAAATCCTTCAAACCAACATCTGAGAATATTTTCTTTACAGATTTACAGTGTGGACAGTATGTCTTGGAGAAGACAACAACTTTGTTGCCCTTAATCTGTGTTTCTACCCATTCTTTTTTGCTCATTTTGCTTTTTGCAAACACCGCCAAATTAAAACAAAGTCAAGTTGTTTCAGTTTCCAGCAAAACACAGCAACCGTTGCTTGCACAGCAGCTGATATAATGATTAACTTATGTAACTCACAAAATTTAAATAGAAATTGTTTGAAAATTCCTTAAAACGCCCTAAATATTCCTCAAATATTTGTACAATTCCTCAAATCGTTGAAATTGTGTCACACAGTTGCCAAAAGTGTTTTTTCAATAAAAAAATACCAAAGTTTGGTTGCGAAAGCCGAAATTATTTACAATGTATTTGCAAATTTTGTACATTTTTGTATTGAGTGCGGCCAAAAACACTAAAAATGGCAACAATTCTTTTACATTTAATTTGTAGTTTAGAGACCTTGTGGCCTTTGCAAGGCCATGTTCTTTACATGCATTTTGCAACATTTCAAAATCAAACTTTGCAATTTTACTGATTTTAGAATCAACATAGAGTATTTCTCAGAAATATTAGTACAGTACATGGATATAATTCTATAACTTTTTTCAAGATTTTTTAATAATGATGAAAAGACAGTCAAAAATAAAATTAAAAGAAACAGAACAAAATAATACAAAATTTTAAATCTTAATTTTGTGATCACTGTAATGTGGTTTATATCAGGAGTGCTGCCGCTGCTTGACTAAGCACAGACTATGGGTTATCGACCAAAAACCCTCTCCAAATTTCCTGTTTTTAAGGACAACTCATTTAAAGTGAAGGCATATGCTTTTGCATAAATTATGGAACTATCAACAATGTGAATGAGTCAATATGACTAAGGAATAAGTAATAAGCATGACGTTTCATTCTATAAGTGACCTTGAATACACGAAAAAAGAATCCTTTCTTTTCAAGGAACCATTGCGAAAGAGGGACTCTTTTATCACTGTCAATTTTAAAAAATTTGTTAATTGTTATTCGACGTCTCACGCAATGATTCATGTTAGAGAGAGCCCGAGCACAGAATACCTAACAGAAGTAGAACTCCTGTACTTTTTTCGTAAGTGTGATTCGTCATGATTCGTCACTTACCAAGTGCATTTTTTTGAGGTAGTCACCCCCCTGCCAATGTCTAAAATCAGCCCATTTTTAGTATTGGCAGGGGGGTGACTGCCTCAAAAAAATGCACTTGCTAAGTGACGAATCATGACGAATCACACTTACGAAAAAATAGTATAGAGTTCTACTTCTGTTAGGTATTCTGTGGCCCGAGAGTTTTGTCCTGGGTGGCAATGTTTACACCTGGGTTAGATATCCCAGGGAGGAGGGCAGCCTTCTGCTCCCGGCGATGAACACGATCTTGCTGGCTCAAGCGAAAGCTGACGAACGATGATGGAGCAATTTGAAACGACCTTGATTAGCAGACGATCCACAATCCTCCACTTCCGCGCGCGATATTTAAACTATTAATTAGAACTAAGTAAATAAAATAATATTGTTTGGGTTTAGACGGAATGAAATCGATTATTTTCTTGATCTCCTATCTGGCTTTCATTTCAAAGATTATATTTTATTTGCCAACAATATAAAGTAAGAATTCACATTGAGCTGAGCTTGATTCTCCTCTTGCATTCCAAATGGGGGTTGTTCATGCTGGTTTGACCAGTGTTGTGCGTGGACTATGAAGGTCTCCATCTAGTTAAAAAACCATTTTTCACAAAGACGTTCCAAGTACGTCCGTTATTAATAAGATAAAATCTTTTGAACCTCAGAATAAACTCTAATTCAAACGATCTGCTTCAAAATAAAATTCTACCCATGTCGGCAAATATTTATTTAAAGAAAATTCTTCTCAAACGAATGATCAGTCACCAAGGAATTTTAACAACTAAAGCAAACCATTATAAAATATTCTCCTATAGTTGCAGGTATATTCCACCGCCGCCCATTAGCATGATTCATTTCATTAGACTCTTACTGGAAAGATGAATAAAAATGAGGACGGTTAATGTCTTCAGTCTGATCTTACTTTCCACGTTCTTGCAAGGAGAAAAAGACAAGAAAATTGAGAAAACCAAAAAACTATCGTCAGTATGTAACTCTTAGTTGTTTTCAATCATTACTAAATTCCATACTACCTACACACGCATGCATTTTGATCTATGTTAAAACTTTTTCTCCTAATAATCAATGATCTACTGAAGATATCAATTTAGCGAGAGTTGGTTGTAATTGTATCAACTGAAAGTCAATATCAGAAATCATCGGACAATTACATGATAAGACACCACTCGATATGAAGAGCAACACAAACTATAATAAAAACGTGTTCAATTGTTTTAAAATTAGAAATCAATATGGCGTCCTTTTGACTGTCGTACAAACAGTGATTGCCCTGCGTCAAAATATTGCCTTGGCTGGACTTGCGTATTACGTCACAAAGGATTTTGTTCCCACGACCGGCAGTGCCTCGGACAAGAGTGGTGCAATATCCAACATAGATGTGTTAGAAAGTCATGGTGTGATGTCGACGCAGAATGTGGAACGAATAAATGTTGTGCAAAGGTCGATCATTTAACCCAAGGAAAATGCTTGCCTCTGATTAAACATGGAGGCATCTGTTTAATTAAAGTATGTCATGCACAGCATAGGTTCAGTAATTTTTCATGCATGACCCAGGACCCCTTCTTGTTTCAGTCAAGAGATGTACGTATTCTTCCGACCTGTAACGCTATCCAATCCTTCTAGCGTGGTTTTTAACCGTTTCTAATTGCTTTTTCTGATTTCTCCGTGATTCAAAATTCTTATTTCTTTCTTCAGATTATGCTGTGTCCGTGTGTGAAGGAATGCTATTGCAAGGCTTTGTCAGAACGACTTGGCCGTTGTACAAAAGCCGACCGAAATATGAGCACAGAACTTGCCAGCAACGGAATGAATGGTCCAACGGAAATAAACAATAATACGTAAATGTATTCTAGGACATATCTCAAGTTTCACCGAAGGACAATCAATATTTACAATATATAATCGTAATCATACGTTCATTTTTTCTTCTTTCCTTTTTTCCCGCTCTTTTTACCCTTGCCGCCTTTCTTTCCCTTCTTCTTGTCGCCATCTTCATCTCCCATAGCGGCTTTCAGACGTTTCTTGCCAAGTGGAGTCTTTGTGTACCAGGTCTGTACGATGGAAACAACACTGAGGTTATTACTTATTACATCAAGAGAAAAAAAATCGACATTCATTCTGTATACTGAATACTGTTCAGTCATTCTATTCCTGAATCCCACAGAAGCCTGAGAAACCGGCGAGGAAAGCTAGCAAGCTAGCGGGTCGCGAGATCGCCGGTTGAAGCGAGCTTCATATTATGATCCAAAGAAACCTATAATACTCTATTTAAAATATTATTACCTTGAACGCCTCTTCTTCTTCTTTGTAAATTGGATCAATCTTAGCAAGCGAAGGAATAAACTCAGAGGCAAGTAATGGTTTCTTTACCAACTATATGAATAGAAAAAAATTCTTGTTTGAGAATATTTATTAGAACTAATGGCATAATGCGCAGATGGCCAGAGGCCTGGGGCCAGTTGTATGAAAACTTTAACTACACATTTTGAGTAGTTAAATCGGAGCTTACTCCAGTATACGCGACTTTGATTGACCAATTCCGCCGCTACTTTGGCTGAGTGAATGACAACTGGTCCCTGGTGAAAAATACGCTTTTTTACCTGTTGTTTCCTGCGTTCTGAGAGAACTTGATTGATGACCTCGATAATATGACCTGGAGTGTATCCGTCGCTGATCTTGGCGAGTGAGCTGACGTCAAGGTTGTCCGTAATAACTCCTTTTTGTTTAATAATCAATTCCCGCCATAAACCTTAATGATAATGAATAGCCGAGTTCATATGAGACGAAACGTTTCTCAAAAGTCCCACATGTACTTACAATAACGTGAAGCATAATCTGGTCGAGGAATTAGCACAATTTTCTGATAAGCTGAACAAAATGGTTTCACTTCGGCATTTGGGAAAAGCAGTTAAGGAAAGGTTGCTGTTTGGGCGGGATGTACGAGATGTTACAGAAATTTTGTTTGGGTATCGATAAATTTCCGAATGACTAACCTATACATCCACTAAATATGTATAAGGAACACATATTTGTTTTATTTATCCAGCTCGGTTGTTTAATATTTTCCGGCACCATGGCATGCTACCCTTCCACCAGTGACCAGTCTCAGACCATAATTAGCCGTATAGAAGCTTTAATAATTTTGCGAATTCTGGATCATCTGTGCCAATATACAGTAAACTTAATGTATCTAAAGGATATCAAAAGGTGATTTCGATGTTCCTATTATCATAACTCTGTCCTCCGGCTTCAGAGTTTTTAATATTTTCGGTAGATCTTTCTTTAACCGCTTCGGGTCGGTCTGCAAAGATAAAAGAGTTTCAGAGATTCATTCGTGGTTGTTGATGACTTAGTGGTTACTGACTCGTGTGTTTTTTGCCCGCAGGAGAGGAAAGGTTTTGTACCTCTCCATCGAAGAATCAGAAGAAAATATTGAGCAAAAAGCCGTATATTTTATCTTACTTTATCAGTTTTTGGGATTTTCTTCATGAATGTCTTCTCAGCATCCCCGATGTACACAACAGACGGCTGCATTTGTCGGGCGACCTGGAAACGAAATTGAAGTAAATCAATTGAGAGAACGTATTAAAAAATACGATGATGTAAAATATTATTCTTCGCTCAGTTCTATAAATCGAGTATTTATTTCCATAAATAGTTGATTTGAGGATTTCCACAAAATTGTGCTACATCGCCATGCACCTGCTTAAATTTCGAGTTATCGTCGGTCGCCAAGTAGCTATGTCACATCACCTACCTTGAAAACCATGTGTAGCATCATATTAAGACCGGCTTTTCCTGGATATTTGCCAACAATATTGGACGCGGTAAGATCAAAGAAATTCGCCCCAGACTCCGTACAGATGCAGTTCACCAAGGTTTTCTTTCCAACACCACGTGGTCCGGCTATCAGCATGGACTTGATGAGAGGAGCTTTCTCGTGGATTGCCTGAGAACCTTGATGATAAAGAAATAAGTTTTTCATGCACAAAAAGGTTATCACGGAATTGCGCATCACGTGAAGCTACGTCATACTTTTCTGACTTCTATGTAGATCAGTGACTCATAGCAAATCAGAACACTGAGTCTGGAATACGAACGAGACCGGTGGAGTTGGCTGCTGGAGCCTGGAAGTTGAAATATGGAATGCAGGCTGATTCATATCAATACACACTGCGATCGTAAGAGAATCACTCAGAAAATTGTGATAAAAGTTTAAGAGTTCCAGGTGCGTTGTGGACAATCTAATACTGCATTAACTTCATTCTTGTATCTAGAGCTGAGTATCGAAAAAGTGTTCTACAATACCTAAAGGAAGAACACAGAACTCGGTGATGACACGGCGAACGTCGGAAAGAGACGGCATAGGTTCGATGTTCGCTTGACGCAGAGTTGATCCAAGATAACTGGAAATAGAAAAAAAATTCAGTACGTGAGCTTGGTTGGTAACGGAATTCGAAGTCATTCAAAAGATCGGAGACTACGGCGTAGTCAGCCTGACGATTTAGGAACTCGTTAAAAATTAGCTAATTGTTCTTACAGTGAACCACCAGAATAGAATGGACAAGTTGGATTTTACTGCAATACCTGAATTCCCCTAAGAATTCAGACAACTGAACTTTTGGATGACGAACTAAGATATTTTCATCAACAAGCTCTTCATACAATGACTCCATAGTTCTATAAGTACGAATTAAGGCGATTATCAAACGTTATTCGACAATATTTGAGAATATTCCATGCTACATTTTCACAGTCCCTTCGGCCAGAATTTAAATTAAGGACGTGGATTTCTTGTGTCGAGCAAGCGAGCTTACCGATCAGCGGTAAGATCTTTTTCTTTCTTCTTTTTCTTGCCTTTTTTACCACTTTTCTTTCCGCTCTTCTTTTTCTTCTGTTAGAGTCAAACATGATTGGAAGTATCAGAGAAGCATGTCTACAGATTTCCTTAGAGCTTCCAACTTGCACATACCTTTTTACCGCTCTTTTTACCACTTTTCTTCCCTTTCTTTCCTTTCTTACCACCTTTATCCCTATCTACCGCCTGGAGGTAAATAATATTGCATTTCACCGATTCAACAACAGGAAATCAAAGGAAACTCGAAAAACATTCAAAAGATAAATAAAAGAACATTCGTACATACATGTAGTCTATCTGTGCAGAATATCCGACACAATGATGATTTAATACACAATTGCTACTATAAATACCATTTTTAAGTTCTTCAACTCCTCACGCATCAATTCGTCCACATTTTTTCTCACTTCAGTTTCGACTTCAAGTCTGGCCAAACAAAACAGCGATGTTATGGGAATTAAAGGGAACAAGAAACTCAACGCATTGTGCACAAACCTCTTCGCTTCCTTGATTAATTCAGCGTCATATTTTTGTTGAAAGTTGTTGTGTTCATCGCGGCATTGCCAAACGTCTAAAACAAAAAGCACAGTTTAAAAATGATGAGTTATCCAGCTAGCAACCCTCGTAACCGGAGCAACGACATTTACCTCGATACGCATGAACTGATTCGTTGATGGCGCCAATAAATTTTGACTCTGACATTTTGAAACCTTTTTCTTCCTCCTAACATCACAGGCGAAACAGGCAATTCAGCAGAATATGATGAAATGAATGAAAACAAAACAGTCACTATTGAAATTTGAATAAAGTTTGTGAACTATACAGATCCAGGATATGCAAATATATCCAGTTATACATACAAAGGCCAGTACTTACGTCATCACCTCCTCCTTTCCCTTTTCCTTTTCCCTTTCCTTTTCCTTTCTTGTCTTTTCCCGCGCTTTTTGCTTTTTTATCTTTCTTTCCCTTTTTTCCTTTTTTGCCTTTCCCGCCGCCATCTTCATCCTGGGGACAAAAGAAAGGATGGAGTTGTGAAAGTTGGGTCCGTTTTACACCAAGCGAAGTTATTAGCGCGAGACAATTAAAGCCCGAAACATTGCAACACGATTTTTAAGCGAGAAAATTCTCTCGTTCTTATCTGTTCTCAATGTGTTAATATTTCAATACACACGCAACCCCTAAATACATCAGCTTTATACTTTATGTAACAGCAATTGAACATAACCTATTTACCTTACTTGCTTCTTCTTTGGCCAGCTGAAAGGGAATGAAATTTAACGTTAAAAATGAAGGTTTTGTAAAAGCAATTCTCAACAAAGCAAACTTCGTTAGGAAAAATGACGTTGGTTACCTCTTCTGGTGTTTTCTCCTTAAACAACATAGCTGACCCTCCTTCATCGTCAGATGGATAATCAGGGAATTTTCCTGTTTTGTCGCTGGAAAAATAACAGCGGGAATATCGTTTAAGAGCTGCTTCATCGAACCTGGGAAGAAGCGCGGGTAAAGAGCTGGTTACAAGTTAAAACTGATCATTTTTTGCTCACCGACACTCGATAAACCATTGTCTGACTTGGTCCTGCATCGTTTCTTTCATGTCAGGACCTTCGACGTCGCGAATCTTATCCTTAATGCTCACCAACGCCTGAAAACATAAAGAATTAAAGATGTGATTACCGAAGGAGTTGAACCTGAGATTTAAAATCGTTCGCGCGGAAACCTTCCAGTGCAGTTGTGTACGATTAAAACATTAAATCTCATTTTATTTATTAATACTCACATCTTGATATTCTTTTTCGTGGTCGTCTTGGACAACTCTTCTGTGAACCTAAAATGACACAAATAGGTATATCAGTCTCTTTAGATGACGCATGCATCATATCATTTGATTTCATGCTGCTCGAGGCCTCTTTCATGGATCATGAGTCAATCACCGGGCGTCTTGTATGACTGAGAGCGAGGCATCCTTTTTTCTGGAGTTATGAAAATTGACATGCAACTTACACAAACTTTTTCCTCTTTCTTCCATGGAGTATATTTCGTTTTACCGGGATTTGGCATTTTCTAAAAACAAAAAACTTTCAACACTCCGTCTCCGCGGACATTTACCTGAGTACCGAATGATTTCATAGCTAGAGCTTGCATTCTAAACTATACCATGCCAATGAATTGAAACTCGTCTTCTCGCAATTGTTTTGTACGTTTTCTTTGAGCAAAACCTTTCCAGACTTTTTGTATTTTCGTGGCCGCGAGATCTGGATCAATAGCAGGGGCTCCTCGTAGCTGAGCTTGCTTCTCTCTCTCCTCTTGCATTCTAAATATAAGAGTTTTTAGTCAACTGTCCGCAATCATACAGCAAATGCATTGTCATGAAATGCGTGGAGAAAATGGAAAAGAAATCCATGAAACAAACGCTTTCTTTTAACCTTATTTCACGCATAAATTTTGCCCTCAATCGTCCTTGCCGTGCTCTTTCGTGGACCTACAGGATATGAAATATGGAGAATCATGTTATTCTACTGCAAATATACGTTATTTTCAAATTCATTTGGTTCCGACCTGAATAATCCTAATTGCATCATCCTTGGACATTTGAATCTCTTCTTTTTCCTTGAGAAATATTGAAGTAATTAAGATAGTATTATTTATCTGGATCAACCCAACATGGTATAACATAGGTATATATACTATTACTAACAAGGCAATTTTGTTGCTTTATCATGCCAATAATGGCTTTAGGTTAAGGTATAATTATAAAGACATTTAAACAAAATCATGATTGTAAATGAATGATTGGAATGTAAAAGAAGATTGACATAATACTAAACAATTGGCTTACAAGTTGGGTCAATAACTAAAGTATTAATAATTCCACCTGAAGAAAAATATATGAACAATATAGATATAGTTCAAAAGCATAAAGCAATTAAATTATTCTTACAACAGCAGTATCAACTGGTCCTTTTCTGGCAAAAATACTCCCCATCAATTTTTCTCTTTCCTTCAGGGCTTTTGCATTTTCAAATAAGAAATATTTGGGGATTGGCATCTCTATGTCATTCTGAAAAAGCAAAATTATAGAGTTGTTCTCAGCATGTAGAAAAAGCTGACAGGATTTGGTTGAAAACTGTACCGGTGTAAGTTTAAGATCTGATAGAACATCATCAAAATAATGATACTCTGAATGTTCCAATAAAACCATGTCATTCTTTAACTCCAAGATTCTGAAATGAAAATCATAATATACATGCCTCAGTTAAATGGACAGGTAAAATTTCATCACCATTCAACAATGGCACAGTTTGTTGAATGCAAAAACTCTAGGTCATCATGCAGCTATGGAAAAAAGGAGATGCCTGACAATATGATAGCTGAACTAGTTAGACTTATTCAACAAGCATATCTAACCATCAATATTGATGGTGGATGTTTTGATATATCGAGAATATTTTAAATATATACATAAATGTTTTAAATACATACCTTCCAATTGTGCCATCTAGTACATGTCTAACAACACGTCTTTTCTGTGGGTGGACAATCTAAACCAGGATTTATACAAAATAAGCTGTCTACTCAACTATTTTTTGGTTCACCAAGCACACAGATAGTGAAACCTCCCCCCAATATCACTGAAGACTAGTCAACCTGGTCATAACATTCTTCAAGTTTCCTAAATATTTGGATGTACTTCACGTATGTCACTGCAAGTAACTGGAATGCTTCAACATTGTTTTGGATCTGAAAATTTAAGAAATGTCAAAACTATAATAAGGGGAATGACCACTAAGGGGTATTGAGTATCTGGGAGCTTAGAAATAAGATTACTCTTATTTCGAGAAAATAGGAATAGCGGAATGGGAAAATCGATTCATCACGATTGTACTTGTACATCTATTTATGAACCGTAAATGATTATTAGCAGACCTTGTCTTGCTTCCGTTCCTCTTTGGGAATTTCAAATTCTAATAAATCCACTAAAGCATTATTCGCCTCACTCCACTGCTTGTTGTAAGTACTACAAAACAAAAACAATTGTGACTTTACAACTGAACTGAAATGAACTGACTCATTAAATTTTATATCTTGACCTAATTATTCCTGCCATAGAAATCGAAATTCGTCTCCCATACCTGTGCGCCATTATTAGAGGAGCATCAAACTACAACTTTCTATTTTTTCAAATATTTTATGTACATTTAACGTAACACAAAATGCAAAGAAATGAACAAGTTTAGAATTCAACTCCTGTTGTTGACGCCATTTTGTTTTTGTAGTTGTCATGGTTACAGAAACTGAAAACAGTCGTGAAAGGCCGTAACTTGCCGTGTTTAGCCGTGAAGACTCAACTCAAGGTCAATAATGGACGAATCGAAAGGAGCCATAAACCTATTCAAACCCGAAGATCATGAGCTTTCTCCAAGCTTTCGTTTGACAAATTTCACAAAACTAAAAGGATGAGGATGTAAGGTCCCTCAGGAACAACTTCGCAAGTTCCTGAGCGGACTAGGAGTCGAAAACGGCGAAGGTCAAATTGGGATAGGGCTGGACTCCTGCGTACTTCCAACGCGACACAAGGGTGTAAATCTTGTTCAAACTACCGATTTCTTCTATCCGTTAGTAGACGATCCATATCAGCAAGGAAAGATTGCCTGTGCTAACGTGTTGAGTGATTTGTATGCAATGGGAGTCAGTGACTGTGATAATATGTTAATGTTGCTTGGGGTCAGTACTGAGATGACAGCAAAACAACGTGAGGTGGTAACATCTTTGATGATCAAGGGATTTAATGACCTTGCAAAGGAAGCTGGGACAACTGTGAATGGTGGACAGAGTGTGCTTAATCCATGGTACATCATTGGTGGGGTTGCAACATCAGTAGTCTCTTTAACTGAGTTTATTATGTAAGCTATGCAAATTGACAATATTGACATACATACCATATCCACTAATATTAATGACCAATTGCAGCACTATGATTGTATCTGTCACCTGTGGGTGTACAAACGAAGTCTTAATATTTCTCTTGTCATCATTGATTTATTTTGCTTCAATATAAATTCCTCTCACAATTTAGGCCTGAAAATGCAGTTGAAGGAGATGTTCTTGTTTTGACAAAACCGCTTGGAACCCAGCTTGCTGTTAATGCTCATCAATGGTTGGAGCAGGTATGTCATGAGCATGCAGTGTTGCAGAAAGCAATAATTATGTTGCCTTCTTTAAAATCAACATTCTAGCTCATCAGCAATTAATGTAACAACTTCTTCTTTGTTTAACTTCTAGCCAAAATACTGGGAAAAAATCAAGGATGTAGTAAGTGAAGCAGATGTCAAGAAGGCATACCAAGATGCAATGTTCGGTATGGCCCGGCTGAACAAGACTGCTGCTAAACTCATGCATAGGTTCAATGCTCATGCTGCTACTGATGTTACTGGCTTTGGATTATTAGGACATGCTAAAAACCTTGTGGGCAATCAGAAAGCTGAAGTGTCCTTTATTATTGAGTCCTTACCAATCTACAGACACATGACAGCAGTGGCCAAAGCATCACCAATCAATTTTAAACTATTGGATGGATATTCTGCAGAAACATCAGGTAAAAGCACTGGCAGCCATTGCTCACAATTACTATATTCATCAGTAACTTTACTATAAGCAATTACTTACCAGTTCATTTATGATTTTACAGGTGGTCTTTTAATTGCTATGACTCAAGATGATGCAGAATTATTCTGTGACGCTTTTCAAAAAGAGGATGGTCATTCAGCATGGATAATTGGCAAAGTAGTTAAGGGAACTAGAGATGCAATGGTTGCAGACAATGTCAATATTATTGAAGTGTAGTAGTCTGTTTAAGGCTGTTTGGAATTTCAGCTTTTCATAAATGGCAGTAGATGGTCATCAAATTAATGAAATTATATTAACAATAAAAATAAATAACAACTATTTACAAGAAAACATAGTACCAACGTTTCAATAATTTCTTACCTACCTATAATGATATTACCTTGGTAAAGTACAATACATGTAACTAAGTGTAATTGAAGATTTTTGAGGTTGGGTTGGAGATTGTAGTTATTGATTGTGGTTGAAAACCTTATAATAAATGAAAAATGATTCAAAAAATTATCTTTTCTGTAGTCCGCTTCATTAAGACATAAAGATAACAAATACACGTTGTGGAACGCCCATAAATGGACGCATCACGCCACTTATTTGCCATTTTCACGTTGTTGTTGACTTCCCAGACCTCAATCTACATTTGTGGTAGTTACCAGAATAATACAAAAAGAACAGAACATACTACGTTCCAACGTAGGTTAATGAAATTCGAAATATTCGAAGCAAACGTCAGCAGCATGAAAACCCTGTCAATTATCAAATTTCGTCGTTAACGACAAATGAACCACTTGTGGTATAACTAACTTTCTACAATCGTTCTATGAAGTAAGAGACCAAGAACGCCTCCTCTTTGAGTCATCGCCATTCTAGTCTGTTTTTCTTGTTCGTATACTTCTTCTAACTTCAACCACTGAAAATAAGCGCAGTTTCGTAAATAAATTTTGTGATAAAAGTGCACCAAATTCAGGTACATTCAGAATTTGGTGAAGGATGGTGGAGTGAAGTTAACAATGCATCATGGAACAGTCTGGTTCCCTGAACTTGATCATATATGACCCATCATAATACACAGTCGATGTTAAGATCATCATCTGTTGGGCAGAACTGAATATATGAAACATCCCCCCCCCCCTCAATTATCGTTCTAGTTTCAGCCCTGCAGAAAGACGTCAATTGGTTTCACGCACCTGTCTAACTCTCTCGCCGTCAATCTGAGCCCGTCGTAATTTCTCCCAGCAGTAATGTCGAACACAATGCCTCTTTGCAATGCAACATAAGTCTTTCGTCTCCTCCAGTTGGTCGTTAGTCAACGGGCAACCACACACTTCACGTTGTGAGACCTAAATGCAACAAATGTTTTTCAATGCGAAATAATGATAGTTCTCCTAATCTCTGTTAAAGGCCCATTCACACTTGCGATTTTCTTCTTTTGATATATGTGAACGAATAATTAGTTACGAATGTTCTGATTAACAAGAGCTCTTATTTGAACATCAGTAACTAATTCACTCGTTCACATCTATCAAAAGAAGAAAATCGCACATGAAATCACAGCAAAAATTGCAAGTGTAAACGGGCCTTAACCTTGTCAGAACGATAAACTAGGCAAGTACTGTTCTCGTTTCTGCATCAAATTACCCCTGATGAAAACAGTAAACTGGAGGGTGAAAAAGTTGAGTCGTGAATCTAATTTTTGTGTGATGATTACTTTCTTTTATTAACCGGAGTATTGATAAGAGCGATGGATATCGTCATTCAGTTAATCAAGAGATGATTTCTCAGAGAAATACGGTCATGTTGGATGTGCTCGGGATGTGCTCGCGTTGTGCTCGTGATGTGCGCGTGGGAATTGGGAATCAACATGAGCGGGTTACAATCAGTGAACCTCATTCCTGCGTCTGGTTGTGTCTGGTACTGCCGTAGTCTAACCTTTGGTTCCTTTGTATGTTCTGGACATAAAACACGGAGTCTCTTACAATACGTCTTCTGTTGCGAGTTGTAGAAATCACAGAACAAATTTCTAAGCAATATAATGATATAAAAATTTAGGGCACTTGGGGGCAAAATCTTGCTGCAATATGTACTCCATTTTAAACGACAATTAACTTACCCAACGCTTTTAAAATTTGATCCAAACGATGTGAAGGACTCGTTCTAATACAAATTTACAGACATTGAAAATGTTAACGACCAAGATAATGGTAGTGGTTAAAAAATAGGGAGTGAGGGGCAGTATGCTCCCTCGATCACAGACAAAGTGGAATGCTCATCACGTAGACAGTTAGCACAGACAAACAGATAGTACAGATAAACTGTACGCTGGTTAGCGAGCTCTCACTTAACCACAGACTCAATAAACCTGCTGTAAAAGAGGTGGAGAAAACAGTGGTATAACGCAAAGCAACGTCAATGTGCTCACAAAATCGTGTTAGTTCATCTTCCCCTGGGTTTTTCTGAGCACCCTTCATCTCTCTCTCTCTCTAATAGTAAACGTTCCTTGCAAACGTTGAACAACACAAACGTTGAACTGATCATATCGTACTTTCATGTAGCATTTTTCCATGTGCCTCAAGGCAACTTTCGGCATCAGCGCAATCCCACAGGTCACACAATGAACGTTCAGGTCGATATCCGTGTCTTGCTCACTCTCAGTATCCTGAAATGTAGTTCATTCATTTTAGTTCAAGTAATGTGGTGCAGGCTAGTGTAGCCGCCATGTGTGTCTTTCGAATGAACTCAGACTGTCTTAGAAGATGAGACATCACGTGGTGAGACATCACATATAGATCAGTGGGAAGAACAGAGCCCGTGCGAGCCTGTTCAGTATCTCAAGACTCTCTGTGAAATAAGGATAACATTTTACGCCTTTAGATCATCAGAAATTGTAATTAAACAACCCTTTCTATTGTATCTTCTATTTTGGTAGTTGCACTTGCTACCAACCCCCCTAATTAAGGAAAAAATACTGAACGCGCACAATGGCAGGAGCAATACATTGTTTTCTTTCCAACGACTCGTTTCGCCCCGGAGTAATTACCCCGTTCCACCCATGCCCACCTTCACAACGCTAAAGGTGGAAAGTACACCCTCACCTCTTCATTAACAGCTGTCAAATGTGAAGATCTTTCTATGATCTCATCCAACTCCTTACTTTGCTGGTCAAGTTCCAGGAGCCTGGCACGAGTACTCTGATATAACATAATGCGATATATACGATATCAGTGAGCCTGTATGGATATTGCATCAAATGTGGTATAACAACTGCCTAAAATAGACAAAACACTTCTCGACGTTTCGACCTGAGGGCCTTCGTCAGGACAGTTTATAGTATGAACTAATAAACCATACTATAAACTCTCCTGATGAAGGCCCTGAGGTCGAAACGTCGAGAAGTGTTTTGTCTATTTTAGGCAGTTGTTATACCACATTTGATGCTAAGTTGTTTGAAGACGCTGCCACGCTGCTCCCTGGTTATACTGGATGGATATAGTTAAAATACACAGGGAAGCTGGTAATCTATCAGTTATAAACCTCTTGTATATTCTTCAATCTTGCCAACTTCTCTTCAGCTCTACTGTTTGCAATACAAGACGTTTCATTCCACTCTTTAACACGACCAGGAAGAATTTCTTGTATGCGTCTAAAGAAAATAATTCTTACTGCTAAAGGCTTCCAATACCGTCGTTAACAACTCCACTACATTTATCATCCCCGATTTTACTCCTTTAAAACAACTATTGCTCCTTACTAACACTACTATTTGTACCTCACAGCCACTTGTATCCCACACTCGTGACTACAATACTTGGAGTTTGATCTTGCTCGTCTCTGACATTGTGGACCGTAACATTGTCTCGGTACTTCCACTGTCTGTCGTGTTCGTTCTGAATATAGTCCAGATTTTTCCCTTGACGCGAGTCTTTTCCTTCGGCGTTGATCTTTCTCGCTAAGTTGACGTTTTAACTATGAACGAGAAAGAAGTGAAAGGCTTTTACAAGGAAGGCAATGTCAGATATAATGATTTTTGACATTGACCAGAACAATGAAGAGCTTGACAAGCATGCATCATGATGCTAGAGCCATAACTTACTTTCTGCTCTTTCCCTTGCAAGTGCCTGGTGTGTTTTAATTTGATCGCATGTTTCTTCTTACTAGATCCTCCAAAATCTTCGTGCCGCTGCTAAGAAAGACAGAAAACATGCATGGTATAAATATCATACAATCATACAGACACTTATCATGTTCACTCTTTTCTGGCTAGATAACATTTTATTACATAAAAAACAAACTGCACCCTGGGTTGGCGGATTTTTTTTATTTTCCTTCGTGGCTCCTCATACTTTGAACTTCCATCATGAATATTTAAGTGCTAAAGTAACGAAGAAAAGAAGGATTTCGTATGTGATTTGCACGCTCGAGTCTGCTAGACTGAATATCTCTTATTGAAGATAAATATTTTTAAAGACGCTTTTCAAACAATAAAGATTCAAATACTGTACCACTGATTTGTTCAAACACTGCCTTAAACGACATTTTTGTCGCTTCTTATTTGGACCACCAAACTTTCGCATGTCCTTAAGAATAACAATCAAAGTGTAAATAATTTTAACAATAACATTTAGACTTAGTTTTCACCTTTTACCTGAGAGTTTATTAGCTTTTACCTGAGAGTTTATTAGCTTTTACCTGAGAGTTTATTAGCTTTTACCTGACAGTTTATTAGCTTTTACCTGACAGTAGTCACATTTCCCACAATCCTCCTGGATCTGGCAAGCTGTGCATTGGCCACATCTGCGACTGTTTCGCTGTTTTGCCTGGGAAGAAGTTGACAAACGGAAAATACTGTGTCATAAACCTTATTGTAAACAACGAATATTGAAAAATGCATGGCAATTATGACCACTAACGCAATGTTAGTGCTGCAGGTGGAGAGGAATTTAAGAAATAATTTTGTGGTAATATAATACGAAATTGAAATTAGAAAGTGAAATTGATACTTTTCGATTATCATCTGTTTCATCTGTTTCTTGATAACTTTCATTTCCTTTTTCTTTTGATATCTTGAATTTTGTTTTAAGATCTGGGTTTTTTTCTTAAAAAGCAAAAAAAAAGGGAAATACAAAAGTTTACATCCAATGATTGAAGGATGTTTAAAAGACGATCAAACATTCCAAATATAGATGCGATACAGTCTGCGATATTTCAAAGCGTTCACGGTACCTTGACAGGAATGGCAGAAGAACTGCTTAATTTTCTTCGCGTCTTTCTTCGTAATCCCAATACATGAACCATGATACCACTCATCACAAGCATCACAACCACTGGAAATATCACACAAAAAAAACATTTAATTCCATATGCAACAATTGTTCCGCTCACCACGTCCTATGATATTCATATATATGATATATATACTGAAACTTGAATATCTTTCGTGACGAAATATGGAAAGAAACAACTCTCAAATAACAGCTATGATGCTATCATGAAATTCAAAGTGTAAAAGTGTTAAAAAAAAGCGATGACATATATTTAATTTTCCATACCTAGTAAATGCAATCTGCATTTTAAGTGTTGTATATGTGTGTTATGATGATGTTAAGATGAAGTTGAAAATTTCCAGGGTTTTTTGCGTATTAATAAAAAAATTTGAATTAAAATAGTATTCATATATTGTAAGATAACCGGGTTTTTTTTAAATATCCTTGAAAAACATACATCATAAATTGATCAACATCTGGTCTTCGACAGACACAATACAACACTTCTTTCTATAAAGTAAATATCTTATATGATAATACAGTCTACTGTCTAGTCAAAATATGGAGGCGAGAAACTCTGGGAATAAAGTCCAAGAGGACCAAGACCGAATGTTCCCGTGTAGGAAGTTTTGCAGGTCATCAATAACGGTCTGGGAAAGATTAATGTCATTTTTTTAGGGAGATAGTAGACTGTTGTGGTGTGGTTATAATATCAAATGTCTGATACCTGATAATATCAATATTTGGATGAAGCTGTTTGTTGATGTAATTTCTCGAAGTGACATAAGAATATTTTCTATGAGATTAAGACTCCGATAAACAGTTACGCTTTTCGTGCATTTCTGTGGCAACTGGCTCTTGCAAGTGACATCATACTTTGCATTTGATTTGGCCCATTTTCAGTGCCAAATTAAAATACGGTTAGTTAAAAGAAAACAGGCCTAAAACTCAACTACATAAGATTGTGCGAGTGCGGCTTACATTTCTTACGTTTTCTCCTGCGATTAACGTTTGAGACCAAGGAAACCCAAGATGGCGGACTACCTTTGTGATACGTCATCATTGGAAGGCCCAATACGACAATCGCACGAATTCTCGCAAAGCGTTCTTCCGTTTTCAACTTACACGCTAAACCTAAACGTCAGTGTATCAGCGCGTTAAAAGGCCTCTGAGACAGCTGAAATAATCCGCACTAGACAACAATCAAATTCAACAATCGCCAATTGACCCAACGCGCAAAATTCAAATGCAAAATTGGTCCAGGAAGAGTGCTTCAATATGCACTTCAAGACGGCACTGCACAAACAATTCTTCTAGTAGCTAACAAAATTGTTGTTCCACCTCCGTCTGGGAAAAGCGGATAATCTTATTCCAATTAATGAACAATATTCTGTCAATGGTGCCAACAATGACGTGTTTGTCATGAATCTTGTTCCTAGCGCAAATTTCATCAACACTTCATGTTAACTAAGACACGATACCACAAGCTCGTATTTGAGACATATTTATGGTGTAAAAAGCATTTTCACAGTCAAACTCATAGTATTTACCACTTCAGTAAATTTTAAACTTTTTTTACCAGTGATGAGAAATTATATGGGGCCTGCAGTGGTTTGTTACGTACGCAACAGTCATAGGAGCAAAATTATCATTCTCACTACAGAATTCCTACACTTTTTTCATCATTCATGAATTTTAGTTTCAGAATTGATAAATTTCTATTCATCAGCCATTGAGCACACAATCAATCCAAATGATTAGCAAAATAGGTATTAGCCCAGTAGAGCATTGCAAATACAATTACTTAATGGATCAACAAAGAAAGTGCTGGTAGTATACAAGAATGGCTAATGATTTTATTCTGTGACAACATTTGAACTCACCTCTCCTACTAATTGACTTTCAATAATAACTTTCGGGGAACTTTCATGACCACTTTGTACAATTTCAGGTTTACTCTGTCTGGTTTCATTTTCACTTTCTGTTTCTTCATTATCAGTGGGCAAAGATGTACAGCAATAGTTGTGGTCTCCTGCAAAAGTACTTAGAAACCCTGTATGCTCTCCTTCATCTGTAGTATCATTTAGTTTGGTGTATGTAAAAGTTTCATCACTCTGGAAGGTGTTTGTGTCAGAGGGACCAAAGTCACTCAAAATATCAACCTCCTCACTTTCATCATGAGATGCAGTCACCATTGAATCACTTCTGAGTGTTTCATCGTGCTATTTGAAGGGAAAGTTCAGACATTTAGGATCAGGTTAAAGATCAGGTTAAATTTTCAACAATTTTAGATCTACATACTACTGGCATAGAGAGGCTTTAAAAATTGGCTGATGCTAAATGTTTGTTCAGTCTTTCATTGTTTTACAGATGCAACATATTACATTAACATTTTACTGTTTTATAGGAACAAGTATTTACATGGTATTCCCCCTTTATTTCATTTTTGTTGGCTTAGTGTTAATTTGCGTTTGCTTTGAATTCCTCTCTTGTTCTTGTACAATTTAGAGAGTATTTAGCACCTGGGATCATCTCAAAAACTGAAAAAGTTGCCCTACTTCATAGTGTGGCACCTTGGCTGTCTGAGAGAAATTCATATTAGAGATCAAAATATTGAAAATAATTGCAAAAATAAAATCTCGAAATAAGTACTTTTTAAGTACTTGCTTTTATATACTATCACTAGATCAAAAATTATAAACATGCCATATTATTTTCGTGTTGGTGCTATACTGAGCTACTAAAGTAGTGATGGTGCTACTCTGTCTGAGTGACTGAGTAGCTGTAGCCTGTAGCTGTATAGCACCAACACGTATTAATTCATTTCTTTATGCAATATCTCTATGCCTTATTATTATACTTACAGAAACAACATCTACTAGAGTATCATCACTTTCCATCATGCAGTATTCTGATCAGGAGGCTCAGTCAGTTGTTTTATTAAGACAAAAAGCTAAGATTTTATATTTTTACTTTGGCGGCCATATTGATTTCACATTTTCACAGCGCAGGTTACTGACCTATATACACAAAGCACGGAACTGAAATACAGTCAGTTAGACTGTATGTATATATATATATACCTCACACGGGTGCGCAAACATGCACAATCGAATGAAATCTAATGCATGGCTGCCACAGCATGAATTAATACTGCTCTACTGCTCAAGGTTGTGCTTTTCACAGGTGGATTTCGATCAAGAACCTTTCTCAAAATGCATTTCATACCACAGTTGTACTTTACGTCTGCGGACATAAGTCCACAAGATAAGAACTCTTTTTGCTCATGCATTATTGTACAAAAGGCTTTTCTGTGCTTGTGACCACAGTGTGTTGTGACTAAGATATGTAATGTATGCACAAGCTTACAATATTTTGCGGATCCAAGGGCTTAGCATAGCGACGGCTTTAAATCATAAGTTTTATAACTGTGGTTTTATAACAATAGTTTAATTTCTAAAGGTCCCCCTTTTTTGATACACCCTGTGCAGGGTGTCTCAAAAAATACGAAAACTATTTAAATCACTCATTGTTATATTTGAATGCCGTGTTCAGCAATTTTAGTGGCCGTGGGGATTTAATGCAACTTATAAAATGCTAAATGCTTCAGTGCTGCTAGAGAAAGGGGACATGTCGAAGGTCATGGTGCTTGAGATGCGCATTTAAATATTGTTATCCATATTTGCAAATAAGTAAATCGTAAATATTGTTAATAAATATAATTTTGGCGTACAAGCAAATTTTACTGCATCATATGCATGCATAAAAATGCGTATGGCATTTATACACCTGTAGTCCCAACAGAGTGCTTAGGCATTCAAACTCTAACACTTACATTGTTATGGGTGATTTCAATACTTTTCTTTTTTGAGACACAAACTCTTTTTTGTAGATACTGTCATTTAGAAAGCGTATTTGATGCTAAAATCACATTATAAAAGCTTCAAGATTATACGAAACTAGAGTTGGTCAAATTCATTATTTAAAACACTGTAAAGACAACCAAATAGATGCATCAATACAACAAATACAACTAATATAAACCCATCAAACTAAGGGCGGATTTCCACTATTTTTTACGTGCGTATACACCCATACAAAAAACGTGAGAGTGCAAATCCGCCTAATGGGCTAAATGCCATTTGCCATGACCAACCAACGAATTCGGTAAAATATGACGTGGCCTTAAAACTGAACGTCTCTGGACTCAGTGTCCTATCTTTAAACCTAATTAATACGTATATAAACCCGTGATGGTATTCTCCAAAGTTCACCGATGCTTTTGGATTGTAGGATCGCTGACATGATTGACATAACTTCGAAGGCCCAATACGATATATAATCGCACGAATTCTCGCAAAACGTTCTTCTCGTTTTCAATTTTCACGCTAAAGCTAAACGTCAGTGTATCAGCACATTGGAGACTCGTTAATAATGTAACTACTGTATGCAAATCAGTATGAAAAATTATTTGTTTATCGGGAGGGTATACATGTTACTATGGCAGGATTTCGCTTCACTCACGCGGCAACGTACGAATTTGGGACGTGTCATCTGGCGTGTGCCTAGCCTATAAACATGAATAAATCATACTGAATAATACAGGACAAGGCGGCAGACCGTGGGACAATTCCGTGGGACAATTCCGTGGGACAGACTGGAAGACCGTCAGGGCCAGCAGTGCTTCGGTTGCAAGCAATTCGCCTTTCTCACGATGACGAATGTGCCGCCATTTTTGTGGTAATTTTTTTTAAATTGTGAGCGCAATACCTTGTCAGGGCGGCTGTCTATGATTTTAGGCTTAATTTATTGTTCAAATGGTCTATGGAATCTTGAAAAATGCTTCTTACATTGCTATTATTGTTTAAACACATTTAAGAAAATTGAAAATACCCCAAAAATGGCGGATATTCGTCATTGCGAGAAAGGTTAATTGAAGTAAAATATTTAAGATATTGAGCAGAGGGCAGAGAGGCTTAAGACTGGCAAGCAGAACTTGGAAGATGATAAGTAGCGTTTCCTTATCTGTTTTTGAATAAAAAAATATAAAAACTTTGATATTTTTTATAAGAAATATGGATACTGTCTCGAAAAATCACCCAGGCAGCTGCTATAATAGCAGCTGTGGAAAAGTTGTAACAATATTCTTGACAATCATGTTTATCAGATGACCTGCTGTCAAGAAAGTAGTTCGAGCATGAAATTTAAACGAGAAACGTCAACGTTCAAGGGCTTTAATGAATACGGAACTGGTGGTTATTTGCCTCTGAAATCATTGTTGTCGAATGATTGTTCACATTGTTGTTTAATATATAATGCTGAATACGACCGTGACACGCGGTTATATATAAATTGTTTTCGTTGTTTCGTTTTTGTTGTTTCGTTTTTTTTGTTAACCATTAACTTGTCATTGCCTTTGGCTTTGGCTTTGGGTGGAGAAATCAACCAAAAGACTTTTTTGTCTCATATCAGCCCAAGGAAAATTTCCCTGAACCGACCTTAAATGACCTTAACAAGCTCACCAGGAAATATTGGTATACATGCATTATTTATTATTTACTCTTGAAAGTATCTTTTATGGTCTGCCAGTTGTCCTTTATCAGCTTTGACAATATAAATGCAAATTTCCCTACTTCCTATTGTACGAATATAAAGATATTCACTTGATTTGAATTTTAGTATAAATTCCCGACAATTGGTTGCTTATAATTGCTTATAAAGACAAGCACTCAGCAAACAGCTTTGGCGGTATCCAGCTATTGAATTGTAACACGAGGTTAGTCAACTGCTAGCCGTTGGCAGTAATTGAGCGACAAAAGTCACGGAACACAACAGCAGAAGAAAAAGTCGGAATAAAATCAAAGGTATAAAGATTTTTTTGCCCAATAAAGTAAATACGGATTATACGGCTAATATTTTTGACTGATATACTTCAAATTTCAGGATGATCCTTTACTCAGTAACAATGCTTTTCCAGTGTTTTTACCTCTTCGTTTTTGCTATGCAACAAGTGAATGCCAAAGACGACAAATCAGCTCGCCTAACGTTTTGGGATTCATTCGACTGGAAAATAACTATACAAAGACACCGTCAAGACATTATCGCATTAAAAGGTTTGTTTAATATTGACTCGGCAGACCTGGAAGATATTAAAATTCCTGGAGCAACTTGCAACGAAACGGAAAAAAGAACGGCAAAATTAAGTCGTCCTGGATTTGTGAAGATGCATTGCAAGTGTAATTTGGAAAGCTCGACATTTGATGCAAAACGAATGACTTGTGTTGCAAACAAGAAACTCAAACAAGGTATTTATACACACACGCTAACGAATAGGCTGCCACATCATGTCACGATAGATTCATGCATAAATATTAAATTTGTAATATTCTTTAAGGATTGCCGGGCTTCAATTTGTTTCAGGTGAAGATGAAGTGCACGTATTTTAGTTGTAGTAAACAATTGACTTGAATTGAAGTACACAAAAGTTTGACTGAGAGCTGAGGCTAATCGCCTGATATATTGCACTTGTCCACTTCTATAGAAAATCAACACTGCATGATATGTTTAATTATTAATGTCATCTTCGACGTGGAACGGTGCATGTTCTACACAAAGATATTACAAAATTCAATCCTTAAGGCTTAAACATATCGCAACGAACAAGCGCAAACGAACTTGCGAGTTCTTTCTAAGCTTTGACGAATTTGTTCGTGTGCCAGCGTTTTTGCACTAAACACACAAACCAACTATCAGATGGAAATCGAACAAACAACTCCAACTCCTTATATTTGCCCATGCAACTGGTCTAAAGTGACAAAAACACTTTGTTTGCCCATGCAGTATTTATACACGAAATACATAAAACGAACGAATTTTTTAACGCTTTGCCCAGGGCTAGGCTAAGACTAAGTTCGTTCGTTTTAAGCCTATCATGTATTTAGTTATAAGCGCTATACTGTAATGGTTTAAAAACAGTTATTAAATGACGAGGATGGACAACATCATATGAAGAATTGCATGTGAAGTCAAGGCTTGTGTCGTTATAAACCGAAGAATTTTCAATTGCGGAATTCAATTGCTTTATTATAAACTTTGTTCACTTGCATTTTTACGTGTTGTTTCACATTCTCACTGGGTCATTGACATTGGTGTGACGTCACAACTGGAGTCTGGGCGGATTTCCTCTGTCGCGTTTTATGCTCGTGCTTACATGCACGTTAAAGTTTAAAATTATTCAAATGATACTTTTAAAGTCAACGATTGAACAGACGCATTGGGTTAGATTCTGTTGATTTGGTGTGGGTTTTTTTTGGGCGTAAGATTAAATATGATAACTTAATAAGAGGTAAAAAACGCCACAGTGGAAGTCCGCCCTAAAAAGTCGTATCCCACGTAATGACGTCACTCTTTGAACATGACGATTTCACACATGGCTATCAGCCAATCATTGAGGAGTTCCTCTTTTAAAGGATGTCGATTCACGACCGGATCTTGGCGATGGAGCACGAGTTGGATATGGAGTAAAGTAGATGATCCGTTGATAGTGCTGGATATAAAGCATGCATATGGGATCACTACAGGATTTAATGCGACAACTATAGAATATCAGTTTTGTACAGTGGAGTCCATCAACTACCTGGGTGAAAACAAGCTGGAGACTTCAAATTCGTCTTTTATTAACTATTCCAAACCAGCAATGTTCAAGTTACATAACATATGGCATCTTTCATGGGTATATACCATACATTTCCTTTTTCAACCCAAATGTTCAGTTGTAACGCAATGCGTTACGGTAGTTGATTATGAAGCAACTTTGAGTTGCGATATCGCTCTGCTTATTTGTAAGAGAACCTTGCCGATCCTTTTTGCTTTTTTGTTAAACCTAATCTCTCCTGAACATGGCGAAATCCCAACTCAAATTGACCTTGTTAATCAACTACCGTGACGCATTGCGCGATTGAAAGCTGAAAGGGTAAAGAAAGGTCTATTAAGACGCCCTAGTCTAAGAAACATAGACAAAATTCAAACATTACTGCCAGCTGACAGCTGACACTGTCAGCTAGTTAACCTAAGGAAAATACCTTAAGGAGTAGGGAGGGTATAGTGTTTAGGGTTATAGTGAGTAAAACGGTTGATTTCAGTTGGGGAAAAAACCGTGACTAGGGGTTATTTTCAAATCATTCTACTTTTTAGAATGTTGATAATTTGCCAGCTGAAGTTAAGAAAAGTTTGGAAGGAAAATTTCTGAAATTTCAAATTGAGTGCGAAAAACCAGGGCCGCCTGAAAATGAGGATGAAGAGTTGCAAATATCTTCTTGTATCGTAGTCAAAGTTGCCGGTCAGTTAACTGGTAAGAATGCTTGTTTTTTCTTGTTGTTTTTTTTTGTCTTCTACCTATACACAAGTTTACTGCTTCGAGACGGATTAGTGCAGTCTCCTGTATAAAAAAACGACCAAAATATTTGCGAACGGGCATAGTCAGAGCTACTAAACTTAGTAGAGATAGCCGAATCATAATTATAATATGGGGATTTCAAGGAAACCAAAACAAGATTCAGTCTTTTCTTTTCTAGTTCAATCCAAATCCTGGGGAAAGTCTCAACTGAACATAACAAACAACATCGAAGCGAACATAACAAAAAACATCGAAGCGAACATAACAAACAACATCGAAGCTCAAACCAGTGCAAACGATGAAAGCGCATTTCTTATCCCTTTGCTTGTTTCTATGGCTATCGTTTTAACTGTTGTTGTTGCTATTGCTGTATGCTATACAAGACGACTCGTCTGTTTCGCACAAAGAGTGCAATCTCATGAAATTATACTCCCCGACGATACTGTCGTTGAGACGGAATTGATGAAGAATGTACACGATGAAAGTGTCGCTTAAGATTGAAATTCACGGCAAAAGGAAATTACTGATGAATTATATCTAGGCTAATTTTTTAGTCTGGTTTTATTTTCACTTCATACTTCTCTCTTTCCAACCAAACAGGATGAATACTAAAAGTATTCTTCCTATATTTAAGAGGCTGATCGTATTTAACAGTATTTGGGCGAAAGACAAGCTGCCCATTTCGTTAACATTCAGAGTATATATATATATAGGCCATAAGGATACAACCAGCCCAATAAATCACAAAGTCAGTAAGCCAATTTATCACCATTTAGCACCTAATTCACGATTGCAGAGTAAGAAATACACTTCTAGATATACTATAGTGTATATATATATATATCTCCTTTTCTTTGGAATAAAAGATATAATATTAACCAAAGACCAAAGATTTTTCTTTCACATTGCGGTAGAAAGTTGTTTTGAAATTTAATTGAACATTGAAGAAGCTTCACACGTTCAATTTTCTTATGATTGACTTAATACCTTGCCACCGTCGTATCTCATTAATAAACACAAAATTTCATCCAATCGTGTGAACTGCAGGCTGGTTTAGCCGCTTTGTTTATGGAAAACATCATGAATGTGTAAATTAATTACGAGAAAATTAAATCTTCTCGACCTTTCGCTTCAAATGAAAGCGTTCATTTTAAAACCAATTTACTCATCGAATATGTTGTCGATTTTTTTTAGTCTAGCCTAAATTACACTCATTGCAATTATAAACAGGAATTTGCAAAATTTCTCAAGTGACATTGCGAAAGATAAATGTTTTAATGAGATCATACAACAATTAACATAATTCGCGTTGGGAAGCAGCGAAGAAATCACAATCCCTTATAAGGAAGAAAAAAATAAACGAGATCATTATTGTATGGTGATGAATCTTAGGTTGAACGCATGACAAATGAGTCGACGGGTTTTGAGACAGATTTATTGAACTTATTTTTTCATATTGTGCAAATCAGAATTTGTATTTAACATATTTCTATAACTACAAGACATTAGATAATAGGAAACCATAAACTGATCCACACAAGATTATAATATGGTAAACACACCAATTCACTGTACACTTAAGACTGGGGAACTGTGACAGGACGAAAAGGAAATTTTGTAACCCTCTACTAGTACACAGTAATTAGTTTATCATACTCATACTGTAAAAAGAACAGAGAAAAAACCTTGACCGAAACAAAAATCTTAGCCTCAGGTCTCTGTATTTGTGCGTCGCCTTGCAACAACACATACTTGATAATGAAATACATTCAGTTAGTTCACCAAATTCTTGTTGTCAATGACAACCTAAAGTATTAAATATTCAATAATACAAATGTTTTTTTATAACGAAGTGTTCTTAGTGTTTTCAGCACACTCTAGAGTTTTATTATTCTTGATAATAACAGGCTTATATCTAAGAAGATAGGCGCTACTGTTCATGGACTGTTGCTATTCAAAATATCTAAAACTTCATACCAAGTAGCCGGCGATTATAGAGGGAATTGGCTGGCGGTTGCCGGCTTTTGATGATACCCCAGGATACTGAACGCGAGGGCCTTGAAATAATCCTTTGAAGTTCTATCAGTATTAAACTGACGCGAAATCTGGCACATGTCATGAAGCCATTACCCCAGGTGGAGGTAAAATTTTTTACTCGAAAAATCCCAATTTTGCTGAACAATGTTACACATAAATAAATAAGCCACCCATTAAACAAACACGTTAAGTCTTTCAACAAAAAAGATCGATGAACTTTGTCATTATTTCGCAAAATACACAGTAAAGTACAGCAGAATAAACATAATAAGGATCGCAAAGTGTCCACCTACGGCTTATGCGATTAAACAACCACGGTTATCTTTCGAACAAAAAAACAATCATGCGTCACATACACAACAACGAGATGCAAAAACAAACAAGCAGTCGGCTCCAACATTGCTGGAATTTTATCTTTTTGACTTTTCACCGAATATAGCTTTAATGTTCTAATAATAACCCGAGATTTGGCGCGATAAGGCCATTGCTCGGCCTACATTCTGCAGAGGTGTTGCCCGTGATAGACAGCCTGCAATTATATTCCAACATAACAAAGCAATTAACTCCAACGATCACTTAATACCTCCGTGTCATGGCATTTTCAAAGATATTTTAAGAACAAGCATGGGACGCGTATCTCCATACAATAACAGACAAGAAACACAAATTGTGCCAATACTTGTATTACTACTAAATATTCTTAACATGCGCGCGTGTTCCTAACAACGCGCAGAATATGTTAATGAATCTACAAATTGTTGCCATATGTTCAAAATAACAAAGATAACTGGCAATTTTAACGCGAATATCTGTTCGTATGGCGACTACTTACGATTATTACTGTTTTAAATCTGAGCTACAATGCTCTCTATTTTATATACATATATATGAAATTATCATTTATAGCCGTACAACACATATTTGACCCAAGTTTCATTTGCTAGTAAATCAGCATAGAACGATATCACAGTATACATTCTAACCGAATGATCGCTTGATTTGACTTTACGCTAGGAAATTCTGTTGGATAAACAAATATGTTTGTCGGTTCTTCCTGAACATTTCTAAAATCAACTCGAAAAAAACACCGAATTGACAAGACAGATAATAAAAAAAATTGGGAAACCGGCCAAAGGGATATAATAATAGCCTTCGTCTATACATACGATAATAACTTGGTTGGCACGAGTCTTTTTATACCAAAAAATTATTAATTTATCTCGTTAATTGTCAGGGGGGTTGCAATAAGCGAGACAACACAACAGACCATGATCAACTTTGTTAAAACAAGGAAGAGGATTTTCAAATTTCGTTTGTTATAAAAGGCAAGAATGTGAGAAAAATGCATCTCTTCCTGTGCTTAAATCATAGTTTGATCATCATTCGCTGCACAAAGCTTCCCTAAACCCTCCAACTCTCGTGATATTTACAAATATAACTAATAGCTTGCCAATAAACCGCTATTTTTATGTGGCATGCCATATCTTTCCGCTAGGTCTTTAGCGAACGATTAAGTCTCAGACGTGTGAAATTTCTGGGCACACTTAACTGCAAATTATTCCAATCTTTCAGTTCAATTGCGAGTTCTTGAGGTGTATTGTCGCATTGGTGCTCGCGGCGAACTGCTATCGTCCTCTTCGTTGTTAGAAACTGAATGATTTTGAAGCAGGAAACCGGTGACAGTGCTTGCGCTACATTTGTATTGAGTGACGATTTCACGCAAGGCCTTCTTGAAATCGGTTTTGAAGAAAACATAGAGAATTGGATTGATTATCGATGTACAGAAGCGGAGAAAAAACAAGATGAGGTAGACGTATTCAGGAACATGCAGGAAATTCGGGGCCAGATCTTGGGCAAGTGATGAGAAGAAGAATGTGAACCAACACACGATGTAGACCAAGAGCATTGAAGCGAAGATTACCATCGCACGTTTCTCTTTAGTAAGAGCTTGCTGTTGTCGAGATGTTGCTTCGATGGCACGAGCATGTCGTGTTACGATGCGCAGCATTTCGGCATAAGCTAGGATCATAATGACAACAGGAACCAGAAAGGCGATCACAGCGCATGTAATATTGTAGTGTAGCTCATACCGTTGCGCCTTCATGCTTGATTTCTTTAGGTTGTATGGATCGTACCAGGCAAGTTGGATCAAAGGAAGAAACAAGGCCGCACTCCAAACGACAGTCAGGAGAAGATAACCAACAGTTGATGTGAAAGTACTGCTATGTCGAAACGGTCGGGTAATAGCCACGTAACGGTCGCAGGTTATAAGCAGCAAATGATAAACGGTTGAAAATGCCGTCATGCGATGCACCATGTCGAAGCTGAAACAGATCTCAACAACATGACCCGTTAAAAAACAAGCATAGTACAGTGGTATAACCACAAGTCCTGTGAGCCCATCGCTTATAGCCAAACTAACGAGGAAATAATTTGTAATTTCTTTAAGAAATGGTTTCCAGATGAATAAAAAGATCACAAGACCGTTAATGGCGATAATTACTAAAGCTTGAATAATTAAAAATGTATCATACACTGGATTCAAAGCTGGAGCCGTGGAAGAAACTGTACGGTTTAAGGTGGAATTGAGGATGCTGTTCTTTAAAGTTGTATTGACTAATGTTAATGTCGAACCGTTCAATAGGTTAGCCATAATATATCTTAAAACCACTTGACCGAATATTCTCTTTGATATAGATTGGTATCACAACGAGGCTAGGCTTTGCGAGAAATAAAAAGTCAGAGTTCAGGTTATTACACTCGGTCAGAATTCACGCAGTTTTTGCAAGGATTATGCCTATTGATTTCGTAACAAAAATTAATGTAGGCTATTTCACTGTTTCCGAGTAAAAAAATGTGCAAATCCCTCTCAAAGGATGCTGTTAATAAGACACCTTCTAAAGTTAATAAGTAGGAAGAATGCAGTTCTGATCCTCTTTTAAATCAAGAAGTTATTTCAACTACTATTGTCTTAAGCTCAACACTGCAAGTTATCAACTCTGCAAGTTATCTGGACTATGAAGATTTTATGTGTTTACCAAATATACACTCACGTTGTCCCCTTTGAAACACAGGTCCGTGTCGAAACTCGGAAGGATTTTTTACAGAATACCAAATTGTCTTCTAGGTATTCAGGAGAATCTACCAAGTTGCACTGAAGGTTTAAATAGCACTAGACATACGACTTTAATATAGCATACAGTAAAGGTAGCTTGCGTTTCTTTGACAGATAGTTCCAACCAATCCACACGTAAATTTTGTACAAAGATTAGAAATATATGGTGATATAGATCACTTATGATTATCGTCAAATCCAGTACGAAATAGATTTCATTCAATGTCGTAAGGAATGGATCTAGCGTTTGCACCGTTAAACAGCCAATCGAGTCCAATTCAGCCAGAAATCTGATTCACGAGGAATGCAAGTGTGTTTGTTTACAGAGAGCCCAATCCAATCCAATATGTCCAATATATGGTAGCTTTGTGCACGTTTTAAACGCTAGTCCTCGGCAAGCTTGCGAGATAGAAATGATATACAGCGAAGTATTTTAGCACTCTTTACACGACTGAGAATAGTCCCGCTTCTTGCCTGACGTATGGTTGACGCCAGAGAGGTAGACAGCTTGAGGGAGTATATGTGAAAATAACTAGAAGACGTCGTCTATTGCCAAGGTTGAGATAATGAGATATCTTTAGACTAAATCCTTGAAGAATGAAGATTTCCATTGATGAAGACCATATGAGGGAATCGTTATCTCTGCCTGATGCACGCCAAGGCACAGGAACGTCTCAAATTGTTGATAACAAGCATGGTAATCACACTGACCACTTCTGCGAGATAAACACTGCTTAAACTCCAAGGGTTAATCGAATTAATCATATGACGTAATACAAACAAATTTCGACGATCAGGAAAAGTTAGGGTTGTTTCTAAGTGTTTCTGTGTGAGCATCTGTAATTGTAGCAAACTGTTGAAGAAACTGCTGGTGTGCATATAGCCCGGCTGTTTGGTCTAAACGTAAGCGCAAAAGGTAACATGCATACATAAACGCTATGTATAACTACAGTTCTTGAAAATAACAAAAACCTTAAAGCAGTTTTCAACAATGTAGAGGCACCAGAACAGTTACCATTATAATGATAACGAAACACTCAAATAGTTTAAGAAATGGTTGAAACCCTACAGGTTCAGGCCTTGGCCTTGCCGAGACACCGAAAATACTAAAACGATAGCGGCATTTAACGGCATTTAATAAAGCCCTAGTTTCACATGAGCTACAAAATGATACACTTGTGTTCAGCGCCATTTAAATTCTGCCAGTTAAAAGCAATTATTATCATACCAAACTTTCTATTTTAATAATACCGTAATAATACAGGAGAATATTCCAGCATTATATATGTATTGCAAATATCTAGATCTATATATATTGCATATATGGATCATGCAGCTATTTTTGTCGACCATTGGCATTGTATATCAACAACTATGTCTATACTATGCATACTATAGAATGCATGCAGGAATCGCGAAACCATTTTTTTCTATAAAGAGACCCAATAATAATAAAATACCTAAAAGTACTATTTTAGGGCAAGTTCATTCATATAATCCCTCTTTTTTTTATTAAAGCCATCACCCATGCAAGCATTACTCTCATTCCTGTTCTATGAACGATAAAATGAAATGATCCTAAATACGTCTTATGACTTCTGAAGATTGCGATAATTCTATACTTTATTATTTTAATATAACCAAGGGAGCGTCTTCAAACAACTTAGCATCAAATGTGGAATAACAACTGCCTAAAATAGACAAAAGACTTCTCGACGTTTCGACATGAGGGCCGTCGCAGGACTCGGGAGAGTTACAGTTAATTATTTTATGTTCACCAGTAGGATTTTCCTAGTCTCGCATATAGTTTCTAAACTGCATAAAGTTACTAAAGAGTGTAGCATTTTACAATATAAGTTGTTTGTGGTGTCATATATAAGAAACTATAAATGTTGGCGTGAGATTTCTCCTCTTTCAGATAAACACAAATCGTGGCAGCTTCTTGTAGAATGCTATTATATTATATGCCTGCCTGGATACCACGTTTCAAAGATCAAACTTTTTTCATGACGATCCAACATAAACAAGAACAAATAAATAATCAATAAACCACAACATCCTGTTTCAAACTATATTTATGCTTTCAGTCCGACACTCTAAAAATGGTATAAAAACAAAATTGTACTTTTTTTTTTGATAAGATGGGACTTAAGTGGAGTGTCCGTCTCTATAAAAGCGGTATATATAATTACACCTCATTTAACTAATACTTCTAGGTCAAGTACTCATAAATTTTAGAATGTAGACTTTTAATTAGTGTTTATTAGGTGCTCACTTCATTTTTCTGTGTTCATTCATCGTCCTGACATCTCATCATAATGATCATTTTGTTGAAAAACATAACTCCAGTAACAAATGAGGTTTATATTTTTACATTTGAAGTTTAATGTAAGGAGTCAATATATCAGATTAGGCAGATTATTTACACTTTATGTCGCTGACTTTAAAATACGGTATAATCGTTTGCGTAACTTGTTCCCACGCCCCTGTTTGAGACGTGCACATATTTGAGCTGACATGCCAACGTCGTTTACGTCAGAAATCAAAAGAAAAGAGATAAATAGTTTGAGAGCAAATTTCCTGAGCAATTGACATTTGCTATCAAGAGCGCATTGTCACAGCCTATTGTTCGCTAAAAATGTCGCCGGAAGAGGGCATGTCAAAATGGTTTATTTTGATCCGGGATAAAATGACGGAATATTACCATATAAAATGTCATGATTTTAGCGGTAGCATTCCAATAGTTAATCCAAGCACAAGCTTTATAAAATTGTGGAGTGAGTGTCAACAGGATGAACAGCTGAGAAAATGAAAATAATAAATGTTTAAACGACTCCCCCCAGCAAATCAGTAAATTGTTTGCCAGTTGAGGTAAGGCCGAAGGAACCCCCAAGTTTTGTAATGAAAATCATTCAACGGATTACCGACAGTCAATTAAGTGCTCTTATTAACACTGTGAATACGTTTTTAAGGAGAATCACTCGTATTACTTTCAAAAAAACCAGAACAAATGCCTGGGATAAAAAAAATATGGAGAATGATTTATGTGAGAGCATGTTTTCAATAAAAATTGGTAATAACGGCGTGAAGTGTTTTCGCTTCAATAAACAGAGTTGTTTACATGTATGGAAATAGCAAATTTCTTTAAATGTTGACACCAATGTCTGTCGACATGCATTATGCATACGAGCGCTTCGTCGTGAGTCTGTTCACCAAGCGCATTTCTAAGTCGTATTTCAGTAAAACTGATATCGGCATGTCATAGATTACTTAAACATAAAATAAGATAACAAACAAGCAAGCATTATACAGTGAGCTAGCAGAGGGTTATTAGTATTTCACGTTTTTATCTGTTACGTGCTTGTCTTTCAGTGACCGCATTTTGCATTACTGCGAAAGGATGATATATACATATACACATAGATATAGCTATATTCATAATTTTTTTAAACTTACGTTCAAGGTCTAGGCCTCTGGCATGCATAACAATAAAGAGGGCACACTCTTTCGTCTTTTTATATTTCATATAACCGCCAGAAGTGATAAGGAAAAAATAAGAATTACTCCCGATATTCTATAAACCCTGAAAATTAAATTTTCACGCTGCTTTGCAGGAATTTCCGTTCTGATAAATCTCGTCGTTTTTTCCCGTCAAGAAGAGATTATTGGACCGGAATACGTCAGCAAAAGCCAAAGCATCAGTGTTCCGACATGGCCGGAATGGCGAAATCGTGACAGAGTCATGCTCTGTGTCAAACTTTTGGATCAGTTTTGCGATAACGGCAAAAATGAAAACCTTTAATGTCGAAGCAATATGTCAGACTCAAGCCAGTGATTTATGTTTAAAAGGTTGATTTTGTTTTATTGTTGGGAAATTCAACGTTTAATTCAATTAATTATAATAGAACATCTGTGATCATCAGGTTAGTAACACGCTGTTTAAAAAACCTGGGACGGAATATTAATTAATGAAGTGGTCGTTTTCATTTCCTCAGCATGCGGCCATACAAGATAAGAACCATGTGTCTTATCAAAATGATAAAATTGTCACTTGATGTAAAACAGTATTTTGATTCCAAATGTTATACTCTTAATATTTCATAGGTTTTTTCGAGAAAATGCGTTCGGAATGACAAACCTCCAGGGAATGTGAACATTTTCAAAAACGTGCCAAGTTTTAAAATCCTCCCAAAAATGGTCAGCCTATCACTAGACATTTACGGCAGTGAAATTGCAATTATGATAATCTAAACTCGATTATTGAATGCTAAAAATTTGCTGGTTTTGCATCAACTATTAAACTTTTTTAGATGGTATGCAAAAAAATTATTTTAGGCAAAGATTTTCAAACCATATTCTGTCAATACAAGAGGTGATGACTTGCAGAGGGTGGGGAACACCGTTTCTTTCTTCTCGCTACGTGGGGGAAGCGGGGGGGGCACAAACCAAGCTTAACTTTAGAGATTATAAAGATGGCGAAGCTTAACTTTTGAGATTATTTCAGTTCAGTATCAGTTATATCTATTGTATATATATATCTATTGTCAGAGGCCATTGAAGATAAATAGAATGCTGAGCCAAGTATGCGAAGAAAAGAACAGCCTGCACAGGCGTTGATCCTAAACTAGATCGATCGTAGAAAATTGCTGCCGGGATATACGACTAATGACTTGGTCCACGGAATGGTTTGTCTGATGAACATTCTTACTTTTTCACTTTGATCAGATCATAGAACACGATAATTAGTTAAACATCAGGTTTTAAAACATTCATCATTTATTCTATGCTTTTAATGAAGGAAAGTTTCGTGTGCCACAGTTTCAAAACCATGGTGAAACCAAAAGAAAGGAATGAAAGAATGGCGTTATCGTCTTATCGGGTAACACGCAAGATTAGGCACATGCAGTATTATGGTATTTAACTCTGGATAGTACAGGGACTACAGGCGATTTTACTTGTCATTTAATCAGTGCTGCGGTCACTTGTTATACCCGACATATCACGGCTCAGATTCATTGACAGCTGAGTCTGTGGCGGCATATTAGCAATAAAACATTCAAGATCAGAATGAAACCTGCTTTCCACTTGCTCTGCGTTTTTCACATGTGCACGAACGCACGCACGGAAAAGCAGAAATCCATTTCAACTGTAAATTACATTAAATAGCTCAATAGCCTGCGTCACAAATAAAACTAAATCCCAAGTGATTTATTCTATTATAGTTATTCAATGTAACATTCCTGTGTGTTCACGCACGCACGTAAGAAAATAAAGCGGAAAGCAGTTTGCTACTATCTCACTGCAAGACTAAGAATGTTCACCCAATATTTACCATAAGCTGACAAATGTTTTAAAAATCTCAACTGGTTTCACTTACGATATACTTCCTATTAAATTTAAACTTTGGTGTTTCATCTCACAGCGGGTTATTCATCCTTCTTGTCTACCTCGGTTTTCTTCTCAATTTCCTTCTATGAAAAGAAAAATATTTTATGAAAGGAAGTTGTAGAAGTACAACAATTTATTCCTCATGTCCATCGGCTGCAAGCTACTACTACTAGATCATGAACATCTCAAAATTGTGCCAAAGGACATTTTACAGGCATTACCAAGAGTTTAAACACGCTTTAAAACCCTTTCATTACAGAATAATTTGTAGAGCTGAACCTCGTCTATGTAAGCAGCAACAGTAAGAGCATAGCGAGGACATGAGCTAACTCCACTATATTTTCAGATCAGTGGCTAGCTCTTAATACCCAGGAATCATAAACTGCAAAATTTCGTTCCCAGCATAGCCAATTGTCTCCGTGAACGACTCTTCAAATGGTAAACTCTTAGTAAATCCACTTATTCTCCTTTTCCAGAAGAACCATGGTCTAGACCTAATAATACTCATCATGTCCACAGTGTAATTTTGTGTAAAGTACAGTGTATTCACCTGAAGTTTCCCATGTTCATCAAGAAGACGGTCATACTCCTTGCTTACTCCTTCAGCTTGCTTTTTCATTTGTTCAAGATCTTTCCGAGTAATTTCCAACTCTTGAATATGACAAACAAATCCCAAATAAAGATTTGAAGAATAGTTGACAACTGAAAAGTATTCCTCAAGATAGAGTTGACACAAGATTGTACTCAGATCCTTTATTCACCTTTCTCTCTCTCTGCAAGTTCGTTGTTTTTCTTTTTAAGCAAGTCATCCACGTGACTTTCATCATCATCTGAATGTTTCTGATCTTTAATTCCCTTTGATTTCTATAGAAAGGTTAGAAAGATAATTACAAACACATAAAGAAAATGCAAATATATGACCCCTAACATTTGGTACAATATATAGTTTTATAAATACAACTGGGGAAATGTAAATATTAACCATCAACTAGGGTAAAAATTAACAGTAAAGTTAAAAATTAACCTTTAACTCATCAATTTCATCCATCAGTTGTTCACAATGGTCACTGACACCTTTTGCTTGTTTCATGGCTGCCTCACTCTTTGCAAGAGCATTGGCAAGGTGTTGATGAAGAGAAGCCACTCGACGGACAACACTACAATAAAGCTTCAATAGTTAACTCAGACTCAATGACCATCCATCATAAACTGAACTAAGTACACTGTATCACCTCATGCACAACCTTCTCTGGACAGTCAAAAAAGCTTTGCTCTATATTCATATGTCAGCCATACTTGCATGTAAGTATAGTTTATAGCTTTTAACACAGCTTAATAAAAAAAGTCAATCTCTAATATGGTTGTTATGCCAATATGTAATTAGTCAGGTGATGATTTTGAAATAAAATTGAGATATTACAACCTCACTTTTGGTGTTTTGGTTCAGTCTAATTGTCTTAGATCTTCCAAGATGTTGGTGTTTGGATTGTGTTTTGTTTTATACTTTATAATAATAATACTGAGGTACTCCTAAAGTTTTGCTTGCATTTTTGCACTATTGCCATGTAAAAATATACTCTATTTTATTAATCTCATTGAAACTATTAATTAGACAAATTACAATCAACATCAAAAGTGGTATTATATGGTATTTTCGTATTTTATGCTGTGATTTAGCTTGTACAGGCAATTGAACTTCTTTTGACTAGGAGCATTTGAGCAATCAAACTATGTCATTACACAAGGGTCTATAAAGTGGAAGTTAATTATTTCCCAGATTACCTGAGATGAGTGTAGTGGCAGATACAATCAAGTATTAACACTTCTACAACACTTACAAAAGTAGGAAAAGAGCAAAACCAGTGATATAGATATTTCGCTGAGCACGAAACAATCTCATCTTAAACTGCATTGATGTTCTAGGATCAACAGAAGGATCTGCTTTGGCCCAGTCATCATCTCGGAATTTATACGTTTCTCTCACTGAATCTAAATGTGTTTCAATATATACCTGAAGTTAAAATCTCTGAGAATAATATGCATTACAATCTTACATATTATCTATGAAAACAATGCATATTAACAAAGTGTTTGAGGTAACGCTGGTTGGAAGTTGTCGTGGCGGGGTGACCATCAATTTGGTTGTTGGCTAAGTTAGTGGGTGAAATTGGTTACCCAGTTACATGCAAAGTTAATATATGGTCCAAGTGTGTTTATTGGGTGATATTGGCTACTGGATTCTATTAAAGTTGGTGATAAGGCCTAGTTGACTCAGTGACATTGCCAGCATCGATCAGCAGGGGGGGGGACATATTCATGTATTATTCACATTCATGGACCATAAAAACAAACATTTTAAAAAGAAATTAATAATGTCCAACATGAGTATATGAATATACCACTCCCTTATCAAGATAGGATAGCACTGAGATGACCAGTTCCTCAGTTCATCTCATTAGAATCCGGTTAGTTTCATTACCTAACAATTTGCTGATGAAATGTAAAAGTAATTACACTTCTACTTTTTCAATTTCATTTTCAATACAGAAGATTTTATATATTATTCTGATATACTAAATAATACTTTGCATGGGGTAATGTTTAAAATATTAAATTTACATTTTCCCATAGATAGTATAAAATATATTGGCCAAATATTCGTGCCAATTTGACTGATAAAAACATCATTTCAATGATTTCAGAGTGACAAAGATTAAAGCACAAAAGTGAAGTGCTTGAATTAAGGAACAAAAGTAAAGAAAAATATCTAAGCTTAAATTATGTAGGAAGCCTGTATAAAGACTAAAACGAACAGCATGTTGCTCTGAAGCTATTTTTTAGCAAGATGATTCATCATTGTTGTTGTTGTTTTAATTGAAAAGGTTGACTTTGTTTCCCATTGTTTATCTTTCGAAAAATTTCTACATTTCAAAATACTCACCCAGAAATAGGATCAACAATGCAACAACGAAAACATTGAAGTAGAGATGACCATAGGTTAGGCAAGTAGAGAGAAAGTTAGAGGTAAAAATACGACTCCACCTAAATGCACAAGCACAAAGTTCACTGTGAAAATTATGAATATTGTCTTAGACAATTGCTTGATTCAAACATACCTTGCCGAGGAAATAATCGGCAAACAAAGCAGGAATAAAAACACGATTTCTAAATACAAAAAACCAGCAGCTAACGTCCATTGTAGAGACATATTTGCAACGTTATTTACAAAGAAAGTTCCAGAACTTGTTTTACGTTGCACTCAATACTCAGTTCTCCACAGTTGGTAAAGGTTCTCCAAAAAAAAAATTAGAATTTTACTCTACTCCCCTCAGTCTCCCCCCGGAATTTTTATCTTCATCTCGCGTATTATGTTAATCAGGACAAATGTAATGAGGTGGAGACCAAAAACCCCAAAAATACACATCTAATGCCATGGCTGCCATGTTTCATAGTTTACCTTGTTAATAAATACAGGAAGGGAAGACTCCGTAAAAGTATTCTGATAGCAAGGAAAAAGCTTGGAAGATATTTTAGGTTCAAAACATTCCGAAGATTGAAAACTTGCGAAAAGAAGATTCAGAAAAACTACTTTTAACTTTTTGCATTATTATAATAAATTAGGTTTTACCATACAATACAATGGTATTAAAATAAGGAACAATAGACGAATCTAATTCTTGTATGGCTCAGGAATGCCTTGGCTTTGCAGAGAATGAAAAACCTGGCATAAGATTCCCAGTTTTAAGCAATTTTTGTGTTTTAAACTTTAAAGTACAGGCATATTGTTAAGCACGCAGAATGCGACCCATTTTTCATATTATATGATAAGATACGCTAAATACAATGTTTGTTTTTCAGTTGTGAGTATTTGGTACTGAACGAGTGAAATCATTATTTTTTCCGCAATATCACGTTCCACATTGCATTACTAATACACCTGTTTCTTAAACAATAAATAAAGGGATTACCAGTCGCGTTCATGAACAATAACACTTCAGCCCAGGAAGCAACTACATAAGCAGCAAACACCGAAAATCCAGCAATAAGCGTATACACCAAGTATCCGACCATGGGAAGACTGCAGACCAACATGAAACCAATGACGCAGCCCACATTCTTCTCCGCCTTGCGCGACCTTGCAACAGCGAGGCCCGGCATATTTTGTGAGATGGATAACCTTTCTGCAAAAATATTTCGTCTCTGTTTTTTTGCCTCGAGAAAGATCTTCCAATGGATAATTGCAACGACAAACAAGGTTGCGACGAGTATGAAGCATACAATGGAGTAGAATATTTCTGAGCCTATGAGGATTAGCGTCAACAGTGCGGCGCATATTAACCATGCGATGACAATAGCTCGTATTATCTTTGGAATGGTGCAAATATCAGCATGCTGGAAAGGCAAAAACAGCGCGACAAATCGTTCCCCGCCTATGAGTAGCAACGCTGTATACGATATTGCTGACAGGTACAGAAATAAACATTGCTGAATATCCCAAAGAATACACACATGAGTCCCCATAATCTCCAAGACATGACGCACGGTCGAGAGAGGCAACGAGATGGATACGTAAAATAAATTCGATAGTGACAAATTCGCCAGCAACAGATTGGACCTGTTTTTCAGCCGATCGTTTGAGTAATAAACGTTTAGAAACAAAAAGTTAATAAACATCGCGAAAGGACAGAGTATGACCTGGATGATGATCAGGGCAATCTTGTGTTCCACTATATCACGACTTGGGACATCCTTGAGATATGACGTCACAGTGCATTCTCCGTAAGGATTATGGGTGTCGTTATCAAAATCAAAGAACGTCATTTGTTGGCGGGTAGTTTGCAGACTGTCTTTTCAAAAAGTAGAGGTTTCAATCATCATGCTTCCTGTAAAAAACAAAGGGGTCCGCAATCAGTCAATTGCATGCATTAGCGGTCAAGTCAAATTTAAATTGATAAATGAAAGTTTTTGATAATTAGATGTGTCGAAACGATGCGTTAAAATTAAAAAAAAACCTAAAGATCGTCCCACTCTTTAACTTAGCCATTCACAGTAGCCGAGGTGGGCAATTTGTACAATAATATTTTTGCCGACTTCAGACAGTCTGTGTAAATGCTGTTTAAATCTTTTCTGTTGGGTTTGTGGCTGAATTACCTGAAAAACGGTATCGCACATGGTTCAATTGTTAATATGGAGTGAAGTATACGTTGCCATAGTTTGTGTCCAAGTAGGCTAGTATTCTACAATAAACTACCCGCTATCTAGGTGTTGAAATACAGCTAACATTACATAAATATGATTATATGAATATATGACAGTACCTTCTCAGTTTTTTCAAATATATTAATTATCAGTTTACCAGAAACATGGAACTTAACTTCTAAAATATACAACACGTCAAGTAGAACTGAACAAAAAAAACTTCACTTTTTCAACTATACATAACTATAAAAAACGTATAATTCCTCTCACATATAATGCCTTTCTGCTGGTTGAATCAAAATGGAATTATTTACATATAAATTAGTTTCATCTTCTTCATTGAAACACATCAGTTAAAATTACCACAGCGTTGCTCACAGCATTTATTAAAATAGTTAATGTAATTAAATTAGGCACAACCAATGGGAATCCAGAATCATTTCTATACATCGACAATCAATACCAATATTCATTTAGCAAAACTGCGTATTTTATTTCATTTATATTTTATTTCATCAAAGGTAATTTATATATTCATAGACAACTTTAATTAAACTCTTCGAGCCTCCGTTGTTAAGGAACAGAAAGAGGGAAGTTTGTACTGAATGTCAGGTAAAAATAAACGATAGTTTTCAAGGCAAGAGTAATCGAGAAAAAATACATTATTTTCACAATATGAAATTTTCTCTCTGTGTTATAAATATAATAATTTTACAACATTATAAGTTATTTATATAAAAAAGTCAAACAAATTATAATCAAACGATGTTGCTTATCGCAACAAAACAGCTGCAATTGGAATATGACTCCAGTTACGTGGCGCAAGGCGTGTCCCAACCCTGTCGCTAACAAATAGCCACAACGTATTTTCCGCGCCATCGTACGAGTAAAAAAACATCAGTCTGTGCACCTCCTGCAAGAAGGCGGAAAATGCCCTTGTCTTTTTAAGGGAGACCTGATATTTTTACCACTAAACTTACACGTTTAAAATTCTAGATTCTACAATGTTTTACAAAGGAAGCAATAACATGACACCAAACTAACCAAAGTTCCTCAACAAATAGGCAGAAAATTCTTTACTCAATTTAGAGTGTTGAACTCTCGGTTTCGAATTCTCGTTTTCTTAAGTAACACACCATTGCCTTACGAATCTCGTTGTTTCGCCAGCAGTATACAAAAGGACTCAAAGTCGCTGCCAGAAAGATTGCCGTCTCCGACACATTTCCATAAAGATAGGCGAGTTTGAAATCATATTTACTTGTCAACACAACGATAACAAAAACTAATGCAGGTAGAGCTGTGATTAACAACAAGACGACAACAGTTAAAACAGTTTTCTCTGCTTTTTTCTCACGGATATTCGTATCATTGTTGTTGTTGTTGGCGTTTTTCTCTTCAGTAACTTTCGTTCTTGGGAATTGGTTTTGAATTTTCCTTCGTTGAAAACGTGCTTGTCGAAGAATACGCATATAAATAGCCACAACCAAAATTTTCGTCAAGATAAAAAGTGGACAAATCACAGCATAAAAGATAAAATAACCAAAAACAACTGAGGAAGTGATGATAAAAGAAATGCACCAGGCCAGGATTACACATAAGGTTATTCTTGATTGATTGAAAATGGCTGCGTAACGCAATGGAACAAAGGTTGCCAAAAATCTATCAAAACTTATTAGAAATATTGTTAAAAAGTAAACGCAAGTTAAATACAGGAAACTTAAATGTTGAAATTCCCACAAAATGCAGTTATACGTTGCGTATACCTCAAAGAAACATCGAATAACGAACATTGGCTGACTTGTGCAAGAAAGCAAGAAACCAATTACACTGACATTCAAAAGTAACAAATTTGATACAGTTTGAAATCGACGATACTTTATATAAACGAGGATGTAAAGGCTATTCCCAAGCATCGAGAGTAACGTAAGCAGAGCAGTAAGAAATGCGGTAAATATTGCTGTAGTTTTGATGAGATTTGGTAGAGGCACAACAATGTAGGTAGTTGTCCAACACCAGGCCAGTGGAGAGGTTGTATTTTCCGTATCATTGCCCATCTGAAATTCAAAATAAGAATTACATTCCTCGCAGAGAGGAGGTATTTTTTCTCAGGCCGGGTTAAGAGGGAAGAAAATGATATTCATGAAGGGTTTAATAAAGTTTCCATATTTGAATAAATTTCTCAACTGATTTATGCTACGGATTATATATAAACGACTTATGATATGACCAACCTTTACTGATAGCGCTAAACTTTATCCACTCGCATGAAATTTCCAGATCAGTTATTTTCTTGTAATCACTTAGAGTTCAAGTACAAGGAAATTTAGAAGTTGAGTAAAGCAGTTGAATTGGTATTAAATTTGTGAAAATTTTATAAATATTTGTTTCTTGCGATATTAAAACAAGCAATATTAAAAAAGCAAGTATAAATATTAAAAAGGTAAAAAAGCAAGCGTCCCGTGCGCTCATATGCGCTGCAATAAATTCTCAGGCATGCACTGGTCTCCATCTAATAGCTGGATGCAACCTCTGTTTTCCATTGGAGAGTCTGGGTACGAGGCTGTGATCTTATAGTATATTTCCTGCACTGACACCTGATATGCTGGAAAACGTAAAAAATAAACTGTAGGTACACGAAGGCTGATATCATACATTCATGGGAAGGATATTTCTCTGGCTTTAAACTGCAATCAATCATCATAAATTTTTCGTTCTCGTCTGAAATCTTCTAATGAATGATTGTATTTGTCACTTGTCAAAATGTTGCATGTGTAGGCTTGGTTTGAAATTTCTAGTGGCAAACTGATGTCAGCTGAAAAAGATAAGAATTGAGAGCACTCCTTTAACATGTAACTTGTATTTTATACTTCCATCAGCATAATGTCAGATCTAAGGTCATTTGAAGTATCTGGGTCGCAGACTCGCAGTTATCTCACATATAATCTAATCTCATACCCAGCCCTATCAATCTTCTCTTCTCAATCTTCTTTGCAATTTTTCAACACACATTTCTAAATATAATTTAAAGTTTTACTTCTGTTGCATTCTCCAGTGTTTGCTTCTTCGAATATTCCCCAGAAAACCAGATGTTCTCCCGACCTATAAACGGTAATTTTGAACTTGCATCTTGCAGCAGCTGCTTGGAAACCACAATCAATATCAATCCCAGATAAAATGACAAATGCATTTCCCGATGGAATACTAAACACAGGTCTAAACACGCAGAGATTAACTGCTGCATTAAACGGCTTGATAGGGGACAGGATTGTTTTCGTGTGGTTGTTTAACTTCTTCCAAAACTTTGGGAAAAGTATTTGGATTGATTCAGCGAAAAATTCATATTTCTAGTTTCTAGGAAAAACTTTTTAAATGCCTATACTAAATACTTTTGAACTTAAAACTACATTTGAACAATCCCGTGGTGTAGCAGCGAAGAAACGAAACCGCAGAGGCTTGGACCCGAGTCAGCTGAACGGTATAAAATTACAATGTATATGTCATAATGACTGAATAGCGTCGCCGTTTTTCAAGTCAGTATATATAATGTCCAATAAACAATTACTTAATTGACTGACCAATAACATGACTTTATTTTACTTATCTACTATACGATCTTAAAAGTCATTAACAATTCACAAACCTCTTATAATACAGATTTTACTGATTGAACCTTTCTTCGTTGCTTGCGTTGGAAGTTCAATAAATGCGACTGAAATGTTCAAACCCGAACTTTAAAGATCAAATATTATAAAGAAAGTTTAATTTTTTGTGTGCTGTGCACTCTGTTTGGCCAGTAATTCTAGGCAGTGGCTCTTGTTTCTTACTGAAGCCAAATTTAACATTTCGTTTAAAAAGCAATCCTCATTTGGTTTAAAAACTATCGCATTATCGCATCATCGTCTTTGTATTGATCCGATGGATAATTTAGGTAGGTAACGAATTTTATTCATATATATTGTGTTTGTTTAAATAACTATATAGTTGGGCAGTATTTAAATTGTTCCATATTGTGGTTGGCTTAAAGGGAAATCGCCATATTGGCGGGTCTTGTAAGTAGTACCAAGCGAAGAGACAAAGTTCTCAGGGCAACGAAACGCAGAATTTCTCTAGGTTACTTAAAGCGCTAGCCATGCAGGTGGATAGACTTTGGAACATGGCACATTGTGTGGTAAGCTAATGGACGTGTTTTTCCCTGGGTAAACAGAATTTTATGTTAGCTTAGCTCGTCTTACGCAGGTAGTGAATGGTAAAATGGTATAAATTGGTTGAAGAAGAAACAATGTTTTTTAATGTTTAAAAAAGCAACAAGAGTTAATTCACAAGTTCCCACGTCTTCAACGATATGTGGATCTCTGCTTAAGATAAGAACATAAATAATAAAAAATATAATATTTATGTGTTTCCCCCATGCTGCGATTCCTGTCAAAATTTCTTTCTTTTATATGTCTATATCAAAAATCTTGCGTTAAACATTGTCACCAAGTCCCAATATCTCGAATTTGACAAATACTGTATATATAAACACGAAGGGTGATCTCTGAATATCATAATTGTTTTTGACTGTCATCGAAATCGTGGGCAGATTTTAATTTGAATTTCTTACAAGATGAAGTTTATCAAAAATAATCAAAATTCTGTTCAAAAATATGCATGGCAAAAGATTCACGAAGATTTTTGCAGATTTATATGAAGTTAAATGAACTGTTTTTCTTATAAAAGAGCGAGAAGCCGATATATTTTTGTCATATATGATAACGAAGATATAGATTCATTATTTTTCAAAATTATCAAGTGTCCGTACGTGGTCCAATATATTTCACACGAAATTATACTGCAAAGTCATTAATTATAAATTACTTTTGATAAGTATAAAATAGATAAATTCAGTATTTTTCTATTAGTTGGAAATTCCGAGTTAAGGTTGATCAGTTATCCAACATGAACACGGCCGCTTAAACTGTATGCACTCATGATTTCAAAAATACTTTTACACAACTGATTGAAATGATCAGATCTGAATATATCTGTACAGACGTAATTCGTTAATTATGTACGCATATAGCTCTTCAACTCATCATTAATTATTAACATTTATAAGTTGTTTATATGCCGGTTCTTTAGTGTTAATCCATTACAGTCGGCAAATTATAAAACGGATTTAGTTTTATTAAAAGCACAAACTTTTAATATTGAACTTCGTTTTGAATTAGTTTGAAAACAGAGGTGGTTGCGCGGCAGTATGCAGATAAGACGTAATTATGATTATGAAAGAAAGTCGAGTGTAAAAAAGGAGACTGGGATGAGCCACAAAGAAAAATTTTAATCTGAAGATATGACAAACCATACAAAAAACATTGTTTTCCCAATTTCCCATAGGTGGAAAAACCGAGGAAGCCTATTAAAGCTACGCATGCGTGTTTCTTAAAAGTGAACAAACCAAAATACACTGTTTTCTAGTCGGGATTTCTAGTCTATATTGTTTTCTTCACAGCCATGTTTCCTGAAAGTGGACAAAGCAGGAAACATTTCTCTTAGCCTTGTTTTTCGAAGGAGAAAGAACAAATATTAACTGAACCAAATAAACCAAATCAAATGTAGTCACACGGTAGTCACATGGTAATCACATGATAATCACATGGTAATCTTGTCAGGAACACGATTTTACCGCCCCAATTTAATGGTGCTTATTTCCACAATCTCGCAAGATTATTAGAAATCGTTTCATCAATTTTGCCTGTAATTAATATTTTATCTTTTTCAAACCGAACCATAAAACATGTTCGTTATCATAAGGTTCATCAGCAAAGTCGTTAGAAGAACGTGAAAGAGAGTGGCAAATATTTTGACTGCACTTTAAGCTGTTACCACGCACAAATATAAAGTCATGCAACGTCTAATATACGGACATGAAAAAAATATGCCATTTCCAATCTTCGAAAATGACTTGTTCAATCAGTAGACAGAGTATTGCTTTTCTTTCTCTATTTTTTGGCGTGCACATTTCTCCAAGATGGAATATCACCCAGTTCTCCAAGATAGAATATCGCATATTTTGATTTCATTGCAGACAATTTCAATTCGGTACAAGGAGCAGTCCTTGAGAAGGCGACACTTAGCATTTTTCGCAATATAAAATTCATTGATGAACACTCGACTAAAGATAAATTGAAACGAAACCAGATTTCAACAATTCTCTGCGTAAAAAAATATCGACATGATTAAAACATTAACTACGTTGAAATTAGCTAACGGGCTGAAGGATTTTAAGGGGTGTCACCTGACGGAAATTTAATAGAATTGGAGTACGATGTAATTGGATTTACATCTGGTTGGGGCAAAAGTTTCGTCGGGCACGTCATCAATAACGTATTAATTATTTACGAGTTTTGACTAGATTTATTTTCACTATGAACTTGTTTTTGGCTTACACATTTGTAGTAATGAGTGGCTCACAGTTACTCGCCTGGAGTGGCAGTGTGGAGCACTAGAGACCTAACTATGAACGTTGTCGCTGCTCTTTCGAGCTTTTCCTACAAAGTAAAAGCACTTTTCAAAGTAAATAGGAAACCCACAGCCAGGGTTTATGAACATGTGCCAAAATTCGGATCTTCATCGAGCAAGAATGCGCAAAAATCACCGAGCAAACACTCGCCCAGGAAGTCACCCAGTACTTCAAGAAAGGAAAACAGCTACAGTACCTTTTTCAATAATATCATAGACTCTCTTGTCAAATTCGTTTCAGGAGCATCTGACTCTGAGCAAGAAGGTGTTGTAAAACCAACAAAGACACGAGTTGAGAGTACAGGGACTAGTCCAGCAGCTCAAAAAGTAAACAAACAATCAAGTTACGACGTAGAGGCAACTGGTGAGGACGAATTAGACAGCAAAGAAGATACCAAGTTATTACAAGAAGAAGAGGCTGAAGATGGGGAAGTGTTTCAGGAAGAAAGCAAAGGAACTACCTCAAGCTTGCAGGCTGGATGGAATATCTCAAATTTAATACAAGGTAGGTTCGTGAGGTTTGATTGTTAACACTATATATATAAATTCCTATATAATACAATTATGAAGCATTGAAAGGTTGCTAGTATTTGACAGTTTGTTGTATATTTGATTGACATCTGATGATATATCTCAACTGCATGACTTGGAAGAGGAAATACCAACGTGAAGCTTACAAATATCCTAATGCTGTGTTCAACAATCCAAAGGCAATGCAAACCATCTTACAAAATTTCACAATTGATAGTAAAAAATAACGAAACAGATCACAAGTTGACGTCTTAGCGACATAAAACAATTGCTATAAGTTACATCGAACGTCAGGTTTTCAGATTAGAAGATTCTTGTACACATCAAGATAGGGCCCCATTTGCATGCCTTTATGATTAAATTAGTTCGGGCTCACGCCGAGTTTTTAAAAGACTTGAAATTAATTGTTTAGAATTTTTGTATTGTTTATCGTACATGACAAGCAATGTAAATCGATTTCACCCTATCACTGCTTATGGAAGAAAAAAATTGTTTAACAGACAAAACAACAAACGAAAAAATAATGAATTATATAAAAAATCGTTCTTACAAATATTGTGAAATGTTCAAAACGCACAGGAATATGATTCCTATAAAATCAGTGAGCATAAAACATTATTTAGGAAGAAAAATGTTTGCCAGATAAATACATAATTATGATTTGCTATCGTTTCTTAATTTTGACATTTCATAGAAAATAAACTGTACGTTTAAATTTTCGCGTGATTGCGACCATTGGAAAGTTGAGAACTTTAAAATCGTGTTATTATATGACGGGAAGATGTGACCCTGTGACCACAAATTATTAAATAACTGACAATATATAATTGAAACTAATTATGTTATTAACTAATTAGGTGTGGTCAGTGAAGATTAGGAACTTCGGTGCCAATCGATGAAAACACTTAAGCCAAAAACATTATTAGTTATTTCGTAATGACCTGTATCCTAGTTCATTTTACTTTCCATATGGTTTATGAGAGATTTGTCAAAATCATTCCTGATTTCTAGGAGATTCCAAGTTTTCTTTGCACCTCTACGAAACATGCGTGACAAAAACATTAAACCGTAGGAGGTTTGGTTTTACTTATCTTATTTTTTAGAAGATTTTAACTGGATAAAACAAACTAAAACAAAAGCCCAGAATATTATCTAAAATTCATGTTCTTTTACCCAATACGGAAGCTTGGCAAGACTCAAACCTTTTTAATTTTACGTTTAGGCCATGCAGTCAAACGACTTTATCTTCATTCTCTTTTTATCTCGCTGCTTAGTAATATTAACAGAGTATTTGACAAAATGATTTCTTTCCTATCAATATTGCATAACCTATAAAAAAAGGTCGCAAAAGTTCCATCGCGCAATGGTTCAAGAATATCCCAGAACGTACCATGTAAACCTGCTTATCACGACAAGAATAGATACGAATAGAATAAGAATAATACGGTAGATGCAACATTCACACCCTCATTTGATCGCAGGGCAGAGGAATAGCGGCGAAAAGGGGTGGGGACAATACGGGGGGCAACCTGAATATCAACATTGAAGCCACAAGAACAAAACAACATTATTGTTTATCAATCTTGTAACCGTGATTGATATCTTAGTAGAAGCAGTTCTTCCAACATATAATATTCAAATTTTTCCCATTTTGATAATTGTCTGCTCCAGGACCAGCTGTTGCACTTATTGACGTCACTCTTTATTGTTTCCATTCCAGGCACAGGTACCCTAGGAATTCCTTATGCAATAAGTCAGGGAGGTTATGCTTCCATATTTGCTATGGTGTTTGTGGCTTTATTAACCAACTACACGGGAAAGTTGATCGTTGACTGTTTGTACGCAAAACAACGGGGAGTTAAAATCAGAGTTCGACATGGTTATGCAGATTTAGGTTGGTATAAACGTATTGTTAGGAAATAATCACCTTCGGGTCGGAAAATAAACTGACAACTTTTGTGCAAAAGCGAAGCCTACTGCATTATAACAGTTTTTCATTTTCTTCAAGGTGAACACTGCTGGCCAAGCCATGGCAAAACTATAGTTGGTTGTGCTCAGGTTCTTCATCTTTTTTCGGCCCTAGTCCTCTATCTCCTCCTCATTTCCGACTTCCTAAATGACATCTGGCCGCACCCAATACTCCGACCATCTTGCTGGACCGCCATCGCAGGAATCTTGGTTCTCCCAAGCGTCTTCATCAATGATCTTTCCCGTATTTCCTGGCTTAGTATGTTCAGTGTCTTTGCCTTACTCTTCGTCTTTACTTCCACAATAGGATATAGTATCTCAGAATATCACACCTGGGACCTGGATGCTCTACCATTCTTCAACCCTGAAGGTTTCCCGGTCGCCTGGTGTATTATATTATTCAGTTTTGTTTCTCATCCTTATTTACCGTCTGTCGAAGAGAAAATGAAGTCCCCAGAAAGGTTCCCGCTTGTTATGAATATCTGTTACGCAATTGCGATGGTTTTTAAAGTCGCGTTTGGTACTTTAGCTGTTTTAACCTTCAAAACCGAAACGATGCAGGAGGTTTCCGAGAATCTACCATTTGGTCCTCTCAAATCAGCGATCGATACCTTTCTTGGATTCAACGGAATGTTCTCTTACGCGTTACCTTCGTTTGCGCTCATTAATATCATTGATAAATGCAACCTGCGAATAATTCCGCCTTGTTATTCCACAGAAGATTACAAGCTTTCCAACAAGGAGTTATGCGTGAATTCTAGTCTTCGGGTGTTCCTCGTGTTGTTGTCGGTAACAGTCGCCATCATGGTTCCAGAGTTCTCACTTCTCATGGCGGTCGTCGGCAGTGTGTCAGCGGTCGCGCTCGTCCTGGTGTTTCCCGCGCTTTTTCATCTCAATTTGATGAGAAATGAAATGAGCAATGTTGGCTACGGGATTGATGTGTCCATTATTGTTATCGGGATTTTTAGCACCATATTTGGCCTTTTCTTTTCCGTCAAGAAACTTGTCAATGTTTATAAGCTGGACTTTTAAACATATCATTGCGTTGCCGTTCAGCAGGATTGTATATCATTCACCAGTTACACTAAAAACCTATCCAGAATAACTAGAGTGCAGCGTGACTGCTTCTTTAAATAACCTACCATCAAATGTGGTTCAGTAACTGCTTTAAACATATACAAAATAATGTATCGACGTTTTCTGACGAACCCACGAAATGTCAGGTAGTCGCTGAACCACAATTAGCCTTTCTCATTTTTGGGGTACTTTTTTTCAAAATCGTGAGAGTAAGACCTCGTAACGGTGACTATCTTTAATTTTAGGCTGGAGTTATTCTTCAAACGGTCTGTTGATTCTAAAAAAAATTGCTTTTCATGTTGTTATAATTTTTAAAACCGTTGGAGACAATTGAAAGTACCCCAAAAACGTCATCGTGAGAAAGGCTAATTGATAGAAATTTCCACTGGAGCTTAATTTTGCGAAACGTTTAAAGATAATTCACATGCAATTTACATAAAAGAAAGTTGCTTTCTCATAATAGTATTAAGATAAATGTACACTCCTTTATGTTCTATTTATGAACGACTTCTTTGCAATATATTGTACATGTCCATATTAACATTTTTGGCTCACCTATATCTTCTGTACAATCAACATAACGGTGTTTAAAACTAATATTTAACAAAACAATTAATATTGAACTTCTTATACGAGTACTTGACTGTTCATATTGTCCGCACACATTAAAATGCTGAACAGTTTTTGAAGTTAACAAAACTAGCTAATTACTATCTAATGGTTCGGTTCTCTCACACGGTAATGTTAACGTTACATTACCAAATGAAAGCAACACAATGTTAATACAAAAATAAAACATCTCTGATCCTACCCGTACAACATTTTACGATCTTTCAAGCGGTTCTTTCAATCCACAAGCACATGTTTTGCTCCATTCACCTGTGATAGGATCTTGCACGTGATTGGCCGGTAAAAACACGTGACAATGTCCATCGTCATCGCGAGCTGTCTTGCCCTCTGAAATGAAAGAATTCTTGTACTATACAGAGAGGCTACATTCTATGATACACAAAATACACGATACTGATTGGCTAATTTTGTCACTAACTATAGTTAAAACGTTAAATTCCTTTTTATACAACAACTATTTTGGGAGGTTATTTTCTTCAAGATTTTGTAGTGCTCTAATCTATATCTACCCCTTATAGTCCACTGATATCCACACAAGCAGCCACGTGAAATAGGGAAAGTTTGAAGCCGGGGGATTACAGTCTCAGGCCGCTCTACTAAAATGGTATTTTCTACTATAATCGTATTTTTTTATTCATCAAACAGGGAAGTTAAACTTATCCGCATCATCAGTTAACTCAGTTAAATAAATTATACACAAACATTTCTCAACAGTTTACATGGCGAATGTTACTTTTCTTATGGGCGTGTAAGGCCGCTGGACAACATCATTGTTGTATATCTCAGTATTTCTATGACATGTGGTGATCTGGAAAGTGTTTGAACTACCCCAAACATTACCTTGTTTATTCCGGGGCCACGATAATGATATGTCAGTCATATCTTCAGATTCTTCAGGACCATTCTTTTCAACTTTTGTTTCAACTTCCTCCTGCATGAGTCATAACAAACAAATTTCTTCTTCTTCTTCTGTCATCATTCAGTTCAATTATCTAAACTAACCTGAATTAATCGTTTACAAAATGAAATTTTTACCTCCGTTGCATATTTACGTTTAAGTCTCTCTCTGATGCGCAAACTCCTCACAATGTGAGTCCAATTATCAAGCACTCGTTTTTCACGTTTCTAAAGACAAAAATAATTATGACGCTTCATTCACATGGCTTAATCTTTCTTGGAAGAGTGCTTCAAGAACAACCGGAGATGCAACTATCTGTGAAGGACTTGAAATAATGCATGCCTTTTAGAAAGGTATTGATAATTTAGTGAAAAGGATTATTCGTAGTACATACAGCTTCTTCCCGCTTGATCTTTTCCTGTTGCTCTTTATCCCATGCTAGCAACAACTGTTCCTTGTATTCCTCACCTACCACCACTCCATCGATACTAAAATGTTCACCAAATAACGATCAAGTTATTCAACACTTGGAAAATGAAAACATTTATATGATTGTGCCAGCCAAGCTGGCTGGCTCTTACATGAACTAATAGTGAATAAGAAGAAAGCCAATTATGTATGAGGCTGAAACATTCACTTACATAGGATGATTGAATCCTCCATGGAAATCAAAGCCAACAACAGCAGGAACTGCATCAATATTCAATTTACGAGCAAGACGATGGATACCTGGGACTAGAAACAATGAAAGGAACGTCTCATCATAACTACACGCCTTACATATAACTGTAAGAGGCATAACAACAAAATAGTACCTTGAATATGACAAGCACCCAGAGGTAACATACTGGGTTTGAACAATTCAACATTGCCGTATTCATTCCTTGGTACTTTCCCCTGGAATTTTTTGGAGCGATAGTTTTTAAATATTTTTTATCCGTGAAAATCATTTATACGGGAAACAATACATACATCAACAACCGGAGGTGGAATAAAATCTTCCGTCTGCCATCGTCCAAATAATTCTGATTTAATTTCACCCACATTTTCTAACATCTTTCTCTAAATATAAACCATTCCGTCAGTCGGGGAATCAAATTCTTATTTGTTTTCACTGCTTTTTTTTACAAACACCAGGATCCATGAACCTACCCTGCTTTTCCTTCCTTTCACAATTTTATACGCTTGTTCTCCGGACTGAAAAGATTTGTAAAAATGAAATAAATGGGTAAATGACTGTTATGAAAAAATACTCTATAAAAAAAAACAGGAGCGCAGGAAACAATGTGCGTGGGAAAAGAGACTCTATTGATCTACTGACTTTAACTACTCGTGCTTCTTTCATCCAAATTTCACGAGTATGGAGCTAAAAGAATGAAAAAGATATTTCATTTTGCCAGAAAACGTGTTAGAATATAACAGCAAAGTTAGCGTGCTTGAAGATGACGTACTGAATGGACACAGTCTCGAGAGTAAACAGCCTCACCACGACAAAATCCCAACGTAGCTGCAGATTCGGGATAGATTGCTAAATAAAGAAATTATTTTTCACTTTATCACCTTGTTACCGAGCTGTATACAATATACAACGATCCTCTCTGATTTACTCTTACCTTCAAACTTCAACAAATGTCTTTTCAGTACATATCTATAAGACAAAACACAAAATGAACGATACTGCATGGTGGTGATCGCTCATTGTACGAGATTAAGAATTATAGAAGTTTCTCTGAAAACATGTTTACAAGTTACAGTTTCCAACTTACAAAGGATGATTCTTATATTCCGAGACCGTTTGTGGGAGTGGTTTTCGAAGAAGTTGAGCTTTGAAGAAAATTCAAATATTTATCAACATAACAATAAAGAAGTGGTTAAGTTGTTTGTACATTCCATTTACCTTTCAATAGTGAATCTTCTTTTTTGTCTCTTTTCTGCTCCGAGAAAAAAAGAACATGAAATAAGCAACTTAGATCAATGAAGAGACTAGGTTCGAGGTTGAACAATTGACTTACATGGTTCTTAGTTCGAAAATAGTCCATTGTCTCTGTCAACCAATCAGAATCAACTCTTAATTTCGGTGTTGTGGTCAGCCAACCACTTGCATACCGACACGTGACATCTTTAATTGAACACTCTGATAAAGTTGAATAATAATATTTGTTATTATGTTTAATTCAATGATTTAAGTGCTGGAATAGACGAGGCACGTTGGTAGATCTCCTCTAAATAGGAGCCTTAATTTGCATGAATTCGTTATTCACGAGAGCAAGGCTCCCAGAAAAAGGATGTATTCGTCACAACCAACGACTCAATATGAACACGTTTTACGAAGAGTCCTTAACGTTATATTGTCAACGTTAGTTTTTCTGCTACTTTGCTATTACCGTTATCAAAAGCCATAACATATTTAATTGGATTTGTGGCAAGTTTTTCACATTCGTCCGGTTGATTTACACTGGATATATCACCGTCTATACCTAAAATATTCAAAGTAATTTATTGACCGAGACGACGATGAACGATAATAAACGATGGGAAAGACCACTTGGGAAATTATATGAATTATAACCAAATTAACTAAAGGTAAATTAACGGAAATGGCTAATATCTTGTTATACGAGTGAAAAGAATATCAAAATTTTCGTCAGATAGGAATAACAAGAGAGCTAGCGTATCACATTCTGTAAAAATATACAGATATGAAGATGAATGCCTAGCTCAATACTTACAAATCCATTTTTTTTCTTTCTGGAGATAAACCTCGACCCAAATATCACGACCTAAAATTGAACGTGAAAAAGACTAAAAATTTTAAAATATACATCAAAGTAAAATATTCACAATTTAGTAATAACCTTTCTTTAGTAGACCGCTGCTCTCGACACTCGGGTGCGCATCTTCAAGAGGATCTGAACCTGATCTGTCTCGTTTTGATGCACTACCTCGTTTTGATGCACTGCCTCGTTTTGTTGCCTTTTTTTGAATTTCAAAGTCACCTTCATCAGAAGAGTCGTTTTCAGGTGATGTAAAGTATACACTTTTAGTTTCACTTGTGTTATCGTCTGCTTTGGTTGTTTTTCTCGTGCTTCTACCAGTTGCAGGAGGAGTTGATTTGTTTTTTAGTTTATTCAATAAAGTCTCCTTTGATTTTGGTGTAGTTTTCGGTTGCTTTTTTGCCGCTTGTTTTGGTGTTGTTGGTTGTTTAGCCTTGCCAGGTGTTTTACTTTTCTTTGATTCCGATTTCGAGTTCTAAAATCAGATGCAGATATAAATAAAACAGGTTGTTTTCTCAGCAATAAAACTGATGACCTATCACAAACATAGTCCGCCATCTTGAGTAGCACGAGACTTTTCCTGAACCGATTAGTAGAAATCCTTGTTAACTTTTAGGTCTTCGGAGTTCTCAAGCGAGGCAATAAGCCACGGTATTACAATTTCAGCTATATTCAACTGCAGTCAACTAAGGCATTTTATTTCACCACCCAAAATGGCGGAGGGCAAAAAGTAGAAACTATGACTTGCAAGAGCTCAATATGCATGGTATACTCACTTGACTGATATCTTCTAACTTGTTGCTTAAAACCTACGAAAAATACAACGAGTGTAGCTACATATTACTTTGACTTAAGTGATATTGACGTAATTTTGCCATTTACCAAACCCAGCCTAAACGAGAGTGAATGGTAATCATTTGTCACAACTAGTTTTATCGCCATTATCATGAAGTGTTTTCAAAAGCTATGTTACTGTGGTAAATATCTTACTTGTAGCGACATAACCAAGCGAACATCCAATCCCAAACCACGAAGTATAGCAATAAGTAACTGCAAAGGAAATCAAATACTGAATAGTAAGACCGAAAATTTTTTCAATCCAAAAAACATGTCCATTTTGAGTTTAACTTACATAAATTTTCTTTTCTAAGACTCTCATCAGGAAAGTACCCTGAAGTTCAAAAAGGCGCGAAATAAATTCCACGAATTTACGATTCAAAGTTTTATGTGATGTGCTTTTTACTTCGCCCAGCCGGGATAACTCGCTCCATGTAAGCCGGCCCTGAGAAGTTTACCTCGGAGTGTCCTGTATGAAATTCCCCAGGGTTCGGTGCTTTGTTTTTCATCCTAAAATGAATTTTGTATTTTGCAGCAACTCGATTCTTATTTCTATAGATCCACCCGTGATCAGAGATGATCCATGAACTTACAATTTTGCTTTTTAGTCTGCAAACTGTCATTGAGGAAAGAAAAGAGCAAATATTTACCAAGTGGTGACTCTTGTAAGAAACGGAACATCCCAAGTCTTTAAATCATCACGTTGAGTAAACACATTAGGAAGAACAGACAGACCAATAGCCTAAAACAGACGTTGTTCACGTATTAGTATTAAATAATGCGTGATGATTGGTGAAGTACTGGTGTATTGCTGGTGGTGCTCTGACTTACAACCTCAGATTGTGGGTATGAGGATGTCTTATTAGGATATCTGAGATCTTGAAGGAATTCTGTAGTTCAAAAGGGATTAATTGCTAATGTCTGAGGTGTATCTATTAAAAACAGTTATCATTGCCATCATATGACCTGGGTGGAGAGGAGCATCTTATTATTAGACCTTTGAATTCAGGTTGCAACTCTGCAAGTGTGGACATGATTGCCAGCTAATTGTCAGAACAGCCAAAATATACCAAGCTGTATTACTGCAATTCTTGAATTGAAATCTTGAGTATAGAAAAAAATTAACTACCAGTGGCTAAAATAAGAGATATTTTTTATGTTTTTGAAGAATTAGTTGAACTAATGCCAAAGTACTACAGCAATGACCTGTATACTCTCCAGACTACATGGTATTCCTCCCTAATTGAAGTACAAAATGTTAATTTAACAAAATAACTAAAATCATGCCAGTACCTGCACCAGCTGATTATTACACATTTCATTCTTTTTCATTCCTATGGCCAACAATGTCAACAAATGAACCTGGACAAAGACAATCAGAATGCTATTAGACCTGGGTAATTACAATCTTCAGTATAAAAACATCTTCATGCATTTGGACATATAATCCATTTGAAAATATTAAATCTTGAATTTCCATGCAATCAACAAACACTCATCTCATTTTATCAATTTTTTTGTTTCAGCACTGGGTATCTTGTTATCCAGTATGTATCAAATGAAAGTATCATTTTATTTTCTTGTTAGTGAAGTATATTCTTTTGTTAGAAATATCCATGCAGGTAAACTGTGAAAAGCCTTTGAAATATCACTAAGTTTTGGTTAAATCATATACAATTACTTAATGGTTTCTGTGTTTGGATGACCTGATCCAAACACAGGCCTAATTCAACCAATCAGAACATGTGTTATATACATGTTATTTTATAATATAAACTCATGCTTACTTTGTGTGCACTTATCTGGCCTTCTCGTCTCACTCGGTTGATTTTTCGCTGTATCCATTTTCTTATTTCTTCTTGAGAACTAAAATACATTATTAATCAGTTGGAGGCTAGGGAGTATGTATACATATAAAGGTTTCCAATCATGAGAGCTTACATATTGATAATATAGTGTTGGACAAGTGCTACATGATCCTATTATTTCTTTACTTAATATTCCAAAATAATCCAACTAAAGCTAAAATCACATACGGCTTGCCACATTTGCTTTTCTTCCCTGGAACTTGGATAGTAACCTCAACTTTGCTACTTGTGGATGGCTCATTGTCATTATCACATTCTGCATCTTTTTCATCAAATAAACCAGATGCTTCTACAAAATAAATTATACACCACGTACGTATATTTAATGTTTGTGATGAGTTATATGAATACAGTATGCATTAATTGGGAATAAAGTCATTAGCATACAATGGCATTAGAAACTCTCTTGTGATGACATTGGGAATACATGAGATTACATGATCTTGGATTAATTGGCAAAGATTTTAACCACTAATATATTTATATACTATCATGTCCAAGGAACTATATACATATATATTACCTGCAACATCCTCCCAATCCATCTCAGACTCATTTCCATCTGAATCTTCCAAAGCATCATGTTCAGTAACTGTTGTTTTCTCAGGTGTTATAGATTTTGTTTTAAGAGGAGAAGATCCAACATTTTTCACCAATTGAGAGTCTTTAGCAGGTTTATCAACTTTGGTGGTTCTTCCATGCTTTTTAGGAGACAGCATTTTCCTTTTGACTAACATGTTCCCATCAATAGACAATGTTGGATGCGAGTCTCTAGAATTTTCATTTTCAATAGATGCTTCAGTTATCTTCTTTCCTTCTTTCAAGCCCAATTTTGATTTACTACGACTGGCTTTACTACAACCATAAGCACCCTTGACTATTTTAACCTTTCCCTCAACAGGCTTTCCTACTGGATTTGGAGATGAATGTTTTTCTTTTTTAACCTTTCTTTCTGCATGAAGATTTTTCCTGACACTGCTTGTTGTTTTCTTTCTCTTTGCAATTTGTGCCAATGGCAAATGATCATCAGAACTTTCTTGACTATCTGCAGATTTGTTGGCATTTTTTTTTACTACAGATGTCACCACCTGTGTTTTACCAGTTACATTCTTTCTTTTGAGTTTTTTCGCAGTTTCTGCAACTGCTTCGGGCTTCACCTCATTATCTTGTTTTCGTTTCTTCCTTTTGGTTGCCAGATTTACCTCAGGTGAACTTAAAGACAATTTTCTCTTTTTCTGTGTTACAGTCTTTTTAGCACTTTTCTCACTCATTTTACTTCAGTTATTTTCATCAAATCCAGAAGAGTGGCTTGCATGACAAGTCCCAAATTATGAGGTTCAGAGGTGGTACACTACAGTGTACAGTACGCCGGGTACTCAGACTCAATGAGAGATGATTATACCTTTGAGCTTCTTCTATCAACTAATCACAATACAAACCAGTAGCCTTCAGAAATACATGCAGAAATATAATAATTCCTCAGGATCTTCCATTTACCGCAAAAAACAACAAAAACCACGTGCACTGGTCTGCTTCTGAAAGTCCAAGAGGCCGGACTTCAAATGCATGCTAACATGACGTCTCTCCACTTCAGCCGCCTGCAGGCGCGTATGGTTAGAAAACTGAGCTCTACTGTAATTTCTGGAGGTCTCATACGCTTGGGCACACCAAAAGGTAAAAAAAAAGTCAATAGTCCCTATTTAGAAAAACTTTAACAGACTATCCAATTAGGTAAACTAATGCTCTTCCCGGAGGAGCACGAGGTTAGCTCTATATTACATGCTAAATCTCATCCGAAAAATTTCCGAACAGTAGTAGCTAATTACGTCATGATTCCACAACCATGTTTTTAAAACTCTCTTACGACAGTGTTCTGGGAATTGAACCCAGAAGCCACGAACGCGTTTTTATCATTATCAATGAACACGTTTTGGTTTGGCCCCAGACATGGACACTGTTTTTTACAGTCAAACGAAAAGGAGGGAAACCGGAGTGCCCGGAGAAAAACCCTCCAAAGGTAACCTGAATTTCAGGTTACCTGACCGGCGGTCCGAATTTGGTATTTTCATTTAGAAATCGTCCACAATGACAGTTTTTATCTATAGTTCACCGCTTCAGTTCCACTCATTCGAACCGAGTTCTAGGAATTACCATGCAATTCTTGAGCTTTGTCAATTCGATCCTGGTGGTGGTCTAACCTGCGTGGCGCCGACGTTGCAAAACAGCAGGCGGTTTAAAATTGTAATTAGACTGCGCTTTGTCCGACAATGGCGTCAAAATTATTTCAATTATTCAAATGCTCATGTTATAATCATGCTTTTTTTAAACCCGGCATTTTGGAACGGAATGCTTCATATTTACGACTTGCATGCTTTTTCATCTCAAACCGATGTAGACAACAACACTCTTCTACTATCCCTTATGAAGACATGCACTTCATGCACCGTTTATCTTTTTTTATACGTTCTGGATTACGGTTGACCAAAAATGGAGGAAATAAACGTAATCGGGCTCAACATGCAACTACTGAATAATAGTGAATATGGTTAATCAATAATGTCCCTTACCTTTTATCACCCCGTGTATTTACCTTCGGTAAACAAAGTACCGAATTTCACTTCCACCTTTTTTGCCTTATTCCAAACAGTTGTGTTCTTCTTCAACAACATCTCGACGGTGGGGCGTGCAAGAAATTAAACAACATAGTAAGTGTGTCAAAATGTAAAGGCTTCTTTAGAGGGGTTCACTTTTCAAGCAAGAGGGTACTATGCAATATTAACCTACAGTTAAACAATATACCCCCAGATATCCCCCATTATGTGAGTGTAGTTATTATGCAATGTAATAATTAATATATCATGTAATATAGGAGGTATATTCTCTTCTTATAGAAACTTCATCAAGTCAGTTAAAATGATTAGATTACGTTTATTTCCTTCATGCTTGAGATTAACCGGAAAATCGAAATCCGAAAAATGAATACCAACAAGGGAAACAGAAGAATGAAAGTCTCGATTTAAATTTAAATATTGAAAGACTGAAGAATAATTTTTGATGCCATTGACGGACGGTCCTTCGAAACGGTCGCATTATAACAGGCTGAACAGAGAACTTATATAATCATATAAGTATACTCTGGTTTACCTTCGTATTGGTCTAAAATTAGACTAATACGAATTCGATATTTTCTCGTTGCGCGCGCGTCTGCCATGCTAATTACACGTTTTCTTACTTTCATTTCAACGCTTTAAAACCATCATGCATCTTCTGCAGCTGTTAAGTCGTTCACACGCAAGTGACAAAACTAGGGATGTTTCTTGGAGAAACATCGAAAACGCCCTCATAAGAGCTGTGAGAAATTTCCTGTTATCATGCATTGTCGAAAAGGGTGAAATGTCACTTGATCTGTGAACATACTAGGTTAGACCACCAGCAGGAATCAATCCATGCGCTGTGATGCACATGCAGAATAAACCATGCACTTACATTAATCATGCATTACTCTAATTAGTATACCTATAGTATGTACCTCAACCAGCTTCTGCTTGTACACCTGTCTCGTCGTCCATCATCTGATCCTGCGACGATCCTTTAACATCTGATGCAGCGACGATCCCTTATCATCTGATCCTGCAACGATCTTTCAATATCTGATCCTGCGACGATCCTTCATCATCTGATCACTTAACGTAGATACAAAAATAAGATATCGTTAATGTCCAAGGAGAAATGTCATTTATGTAGAAAGCATTCAAGATAAGCACTCAAAACCCGAATATAGACCTCCAACATCTCCTACGCCACTCGTCCAAGGCCTTCGCATCGCGCACGCGAATACAAAATGTCATGCACGTTTTGTAGGAAATATTCATGTTTTCTTCACGGTCCTGAGAAAATTGAAACACTCGACTATTATCTCCTAGAAATTTCTCATGCATTTTTAAGTTTTAGGCGCTCTGTCAACGATATTTTTGTTCCGGATTATTGTCGTTCAAGATGGAGAGACTACAAGTGATGGGGCCCCAGAATCACTTGTATTTACTCCGCATGCACTTGACACGACCAGGTTAACCCATTCAAAAACCGCAAGCCGAAAAGTTGAAAATCAAGGAGGTAAACAGAAGAGTGTTCCACATATCTCAGCCAAAAAAGCCAAATCCCATGCAATTTTATCATGCATATTTTCGCCGAAATCGAGTTTTGTATTTGCGTGCATAAATGTCCCAAGGCAGCTCCAACATCACTCAACTCCGATTCTTTCATTCTGAAAAAAGAAAACGCTGGTAAAACAAAACAACACGGGCATATGTGCATGAAGCCTAGTTAAAGTGACTTGCTTTCCGAGTATTTTTTGTTCTGCGGTAAAACTAACGACACGGGAAGCACAGGAATCCACTACAGCATGATAAGATACTTAATATGATAACTTGATAAGATAACAGACTGAAAATCAGTAATCAGCACATGTCACGTCCAGCATAAAAGTACATGCATACAAATACCAATATACCGGTCTTTCCCTCAGTCTTCTTTGCCAGGTCAAAACATAAGGCGCTGATGGACGAGTATCCATGATACGACAACCGTGTCCGAAAAACGCATTTCGCCCGCCAGGAAAGTTTCAGTCATTTCTTAGGAAAATTTCAGGATAAGGTCCCAAAAAGTTCGACTAAACTATATTCTAGTTTCGCCCACCGTATGCAAACGTGTTATTTCGAGTCTAAAATGCAAAATACACACGGTATATTAATACAACAATACCTATTATTCGTTGCGAGCAAGCGTTTGTGTTTCGCCTTCCCCATCTTTCGGCGCCGTAGTTCGTTCTGAAATGCAATAAGCAAGGAAAAGAAGAATCAAGTTAACAGCTTGCTTGCGTCGCATATTTTTAATCGAAATATACAAGATATAGCAGTGAAAATCGGCAATGTCCTTGCGGTGCAATCGCTAATGTCTTCGGCATGGTTTTTCAAATCCCCACGATCGAACGATAAATTAATTTGCAAAGCCGAAAGATCAAGCCGACAGATTCTTTCAACGAAACATTAACATGTACCTGAGCAAAGATTCCTTCAACTTTTCCCTACACTTCGATTGATGCTTCCTTTTTTGAGAAGACTGCCAACTATACCAAGTCTGATTTTCTTCTCAAGACTCAAATTCACCCACCTTTTATTACCTGAAAAACATTCCAACGGACACTGCATTTTATACAGCAATGACACTTAACAGAAAGGCCTGTTTTAAACGTCCCAATTCTCATGTGCTGAACGCATAAACAATAGATAATGAGGCATCTCAATTGCTTAACTATTGTTTATTATGTTTTGGGTTAAAACAATCCTAAAAGACTCATGTAAATGATGTAATTTCCCCGACCCAGTAGCGATCAATGGATTTTCATATTTTTCATCACGACCATGGTCATATTCGTCGGAATATGGCAAATACGACCATAGTCATATTCGCCGGAAAATGGCAAATACGACCATGGTTATATTCGCCGAAAAATGGCAAATACGACCATGGTCATATTCGCCGGAAAATGGCAAATACGACCATGGTCATATTCGCCGGAAAATGGCAAATACGACCCTGGTCTTATTCGCAGGAAAAAGGCAAATACGACCATTTTGTCATGTTTTGGACCGCGGTTGGTCAGTGGTAACTACCGTAAGGAACCAGTAGCGTCAATGTATTTTTTTTTGCTTCAAAAAGGTAGGGGACAAAGTTACTAAAATTGGATGAACACTTTCTCCAGAAATATAATATAGCTCATTGGTTATCACTGATCAATGGGAATTTGGATGCGAGACTCGCTCTGTGTCTTGGCATTGAACGTATATTCCAAGGAAACTATATTCCCCCTATCTAGCAGCCTAGCGGTTGTTGACAGACATTTCACATTAGCAACCATACTTTTTTCTATCACGCATGAGCTGAGAAGTAGAAATTATAACATCGAACTTCGCCTCATCAGCTATTTTTACAGTCTTGAGACAAATTCTATTGTTAGCATAAAGCTGTTAATGCAGACAAATTGCGTAGTATTTACGAAAATTTGACATTTCATTTGATACAAAACAAGAAAGTGTCTATATCGAGGATGCATCGATGGATGGCGAAGAATCACGATGATTTATTGGCTATTCCGGCTTAGCCTCTCTGTTAAGTGATAACAAACTGAGAGGAATAGTGAAGGCTGACCATAAGTGACCAGCACTAATTTGAAAGTAACCAATGCTATATTAATATATGTTCCAGTCAACACACATGAGATTTAAAACGCACTCGCTTTAAACGCTTGATGATGTTAATGGTATACGCTTTCGTAATTTTTAAAATGATATTTATATCTTAGAGTTTGACATAAAGTTAAATATCTCAGATTTTAATCCATGCAGTGATAGTAACAGAATCTTCGGCGTTCATCCCTATTTATCCCACATTGTATATTAAACTGCATGATGTTGATCACTCGCCGATCCAATTGTTACCACAGTTACCACAGTTACCACAGTTGCGAGTCACGAACTTCACCAATTATTTGCCCAGCTTTCTGCAGAGCCTAAATTGAAAAACATTTTACATTTTGTTGTTTTGTAAACCAAAACCTTATCGAATTTGCTGCATAACTTATACACACGTGAAATACTCTCGTAAAAAATACTTTGAAGTACCTTGAGCATTTCTGACGCTTCCTGTCTTCGTCTATGGATGTCGTCTGATTCTTCCAGCAACTGATTAAATTCCTCAGTCTTGTTGGAAGAAAAAAAATATACTTTAGCCAGAAAAAAGGAAGAAAAAATAATTTTGAAGGCTGCAGCGTTTTTGAATATAGCGAGACTGCAGATGGTGTTCAACGCTTCATCTTCTGAATTACTCTGTGTCGTTACCTCTGAATTACTCTGTCGTTTAACTTGAATTTCACTGTCCCGATTGTGCTACCAAATAGATTATTGCTACAGGGAAAATTGCCTGCCCAATATAGCGCCCAGTGAAAGCTTTCTATAGCCTCAATGAATGAATGATAGATACCTTATAAAGTTTTCCAACGAGTTCACTTTGTATTCTTTCTTTCACATAATTAACCAGGAAACACATGACTGCTTTTGGAATGCTATAAGGGAAATATACCAGAACTGTCTTTTTTGCAAATAAGAAAAGTTTAACTTAAACAACACAAATGAATATCATTGACAACGAAGTAAAACAACACGGTTATAATGAAGAACTTGTCTTACTTATCAATGCATGGTTAAAATTCATAACTTGAGGGTTATATAATGAAGAACATGGCTTACTTATCAATGCATGGGTAAAATTCATAACTTGAGGGTTATAATGAAGAACATGGCTTACTTATCAATGCATGGTTAAAATTCATAACTTGAGGGTTATATAATGAAGAACATGGCTTACTTATCAATGCATGGGTAAATTCATAACTTGAGGGTTATAATGAAGAACTTGTCTTACTTATCAATGCATGGTTAAAATTCATAACTTGAGGGTTATATAATGAAGAACATGGCTTACTTATCAATGCATGGGTAAAATTCATAACTTGAGGGTTATATAATGAAGAACATGGCTTACTTGTCTTGGATGTTCTTGCGAACAATGTTGAAGTAGGATTTAATAAGTTTCTCTGTTAAACAAAAAATTAAATTTCATATAGTAACAGTGACGTAATGCAACAAACAAAACCCCCAATTTTTTTAATAAAAGTTGGACTATATTTAATCATACTCACGGACTAACGCTGAATCCATTTGCTCGCGAGAGGACAATTCTCTTTGCAATTTATATTCCCTATTAATCATATTCTAAAAACAAATTGATTAAAAGAAAAAGTTTACATAACAATGTGAAACGGACATATAATTTAATTCCGCATGCACGCATGTAAGTATAGTAGTATATTACTTTATATATGCTACATATATTCATGATTTTATATCTAATATTGATGGTATAAGTTAGAAGACCGAAGTTTATAAATATATTTAACAAGCCCATCTGTCCATGCGTATAGGCAAGAAATGTTCAATTGAATAAAAAACAAAATTGCAAATACAGGAGTAAAAAATACTGAAGTTAGACCTAATTTTAGGCAATGCAATGGTCACTCGGACAAAAATCATTGCATATAAACAGTGACATTGTTTTATCGACTGGGGGATATCCAGAATTCTAACCGGGAAAGCTGAAAATCTCTCAGTTACCTCAGTTGTAGCAGACACGGAAGATCCATCGACCTGACTCGTTGCTTGAACGCTACTTTTCGTCTCCCGTTTCAATCCAGGGACCCAGGACATAAATCCTGAAGACAGTTGTTCTGACGAGTTTTGGTTCATGGAAGAAGACGTTGTCGAAACTTCACCTTCGGTTCTCGTTGCTGCTCTCTGTTCCTATTTATGAGAAAAAAATTTGTCATGTTGAATTATCTTCGAGCTGTTTGTTTTTTCATACAACATGCAGTTTTCCTTCAACTTTCAGGACTGTTTTTCTTGGCGTTAGTCAGGAAAGTCAAGAAGTAACAAAATAAGTAAAGTGATTCCATTTCCCATAAAGAAAAACAGGGACGATCAATGTTTCATCCGGCACTTTTCTCTACCAGTAAATTCGTCCAAGAAGGAAAGATTTCAGGTGTAGCTACATACTCACCTCATTTGATGCTAATTTGTGTCTGTGTCGTGACGATGCTTGCTCCTAAAGAACATTAAATTCATTCTCTTCCATTTGGTTGTAGTTGTCACAGCTGAAGACACCGAACTGATCGATGTATAGCATAGATTGTTTATATATTCTTCAGCAACTACCTCCTCTACAGGCGTTTCATGATATTGCGAGCGGGCGGGAAAATTAGGGAACGATTGGGGCGGGAAAATTAGGGAACGATCGGCGCGGGCAGCATTAGAAATGCGGTCCCTAATTTTCCCGCCCGCTTGCAGTATTATGAAACGCCTGTAGAGAAGGTAACTCTTCAGCAAAGAGTAATAACAATAAAATACGCAAAACGCGCGATGGATAGATATATAGTAAGTATGTTATTTCACATACTAATTCATGTTTGACAATATCAGAAACAACAGCGGCACCGTCTGTGAAATCTGGATGGTTAGTATTGATATATGCCAACTCAATCTGTACCAAATTTTCCACCTGTTAAAACAAATATAGATAACAATGAAAACTATTTATAATTAATGCTTCTAATGAAAGGTTCATTCTATCTGGAAATACGACATTTTTACGCATGAACAAGCATTTCAGCAAATGAAATATTCAGATAACATTCCCTCCTCCTCGCTTCAATATTTCTCGACTTACCATGTCATTTGTTGGTTTAAGCCTCTTGTAAAGCACATCAGAAACCACTTCAACTATTCGGTTGTGTAAAGCTGGAAATCTTTGAATTTCCAGCACCTGGACAAGAAATACACAAAGCTAAGTTATTTCGAAAAATGGGAATTTCTAACTGAGCATATTTCACTAACTAAACGTGCTAAATTTAAACAGGATTTCTTTAAACGAGCAGCGAATTTCAGTGGCGAATTAAGCGTTATTCAAAATAAATTACATCTGTAAATTGAAATTTTAAAGAAGCTTTTTGAAATAATTTCGTTGGTAGATTTGAACCGTCTTTAATAGTCTTTAGAAATTCATAACCAATAGTAATGCCAGGAAATTTTCAGAGTACCACTAACACTGGATCCTCCACCGGCGAATTGCTGCCTGCATTTCGCCAATGTTTAAACTTATCGAAGAAAATGCCAGGCGACATTTCAATATTTTTTTATATTTATAATAATTTTAACAAGCTTGTTATTTCAAAACCATGGATGTGTAACAATGATGCATTTACTTATTAATATGAAGTAAATCAAGTAAATAAGAAAAATTGGTGCAGGAATGATCAAGTATGCTTACGTGAGCGAAGGAATGTTGAATGATTCGTTGCATTTCCTCGTGAACGAGTTCCACGCACCGCAATCCTGGATCCTCGAGGCGACGTATTTGTCGTTTAACAAGAAGTTCAAAAGATATCTCAGGAATAAACAACGCTGGACGTGGGCCCTAGCAATCATAGAGAAGAAACAGCACATTAAAACATCCATAGATAAAATATTCATCTTCACAGTAAAAGCTAAATTTCTACATGCATGGTTTGCTCAAATCTGTTTAACTTATAAAAATAAAACAAGATATGATGGTATATAGGTATGTAGCTTGTCCTATGAAAAAGATGCAAGACTAGAGTGTAGCAGTAAAACGTTTGTACTTTGAAAATCATGTGGGATAGTGTACGAAACAGAGTATTGTATAGCACAAAGCTTTTAGTTTGTCCAATAAAATCAAAATACAAAGTATCACATCGCCGGTCAGCTATTAGCCAGCGTTACCACAAGATAAAAAGCTATATTTGGTTGAGAAAACCTACCGTAGCATTTCTTATTGCAGTAAGTATATCTCGGGTAGAGAGACCACCAAGAGCATCCATATTTTGCAAAGTTTTGCCAAATATATCATGAAATATGTAACATATCCTGGCGCCACCACACCTACGATGATAAAAAAATGTGAAATATGAAAAAAGATAAACCACACCAAAGACTATTCTTTACAGAAGGTGTTTTTAAAAAATAATGATTGGGCGAACAAAATTGGTTGTTCAACTTTTTCTCTGCAAAGTTTCACACTAGCATTATTTAAAAATCATTCCAGTCTTTACCATTGTTACAATGATATTGAATAAGCTGTATTATAATCTCGTCTCCAGGCTCGTCCTGCATTTATACAAAAGTGCCATAAACCTAAAACTGCCTAAGCTTTTCTGAACCAACGTTGTATTTACATAAATTTTACCATTTCGTGCGCTTTTGTGCAGTAATAAAATTTCCTTAGAATGATTTCCCAGCTCGCCTTTGTGGTGAGTGGTGCACAGTTATGTAAAAGCTAGACCATTAGGCAATGATATATAGGGATATACTGTCCTTATATCCTTTATCTAATTCAATAACTTACAATTCAGAAACTTCAATTTCCTTCGCGCTACCCTCGATAATGGAGCAGTAGGTTGACGCGAATTTCGTGACCAACTGAAGCAACGTTGGACCCTGACGAGGAAGTAATCAATATTTTATTACGATAATAATCCAGTGTTTCATAAGAAACTGCTACAAGAAACTACCTTGTCAACAACAGGTTCTCCATAAGAAGCCAATAATTGTTGATATTGTGAGATCATCATGTTGACTCGCGATTTTAGCTCAGGAAGACAGTTCCTAATGTGATGCATTAGCAGCTAAAAAATGGATAAAAATGATCTCACTCTTTCTCACTGTTTCATATTTATTGAGCTCATGAGAATAACGCTATCTTTTAAGATACGACACGTCAAAATGAGGGAAGAATGAAATAAAATAAAAAGGAAGAGAAAAAAGATGCATCCATTGTTTTGTATTCCCTGAACCAATGTTATTTCTACAAAATTTCCATTACCCAAAACAAAAGACTTATTTGCAGGCTATATATTAACAGAAGGATATAAATAACTGAGCAAACATGATAAAGAGAGTTTATTTGTGGTTGACTTACCTTATTCAATGATCTAGCTAAAAATTTAGTTCCATTTTTCGCTGAAAGGGCTGGATAATGTTGTTGAAAGAAGTGGTGTTCATCTTCTAAAGCTTCTGCAATTGTCTAAATGCCAAGGATTTATTTACTTCAATCTTTAATACAAAGCCAGATTATTCATTAACTGATCAATGCTATTTTTTTCAGTGCAGGGCTGTTTAACTGCCCAAATTCAGAATTAGCACTACATCTGCCAGCAGTCTGGTAACTTCTGTTTTGGATAGCTGACACTTTATTTAGTATATATATATATATAAGTTGCGTTAATTAGCAATTACAGACTACGTCATCACCGCATGATATGTAATTTGAATATTAGTTGAGCGAACAGGCGAAGTAAAGTCGCACCTAAGGCAAGCAAGTGAAGCGATCGTTTTAGAAGTTCGAGCGTTAGGAGATCCACCCTTCAGGTACTATTTTATAGTCTTATAGTTCCGTGAACAGTTTTAGTATTATTTTGTTAATTTAGTTAGCTTTATAGTCGATTTTAACGAACATTTAATTATTACATTATCTTTGTTATTGTAAAATATGATTGGAATGTGCATGCTATATCTTTGTAAATTTATGATTTTAGAATTAAATTAAAAGGAAATCTCCTTGCTTCTCGCAGTTTTGTCACCCTGGCATGTGTCCTTACCAACTTCAATGTCTGATGTTAATCTACACAAGCTGTTTGGCATCACCCTTACAGCTCTACTATGCAATGAAAAAACATAAACTAATTCCATCAGCAGTTTTCCACTACCAAAAAATCTACTGGATTATTTACAGTAAAATGTTCAGTCCTGCACCATCATGGGATCTTAATTTACTAAGGCAAAATTTAACATACCTTCCTATTATTAATATCCAATTGACTCCTATTAACAACACCTATTATTCCTAGTTTAACTGGAACAACTAGACAACAACAAAAGAGTTCATATATAAAAAAATGTCTCTGTATTAACAGATGCTATTTGTGGTACAGATATGTACATGCAAACTTTTGAATTCACTTTAAAATACCTCTTCCATATAAAATATCTAATGCGTCAGTTCCTGGATCCATGAGGTCAAGTTTAGTACATACGGCTATAGTACGGTTACCTGGAAATATTTCAGAACAGCCATAACTACATTGACCTATATTATGTTTTGATAGGTGTATTTAATAGTTCGGAAAGCATACATAGGGTCTACTAAGGGATGGTCATTAGATAGCTTGAAACAGTAAGACATAGCAATAATCTGATTATTATCCACATGTAGCCTCACTTTGAAATGTCATATGTTAGTTAAATATTTATACAGTCAACAATTACCATCAGGGTCAACTTCCTTTGCAATCTTAATAGATTCTGAAGTTGCCATATCAGTGTTGGCAGGTGTGACTGCCAGGATGATGCTGTTAGGATTACGAATGTACTGCAGAACAAGATTTCTCATTTGATTTTCAATATCTAAAGGTTGATCCCCCACTGGAACCTTTAACAGAATATAATTTGTTTAGTCAATATACTTGCTGGGAATTATTATTTTGGATACACGACAAAGGCAATTAAGCTGTGTTTTAGCCTCAAATAATCCACACAATAAGATTGACTCCACAAAAAATAGTCTCAGATGTCAGACAGGTTATGATAAATTTGACTAATATGAATAAGAAATAAAGATTGGCGAGGCATTGGTGGACTATACCTTTGTTATTCCAGGAAGATCAACTAGTGTTAAATTAACTACTTTTGGTGAGTAAATTCTGAGTATGATTGGTTCACTTGATATTCCCTAAACATGGAAAAAAAACACAAGATTTATATTTTAGGCCTTTTCCGTTTCATAGGATTAACAAAAGCATTTTATTCTGAGTAATTTCTTTTTGCTGTATCTCAGTTAAAACAATTATATATTTAAAAAAATAAAGTCAGGCTATACCTTATTATGACCAGTCAATCTTTCTGTTTCTCTTTCTATTTCATCTCTGATTTCATAAAAGTCTGCAAATTTCTAAGAGAACAGTTTAAATAATAAATACATCACCAGTACAAAACAACATAGAAATCTAAAAAAGGATTTTGGTTGGACCATGTTATTAAAATTAACCTAATTTTGCCATAAATTTGACTTTGATGTTACTATGAACGCAATTTACTTCACTAAAACTCTGTATAAATAGTGTCAATTGAAGAAAATGTCTACTTTATATCCATATCTACTTTAAATATCTCTCACCTTGTCTTTTATGTGAGAAAACTTGCCCCATTCCTCTGGTTCAGTTTCTTCAAACTCATGTGACTCATCACCACTGCCATCACTCTCACTTTTCTTGTTTTTCTTCCAGAGTGAAGGTGAATATACAAGTTGCAATATCAATGGCCTTCTTGTTACAATACCTGGACCTAATGTTTGGTTTATAATTCGTTACATTAGATAATATACAGCTGCCTTTCACCTAGGGCAATGGCTGTAATGCTGAAAAAATTAGTACAGTTCAACAACATGGTTTCATAAACATGCATCAATCTCCACCTTGGCAAATGATCTTGTTACAATTTAGTACAGTACCTAATGAACTCAAAACTCAAATTAATTCAATATTCCTACACCTCTTGACCCAGTTTTATAGGGGTGTGCACCTTTGTGCACTACCACACTATACAATCCACTATTGCTTTAAATATATGATTACACCACATTATCACCTCTAGGTAAGAAGTCTCTTCCAACAATGCTTTCTAATACCGAGCTTTTCCCGCTGCTCTGAAAACAGAAATAAATTGCAGTGTCAGCCTTTTACTGTACGTAAAACGTCTATTAGCTACACTGATTGTCTTTCAATTCAATAATTTTTTATTATCTGAATTCATTAATTTTGGGGAGACATGGAGAATGGACATAAAATTTTGTAGCTGATTGCCCATAACTTGATGACCCCATGTCTTGAAAATTAATAAAGAGATGTTAATTTCATGTTAAAATATTTACTATGACGATTAAAAATTGTTGACACTCAGCTTAGTTATAGCTTCTTTACTACAATTAAAATTCATCTATTATCAAAAATTTATAGATTCATTCATTTCGTTGGATTGCATGCGAGTACAAGTTCAAAAGTGACTTAATAAATTTTAGGGATGAAAATGAAAGTTTAAAAAAAATATTACAAATATTATTCTCTTTCACACCTTTTCTTTATTAATGGATGATGGAATTTATACAGTCAATTAAATGAAATAAAGTTAACTGCATTTCATACATATTTCAAGATACATTCTGTGACTAATCTGTACATACATGAAAATATAAACAATATAATTTTGAGCCTTTACCTGTGTTCCAACGACGACTATTTGCGGCAATTGTACAGCTTCAGTGCCTACGGTATTAAATACATCCTGAAGTTTATTAATAACAGGAATCAACTGCTCCATTATAGTAAATTTTAGAAAAGAAGAAACATTTCATTCAGAAATACAAAGTTCACAATCAACTGATTTCGATTTGTTGTCAAAAATATACGCTTAATATGCATACCGCAAAAAATGTCAGGATAAACACCCGATTGGCAAAGCTTTGCAGCGTAATCCTAAAGGAATCCTAAAAAGTAAGTTACAGGAACAGGTGTTAATGACAATAAGTAAATATAATATGTGTTGAAAATATTACTCAAATTTGAGTTTATGCAAAATAAATGAGCAATGAAGAAACAAATGGAAAGAAAAGGTAAGAAATCTTGAAACATAAAAGGAAACCTTTGCAATTGATCGGCAATGTGGAAGCACGCCGCCATTTTTGTTGATTCAACATGGCGGAAATTTATTTGACAGCCGCTAAGATTGTTGAGAAAATTTTGCTGAAAAAAGGGACTCCGAAATCATTGGTTATTGAAAATAGTAGTATAAAGAATAAGAAGAAACTATACGCCTTAGTTTGTGAGGCAATTAAATGTAAGAACCGTAATAGAAGCAAGAATTATAGAATTTTTAGACAGGACAGAGGATCCAAGGAGCGAGAGCAGTTTCATATCCTTATTATTGGAACGCCAGCGTTCATTCATTATCCATGTTTTCACAATAACAATGTAAAGACGATGAGAATGAATAAAATTCTTCACCTCAGTCCATTTTCAAGGCGTAGCACAGCTTCAAAGACACATTGCTGATTGCTTTCTAATGTCACTATATGGCAGTAATGCGCGATTTATAATTATGTATTATCATCGCCTATCACCTCATTTTTTTCTATAATCATCAGTAGAACTTCATCCATATCCAGTAATCCTGTACTAAAATTTAGTTTATACTAATTAGTGTAAATACTGAAATTGAGTGCTTGATTGTTTTTAGATAAATCTGTGTCGGATAAACTATTGGAAGCAACAAAACTTCTATCAATGGAAAAACAGGTGAACATGTGACTGCATGGGAAAGAAAGAAAAAATGAAAAAAGTAAAAATATAATTTGAAGAAATATTATTCTTTGCGTAGTTAAAATACTCCATGGCGCTGGTTCTTGTATACGATTTTCTGTTCGGTCGAGGTCTTCAAGTTGGTGGCCAATTAAAACAGGTTATAAACAGGAATAAAACTAGTTTACAAGCTGCTCTCGCTAGAATGAAGGTCAAAGCGAAGGTTGTAAACAATGAAGAACTGTTACCGAAGAATGTCCAACAACAGCAAGGTCAGTGTCGATGTTAGAGTTCGTTTATTTTTCCTTCCATTCTCTGATCTCATTCTACGATCTTTTAAAATAATTAACAATCATGAGTACGTTGACTTCTCAAATTGCGTTTTGCAGAAATGCAGATTCCGCGTTATGTTCGAGTAAATACTATCAAAACCTCAATCGATGATGTCGTTACATGGTTTTCTCAAAATGGTTTCAGTTTTGCAGGAAGTAACAAAGACGAATTTGATTCAGCTCAGGTAGGTCAGTGGAATTGACAGCCGAATATTGTAGCAAATTTAAATTAACCAGCTTTTTTGGCAGAAGAAATTTTGGTTGGAATTTTAGAAATCATGTTACGAACTGTGCTAGACTGTTGTTTTTTTACCTATTGTAAAAGCGCCGCCTCGGCTTTTTCAGATGGCAAAACAGAGTTTTTCAGTTGATGAACATATTTCCAATCTCTTGGTATTCCCGTCCGGAACGGATCTACACAACAATGATCTTTATAAAGAAGGCAAGATTATTTTACAAGACAAAGTAAGCATTACAATACGCCATGTAAAAAGTCAGTAAACTTCGGACAGATAACAAATAAAGGTATGAAATATTGAATAAGTGTTATATTGCTGTAGGCAAGTTGTTTTCCAGCGTTTGTGCTCAGTCCACCAGCAGGGAGTCTCGTTATCGACGCTTGTGCCGCGCCAGGGAATAAAACAAGCCATTTGGCCGCTATCATGGGTAACAAAGGGTTAGTGTGATTATGCTGTGGTTTGTCACTTGTGCTAGATTCGATTTATTATTAATCCAATGTCTGTATGAATACATTTAGCAAGATTTTCGCGTTTGATATTTCTGATAAAAGAATTTCAACAATGAAAAAATTACTTGAACGAACTGGTGAAAATATTGTCGAGACAAAACACGAAGACTTTTTAAAGGTTTGACGACAGATCTTCATATTGTCTGATACTCTATATTGGAATCTTTTTCATTGACTAATCAGATATACATCTTATCAGGTAGACCCGAATGATCTTGCGTACACGAATGCCCAATATATCCTCGTAGATCCTTCATGTTCTGGCTCTGGTATGATAAACCGACTGGATTATGCGACTTGCAGTAGTGACAATATGGTAATCATCAATATCATCGCCGAGTTTGTTAGAGCTAAGTGAAAAAGATTACTTTCATATATTTATAGGATGCGGAGGAAAAGAAAAGAATCTATTCACTGGGACAGTTTCAAGTGAAAGTCTTAAGTCATGCTCTGAGTTTCCCTAATGTAATGAAAGTTGTATATTCAACATGTTCACTTCATAACATGGTAGGTACTAACCATTCTTTCTCTGCTGTCGTTAGCATGAAGTCTTAGTCAAAAACGATGTCCAATAGACAATTTGTTACTATATAATAATTAGGAAAATGAAGAAGTGGTCAAGTCCGTTATCGAAAAATTTCACGAGAAGTTTGAATTGAAGATGGCCTTGCCTGGTTGGCAACACAGAGGACGTTCCCTGTTTCCTGAAGGTAGTCAAAATGCTCATTACTCTATAGCAAGTTGTTAGGGTTGTTTTTTTGTTACGAGGTTTTCAGCCATTCTGAATTTTCTGTTAGCATCAAGATGTGTCCGGGCCTCTCCTACAGAAGGACATACGAGTGGGTTCTTTCTTGCTCTGTTTCAAGCAAGAAATGCAAAAGAAAATTTTAAAAGAATGGAGATGCAAAAGGAGATTGAAAGCGACGAAATGAAGATAAGTTTCCAAAAGAAAAATGAAACTGTCCAAGCCATGGAGCAAATAAACGATTATTGTAAAAGAAACGAGCGAAGGAGGCGAATTAAACGAAAACCTTCAGGCACCATCATTGCTGAGAAACTTTCAGGAGAAAAAGAACTGAATGGTGAAATAGATACGAACAGTACAGCAAACGCAACAAAACGAAGACGTGTTTGTACGACAAAAAATATTGCAAAAATAGGCCAAGAAATAGTAGAAAAGAAACAAACAAATATGAAATATAAATATCGAAGAACACGTGTTAAAACGACGGGCATAAACAGAAAATGTTCCGACAAAGAATTCGAAAAAAGAATGAAGACACTAATTCAAAGAAGGCGAAAAAAGTGCAGCAAAGGACATTAAGAATAGTGACTTTTAGGTTGTAGTGATAATTGTAGTAGTGGCTACACTGAATTGTCGTAAATCACGAAATATCAAACTTAAGAGAATAGAGGTGTACTACAATAAAAGGACGAAAGAAAAGACTTCAGCAAGTTTCGCTAAATTTGAACGTATAGTCAAACGGGCAGGTTAATGGAGTCATTGGAAAATCTCAGGCAGACTATGTGCTATGCCTATTTATTAACATTCGTACCAACTCTTTTATATTTAATGTACACAGTATATATAGTTTATATTTATAAATAAATTGTTCAGTTATCGACCTGCAATTGAATACACTCTGACCAGCCAGAGTTTTTTTTACCATTCTACGAGATCTTGAATCAGTCCATGGACCTCAAACTAAATGTTAATAGGTAATGTTCTAGAAACCTTGCATCCAGGAAATATTACAATTCTACGACGAGCGGATACCTTCAAAAGTTCCTAACATCTTCGTTTCTTCTTAGACATAATTGCGATACATTTTGGACAAAACCATTTTCCCTTTGGAGGGTCTGTAATTCCAACACATCCGTAGTGGAACCACTCGATAGAACACTGTCAAAACACAAGATTTGGCACAAATGATACATATTATTAATAGTATTCATGCAAGTTAGAGAAAAAAATAAACATGCATGGTTTAGTTAGCAAAAAGCTCCAATGCTAGGGTTTCCACAATTGAAAGGAAATTCCTTTAATACCTCGCGAGGGAGGGAGGGATCTGTGTTAATAGGATATATTATGCAGTCTTTTCAAAAGTTCTTTGTTTATTGCTTTTGTCATAACTATTCCTCTACGAAGCCGCAGTCGTATGCAAATAATTTGTGGAAACCCTGCGGCGAATGCAGACGAGCACAAAAGCAAAAATGGCAGGTTATGTATTTTTAACGATCGGCTTAGTTTTTCAACAGCACAGAAGAGAAATACTCACATTCGGATTATCGCAACCAACCATTTCTCCATAGGACACCTATACCGAGGAACGGGACAATTTAGTTTGACTTTAAAAGATTTACAACCAAAAGCAAGCTGCAGGGAATAAGGGCAGAAAACTTTTCTTTCTTTATCTTTTCAAACCTTCTTTGCAGTCACATTTTATAAAACTTGTTTTAAACCATTGATTGAAAAGATCAGTTATATACGTGGTTGTGGATTAACTGGATTTCGAACGTTTCAACACGGTTTGTGCAGGCAAGCTGAATTCATTGACCCAGGATTATGTGAATGCTAGTGGTCAAACTACTCCGGGAACGACAAAACGCCAAAATGAGAAATGTCGATTACTAAGCAATATTATAAATACAGACTTACCTGATTACACAGACAATATCGTGGTTCATTTGGATCATAAACCCAGTCAACAGCTTGAGATATCACTTCAGTTTGCAAGGGACCTGGATCGATCATTGGTAAAGGAGCTTCGGACGTCTTTTGTCTAAAATATTTACAAGCAAACGTTTTAAAAACGTGGATAATCATTATGAATGAAGCAGGTCGTGTTTTTGACGGCCGTTTTGGAAGTTAGGAACTAGGAATATTTCACACGTGAAAAGATCGTGCTTTTGGGTGATACCAGTTAAGATAATATTCAATTGTTATTCGTGGATAATGACACAATAAATAGAAGAATAAACGTACTTTTTCCTCGCATGTTGTTTGTTAGATGAAGTATTTGACATGGCTGGGTTAAGGTCCATGTGGCCCATTGATGCCATAGTTGAGGACGTCGGTGCATAATTAACATTCATTCCAGCGGCAGAGCTGGCGTACGGGTTACTACTGAGTTGTGGGGTAACAGCCAGCGATGTGTTCACTGGTAACCCTGGGGAGAGGATATAGGCGGATAAGATTGTTTACGCAGGGTCGTTTGCGAATTATTCTAATTCTATTTAAAATACCCTAACTTTGTTAATTCATCTGGACACACACCTGGGGCCGGTTGTTCGAAAGGCGTTTAGCTTAAACGGTGGATAAGTTCAAACTGGAAAACAAAATCATCTATTTACTGAACAACTGAGCTGAAATATTTCGATTTAAACAGTTTAATTGTGAATATAAGTACATATTAAATGTATAAGATGCAGGTTCAGTCATTTACAACATTTATATGAGAGTATCTTTATACTTTGACTTATCCACCGTTTAAGCTAAAAGCCTTTCAAACAACCGACCCCTGACGTCCCAGAAACGTAATCCTTTGTTTATCCACAAGGGCTATTTGTCAAATTATTGTTGAGCCTGAAGTTTACTGGCGAAATTTAAACAACATATATGTGAGCACCTGAATATTCTGATTTAATAGTTGGGGTGTAACTTTTCATGTTTCCAGTATTTCTGCCTGCCACTTGATATGAAGATTGAGGATCAGGTAAAGATGATGAACCTGTCGTATTTGAACCAGCGCCAACAGTCCCTAAAAGATACGAGGCCTTAAGAATTCAGGAAATGAATCACACTATTGCGCTCTGACGTAGTGTGAGGGCAAAGAATGCTTCTGATTGGCCAATCAGAAACATGCTTTATACGCACAATACATTACAGAGCAGACTCGTTACAAAGCAGACTTCTCACTAGCGCGGGTCCAGTATAAGTACAATTTGGTTGTATTACGTTTCCATCATTTCATTTGTATGAGAACAAAAAACAAAACGAACCTATATGATACTGCATTGTTTGCGATGATGGTAATGAGATTTTGGGTTCCATTGAAAGATAAGGATTCAGAGGAAACGAAGTGTAGTCAGTTAGACTGACGGTTGACACAGGGACAGATATATCTCCATTGGGTATGTCTTCAGTAAATATATCCATAGAGGTCGCTTTCCGTTCTGAAAGGGTTGAAACATTTAACTTTATCTAAAATTATATAAAATTAATATAAATCATCAACTGAAGTGATATCATTGCTTACTATGCGAGTGGGCTGAGGGAGGAATGATATTCCGGGCTGAGGGTTGAATGGGTTGGAGAGTGCTAACTGGTGGTGTAGCAGGACCTTGTACTTCATCTAGTAATAATGAACCTATTATGAAAAGAAAGATACACTCAGGATTTTAACAAAAAAAATGATGCAAAATTGAGAAAAAAAAGCCGAAGTAAGGAATATTCCCTACGTTGTTCTAAAATTTCCGTGATTCCCGCATTATCAGCTTCAAGTTCCATTTTAAACTTGGACAGTTCTTGATCTAATTTACGCAAATGTCGATCAACTAAATCATAAATTTGCGTTGCAATATTAACTTTTTCTTCTGCATCTTCTACAGCTTTTGAATATTCCTGTTTTAGATTCTTATAATTCTCCTCCTTCCATTCCTCCGTGGCCGTTGCTCCGTTGGAAAGAAATTCCTTAACTCTTGAATCTAAGTCGTCAATTGCGTCTGTGAATTTATTAAACACAGGGTTATAAAGACAGGGGTAACCAAAGTGTTTTATTGGGCAAATTGCTTTTGTCTTTTATGTTTAGAAAGTTTAAAATTGGGTGTAGTTGACAGATGTGGTGTACATGTGGTCTATGGGTGTGGCTGGTAGGTTTACCTTTTAAGCGTGGTTGATACATTTGCTTTTTGGGTGTGGTTGATACATTTGCTTTTTGGGTGTGGCTGATAAATGTGGTTCAGTATGGTTTATGAATTTGGTTTTTACGTATGGTTGGTTGATGGATTTGGTCTTTTGGTGTGATTGATGAATGTTGCTTCAGGCATCAGTAATGGTGTGGTTTTTCAGTGTTGTTAATACATGTGCATATTATCATGTGGCAATTGCATTCAAGCTTTCTTAGATAAAAACGTTTAATCAATCTTACTTTGAACTTGAAGGTCCATTTCTCTCATTTCTGTGAACCGTTCCCTCAGATCAGTTGGCAACTGTTCTATCACTAAAGTTCATTTAAATCTTTTTAATATACACTAATATGTCCTGATATGATGCTGAAGTACTGCAAACACTTTAATTACCCCCCACATTCAAACAATTCAAATGGATCATCAACTGCATGAAATTGTGCTTAGTAGGAAATATATGCAATTTTGCATGATTTGCTTGTTCATAAACAATAGTTCTCAAACAGCATTTAGGCTGACCCCACTCAAATTACTGATTGTAACTTCACCAGTTGATCTGGCTTGGGTCTACCCTAGGATAGAAGGATGTAACTTAAGGTTTCTTTAGCCTTTAAAAAACACGTAAGTCAGTAGAGAGATGGAATAGTCCACAACTGCATTGTGGGTAATCATATATCATTTTACCATCAAATTTCACATTTTATTATATTACCTCAATCAGCATAACATTAATTTTTATATTTTATTCAAAAGTAAGTCAATTTTTACCCTATAACAAAAATAACTATTTATCCAATTATATAAATTTATATATCCAATTATTTTTGGAAATCTAAAACAATTATGTATAAACAGCTCTGCAAAAATGTAGCCCAAATTTTTGCAAAAAAGAAAAGTATACAAAAAGTGAACAAATTATATTCCAATTATATAACCAAATATGCGCAAATTGTGTAACAAATAAGTTCGTTTTCAACAAACAAAATGGCGGACATCAACAAAATACAACATTATAAAATTTGTTATAAGACCTTAATTATTTCAATAATTTCAAACATAGGCACATGCAATAAGCAACGGCCTAAAATATGCGTATACTCACGCTCAAGATAATCTTCTAAATAATGCATAATATTGCAAAAACGTTGGCCTATTTTCGTTTCTTGTTTATGCTGAATGGGACGCCATCTTGATTTTGGCGAGACTCCGCTGGGGTGATGACTGTGGATTCAAAACTTTCCATGAATCATTTTAATAAAAGTTGAAGAATATTTACATTTTCTGCATTAAATTTTCCACAAAAACAGAAGACGATCGCTTAATTCTGAGCGAAGTTAGTAGGATTGAGATATGAAGCTTCTTCTAGCCCCGTTTACACGATCTTTTTGCAACAATAAAACACGATTTGGGCAAGTGTTTCGTAGTGTGTCACCCCGTCTTTGCGCAGGTTATGCGAATAATGCAAAGGTTTGTTCTTATTTAATATATTTTATTAATAATTGCCTCTGTTGGTTTGATTTTCTGATAAAATAAGCATATATGAAGCTATAAAACTACCTCGAGACTAAGATATTATGCACTGCATTGACGTAGTCATTCGTAAGGTCTAATGAATAAACAAGACTGAAAAGTCTTATTTATTTACGTGGCTAAACGTATAATTTTACCAGAAACGACAGAACAGGTCCATTGTACATTTCATGTAAACTGTACTCCATAAAAAGATGAAAATTTTGCAACACCATGCCATGCTGTGAATACGATGGTATGAGTGATGGGGTTTGTGACTTGCAAGTCAGTCATGTGAAACCAATTTACAATATATATAAATGAAAATATAGACCTTAATTTCTTGTATCATTCTTGCAGGATGATTTGAAGAAAACTGTCTTGTTTGATTTTCACATTGACCAAGGTGCAAAGATGGTACCATTCTGTGGTTGGTCAATGCCAGTTCAATATAAAGATGGTGTTCTTAATTCACACCATCACACAAGAACGCACGCATCCATATTTGATGTCTCACACATGTTACAGTTCAAGTTACATGGCAAAGATCGTGTTAAATGTCTTGAGAGTTTAGTTGTAGCCGACATTGAAGGTCTTAATGAGAATCAGGGAATGTTATCTGTGTTTACTAATGAGGAAGGAGGGATAAAGGATGATTTGATAATTAATAAGTTGCCAAATGAACTTTATGTGGTTTCTAATGCTGGATGTGCTGATAAAATCACACAACTTATGAAGGTTAGCTTAAAAATGTTTTTACATACTTTCTTTTGTCAGCTTAGTGACAAATCATTTTAGATGTACTGGTGTGTGTATTATATATTTTAAGTTCAAACAGGCCATGAATAGGTTGAATGCAACTGGTTCATAGTGTAAGTCTAATTTGATGTAATATTTGAAGGAGAAATGTGCAGCTGTGAAAGGAAAGATGGATGTGACACTAGAAATACTGGATTACAGATCTTTAATTGCACTCCAAGGTATCACTGAAAATAATCACAAGTTAAACCTATTTGATAAACTGACTGTTGTCTCTAAAAATGTCTGGTCAAAACTCTTGTAAAATGTTTCTTAGCAATTCAGAACTGAGATATCTTTTTTTGCTAATTGGCTCCTGCAAAAATAGAGCTTATCTAGTTGATATGGGTATTGTCTATTTTGAAACTGTAGTTCATGCCTAAATTTTGCCCAGGTCCTGAAGCAGTCAAGGCTCTCCAAGAAGGAGTGAAGGAGAATCTTCATGATTTGTATTTTATGAATGGTTTAACTACAAATGTGTTTGATATTCCTGGTGTCCGTGTCACAAGATGTGGGTATACTGGGGAAGATGGATTTGAGGTAATAATTGCTAACTCCTGATTGCTATTAGATCACATAATCATGGTCAAATGCTCTGAATCACAAGATCAACAGGGGCTGGTTGTATCACAGTTGTATGAAGGCTGGATAGCCCTATCCACTGGATTGTGATTTTTTTAACCATTCTAAAAATGCTTGAAAAGCGATAAAATTTGATCTTCGGAACCAACAATTATTAAAGAGGAACCTTGATTTGGGAATTAAGATTTAATCAAAATTATAGCAAACAACCGGCAATTTTACAGCAATTGAAAAAATCACTATCCAGTGGATAGCGCAATCCAGCCTTAGTACAACTGGCCCCAGATATATAAAACAAACCACAAACAAGTCATTATATATTGTGAACTACAAATCTTTGATATAATATTCTAGTGTTTGATGTATTGTTTTTATCTTTTCTGCAGCTATCAGTCCAAAATACAGAGGTTGAAAAATTGTGCAAAATATTGTTGGGCAGTAAAATAGTGGATGTTCGTATGGCAGGGCTGGCTCCCAGGGATAGTTTAAGATTAGAGGCAGGCTTATGTCTTTATGGCAATGATATTGATGAAACTACAACACCAGTGGAGGCATCATTACTGTGGACAATTGGTAAGAATTACATGTAATAATGTGACCCCCTTGAACTTTTATTATCCTCCCTTATACACAGGCAACAATTGGCTGAATGAATGAATACTTACAGTGCTAAATAAGTGGTTCATGATATGTATGAATTACAAATTATAGCAAGGAGTTACCTCAAAGGTAACCTGAAACCACAGTACTGGACCCGTTATGCATTGAATTGTATTATTTCAAACACTTCACCCTTTGGCATTACCAAGATTGAACTTAATGTTAAAAATAGTTTTTGATGCTGTAATTATAAATTTGATATATGTAGCTTTATAGTGTTTTAAACAAAGCATTCAATGCATTTAAACGTCTTTCTCAATTTTGCATATTAATCTTTACCTGAGTCAGAAAAATCTCGATGTTTTCTCAGGAAAAAGACGACGGGCAAACGCGGATTTCCCAGGCGCTAATATTATCCTAAAACAGATCTCTGAAAAACCTTCACGAAAGAGAGTTGGTATCGTATCTACTGGACCGCCGGCAAGGGGTAAGAAAGTTTCACCAAGGCTCAGTACATTTTAACTAACTTTCGCGTATAAAGACTGCCAAAACTATTCTATATAATATATTCGTATTAAGATCCATCTCGCTATTGTAATTTTTACAGTTGCTATAAATTAATAACTAAAATGATCCACAATTACTGAGACTGAATGTATATTTCCTGTTTTAGCGGGAGCTACGATCTTAGACTCTGATGGAAATGAAATAGGTACACGCGCTTTGACGATTTCCGTTTTTTCAGCTTTTATATTTTTAAAATTTTAATACGATATTTTCATTCATCCTCCAGGTAAAATAACCAGTGGCTGTCCTTCACCATGTTTACCAAAGCAAAATATTGCTATGGGTTATGTTCAAAAGAAACATGCAAAGAATGGAACAGCTTTGCAGCTGCAAGTTCATAAAAAATTGATCCCAGCCACCGTCACTAAAATGCCGTTTGTTGCTACGAAGTATTACTTGCCAGCGAAGTCCTGAACTTTGTATTTATATAATTTAGTCCATAGTCTCAGTTCTAGGGAATGTTTTATAGGACTCTTGTTCAAGCTGTTTTTCACATATCAGTCAAAATAAACAAACGAATATCCATGGTGGGTGAATGGAGAGGTCAGGGTGCTGACTCAGATTTAGGGTGTGTTTAAGTTCACATCAACCTCTGTCACTCTTACCGTCGTACTTCATATAAATATTTCATGATGTATTTTGTACAGTACCTCAAAATGTATTTTAATAAAATTTTGTGATCATCAACATTTTGTTCGCACGTATTTCTTTTTTTTCTTCTGTGATGCAAAACGTCTTAGGTCGTATAGGTCAAGCGAAACGTCTCATGTGACCTCTGGAAGAAGATATTTATCATTTAGCTTTTCCCTCCAATGCTGTAATAACGTTTTATCCAAAGAAATTGCCCGACACGTCGCCTGAATCTTTCCTTGTTTCTTGTCCAAGTAATGCACAGTATCAGCGACTAGTTTATCCAAGTTTTCTTCCTCAGCCTCATCCAAAGGAATGTCTGTTTTCAAAGGTGGGTTGAATCGAAAGTAGGCGTTCTTTGGTAGAAGATCTTCAAGTATTGTATGGACAGCTAAAACGAGAGCATCGCATAGTCAGACACATTCTTTTGGCAATAGTTGTGTTGGCAATGTTGTAACTATGGTTTAACAAAAAGCATCGTTGGATTAGAGACTCAGAAAGGTTTGTCAACTTGCAACAAGCCACGATAAGTATCTAACTACTGTGATCGAGTTTGTGATTCGTTTTTTGTAACAACAGTGAACAGTGTTTATGCATAATTCGTTCCTTTGAAAATCAATTTCTATAGTTCATTGATTTTATTCACTAACCAGCACGAGAACGTTTACCTTCCGTATCAGTTGCACTTGCAACAACTTTAAGTAACTTCTCACGAAGACTACTAAATGTTGAGTTGATTCGTCGTGATGGACTATGATAGATCCCAGTCCCCAGAGAAACGACGCACTGTATTGGAGTCGAAGGCCAAATTAGTTTTGCTTCGTGAATTGCCAGAGCACAAGGACTGTTCGTTAGTAGACCGCCATCCTTTGTGAAAGTAAATAAAGGTACTAAATTTTACCACGAGCTTAATGCCAGTACACTAAATAAATCCCGTGTTTCACCCTGCAGTATGTAAGTCAGGTTTTATTATTCGTCCAGTGGTAATCAGTTCCTGGAGAGTGCCCCTTTCGGGAACGGTACAAACGAATAAGATTTTCTTCACATTTTTTCATTCACTAGTTTTTCTGTTCCTGTGTATTTCAGATCATGATTTCAGATCAAGTATGGAATTTTTCACGGAACGCATGATAATTTCCGTGAAATAAAAATGTTTTCTAAAAAGACGAGTGCGTATTTTTATGTTTCCTTTGATGGACCCTACCCGTAAAAACAAATGTCCGAAAGCTGACATGACCTGAATTTGAACAAGTTTTGTCGTCGGAAAAAGCTTTGGTCAGTAAGAAACCTTGTTTACCAACTGCAGTATTTTACCTGATGTATGTCTCGTCCCAGTTTAAACTCTTCAAAATATCCAGGTGCAGCAGCCGAAGCCCTCAGAGCTTCCCATAGTTTATGAGTGCAGCTGCCTGGATAGTGAGATTTCAGTTCGTGTCGATGACGATAATTGCGGAACACGTAAGGACGAAGAATGGACTGATTAACAATCGTTGAGACGGCTAAAACCTGACAAAAAACAATATGGATTATCCTTGTGACATCGATAGGAGCAAAGTCCAGATTTGACTTCCACTTCAGATGTCTTTCGCGGATCTTTTAGTTTTTCTCTCATGATTGGTTGATCTGACAGGATCGTCGAATTTGATTGGCTCATGCTTCCCCAGAGGTAACGTACGGTATTGGTAGTCAAATCTGAAGCTCGTCAGCATCAACGGATGTCATTGTGATAACGTCAAAATAATCAATGTGAAGTTAAACACTCTTATTCGACATTTACCAGTTGGTTTGAAAAAAAACGACAGCAAAATATTCACGATACCTTAGGTGTCCTCATATCAGCTGCGGTGTCCACAAGTCTCACCTCTCCAAGTGCCTCTCTGCATTTTAAAATACATACTGTGGATCATCGTGGGATAAATCCAAGGGCTACATTTGGGTTGTGATGTTACAGAAGGAAGAAATACTCAATGCTACAATTCAACAAATCTTACCTGAGAATATTTTCAAACTTCAACGTATCGTAATATGCATGGTTAAAAAACAGTTTCCCAGTTCCAATCAATGTGTTGACAGAAAATATCTCTTGAGCGAGTTGTCTGTACAACTGGGTGCATTCGTCAAGATTTGTTTTCTTCAAACCGATGAGAAAAGCAAGGATCGCACCTGTACTTGAGCCACAAATCAGATCAAACATTTCATGGATCTCCTTCTGTGTTAGTTCTTGAATTCTTTTCAGAACTTCAATGGGAATGATACCTCTGATTAAACAACACAATGTAAAGTTTAACAGAATAATTCATTAAATGAACCACTATCATGAGATAATTATCGTATGAACTATTATATCAGAGCATGGTTAACCGTGATCAGAGATACTAATCATTGTGCATTGTTAGACTGTAATGTTCAATGATAGTTGTATTTGTGCATCAGATAATGGTCAAACAACATCAAAATAATATTTTATTTGTTAGTAATGCTATTCTAAACACGGCCATACCAATCATTATCAGGCCCGTTTCTTTCCCACGTCAGCTTTTCATGGGCCAATCGAATGCAAATAAACGTAAAAAGACAGGTCTTAGTTTTACCTTGACCCTCCTCCATCAATGCTCAAAATCTTTATCCCTTCTCCTCTGACAGGAACAGTCCAGCCCAGCAGGACCAGGCCCTTGCGAGCCTCACCCTGGATATCTTTATCAGTTGACTCATAACAGTGCTGTAGAATTCTGGTCACACCAGACCTTCGAGCGAGACTTCTCGCTGAGGGGTACCTGAAAGTATGAACCTACTGGATTGGATATACGTTGTTCAAAGTCAGTCTTAAGGCTAAAAATAAGATATTTGGAATCATTCAATTCTTTGCTATTGAATTCAGTATACCTGGTAGCGAAATTATACCAGTACAGTACTACAGAAACAATCTGTACACGATTTTTAATGAAAGTACCTCAATAAATGTTCGTTCAGTTCTTCAAGCCTGATAAGTCGTGAGTTGTCATTCTTCGCATTCTCAAGCACCTCGAGAAGTTTCGATGTTCGGTTCTGTACAGTTGCTACAGTCTGCAAAGTTCGATGTCTTGGTAAAAAGTCAACGCGGCTTCTTGACTCAAAATTCAGTAAAAATTCACAGCGGTATACGTTTTTATAATGATTGAGGTGTTGGCAATTAAATAATGTAGTTTTTGGAAGCCTGTGGAAGTTAGATCGCATTAAAAGCATGCCCAAAACATGATGACAAATGTTCGGTTCAAATGCTCCTTTGTTCCGCCATCTTGGTTTCTGTGCACAGCCGCTGGACAGCTTATTATGACGTCATCAACAGGTTGTTCTTGTTTGCTGCCGATGACTTCAATCTTTAATTTTCCAACATTACTTCATCTTTGTGAAAAATGTAAATAAAATACTTCGTAATACAAGGGTGGTTTCATCTTAATCTTATCGTCACGTACTTATTTGTTTGCGGAAGACAGCTTGAAGGAATTTTAGTCCGGTTCTACGGTTTATGGTCGTCTCCTTAGTTGTTCCCAGTTGTTGAAACCAGGACAGAACAATGTCAATCTCCGAGGGGCATGATTGGTTGTCAACTGAAGAAATGTCGAGCCAATCTAATTTTGCATACTTATGTTTCTATCGCGGATTGCAGCTAAATTGGTTCCGTGTAACAAGCGGCTTAACTTTCATACACGCGGAGTTACTGTTTTGAATGATTTTTTCGTAGAAACTAATAAAATACCTAGCCTTAGGGCCAAATTCAACCTCGCAAGCCAGGGTCAGTCCACTCGATGGCTCACATGGAAGTGAACTGGCGAAGAGCCTGGTTTGAGAAGTTTTGGCGAACACAAAAAGATGGAAATCCACGCTAAATACTTATTTGAATTTTATTTCTAATTCGTATGTACATTATGTTTACAACCGAACTTTATATGATGGCTAAATATTAATTATATATGCTATGACCGAAATAACTATTTTATACAATCTATATATACTTCGATTTTACTGCCTAATAGTGTCAGAAAAAAACAAGTTAATTAAACAGTCGTAACAAAGACTGGTCCACTGGACATGCCAAGTCTATTTCGCTGTCTTAAAATTTCCTCAACTGTCATAAAGTCGTCAAACGTCTGCTCTGTGCAGGCCATTTTTTTCTGAGTTAGTTCAATGATTTGAAAATCATTTCTCTTAGTGCTTGTTCCACTTCCTTTTCTCTCTGCCTCGATTTCAACTCTTTTCGTTCGTCTTGCTTCACGAACCTTGTCCAGTTGACGGCGACGATCTTCTCGGCTCCAGTACCGTCCGAGATACACCGATTGTGTTTCGTCGTCTGTCGTCAGTCCCCGACGTTCCTCAGCTAATTTTTGCGCACGCTCACGTAAAAGTCTTTGTTTAGCTGGCTTCAGTTTTTTACTGATGAAAATGCGGCTTCCGTCTTTATTTCGTCTGACGCGCCATTGAACTTTCATTTCAGGATTTTCGTTCGAGGATGAGTGGCCGTTTTGCTTCAATCCTCGTTCATTCTTCACACGATCATCCCTAGATGATCTCACGGATCTATTGGAGTCCCCGCCATCCCTGGATTTCTCCTTCTTTCTCCTATGCTCACCTCTCTCCTTTTCTTTTCCTTCTGACCTCTCTTTGCTCTTGGATGAAGCTGGATTGCTCTCGGAACTTCTGGTGGACTTGTGAGATTTCTTATTTCTATGTTCAAGTCCAGAGCTATGGTTTTCATCAGAGGAAGTTTTACTTCCGGATTTGCGTGAGCTATGCTTCGAACTTCGTCCGTCACGTTTTTCACGTTCTCCTGAGCGTTGCGAGTGCTCATCGGAACTCTTCTCCCGTGGGCTATCTCGCAATCCAAGTTCTCTGGCGTTGCTAGCACATGCAGTGAAGTGAATGATTTGTTTTCCCAATGCGTCCATTTGTGCTTTGTGTTGTTCTTTCTCATCCCTCAAAAGTCGGTCTTCTCCGCCGTCTTGTTCGGAATCATTCTTCGTACTGTCGTCGGTCTTCCCGAAACCACTATCTTTTTCATCTTCTCGGGATTTGTCGCCGATGACCGTCTCGGCTTCTTCTTCGTCTTCCTCTTGGATCACGCCTATCGGGTAGGCTTCGAGATGAAATCGGGATTGATCGTGAAATTCGCCATGGTCGCTTTCCGCACCGAGTAATGTTGCTTGTAGCTAAATAAGAAAAGCTATATTATTACATACTGGTATGTATTATCACACGGTTAATACCTGTGTATAACTCGCAATGAAATTCCATTCGGTGTGATTTATCTTAGGTAATATGGATTCACTTTCTTCCAAGTGCTGCAGGTTCTTCTTGTAGTAACAACATGCGTAATTTCCAAACGCCATATCAGCAAACAAATAAAACGCTCATTAAAAGAAATATTAATCTATTTACCTCAGCGACTGGTCTTGCAACAAGAAATTTTATTTCATTATGCCTTTCACTTAGTAATTCCACAGCATCTTCCAGGCAGGTTACCGCCAAATCGTTAATCTGAATATTATAGAGATAAATATTAATATAGACAAACATTCATTTTATTTGTTTCTTGCAAATATTATCTTTTATTTATTAAGGAAGAACGTTAAAGTCTTTTACCTTCAAAATTTGATCTCCTTCAATCACTCTGCCATCATTGCCAACCACAGATCTGGGGTCAACCTGGGGACGCAAATGAAATTACAATCAAACGACCGAAATCTGTGGGGAACAAACTCACGTGTTTCGGTGGTAGCAACGTGGTCAGTAGTTTACATTATGCATGTTCACCATTTTATAATACTGTAGTAATAACTGACGTTCTGACGATTTCTTTTTTACCTAACCACATGTGGAAAGACTATTTCTAGTTTCACAAACACAGTCACACGCCAGGGGACATCGATCCTCCCTTGAGGTAACTGCCCATTAAGGAACTGCTGTTCTTGAGAAGTCAACAAAGCAAACTTGTTTAAATTAATAAAATATCATACCTCGTCTACAAACACGGAGTTTGCATCTTCGTCATTGCCCGAATATAGTTTCATTCCAAGAGCTTTACGACCGCACATTCTGATTGTTATTTCCTAAGAAAAAGAATATAACGTAATTCTTGAAGTTGCACAACAGCGGGTGAGGGCCTAGTTTATTTATTACGACGGGATGATTCATTGAGATAGAAGCCCTAGTTAATTCTTTATGAGATAGTTCTCTGCGATAGAGGCCCTAGTTTATTTAATTACAATGTAATAATTAATTGAAATGCTACCCAGAGCTCTATATTGACCCAGCCTATTTTAATTCTTATCATTACTTTGCATGGCAGATCCTTTCGCTTTATACACAATGGGCGTCGAATATATACGTTTTTGCTTTTAGTCCGCGATAAATGGACCTAAAGATTTCGGTTGAATCGTTTTTCGATATAAAGTTTATTTGTAGTAGTTAATCGTTGTTTTACCTAAATAAACATGCAAAGAAGTTCATTGTTTGAACTCCACATCTGAAGCTCATCTTTTAATATATCTGCTCACGCGGTTCGTCCCAAGCGTGGGTAACACTCTACTACGCCTGGCCTTATTGTTCATCACAGGAACTTCGTTTCTTTCTTGTAGTCTACACTTAGAGCTGGCATTCTCATGCAAATATCTTCTGTCAATATCTGGTCAGTGATTTTTCATGTGAGCCGACTTTCCGCAGCAGAAACGAAACACATGATATTCATCGTGGTTTTTCACGTGATTATTCTTCCTGTTTTTCCGCTTTTCATTTAAAATCACTGTGATTGACATGTTTGCATAAACTCTACCTTTGATCATTTCCTATACGCGAGAACCGTGATACTTCACTCTTATTGCGAGGTCAAGGGCTAATTTGATTGATATTGCAAGACAAGCAATTTTGAAACACTGTAAGTCGCCATGTAAGTCGCCTTTATTAGTATTTCTTCAGGTGCCTCACAAAAGACTTCGGAAATGTAATTTATTGAAAGGTTTTTCGAAACATCGCGGGTAGCAGAAGGTGGTCTGTGCCAAAAGCATCGATACTTATGCAAACAAAGAGGACCCACGTCGTCTATTCTCAAAAAAACAAATAACTTAACAACTTACCTCATATTCATATTCCAGTTCAGAATCGAAGTACAACTGATCTGTTTCATTATTTGGACTATAACATTCCTCATCAGGAGTCATTCGTTGAGTATTCGACTCCAGTCCTCCGTTATCAGTCGGTTTAACATTCTCTAAACTTGCTTGGCTGACGTTGCCGGAGTAGTAGCCATTACTTAAGCTTTGCAATTCAGAAGAATCTTCAGGCTCGTACGGTGTTTGACAGGAATCAGCAGGTAGTAGTCGACTACTTCGTTTCCCTAACGCAGCTAGGGAAGTGTTCAAAAGCAGCCTATTCAAAATCTCGTCGCGAGGTTTTACATCATCTGAGGTGTAGCCTGTATTGTTTTTAAGTTCATTAGCTTCACAGCCGTCAGCGTCAGACTGATGTTCGCCTATTTCGTCAACTCCAGAATCCTCCTTTTGATGTATGATATTTATTGCACCTTGTGATGAAAATTCTTGAGACGAACGATTACTTCTACAGCGACAACAAGTAATGTTCATCTCGCTCGGATCAATTGCCTCGGTTTGTACTCCAATAGAGGCAAACCCAGTTGAGAACATGTCACCTGCTTTGGAATTCAACAGCCTTCGTACGGTAATACTGATTTTATCTCCGGCGTTTTTAAAAGCTTTCACTGCTTCTTGGTGCGATGCATTCGTCAAGTCGACTTCGTTAATCTGCAGGAGAACAAGAAAGTAAAAAAAAATGAATACGTAAATAAATATGATTGATGTGCTGATATTGCTCGAGTTCCCCACAGTTCAAGTAGTACTTCATTTTAATACTAAACATTGTGAACAATTGGAATCAGTGGGTTAAAGTATAATCAATAACACTGGCACTTTACTACATATATTATAGCTCTATTGCATTCTTATATTTTGAACAAACAAAGAATGGTCGTTGGGTAATCCAATTAGGAGTTGGGTATATTTAAAACGGCCGTGTTATCCGTATTTCCTTATAATTCAAAACTCGTCATTGGTAAACCTTGAACTCAAAAGATCTCTAAGCGCGAGAGACATAATGGGGGTATGATTTAATGAGGTAGAAAGTTCATATCCGGTCACTTATTATAGACATGGTGTGAGTATATCTCCCAAAGAAAACAATATTTAATAGATAAATGGCGAGTCTACGAGTCCTGTTCTTTCTTTTCTTTAATAATGAAATATTCTCTGGCAAAAGTGTAAAAGCAAATGCATTGAAAAAGTAAAGCGATGGACTACCAAATCTAAAGTTCTTTTTTTACGAATTACTCGAAGTATCCTTGATTTCAAGGACGTCTTTCATATGATATTGTATCACTGACGTTCTTTGTGAGGACGTAAAGAAATCATCCTTCCTGTTCTTTAAACACGTTTGGGCACAAAATCACCTCATGAGCTTTTCAAAGAACTCTTAATACCTTTGTTTTATTATTTAGCAATATTCACAACTCACTAGAAATTTCTTATTTCATCCTCTACATACGTGAAACACGATAAACAAGCGAACATGTGAATGGTATTTTTAATGTCCCTTGATCACCCCCCTGCTTTCATAGAAATTATTACTCATTAGATACCCCCCCTGCATTCAAGCAAATGAATGAAAAAATATGAAAATAATTATGATCATCTCAGGAACTGGAAAAATTTCAAAACTGCAAAATATCGAGGTTGTTGTGTCGTATAAACTGCCCGGGGAAATGATGGGGCAGCAGCCACCTTAGAGTGAACAGTGGGATAGAATACTAATATATCCGCACATTGTGTCGTTCGCCACAGTGGGTTATCACTTATCCTTGTGAAATTAATAAATTCTGTACTGAAATACATACACAATTTACTGCAGCAGTGCAGCTGTCGTTATGAAATATACCTTAATATTTTCCTTTTAAGCACGTCAATATAGTTTTCTTCGATATAAAATCTTTATTTTAAATTGAATAGTTTTGTAACGTAAATTTCCTCTTGTGCGGTAAGCGTATTAAAAAGGTTTTTCATCGCGCTAGAAGGCTTGTTAATTTAGTTATAATATTTACACAAAAAATACCAAATGGCCAGCCAAAGAAATACACATCTTACTTCCTGATTAAAGATTACACATATATTTATTTTCGGTATCTCCCACACAAGTGTTGGGTAAGTAAAGCTGTAGAGGTACGATGTTTCCAGTAAAACGATCAGAATTTAGATATTAATTATTCTAATTATTACGTAGTATTATAAAAGTGTTATAAAACCCCTATATTTCTCTAACAATATTTCAAAATAAACTGATAGTCTGATATGCAAAGCTGCGCATACTTGGCTTGGTACAGCGTATTTGAGTAAGTAGATTTATTGTTGTACTTTTGTATATTTGCTTTAAAACTTGAAGCCCTAAAGTCGCTAGGGTTTTAATCTGCAAGCTAAAAAAATCAGTAAATAGACGATTACCTGAATTAGAGAAAAAAACCAGTCAGATATTATCTTTGTGTTATTTAGATGGTTAATATTTTTACCCTTGCAGATCACAATACAAATTGACAAGCGACAATTTTTTATGTTGATAATTCCATCGAAGACTGTTCCAACGCCCTCGTTGTTATATCTGTCTGCAAATTTTCTCCCTGCGATGGACTCCCACAGTTATTCATAAAATATTGAGGGGATGAATTAAGTTGTTTATTTCCAACATGCTTTATTAATGTATGAATGAATGAATGTTTGTTTTTATACCATGGAAACTTTGAAAAACTCATTTGAAACATGCCGGTACAAAGTGAGAGAAAGGAGGAACATATTCGTTAGTTTTAAAAGGATAATTTACGAAGAATAGGATTAAATTTACTACATTTAGCATGTAACAGCGTCGCAGCGTCTTCGATAACTTCTCATCAAATGTGGTCGAAACTTCGAGAAATTTTCTTTCTATATAGCTACTTTAGACAGTTGCCTAACCATCATGATCGATTTATAAGAGTAAAGAGAGCCAAACATCGTTGCGCCAGCCTGATCTACTTTACCTCACTGCTATAATTGAGTAAATATCTCCAGCATTGCAATATTCAGTGACGAAATTATTACATGCACGAATTTCACTTCGTATAGCGCAAACGCGTGTGTGGAGATTACACATGCACGTACAAGGAATTTATGACAAAATAATTTATCATAAATTAAAATAATTTGGGTACATTTTACTTAGTTTCGCTCGTGTAAGATTAATTAGCCTGGTTGAGAATTCGTGGACAACAAAAACTTCCCTGTTCGTTGTAATCAGCCCTCGTTACAATTTCTCTTAGAGCTGGCAAGAACAACATCTCAAGCGCACGAAAAAGCCGATATTTCTTTGTAAATATTTCATTGTGCGTTATTATCTCTGTTTGGGAAGATCTAGCTGAGTAAATGAGTTAGCATGCTGATAGAAGTCATAATGCTTGCCTACAGCAAGGATAATGTTTGCCACTGAGGGTGTTAAATTAGTTATAAAGGAAATCTCATGTTGTACATTTCGAGGCGAGAATAGATACCCGATAATTCCTGACTTTTTTAATTTAACACAGTCCATAATCCCATTAGTCTGTGCATCCATGCTTGAAGCAATTTAAACATTTATCATTGCTCTTTCTTTGTGCAAAAGTTAGTCACTGCCAAATTTGAAGTGGATGTGATCTCAATCTCAACATACCCTTATTATCTCGTGGGAATATTGTTGAGAAGTAGTGAAGATATACAAATCATCTTGACAAATAAAATAAGCTTTGTTTATTCTGGGGAAGTTAAGTCTGCGATCAATTTTCCAAATACAGGGGGTTGATAGCTTCTTAGCTGGAGCAATCTATGCTGTAACAACGATCCTAATGGAGGCCCTATCGTTAATCCTATCATTCAAGTGATGGGAGAAAACGATGACCCGCAATATTTGTCTCAGGTGGTAGAGTAATCATCATTGTTGTGTAGTGTACACACATCGCCAATGTTTGTAAATCACTGGATAAGTAAAACAATGCTAACAGCTCTAGAAGAGTGAAAAACTACAAAAAAACAAATTTCACAAAACTGCATTTCTGTGTTGTTGGTACACATAGACAGGTGAAGTAAAGTGGCCTGCTTTCATATATCTTTATTTCTTTACGACTTTTATAAACGCACTACGGTTAGAATGGATCTGATAATGCATTCTTTAAACAGAAGAAAGCACACTTTTGCTCAAATGTTTTATTGGTAATCACAGTCAGTAATCAGAATCTAATTAATATTTTAGTTGACCCTTTTAGCTGTTTAGTTCTTCCCATGACAAGAGAATGGAAACGAGTACAGCTGCATGGTTTAACCTCTCGCACTTTTAGATTAGTGAGATTACTCGTAATTCTTGTAAATATAAAAGCTGACATCAAAACCGTCCGGGACGAGATAATGGAAGGCTTTCAAAATTCTTCAGGGCTTTAATGTAAACATAAATTTTTATATATTTATTAAAAGCTTACATTAAAAGTGCCGATAAAGCCTCTTTTCAGAAAGTCGTTTTTTTAACAATTCCGGCTGAAAATATGGATAACCACATCTATCATGTTGGCACATTTTAATGGATTTCGCTAATTTAAGATAATTGAAGAAAATAAGTGTATTATTTATTCGCCATTATCTATCTATTCCCTCTCAACAAAACCACAAAAGATGCGCTAATTTGCATAATTAGCGGATTACAAAAGCAATCTATTTTTATTTCGCATGTTTGTAAAATACTCGTCATTTAGCGGGGTGCAGACAAAATTCTTTAATTCTTTTCCGTCGATCTCTAATCTTAAAATATTTAAAAATACGGAAACCGCTTAGTTCCCTAATCATTCACAGGAAACTTCATAATTTCTTAAACTAGTTATAAAGTTTCTAACTACATTAAATAACATGTTTTGCATTCTTTTGTATCTCATTGTTTAAACATCTTTAAAACCATGTTGTGCATTAAACAAATAAAGATTTGAAGCGGATTATTTGGGTATGTCTATATCTTTAAAGACCTTCAACGACACTTTGAAAACTCAAACAAGTTTTAATAAAGAAAAGTTGATTTATTCAGTTCAGCTTCAAAAATGCTTTGTATTGAAGACTAAAATTTTATGTCAGCATCAAAATTAATGGTAAGCATATTTCCTGTCCCAAATCTTGCGAGATTATTACATTACTGAGATTCTCAACATTCATAAAAGCCGTATGTCAGATGACCTTGCATGGTAAAATACAATATGGAAAGGGACCAAGCTAAATAAATAAGTAAACAATGGTGGCAATAAAACGTTCAATTATTCAAAGATTCCCAGCGCTATCTAAATATTCTCGAACAATTAAAAACACAGCAGTCGTTTGTTATCTCAGGTGATAAATATTTTTTCATATAATGATCGTCCTACCGAGGTGATCAGGGCAAAAATAATATTTGAAATTGGAAATAGCGACGATTTTGGTCACAGAGTGTCTCCCTATGGGATTGACGATCTGGGGTTCCAAATTTTCAACATATGGTGTACCAATATTCAAATTATTCAGCTAATTTACAGTGGACAGAGCAGTCGATATAGGAGCCAGAATATCCAATCTAATGTTTCTCTACTCTTTCTTTTTCTACTTCTAAAATCCCCCGAATCTTGTCCTCAAAACTACAAGGTTTTATGAAATGAATTACTGCCACCTACACTGGGTTGATCAAGTACTATCTCACAGCAGGCGATTGTCTTCTATATGTAGCGGTATTTTACTTGGAAACAAATGAGATGATGTATTAAAATATGTTGTTAAAATTCTTAGTTGCTCACCATCCCTTGCCGTGCTTAATGAAACCCACTAATTCTAAACAAACACGCCGATAATTACAGCTTTGAAGAAGCTAAAGCTTCCTTAAAACCAACTAAATGAAACATAAATTTCATATAACAATACTAGCAATCAACGATCGTTTAACGCCGGCCGTTCGGAGCCAAGCACAAATTATTATTGTCTCGATCAAGTAAAGTTAGAGTGAAAAATTAGAATCAGCTGGCGCGAGAAAACAGAATCCAACAAATATTTGGTTTGAGTGTCAATAAAGTCATTAACATGTCTGACTATTTCCATTGAACAAATTAGATCTGTAAAATTCTGCTCTTAAACACACAAAGAGAAATGAAAGTTATCAATGATTGAGAACCTCCGTATATCAGCTATACCGGTTAATACACTCGAATATAGAAATGTTGTCGTAGTTAACGCTTGGGTTTCGTGCATAGAAAGTAGACTTGTTCTAACACAGATTAAAACCAACTGTTTATCACAATTGATATGCGCCTGTCAAAAGTCACAGTGAATCCTTTGTTGGCTCATTTCAAGTTCTGGGTCCAGAGTACATGAATCACGCTTTACACAAAACCCGGTAAATGAAAATATATCATAATTTTTACCAATTTGCATTTTATATCGATCGTTATATCTTAATGGTTTCATAAACTGTGTATAAATTGTCTTGAAACATTACTTTCCGACTATTTCGGCTCAAAGTTCAACGGTTTGAGCTCATGCAAGTTCATGCAGTCTTCTTTCTCTCGACTGACACAACAGCAGAATAATTTATTAAGAACTTCACCTATATATATAAAGGCTAGTGAATAACTAAACCACATATTTATTGCATATTTTCAGTGCTTTCCTGATGAAGATATTAAAAAATGGTGACTTTTGATATAACAATAAAGTCTTGGTGAATACTTTATATATGTACTTTTCTTTCTTTCATTTGTGTTGAGACACGCATGCAAAACATGGTCTCATATCACCTCATGCATGTGGAATGTTTTCGAGAAGATTCGCGCGAAAGGTTGGATAGCATTCTCACTACCCATGCATGGGGCCAATGAACGCAACCTCATGCAGTAAACGTATTTTATACAGCTGGTCCGCGGTGAAACGATGGCCTCATTTCCTATTATTTTAAAGCATGCTTGGTGGGCTTGCTGTATTAGAAAGACAAATTTATATGAAACCTTAGCTTAGTAAGGCGTTTTTGAGTAGGAATTACGTTTAAAATAAACGTATACTAATTTCTAAAAGTAGCAATGAAATTTGGCCATGCGTTGGCGAGCACTTGTAAATTAATCCAAGGCCGAAGATTGAGTGTACGTACATCAATTTTCTGATTGGGCAGATTAACCCACAGCTGTTTATACGAAGCTTCTTGACGACAAACGAGTAGCTCAAACACAGATCCCCATTACGTTTCTGTGGGTGGATTAATTTCCTACAATTCCTGTTGTAATATATGTCAGCAGTTTGATAGGTCGATATGCGACTTACATTAATAATTACAAAATCGTTTTAATTTAGCGAGAAAAAACAGTAAACTTAACCAGCGAACAATGTTTTTCGCACCTACTTGTAAACAACAAGCGACCATAATCTCAAAATCGGTTTACATTTACGAATTGCCATGCATGTCTGTAGAAAGGTTTCGAGCTAAAATCTCGTTAGTTTCAATTATACGTACTTTGCGGCGATAAAGTACTCGTGGGTTGAAATAAATTATTAAAACACACATTGAGACTAATTCAATAAATGCAGTAATCAAATGCACGCTCGTTCAGACTTATATTTGCACAAACGATGCATTGTGAGGCACAAAATTTGTCAAGAAACGGCGACAAAAGGTGTGAAAAATAATTAAAATATCACTTGCATAGTTGACGCTTTTGAAGTCTACCTAATAAGTACGGCAAACTCGTGAATTAACTTAATTTAGACTATTAGTAAAGGTGTGACAAAACCACATATCCGTTGGAAAGATAAATACAATCAATATAAAACCTTAAAATATACGTTCAAAGAAAACAGCGCGTATAGCGCATAGTCTTATGTTCCTACCATTGACGCCAACATTCTGTATTATATCTTCTTGTAACTTCAAGACGTTTATAATTATAGTGTAACAGTACTGCAATAACCGTAACTTTAATGCAAAGTTATAGATGTACTCATGTAGTTTATTATTTATATGCTCAACACAGCATGCAATTTTACCTACACTAATAATATATCGTTGTTGGGTTTGTACAATATCAAACACAAAGAAACCGGGAAATTGTCAGACAACACTGCACAGTTGTAACTGGAGGTAACCTCAGTGTTGCTGTTCCCTTGCAGTGATAAGCAAATTTATTGCTTCTTTTTAATATTTGTTAAAGAGTTGCTCCCCTATCGCGTTTGATACAAGAAAAAATCATTGTTTTTGATATTGGTCGTTATTCGGTGTGCCTGAGAAGAAAGGCGATACCTACACTGCCCAGACCCCGACTGAACGTAGTCTAACAGACTACATATATGTTTACATTAGCTCTGTCGAAGTCATTTAGTCGATTCAAGTCAAATTGATCATAAACGGTGCAGATTTTGACATCTCGCTGCACAGTATGGGGTAGCCACTATCTCTAACACAAAACCAAACGGAAATTATTATTGTTCGTAAGTTTGGAAAGGATTATTCCCATATTCCTTTGGATTTTCCGGTGGAAACAGTATCCCAGACAAAAGAATTTTCATGTATACTCCGAGGAAAAGTAAAATTCTGGCCGCATTTCGACAAAAAATTTTAGAGCTACGTAATCCAGTTTAGTATGTAATGGCGCCATTTGATTCAAATAGTATTTTTATAGTGAAGATGATAAAATTGAAGCGATAACCTTTGAAATAACGAGGCCGATCTTTGGCCAGATTATTTCTTAGCTATTGTTTTTCCTATACTATAGTGTTATTATAGTTGACTTTTTCGAAACGGCGTCGTAATATAATCGGCATAGCAAGTGATGGGACTGAGCGATTATCATTTTTCAACTATGCAAACTATTCCAATATTTAAAAGGTTTCAAATTCAAAAGATTGATAGCAGATTTTTAAAAGCACTTAACTTTTGGTAACACAGACGGAGACAGCGCAGATTTTATCTGTTTATTTATGACGTTTCCGCAAAAGCTACACTATTGCTCAGATATCCATTTTTAACCAATCGTGTTGCAAAAATTTACAAACGGTTTCTTCAATGAATTGACTAGAAAAGGCAAATTACTGAATGCAACAAAAAGAATTGTATTCTTGTAATTGTTTCATGACCTTTGTTTGTTGTCATGCATGCAGATAACCGATTGTGAAATTGTTTTTCATCAGCGATATAAGCTTAAACGTCATATTTAATAATGTGAAAAATGTTTAGGAACTTGCTATACCCATGATGTTATACGACGTAATATTTAGGTCCTTCAATATTTTCTGTTTTTGAATACGAGTTTTTAGGAAAGGTATTAGGAACTCGTATTAGGAACTACGTTTTTTATCGCTCAGACCTGTTTGCTTAGAATAACATCCTGTTGGTCAGAGAGTGACGCCGAACTTACTCATATCTGTCATTGTTTTGTGACGCAAATTGCAGTCTGTGATTAAACACAAAAGAACAAGATCGAATTTCACTGATTTCGTGCGTGTATTACTAGAACACTTTGCGATAAGACATGGAGTGTTTTCCATGGCAAGTTTTGGGCACGCAAATGCGATTAAATACCAAGTCATGGCCAAAGATAGCTGATAAGCTCCACATATGTTCGAATATCTGAAGCTTCAACGCACTCTAATAAACTATAAACCCCGCGCAGCGAACCAACTATATATTAGCCCCATTAAAGGCACTAATTTTACAGGACAATTACTTAAAACATCGCTCTAAATTTGCGAATCACAAGGAAAACTTCGCGAAGTCAGCCATGTTGATAAGTTATTTCCGGAGCAACACAGCGGGAAAGATAAAATAAATCATAAATATACCTCAAGTATTCTGTCATAGAGTTGTAACTTTTCAGAAGCAGGGCTATTTTCCACAAGTCTCGATACATATATCCCACAATGTCCATCGTTTTCCTGAGAAAAAAGAAAAAAGTCCCACAAAATTACACCTAAAACTAGGACAATCATAACGTTAACGACAGAATATCGTATTACCATCAACTTTTGTAATGAACGTAATCGACATGGATGGAAGATAGCGTTGATCAAAATAAGTATTTGGATAATGTCGGCCTTGTATGGCTGCGTTTATTCTAAACTTGAATTCCTAAAATCGTTCCGAATGTTTGATGTCTTCCAGATATCTTTGTGAGATGAACTCATGTGTACTATTCATGATTATGCATGATAATTTTGTCGGCTATCAAAACTAACTAATCTGGTTTTTTATTAATTGTATTAAGCCCAACAAGTCTAGCTAAAAATATAATTCAAATTAACTGGGTTTTGTCCTTGTTACGCTTGAGAAGGGATGTTACATAAGCGCGCGCACAACGCAAATACACCAGACATTAAAATTTCTTCTGGAACGAAGGCTAATAATATTTGCTTGCTCATCACGCTTTCACCCTCTCCATATGAAGTCCTGTCCATGGTAAATTATCACGTTCTGGATGCTTTCAGAAATCGCAATTATTATTATTATTATTATTATTATTGTTCAAGCACTTCTTGACACGAATGCTTGGAATGTAGCAATTAGGACAATTTAATCATTTACGGGGGTAAAAAATATGAAGGCCTATTATACTATCCGGGGGGAAATAACCTTCTTAATTGTTTACTCCAACTTCAAACCTTAAAATCCATATCTTACCTCGGTTCCTCCTCGGATATTTAAACCAAGTATCCCGCCTGAACGCTCTAGGGTAATTCGAACCTCGTTTTCTTCCGTTACCTTGAGCCAAACATAAAAGAGGACAATGAACGTCAAAATTCATGTCGTAAATTGCTAATGCTTTCCGTTTTGAAAGCCATAATTACGTGCTTCGCAAATTTCTCATTGATAACATAAAGTGCTGTACTGTGGACGAAACAAATTATATTGTTTCCACGGTTTTTATCGATATTTGACAGAAACATAAACAAGATTAGAATGGGATGTTTAAGGATGCACTATAACCATCAAAGACAATACAAGAATGTTGAATATTTCAATATCCAAGTTAAATTGTTGAGTTGTTAAACGTTAAAATCCTAGGTATTTGTGGTTAGCATTCACGCATAGACCCTCCCAAACCCTTCAATATACAATATTTAGGAATTTATGATTGAATCAACACTTAGTATACAAATCTGTGGCTTGAGGTTAGTCCTTTTTAGTGCATTAAATATTCTCATGTTAATTTGATTATTTTACTTGAATAACGAGCTCTTATCGTAAGTAAAGAAATAGTAAACAATGATTGCTTCTAGTCTGGCCTTATCTTTTGCTCAAAATCATTCCCTCGCGCCTGTTTTTTTTCTCTCCAGAAGATATTTACGGCATTGTTATCCAGAACACCTTTTCATCGCTACTTGTAAGCCAAAATATATTGACAGATTCACTTAATAAGCTTTGTCTAGTGGAAGTATGATGTGCCAGTGTTAATAAGCAAAGGCCAACGCACGCATGCCCTAGAGCGGCACTTGACGAAAGTTACAAATATCATCATCTCCGGCAGAGAATTTTTGCTCAAGTACAATGTATCGCTTCGATTCGCCGAAGTTGGACTTCGGCAGATGTTAACGACTTCATTTAGTACTGCTCGGTTAGCATGCTGTCTTTAAAAAAAATGACGTGTACAACGTATTTTCCTTATGTAGCATCATTGTACAACTGAAATTGGTCCGATCCTTCTGCAAACAGATAAAACTAGTCCGATCAGAGCTTATCCTTTCGAGGTCGGTTTTATCAAGGTTGTTAAGCTTAAACGCTGGATAAGTCGAAAGTATATAACAGTTTCACACATTTCGTGGATGACTAAACCAAAATTTCATGCTCATAATATATATATATATATAGCTACAAACACTACTCGAGTTGAAATAGTTAAGCTTGGTTACTCGAAGCCAGACGGGCTTAAAATAATCGGCCTATACAACTTAGTTAGGTCTTAGCCCTTCTCTCTAAACATGCATGAACAATTTTTGTAACCTCGCATGCATCAAGTAACAATTGGCATCGTTGTCGTATCTATCGTCTCATTTTACCCAAGTCAGATGACAAAGAAGCTCAGAATTGCATTAGGTGAAGACAAAAATAGAAGGGTTATTAAATAAAGAAGAGCAATTTCTTCTTTCTTTACCGAGTCGAATTTATAACTAACCCAACCATCCTGATTGATAGATATGCATCGCATACATAAGCAAAGAGACTCATATCATATTTCGTTGATGCGTTGAGCTGGCGTGATACAAAAGCGACTGTTCATTGCATGTCGGCTGTTTATAAAGTCAAAGTTCTTTTGCTATTTATAAACCCTACGCACAAGCCACGGTCTCGTAATATTTTCGTAGATTCATTTCAAATCAGGGGGGAATAAGAACATATAGAACTTTAGACTATTGCTTGTTTATACCAAACAACAACAACATTATTCATCGTCATTGTCTTTGTACTTCATCTTAGTTTTTACGTAGGTAACACCTTACTGTTTTTATTCCTCGGCTATTTAAACGCAAACGTACATTCCTCTTAGAATATTATGTAAGGTATGCGTACGTAGGCTCACTTCACGATGAAACATGCAAACATATCACGTTGAAACGAGAGACTCTGGTGTATGACTTGAATTTTGCTATACCTTGATACTTTGCGACAAAGAACTGACATCGGACGTTTAGGCTTCCACGAAAATAAACTTATACTCTGGCGTTATATAAATCATTAAATACTTTAATAAATTGTCAAGCAACGCATCTTGCAAACTAGCCTCGTTGGCTGAAGGACTGTATATACTACCACAGTTATGATACAATGCGGGGGAAATAAGCTTCGTTTTAATTGGATATAAAATAAATCTCAAATTATGTCAAACGAAATATAGAACGATGATGGTTTAAAAAAACCCGGAATCCATTGAAGATAATGTCCAAATATCAAAATGCATTATATATTGCTTCGAAGATATATGTCATTAATGAATATGAATTGGGTCCAATTATAAGTTTTTCTTTCTCTGAAATACTGTTTTTTCAGTTGTGAAACCAGATTACATAACACTAGATTATGCGACAGATTTTATAAACCAATTTATACAAGTGAGAAGCAAGTTTAATTCAGTTTACAATATGAGATCTTGCCTCCAACGAGACCGAGATTCTTAAAATCCAATTTATCTTTTCCTGGCTGGTCATTTCATGAATTGAAGATGTCTTAGTTGAATGAGATTTATTAAAGAACGACAGAATGATTTCAAAATAGCGCTAATAATTGACGATCGCAAATCTCAAGAGATCAGTATAATCACAGGTAGAATATGGTTATAATTAATATGTTTCAAGTAATGGTAAATAAGTAAAATAATAAATGGTTACAAACCTGGTCAGATCCACGACTGTCCAGTTGCCTTCTCAGGTAGTTAATTTGTGATCGTTGATCGCGCGAGCGTCGTTCATAATTCAACGTTTGCTCTTGATACGCTCTTAAATCTCTCTCAAGTTGTGTAAAACGTTCTTGCATTGCTTCCTCGCGTTTTACAAGACGTGCTGACACCTTCTCTCGTTCGTGTTCCGAACGCGTCAACTTAGTTTGCAGTGAACTCACTTGCGCTTGTAAAGATTTCACGCAATCGTGTTCTGAAGAGTCTTGAAACAAGAGAGGCAATCCACAACCTTTACTACAGACAAATACTTGGGACATCCCAACTTCCGGCGCAGATAATCGGTCTATTGAACAAGTTGCGCTAGGCAAACCAGTAACACTATCTTTCTTCGTATAATCACACACTTCTAAATGTGCCAACATTTCAATAAGCGAGGTAACCACTTCGCAACCTTGGCTGAAGTTTACGCAGCGGGTCCGTAACCGTTCAACCAATATCTGTAGAGGTAATAAATGCGAAATATCATTTTCAAGAGAAATTTCTTTACAAGCTTCAGGACACTCTGTTCTGTTCGACAGCCACTCTTTCAAACATTTTTCACAATATACATGACCACATGATGTTATAACAGGGGTTTGATAAACAGCATTACAAATATTACATATCAACGATTCCTCAATCGTATCAATAAAAAGTGCAAGCTCGAAACCCATCACAGCGCGTGACAAGGCAACAACAGTGTCTTCTCTCAGAACATCAGGTAACAAATGATTAGGAGGTTCAAACCAAGCCGAAATACGATATTCACACAGACGTATGTGCTAGGCGGAGCAAATCAACACTAAAGACGTATTTAGAAAGAAGTAAAAAACCTGAACTCATCACCGGAGTGCGAGACCTAACCGGAGTACGAAAAAGGTAATTAGGATTAATTCAAGTCATGCGTATCAATTTTTCATCATATTATCGGGAGGAGTAAGGAAATTTTGAAAAATACTGTAGATTATTTGGTGAATTAGTTGTTTTTACTGAGTTGACAATGAAACACGATGGTGCATGCGGGTGTCTTTATGGTTGGACTTTGACTAGTGGTTTCTTAACAGCTTATTGATGGAAAAAAATTACAAACTCTCAAATGCCTAAGTCGTAACAAAAGTACTATTAAGATAATCAGGTATTATGACATTTTACAATGTTACCTTTCAGAAAAGCCACAATTTTTTCCGACTTTATATCATATCAATCCAGGTCATTTTAAAGAATGATCGTTTACACCTTTCAATGATTGTGTCCCCTATAGTGGAAAGATCTCTGCGACACTTTCCGGTATATTTTGCCAGGAAAAACTGATTGAAAGACACAATAATCCCTTATCATTTCCTCGTAACCTCAGATACGTTTGTCAGCTTATAATATCTGCTTTAACGAATAAAATCCTCTTATATACACTGGAATTCACCGATAGACAAGTTAACATCTGGAGTTTTGGTAATTTAGTATGATCACGTAACTTTGCATAAAAGGCTTCCCAGAGAGATACTCTTAAGCCGATTTTTAAATTTCTTTAGAATGCCGCCTGCAGACCCCACTGATAATATTAAAGTCTCTTGACAGTATTTGTATGACTATCTTAACACTCAGTATGATATGTTTGTATTTTTAATTTTTTATACAATTCGGTATAATGCAGAGTAAATATCGAACAATACTTCCTGCTGTATTGAAAGCTGAAATATAGTCTCGTTCATTCATATGAGTTACTTTGCATGACGCTAATAGCACAAATTGCCGACATTTTTAATGATGGATCTTAATAAACTGAAAACTACACTGATCAATATGCACGTAGTTCTTGCCTTATGATGGGAAAAGTATAATTAACGATTTCAAATTTATGCAATTCTGTAACTATAGCTCTATATCAGTGACACAATAAATCAAATCCGCCATTTATCAACCATTCATCCTAATATCAATTATTTGCCAGTGAATATTTTCACGAACTATATAATCGGTTATATTTTGAACTGCCAAAGGGTATATTCCTGCAATAAAACTGATATAAATAGACTTTTATGCAATTTAAAATATATATAGTTAATACGAGCGAAGAAAGTGAAAGAATAAAGCTCACTTATGAATAAATTACTGTAATTATATTCTGCGGAAAAGTGAGGGCAAAGTGTTATGAAGCTTGGATAAATCTATGCTGTGAACTTCTCTGAAACTGTTTTGACAAAACTTGTTACTATATTCTGCTGCATTCCGTTTGCCAAACATTAACCTCACAAGATGAAAGATTTCAAACTAAAAATAAGACGTTTAGGAGTTCACGTCTTAGCTAGAGCTACTTATATAATGAATGAGAGTTCAAAGAGTTCACATATAGAGTGTTTGAACCTTTTTAATTGACATTTGACAAATAGTTGAGGCTTAAGAGTTGAAATCTCCCCTTCTTAAAAAGGAAAACTGAATAAGAACTGCCCACTAATCCAAGTCTAGGATCACTTGACAGACGACAAATGAAGGGGATTCAGTTTTTGCGAAATTTTTTTACATGTTGCTAAACTCATTTCAAATTACATAAGTCGACCAGTGTGCATGATCAAATTACTCAGAGGCAAAAATGCAATAATGTTCTTCAAAAAGTAATAAAATCTACAACAGTAATATAACTGAATAACAAGCAAGCCAAGCAAGATTTTTAAAGGTGAGCCAAAGTTATATAGAAATATTGCGTTATCTTATCTCGTACTAACCAAAAAACACTTACTTATTCATGTTATGACCTGTTTTCTGTTGGAAAGAAGATTCGTTGAAGTATAATAGCAGATAGCACCTTGCTGCCTTGTTAGCATAGCGTTTTACTATAAAAACTCGATGCCAATGGCAGCTTCGAGGGTTCTTCTGCCAATTAGCGCTGTAACCACAATACGTCTGCGGTCTATAGTTTCTTTCAAATCAACATTAATGATTTTAACCGCCCAGAACGTATACATCAGAGCATTAAGAAATGTCTCATAAATATACATATATATATATAGTATAATATATACACATACATAACTAATACACTTAAGCCATGTAAAGCTTCTTACAAAATGTGGTGTACTATAAGGGGCTGTTTATATGGTAGCTGGGCTGGCTCGGGATAAACTTGTCCTATATGTTTATATGAGAGCATTTCATCCCAGTTGCCGGGATAGAGATTATTTACAACGCCTTTATTCAGTTTATGGCTTTGCGTTTAAAGTTCAAATGACATCAGTATTGATCAGCATCTATTAAAGTACGTTGTCACCGTTTGTTCGTGTTTAATCATGTAGTATAATAAGAAACGCTAAGAAACATAAAAAATTATAAAAATTGGTTCTACCTCGGCAATCGGGCCAGTTCGCTTGGAGTGTTTATATGAAAATATTTTCATTCCGCTAAGCGAAATCTCGCCTCTTTCGACCGCCTCTTTCCATATAAACGCACAGACGTTTTTATTAGGAGATGTATTCCTGGCGAAATCTCGCTAGCATGCAGGGTTGTCCCGCTAAGCAGGCCAACCCGGCTTCCATATAAACAAATCCCTTACGATGAAACTTTTTCGGTCGACGTTTGAACAGTTGATGAAAAGTCAGCTGAAGACGCTGCAACGCTGCTTCCCGGTTATTTCATTGTTTAATATACGCCATAAAGATATCTGCTATGACATCATACTTTAGGAATGAGATCAAAGAAGGCCGAAATATTTCAAGAAGGCCCGACCAAATAAACTCAAATTTTGAAAATAGACACTTTGCGTTCTTGATTTTCACGATTAAATAAGAGGGTAAAGACAGAGTAAGTGATATTCTACTATTTATACCTTTTATCTTGAATATCGAAACATAAGATGTCTATTTTCGTAATTTGTTATATTTTGTATCTTTTAGTGGTCTGTTAGTATCAGATAATGATAACCCTGATCTCAATATCTATGGGGCAAAAATAGTCGAATATTCTCGACAATTTTCTGCCTAGTCATGGATAATATTCACTATAACGAGTCTTTAACATACGAAGAATCTGTAAAACTCTCATTATCTGCTGTTTCGCCTATTTTTATAGTTAATAAATAACTAGGTTACGATTAATTGAAGATCATAGTCAACTAACCTAATGCTTTTTTCCAAATCAGAGGAACGAGGTTGTTTAATAGAGCCAAGCGCAGTCAATAGTTGATACAAGTTCTGCATGAGTTGAGCGTACGAGTCATTGCGCTAATAGCTTTTGCTTAAAATCCATCTCTAATGACAATATTGCACCAGAAAGTGAGAAAAATTAAGGATAGCAGTTTCTAAAACACTTTCCAAAGGTAACCGACTCATCTGAAGACAGCTGCAATGCAACTTGTTTGACTTCCCGAAGCAAGTCAATACACTAAGCAAGATAGCAAAGTGTTGTTCGGAATCCTTTGATCTTCGTAATCAAAGACCGGCAAAATTATTTATTGTAGCTACTATAACCTGAACTCACTTACGTTGCCGCTCAATATTGCAAAACTAACCATATTAACCTAAATACTCATGCACTGCAGGAATACTGGGGAATTCCAGGATAATGTATTTTCAAAAACCGAGCCGAAAGCCTGGGGTAAAATAGCGTAGAAGAACTCCAAACAAACTCACTTTTTAAATTTTCTTCAAGGATGGCTCCCGACAATAAAAGTACAATGCTTAGTTAAGTCGGTACATCAAAAGTTATAATGACCAGGCGGCTGTATGCCAATCCTTCCTTTCCAAACAAATGATTCGAGCATTCGATAGTTATAACAACGTCTTTATGTGATTATGGAAAATTTTCAATGCATTAACAAGCTCGTTAAACGAGGATATATTGCAGATTAATGTAACCAGCCGGCGGTTCGCTCATAAGGCTAACTTCTAAATCATATAGGACGAATTGAAAACCTTTCTAAACCACTCAGACACCTCTACACGAGTATAATCCTCGAGATGGCATTTGATATATCATAAAGATGCACATTTAATGAATATATATAATCATTAAAATGGTTTAAAGCCCAAAATTTCCTGCAATGGTCAATAGCAGCCAGTCGACAAACCTTAACCAATGGCAGTGTGCATGCAAATGTTTTTGTGTGTGTTTTTTTGTAGTTTGAACGTATCAGGTTCTATGGCAACAAAGCGTTTGGTTCAACACACTTAAAACAGCTAAGTTTTTTTTCCGAGATCAATTTCCTTAATATATTTCAACGTTGCTTATCATTTATAATTTATAGGCAGCTGAAAAAAAGAGATATTTTTCCAAGAACGCTTAGAGTGACGAATACAGAGTGCATGCTGTAAAAAATCGCGTTATAACGCCGTTTCCAAGTTACTAGCTTTTCTAGCCATTTTTCAAAGTTACATCTGCCAAATTTTTTCCTGGCATTTTTCAAAGTTAGATCTGCCAAACATACTACATAAATATCCAACAGAATCGCTGAGTATTTTGATAAAAATATACCGAAAAGTAACTTCTCAATTAGGATTTTTTCTTGCCACTGAACAAAGAAGTGTAATGTTGCTCTCATAATAATAGTTATATCAGCTTAACAACTTTCTTACTTTCGCATCATCATAAATTACTATGGAAACTATTTTCCCATTACTTCAAGTAGCAAAGCTTATTACTTTTCCTCTACAGTGAGTCTATTTCCTTATTAGGCAGCTTTGCTATATTGCTGTTTGGCGCAGTCCTGATATAATGACGGTGCTATAGCGGTAATGACCAGTGTTGATGAAACGATGCAGCGTTCGTTTCAGCAACATTTTCTACGCCAAACACACAGTAATAAACTTTCCCGGATTCACTGAAACACTGCGTTCAGACATTTGTTTTTTGAAGTCTGAAAAGACTTGAAGAAATAAAAAAAGTGGCTGTTGCTTTTGGCTTTCATTTTCAACACACCTGTCCGCGAGTGAAAACCACGACGTTAAAAAGTTCTTCTGATGTAATTGTTCTATTACGTACCGCATGGCCGGAGTTCAAAACTCAAAACCGCAAGAGGAAATCCTCGTACTTGAAAACGCTAATGCAGCTAATTCAATAAAGATTGCCATTTATACACCTTGAACTGTGAACCTTAAAACTCGGACTCACCCAATTGATGCAGGAAAAGCATATCAGAGGCACGGTTTAATCAGTTTAGAACTTTCATGTCAGTTTTTTTCCTAGAGATATGGTAAATATTTTCCAATGTAAACATCTCACCTGGCGGCAATATTCAAGTACCATATTTCTTCACATAAAACCTGCACTCCTATTATGCTTTGAGCGCCCCAACGTTTTCAGGAGAGGACAATCTTATCTGAATCAGTTGTTTATTCAGTAAAGTATAAACTATGAACTATCAACTATAAACGAAACATGAAATATGTATCAAAATGCCGGATACAGTAAAAACATACATTAAGGCGCCATTGTAATTGGTTTCAAACTCTCTTTTTTTTCAGAGAATTGAGAGAAGCATAAATTAAATTAAATTAGCCTAATAGGAGTGAAGAGATGGCATGCAATTCACTTTATGAATCCAAACACGCTGACTTAATTTTGCATTCTTAATCAATTTTTGTTGCAGGCATAACTGATTTTGAGTGCATGATTTATATTGTTACACTTTAATTATGTTTTGCTGACGTCTGATTGTTAGTAGAATACGTCATCTACAAAACTGTGATAGCGATTGCAGTTTACTGAGTTTTTGAATTTCTCATTGCAGCAAGTCAGTTTTCCCATTCGTGGACCGCTGGTCCTTATAGTAATAACCAGCCAGTCGGAAATCCTCGATCACTTGTATTTCTAATAAGCTTAAATTGCACAGTACATAATGTTTTAAACATCTTGGAACCATCTGTTTTCAATCTTGGTGACAACGTAATCGTAGTTCAGACAAATTAATAAATCTATATACATCTGAGGAATAACATATATCACGATCTTATGAACAAACGCCTTAAAAAAACCTTGATCATAAGTAGTTAACGGCCCTTAATGGCAAATGAATGAAAAATTACTATTTATTTGTCACTTAAAACAGCACGAACATCAAAGTATATAACTATTATGACTGCAGCTATTTGAAAAATCCGTATTAAAAGCTGATTAATTCCCTTAAATTGTCAAGAAACTTGGCAAGTAAGCAGCGAATTGAACCTCAATCACCAGCTACTTGATGCTCTATGCATTACAGAACACAACAGACACTGCTTCAAACAAAGCCTACCTTTCAAAGCTTGCGCTTCTGTTTAGACTTCACAGTGTATCCTCTGTATTTGTTAGCGGTACAGAACAAGAAGCCAGTGCAATAATAACCAAGAATATGAACTGAATTTTGCAAATTCCCGTCAGTAATTATTCACACTGCCAGCGTGTAACAGCTAATGAGAGAAAAACGAATCTTGATTACGAATTTATTTTACGGTTGCCTGCCATTATTCTAAAAGACTTGAACCACTTTACTTAAGTACTTTAATGTGCGGACGCAGAGCAAAGTCATAAGAGGTTGCTTACCCCCCGCAGAGTAGCTGCAAAAATGAGATTGGACTTATAAGGCTTTGTGCATTGTACCTCGGGCAATCTTCCTTCAACTGGCAATAGTTATAGTCTAAGAGGAAAATTAAACTCACAAGACGACTCAAACCAGGTAGGTAGATATATGTATGAATATTGCCGACAGTAAAATCCACTTTTAAAAAACGATGTTTTGGTAGAAAAGACCGCACACAAGAAATTTCAACATTTCATCGTTTTGAAGTAAGTATCGTCTGTGGCAACAAACTTTTTAATCAATGATCGATGTTCATTTTATTTTTTGCAGGTAGTTCTCATTCAAAACATTAACACGGCAGAATTTCTACAGTGCTTTAGTCGGATGAAAGGCAATTACTCCCCCTGAATGGAACAATAGTCAATCACAGGTTAGCACTCAATATACATAAGCTGGTAAAGATATAATTGAGCCAGTTGGATGCGAGGTTAGTTGAAAGCCTAGAAGACAATTCCGCTTATGAAGAATGCCAAACATTCGTGCATTCATAATCCCAAGTACGTCCTTCGAGATAAGACAAAAGTCGTGACAAAATTAAGACATTTTGCGCACTTAATTGGTATAAAGTTCAATCCATTTTGGCTTTGATGATAAGCGTTAGAACGGCAGCTGAAATGTCTCAAAGTTGCTTGATTCCTTCTTCGTCCTCTTACGGTTGTTAAGATGGAGTTACCAGCATGCATACATCCAGTTCGGCCCACGCATACCATAGAAGTGATAATAGGATAATGGCTTTCAGGATAAATATATTCTGTCGTATTACCTCAAATATAAGCAAGTATAATAGAAACAGTATTCAAAAATGCTCAGGTTGCATGTGCTATGTTACAACATGTGTTTAATTTCTTTGTTGAAAATGCAGTTTAATTTCCTTGTAAAATAAATTCTTTCTTCAAGAGATCGTTTAAGCAGCGTTGAAACAATATTCTTTCAAGAACTACAAAATTTACATAAAAGGACAACAGTTTCATAATTTCCATGCCCGACGAAAGCTCTTATCCTCGGTTGTCACTTTGGCTCGTGTAAATGAATACAGTTCATTGACATGTTCGCATTCTAAGCGTTTTCTTGTCTAAACGAGACCTCATGCCTAGCGCGTGCCATTAGCAAGACCTTCATGACACATTCATACAAGACTGGCTCTATTCCAAAGGTCTATATATACATGCAGAAAGGTTTGCACTTATTAGTCCAGTGTTCCCCGTGAGTCGCACTGGATAACAGAGGTCTTGTTTGGGTCATCGCCTAATTGAAGGTATTACTGAAAGAGGAACTGAAAATGTTATGCGTTTTTTAGTTAGACAGCAAACATGCTGCTGGAGTCGAAACTCGAAATTAGGTGGTAGTGGTGAAAGATGTTCAAGCACTATTCAACACCACCCTGAACTCAGCAAGTCAAAGGCTATCTATGTTCAATCAAAGCATTGTTCGCCATAATAACTACGCCATTAATTTTAAGAGTCGTTTTCTCCTGACAACAGAAAACTATATCCTGGATACACTCAATGTTTAACGCAAAAATTTAAACTAAAAACTAAACAGTATGGAAAATGCGGCAGTTGACATAATCCGAATCAATCTGTAAGGTCTCGGTTACAAATCTAAATCCAATTTGTTGTTCTTACTTACAAAATTAAACTAAAAAACTTAAAACTATTAGTACACGCAGTTTATGTACGTACTTAGTAACTTAATTGACAACTAACAAGGTGTAGCATCACATGCATAAGGCCAACACGAGGCAGCTAACAGACAAATGTGTTAATATATCGTCGGAATGATAAGGTTTATGCTTCCCCGTGAAGATTTCTTGAGTTCTCTGATAATGACTTCCAACTATGTTGATTTGAAACAAACAAAAATGACTCATACCAGAGTTCATAAAAATTCCAATTCTAATGAAAATCTTTTAACTTGACTAAAAGCCTAGTAACAAGGACTAATTGAGGGCCTTGTCGTTAAAGATTAGCTGTTTTGGTTTTATAAAAACTTTTTTGTTAAGCTCTCGCTTCAATTACCAGTCCGGATGCTGCGTGCATGAAATCTTTTTTAACTGACGGTAACTGAAATTGACGTTGATTAGATAATCTCACGCATATTTTGGTATATCAGATGTATCCACCCAGTACAATGAGCATGGTTTTCTAGAGACACCAGCTACATACAACATACTACATGTAGATATAATTACACAAAACCTGGCAATCGTTACTATTTATAGCTCGTATGTCCTCGAGCAATGATTATTGACAGAAAATCAAGACAATGCATTGATGAGGTAGATTACAGCATGCTAGTCTCGGTCCTGCCATCGCGTTCATTTATTTATCCTGAGATGGTTGACCATAAAAATGGTGCAACTGGGAAAATATTTGTACGAAACACATCACACATGCATTAAAATGAGCTGTCGCCTTTCATCTTGATTTGTGCAACTTTTGTAAACATAATTTGTTTATTACTGCACAGTTTTTATTACTAATAATCGCACATGCAACAGCGAACATTACAGTGATATATTTTAGTAGGAAATAATTTACACAATTTACACATACCCAGCTTTACTGTAACTGTGGAAAGCCAGAAGCAACCTCAGATGCATGTTTTTGTTAGAGTTAAACATACTTTATCATAATACAATGAGACTTATACGAATCAGCCAAGACACAGAACGGAATGATGCTTTCCCTTCAGAGAAAACTCAGCATCGAAAAAGCTATAAATCAGCTGGTATCAAATCATGCAGTGTGCCAAATATGATTTCCTCGAAGACCTACCAAATTACGACTGCTCTCGAAGGAGGTCGTCGCAGGTCTAATTACAAATTAGCAATCTTGATTAACGTTCTAATTAGATCTTGAGCTCGTGTCTGATGTTATGAAAGGTCAATAATCATTATCGTGTAATCCTCTGTATTCTAGAGATAAGAACACGGGGGAGCAAAATGCAACATATTCTTAGCAATTAGAACAAAAATTTGTCACCATAACGAAAGACAAATTTAAGTCGGTCAAGTTGCTGTTCTAATTGATTTATGATATTCTGCAATATGCACATGCGTGTTTCGTCACACCTAAAGAAAAAGGGCGTTGGTGGTAATGTATAGTTAGAGCCTGTGCCTCTCTTTGAAAATACAGGCTGTTAGGAAACGTTCTCACGCACTTTGTACCCTATCTAGCTGTTCATCACGTTCTTTTGAAGAACTTGTCTCTCAAAACAATAGCATACTACGACACATTGATCTCAGTTACTGATAAACGTTAGTTCAAGTCAGCGTTAAATATAACCCACGATTTGCAGAAAACAAAACTATGCTTTAATCATTTAATTGCTTCCGATTAGACACAGTTGCGAACAATTCGGTACTTAGCCACAAACTTGTGTTTCAATATCATTACCTAACGGACGGTTGTGAACATTAATCTCCGGTGAAAAAACGATCAAGTCTCGAGTTTATTTCTTAAAAACTTCTCCGCGTGTAAGGCAGGCAACTGGAAGGAGGGGGCGCTCGGCTCACGGAGAATATTAGGAGGGCATCTGAGAATGAGAGAGTGGGGGGGGGTAGTTGAGTTGCATGATGTTGGAAAGAGGTGGCTTGGGAAGTGGTAGGGGGCCCGGAAAAGGTGGCTGGGAAGTGGTAAGGAAATTTCGGAAGGCGAAGACATTCGCTCAAAGGGTAGGGGTTAATCGGCAGTTCTCGCGTTCTTGAAGTCGAGATTGATCAGGCATAAAGCAACCTTATTTCAAATTGAAGTAAGGACAAAGAAAACTAGGAAAAAATTGATTTTATGCATAAAATACAAGGGAAAGGAGTATATTTTTAGTTCTGAAAACCACCGCCTGACTGACTCGAGACACTTTCCGGACATTTTTGAAAAACGTGTCACGGCACGTCTATAAGGTAAGGTAATCACGCAAAACGAAACACTTATCACTCAAGAATTAAGATAAGCAATTATAATGTTATTTTAAGGAAGATTCAGCAATACTTTTACTCCCCAATGAAAACTCACACGTAAATCAGTGAATCGAAAAATACGAACACGGGCTGGGCTGTCCGCCAGCAACTTTTTAAACTATTATCAGGTGACGATCAAGATCGTGAAAGTTTCCGTTGTTTTGCGTTTCCTGGTATGCGGACACGGGACTTCCTTTGCAAGAATATTGCTTACTGAATATAGTATTGCGATATTCCCTGTTTCCTCAAAGAAGACACACAATTTAGAAAGCTTGTATTGTATGCTAATAATTATCAGGGAAGTGAATTTGGCTTGATCCAAAGCTTCCAAGTGGTTCATCGTGACTATTTTTTAACAACTTTTGTATACAGAACATTTTAAATAGGAGGGATTTGTTTATAAACGACTGTATTTTACTGTTTTAATAATTGGTTTTATACGTGCAGTCATCACAGAATAAATCACTGGTGGTGATTCGGCGCTAAGTTTCAAAGATGCCGCCTGCATGAGCTAAATGCCAAATGCCCATGGATACAAACAAAGTAAACTAAACTACACGCAGTGCCAGTGGTGTCAAATGGCAAACAGTTAAGAAAAATACATTGATAGTCTAGAGTAATAAAATAGAGTTAGAAGAGGCTAAAAAATCCTAAAGAAAAACTACTTTTAAAACCCTAACCCTGAAATAATTCCTAAAAGGTTGTCTCCATCAAAAGAACGGCCGCTTCAAATATACATTATCGCGGTATTTATAGAGATTAACGTTTGCGGCGCATCGGGTTCACGATCCGGTGGAACAAATCCGCAATTGAATGAATGTCGTTCAAAGTAAAATTGTCGGATGTAGAAAAAAGCAGATTTTCTCGAGCTAATTTGTGAAGTGAGTATGATCGCCGTCTGATATTGAAACAGGAAAGAATAGTTTGATAAAAAAATCGTCTTGTGTAAAACTGAATCGTACCGAATGGGGTGAGTTGAATGTCAGCATGTCAAAACATCAAATTAACACAATGCGCAGTGGCTATATATACGTGTTACATAACAGCAAAACTTACTTTTTATTCTTTCACTCACCCGACTTCAAATAAGAACCAAGATCAATTCAAACAAATTTCACGTATTGAGCTTCAGAGTTAGAAACCACGTTAGTTTAAGATTTCATGTGCAAGTTGAATCTAAACAAACGTTAATATACAATATAAGACAGACGTTCTTGTGCCCACCAGGAAACCAGGTCACCACAAAAGGCAAACTCTTAGGAACAGTTGGAAACAATGTTTGAACAAAGCTTGTGTAGATAGCTCTGACTTGACATATCTAGCCTACCTTCTGACGACCTCAACAACACTCACACTCACAGCGGTAATGATCTCACGACAAGCTCACAATTAATCTTATTTCACATGTAAACGAATGCACGCAAATTTATCTAATGAGCTAGAAAATTGAATCAATATTTTTTGTACCGAAAAGTAAACATACAATTAAACAAAGTGAAACACTGTGTGTTCTTCGGCCTGGTTATAACTCATAACTTACGCTATCCATCCTCTCCCAAATTCATCAAGAACATAACAAGTGTCTCAATGACTCTACGTTTCCCGTTTACATTTCAAACTCATCTAAGGTCTGGCCTGTCCGAACGGAAATCTCATGACGTATTTTGCGCGGTTAAGCCGCTCTGTAGCCCTACATCCATTGTCTGACTGTACTCATGCCATTCACAGGCATTGTGTTTTATGTGTTCTGACAATCATAATGCGGTTAGTGGTCGCATTGCGCCACAATGGCTCTTGCCAAAGACTAGAATATAGAAAGCATTGTCTCGCAAGAGTACTTATGGCCTTAAAATAAGCGAGCTTTGTAAACATAAAGGTATAATGTAAACTTACAGCTGCCTTTGAAGCTTACAAACACGAAATTTTGGCACAACCATAAAGTTTGCTACGGAAGGTTTAAATTTCTAGGAAAACAAGCTTGAAAACGAGCTGGTAACTTGAAGCGAAAGCAGGCATTATAGACTTAGCGTAAAAAATGATTTTGTTAAAGTCGAGAAGGTTTCATGCGAGATGTTTGGTACTCTGGAACAACGTAAGAATCCATAACATTAAGTCGTGAACATCTATTTTTCGATCAAAGAGTTTCGAAGACTGTAATCGTTTGCCGAAATGATATGTTTTCATTTAACATCTCTTAGGTATGAATATTTAAGATATAAGTCTGTCTAATCGTCACAAATAAGTGTGAACGATTTGCAAAGCTTTGAATTTACAAGCATACAAGCAAAGCTGAATGTTTCGTAGTTCGCGAAAACAAATTACTCTCATTTATCGTAAAATAACAGGAGACTGATTACACAAGAATATTGTTTCAATATTTGCTGGGATTGCAGGATTTACCTATATTACATCGGGTATAAAGAGACTAGCATTGCCGCTACACCCACTTGGGCGTTAAAGAGAATGGGCCGGCTTCAAAATACCTCCCCCACAGATAAAAGAGCGGCTATAAACACCTGCGAGGAAAACTAGAAATATTTCAAATGAATAAGTTCTTCTTTATCATCAGTTTTAAACAATTTTTCTTGAGTTTCCTATCATTTGACTATACACATTACACAACCTATATATAGTGACATTTAGGGGTAAACCCGAGTCTTGGGGGAAACCCAATATGTAGCTATAGATCAAAAATACCGCCAATGAACATCACAAGTACCGACAAAGGTAACGATACAAGATCAATGTTGATATGCTTCACAAAGACCTCTGAGCAAAGCTTTAGAGATGATAATACATTAGAAACTATGAACGTTGTGGAAGCATACGCTACTTTATCCCAGCATTCGTTAATTTACTGCTACGGAAAGATTGTGAAAATACCTTTCACCAATTATGAATTTTATCAATTGTGTTTAAATTATGGTACTTCCTACCGGAATATTAGCGAGAACTAATATACTTTAGACTTTATCCGTGTTTGGTTCGATAGACAAGTTGATGTGACGCCTCACTATGGAGTAAACTGTCTGCATATAAAAAATAATCAGGATTAAAATAGAACTAACAGTTTTAACGTGCGGCAAGGGGTGGCGTGATAGGAAATTTGTGTTATTTCCGCGCCAAGATCTCACGCGAATTGTACCTGGTGTAGATCATGCCAAAAAACACCCTGTCAGATGAAATAATTGGTCAATTAAATTGTGATGTTTCCTCGTTGCCATTCATCCTCAAAATAGCTCTTTTATGTTTAGCAGAAAACTACTGGAGATTTAGTGAACTGTGTGGCCAATTTAAAACTACGCTTGTTGCGCATGTCAATGACGTCATATCTCTTCGATTACATCCAGCACGTGTAGACTTGCGATATATTCGACAGTGCGCATGCGCAAATCTTACCAATATTGTCTACTTCGTGGTATCAAAGTTTCTATTATAAAATATTTTAAACAGGAATCTAACAATGAAATTGGGTTGGACGTTGAGGTATTTGATCACAATGACACTTCTTGCAAATCTTTTTTCCGATTCACCGACTGAGCGACATGATCTTCTCATTTTCAATAATGAAACGTTTTTAATGTATGACCTTAAACCTTACTGTTTAATTAGTCCTAACATGGAACAATTATTCATCGGCATATTAAAAAGATAGATTCGGTACATTAAATAGATAGATCAAAGCAGCGTTGTTTGCATTTATGTTTGTATATTTACCAAGGACCATCTGTGTGTGCATCTAATGTTCCTTGTGTACTTTCGATGGCGCCACCCGAGCGCAAGTTCGCTCTCATACATTGAATAGAAGGATATCCTATTTTAGGAATGGGCTTGTGTGTTCAAGTAAACACCGCTTTGCCTCTTTATACAAATTACTTATTTGTTTTGCAAATTGAATGTTTCTGGAGGTGTTAATTGGGACATCAGTGTCGGAATACAATATCTCGTCGTTATAATCGCGGCTCGTTGTCGCCCAAGTTAAGTCTTTATCAAACAAAATTTCACCTTTTCAGAAATGAAGAAACTCGAAGAGCTTGAGGGCGTGCACTGAGGAGACTGGGTCTCTCATGCCTGGTTTATAGGACCTTTTCCCAGTTGGGGAGGGGTGTGCATGTGTTCAATTTCAGATCATCCCAAGGTTGTGTTACATTATGGATTTATGAAACTTTCTTTGCAACTTACAATGCAATTCTACTCCTCAGGCATCTAAAGTTTACCGGGAACATTTCTTACAGGTCTCCTAACGTTTTCCTAGCATTTCTAACACTCTTTACAAATGAACATTCATCATAGGATAGTATTGCATTGTGTAACAGCGCATTCACAAGTCCACGTATAACTGAGCTTAACCTGAACTTCTATAGTTCTATATAACACAACTTTACATGATTGTGTTAAAAAGGGTCGTCTAAAAGCATGCACTACGAGAAGGAATCCCTTTATTGACATTGTATGTTGAACTGAACGTTTCAAATAACACAACTACAAGAGAAGGAATGTGTAGTGTGCGTTCTTTGATGTGGCCAACAACATGATATCTACACAAGTGTTTTGAGTCGATCATTGTCGATCATTGTTAACCACAGCGATGCTAATACGCATTTTAATCATCAGATCGAAATGAAGATGATCACAGAAGGCGGGACTTGCAACAACGAGGATCTTTGTAAACAAGTCTCTGAATTTGTGTCTTTTGTGTCAAAAACGTTGACTTATTTTGATTTATAATCATCCTTTAACAGAATATATCTTCTTAAAACTAAGTTGTCAATTCTTTATAATGTTAACATTTCCTAGTTCCTACAGTTCTAAACTATAAAAAACAAAATCACCTTAACTATGATTGTCTTCTGTCACTCATTTTCACAATTGAGAATCGCACCACGAAGATTTGACCAAAGAGTTACCGTCATGCATGAACATTTTTAAAAACTAAAGAACACGTTTGAAGACAGCTAGCTTGCCTTTTTAGTTTAGTCAGTATCCATTTATAGCGCTTTATATGACAGCAGCTTGCCAATACTCATTTAAGACTTGTTAATCACCCAAAATTTATAGCTTTGTTTTTAATTGATGGCCCAAAATTCGTAATAAAAAAACGACTTTGTATAGACGTTATGACATATCATTACGTCTGCCGTATGAATATTATACTAAAACCATCTTATCTCTCCACACACAATCAGTCATAATATGTCAATGTTAAAAATAACTTTCAAAACGCATAATATTATTCTAATATCACAGAGACATGCATGATCAGTATTGTCCTTTGAATTCCTGAGTTGAATTCTTAAGTTTGAAGCAATGGGCAAGTCAAATAAGGCATATTATATATAACTGCATGTATATCTCTCGTATCTTACAATCATCTTTGGGTAATTTTCTTCTTTTTTAGTTTCACTGCAGTTTAAGAATATTCATAGGATATAAATGATAAAACGGTGGTTTTAAAATATGGGAATAAACAACTTGTGAGAGTGAGACACTTACAAAGTTGTCAATAATAAATATTTTAAAAATAAAAAATGTCCATTGCTACATGCACCAATTAACAAATGAACCTTTTTTTCAGAAAACATGCATATATATATATATAACGACGCTAGTCTTCACGGAGCCAAGTCTGCCAATTTGAGCTGATTCAATCCACATTTTAAACAGATGACATATAGTTGGAAGCAAGCCGGCTCATTGTTTAAAATGGAAATGCGAAAACATATAGTTTAAGAAGAAGCTCAGACCGGTATCTATATTCAGTCGCTTCCTTCCACTATCATCTTCATTATTGGTAATGGATAAAAGATTCGTGCATATAAAATAAAACAATGCCAGAGAGACGAGATATCAGCAATAAAACTAACCGCTTCCTCTAATCGAAGAAATTGACATGTTTAAAATTATTATTAAAGATATGTATATACAAGCTTATGAACGAAGACGCAGCCCATAAATTGAAAAACTGTCCATTTCACTTCAACATGACATGCTCACTTCATTATAATATCAGCATACAGCATTTTCAATTATACAGCTACATGGAAACAGATATAGACCGTTATTGCATGATATTGTAGAATTAAAGCCCAATAATAAAGCTTTTTCAATCAATTTTAGATAAATCAACACGATATAGCATATTAGAGATGCCCGCAATGAAACTCAAACTGTGAAATTATACAAACATGCAATAATTCGTCATTAAACAAGCCAAGGAAACGTATATATACTTCCAAAATACTCTAGGCTATCCTAGCCTTAAAGCTTTAAATGCAAGAGGACGCTAGAACAATAATATAATGCTCTTAAATTTTAGCTCTATAAGTATATAACTATACTGAGTTCTTCATTTGACAATAAATGAACTGAGAAATAATGAATAGAACGACATCTCGTCTAATGTTCAGTATTTCTTGATTCCCCCCAGGTCTTGGGGTCTTCAGTTTAATTGTTGCATAATGAACTCGTTTTCTTAGAAGGTTACTGAATATAGCCCAGGTTACAAAAACACTCATCACTCATGCAGTTCAAGAAAATAACAAGTTACAAAAACGGGGAAGGTTCCTACTAAAAGGCTTAGAACGTTTCTAACAAGATGTTCATCTGTTAGTATTATTATTATTCATTAAAATTCATCTTTGTTCATTAAAATACACTTTCAAAAAATTTTGTTGTTGTGTCACAAGATATATGCTTCATTATTCAATAATGCGTTATTGATTTAAGACCCCGCAGGGTATATTGAAAGATATTACTCTAAAATTGTTAAACTAAATTTCCGAAATTGAAAGAATTGTTAATATTTTTCTCATATTTTAAACCAGCTAAATCACACTGCTAATCCAGCTTAAAACCATAGAAGGAATACTCGTCAGAAGAATCGATTGAACAACACCGATAACAGCTGGCTTTTAACTATAATTTACGGCAAAAAAAAGGCAAATGAGTGTTTTAAACGTGCGTAAAACACTCGTATGCTTATAGCCACTAGCTTAATTATATTTTAAGCATTTATTCCATTTCCCGACAATCTATTCAGTTTTAATGCAGATCAGAAGATAAAACACTGTTTAAAAGAAGCTAAATCTCGAGAAAAATAAAAAAAACGATTGTCAAAATGAGCACAAAAAGCATAAAAGCGGCAACCATAGCAACCTTTAAACTGGACATGAACATGCAACCTTATAATATTTACTATGGACAATTCACCATCACAATTGAACTCATAACGAAGAAACACACAGCGTAGATTATTCCCATACCAAAAATTGTTTGCATGTCTTTGGTTATGATTATCCTTGACAAGAATATCATATTGTGTTAATACTTTTGAACAACCTTCAATGTCAATTACTGAACGAACATCGACTGGTACTTGATTAATTTTGCCATGCATTCCCTTTCCTTTATAATACACGGAAAGCCTAGCGCACGAACGTACTAAAAAATATAGCATATTCTCACAAACACGACGTATCGACAAGCGGTGTGAAGATAAATTCTTTGAATAAATCCTTTCATCGGATAAAAAATTCCAAATAAATAAAATTCCCGTTTGAAATAACTGGGGAGTATATGCATGCACTGTGCAGTGATGCATGCGCATGCCCTCCGCGCATGCATGCAGACAACGAGTTTCTCGCGAATTCATTTAAACTTCCTTCACGCATTTCTCCGTATAAACTATTTCGCTCGAACCTCGGGACAATACTGCACAGGATCAGCTGCGGAGGAGCTGCAGAATCCATTGCGAAGGTTCGCTTGAATTTAAGAAATTAAACTATATACACCCCGTGAATTTAACGAAATGCTACTGATTTCAAACATGCATGGAACAAAGCTTTCAAACTGAGTTTCAGTTGTCCACACACACCTGAAAAACTAAACTCTAGAGCAGTATATTTATTTGAGAGAGCTTCTGCATGGCTTCGTGTATGCAACAGGTGCATGGTAATAGCAATGCTCAAGTGGACAATGAAATAAATTTCAAAAAAGGTGAACGAATCTAAAACACTTACTTCAGGTACGGACACAAGCCGCGGTAACATCTGAGACAGCCGGGCCAAACCTCTAACAATCGGCTTTCAGGTTTTGATGCAAATGATCCGGGAACTATAAAGCACTCAATGTAAGCGCTTGTATAGTAAACATCACAGAAACACAGGCGTGACTACAGGTCACAGACGGGTACTAGAACCACGTGTTTACATGCATATAGGCGGAGTTTGCACACAGTGACAGACGCGCTACGCAAAGCTTACCTCAGGCTGCTCAGATTGTCAATATTCTGAACGCGGATGTCAGTTGGTCTGAGTGTTTAAAATTACTCTTGTTCACATCAGTGTCCAAGAAAATGAAATTTGTTTGATGGTTTGTTTATTTTGAATAAATATATACGAAGTTAGGAACGCGGAAAGTCATTATTTAAGCCTTGACTATATCTTTGTTTTATTCACTTGAAAGACAAGGAACCAAAATAGTAGAGTGACGAAGAATGACGATAATCTGGTGATTAAAAAGAGACTTATCCAGTTAGATGTCACGTTCAGTCCATGAGGAAAACGTTCCTTCATGTTCTGTGTTTCCTTGTTCCAAGGATTGTGCATGTATAGTGCAGTTGCAGCCATCGCATATGATATTATCCACTTTGTATTTAAATAAATTTTGTATTTAAACAAAACAAAAAGCGTGATGATAACATAAAAAATAATTATATTTTGTCTTATTATTATCTGTTGTTTTAATATATAACAAAAATCATCATCTCGACCGCGTGATGGCGCTGTCATCAGGCTGGTTAAGACTGAATTGAAATTATTAACAACTCAACTGATATTCTGATAGCACTTGATGGAGGATATTTGCACGTACGAGTATTTCGCGTCTACTTCTGTATAGTACTGAAATCGTATTTGACCATTTTTTAACAATGCACAACTTTATAAGACTAGAAAATTCTGCGCGCCACATTGAAGACAGAACAATGCGCGAAATAATATCGCCACATAACCAATTATCACAATATTGGAAAGTAAAACACGTTTTCTCTTTTGTTCGTGACTTCCTCTAAAAACTATTTGAATTATTACGAAGCTAGCTACGTTTTTTTAATGATGTATTTCTAAAACCCGCTCATCCATTTCGCATGGCACAAACAAGCGTACGCCACGAAAACTCAAGAAAGAAAACATCCCTAGTGCCACAAAAACTTATCTCCAGAAAGGAAACATCCCTAGTGCCTATTATTCAGTGAATGAATACCCAATAGAAAATAAATAGAGGAAATTCCAACCTGTTACAATTGTTTCAAATCTTCAAAACTTTTCCAACTTTTCATCTGACTGGTTCAGTTCTTTTGAATTTCGCCCATTTTCAACAAAATAATTCAGAGATTCATTGAGAACTGCAAATATTACCACACAAGCTGTTATATTATTGTATCACTGATTCCAATACTGCCAAGATTATGGAAAAACCAATAAAACAGTTTGATGTAACTTTCTGATCTGTTTCTACAATGATAATGTTTACTCATAAGCATGAAAACCAAACTTGTTTTATTGTGTTCCAAAGGTTTTTCATATTTCAAAACACATCATTTCATGTTGATACTAATGACTTCACACTTGTCTGTTTAATTAATGCAAATTGCAGTTGACTCTTAAATGTGATATTGGCTAAACCAACACTGGAATATGAAATATATCATGCTTCTATACCTTGCTTTTTTGTAGCAAAATAATAACTTAGAAATATTTACAAGCTAGTGGCAATGCAACTAAGGAAAGATTAATAGTCTACTTAAACCAAAACTGACTATGGCATATATGTAAAATTGAAAACTCTTTCACTTTAGAAAATGAATAAAAGTGTGAGCGAGGCCCATTTGGTTGCTAACACTCACAAAAAACCAGAAGCATTGGCACAAATTTTGAAAATTTATTGTTTGATGCACTCATTTTGAGCAGCAAAAAATTGAATGTTACTCTGCATGTATAATTCAAACCAAACAGGTTGTATCAGCAACAGTTAATTGATTAACACTAGACCTAGTAAAAATTTCAAATGAGAGCGAAACGTCAGTCCATGCCCATATTTTATAGTTAAATTCAGCATATCTTTGGCGTAAACCTAACATGGAACACACCATTGGCCTGCAACCAAACATTCCAGGTTGGCAATGAACAATATAATTACTCTTAAAGATGTCACCAAAATCTTGAGGAGCCAATACTTATGTGGGTATTCTTAGGATTTAGTAACATAGGAACCAGAGTCCTCAATTTTTTTACACATATGCTGTTTTGTGGGTAATATGAAAACATTGGGCAATTGCTCTACAGGGGGTATTAAATATCATTAACTACGGTATTTGACAATTTGATTAAGCATTTCAAAAATTTCATATCTGGAGAAAAACATTTCGACAAAGTAGACAGAATTTAACTCTTCTTTTCTTCATTTCCAAAAGTCAAAATTAAATACACTGTAAGGCTATGCATCGCACAGACTATGATCTCCTGTTTATCTGCCAAGTCTACGTGAAATCAAGTATTAAAACCTTCACAAACAAATCGTATCAAAGAACTCACCTTACAGACGTGTCTTGAACTAACTGAACAAAGGGTTTTCGAAACCAAAAGCGAAAGAAATACAATTCACCCAAAGACACATGTACACTAAGTTTGAACTTTCATACTATTAAAGATCCAGGAAGCTCACAATCACAAAATATTGCACTTACACAGCACTCAAGATATTTATTCTTCCGTAATATTACGTGAAAAGTGCTGGAGTTTAACTAGTTCCATACTTTTAAAATGAAAAAAACATAAAAGACGGTGTCATTTATATAAAGGAACAACTGTTTACGACTTCATCAAATTTTTATATCTTTCACGTGTCTGGTGTGAACGTGTGGTCCAATTTGAGACTTTGAAGTTTGGTGTGACTGTCAAACGTCACGGATTAAATTAATTTTGGTAATCCTAGTTTATCCTATAATAATTTCTTTAGCTGTCTATTTCCGATAACAAACTAATATGTTTTTGGTTCTTTGAAATGATTGGCTAGATTTTTTTAGATTCACAATATGTGGTGCTAATGGGATTTATAAGAGAAAACATACTCCAAAAATAAACATCTTATCCCAAGACAATAGTCAATAATATTCATGGTGATGTCTTGACTCTATATTCCGAAGTCATTGTCAACTTTACGATCTTAATACAGCTTACGCAGCATTTTATGTAAACACTTAAGTTGTCATCGACTTTTGAAATGTTTTTTTTTGAGAATGGGATATTTCAGGTAGACCTACTAGGCTACATGCAAGTGATATAAAGTTAGTTATTCAGATGTCATATTCAATAAATCTTGTATTTTACATTACAAATAATATGTGTACCTTTTCTCTAGTTAATTCATATTTCTGTAAATAATGCAAGGCTTCCTTTTGAAATGTTTGTAACTTAATACCTAGACGCCATAGTCTACATGTGTTGACAGTTACGACGACACGTTAAATTGACCAGTTTTCAGAATTTCGTCTTGCACTATACCTATATCTCGTATGACTAAAATGATAGGTGAACTGTAAGTTAAATACGATCGACTGGTCCCTAATATTTTAACTTATATACAGTGTCTAGATTTCCACTGGTTTAATCCTGGTCCAACACGGCATACATACAAACATGTCAACTACATAGGTTACAGCAGTCTTAATATTGGTTTACCATGTATGCAAGTCCTACCATGCATCTGACGAAAATAACCTAACAACAAAAATCATTATTTAATTAATTTTTTATTTAATGTTGTGACTATATACATTACATTTTCTAAGGCTACTGAATAAGTTACTAAAACTAAGTTACCATAGGGTAAAAATAATTTATACTTTAAAAACGTCGAAGTTATATTAAACGTTAAATGAACAAAGAACTGAAGTCATACAGATCAAATGATCATGATTACAAACTTTCATTTTGTCTTCAAACTCTAATTGTTCATCTTGTTTCATATTGCACTATTTAATATACGAGTTTTTCTTCATATATTAATCTTACGTTCTTCAGGCTAATATATATTACAAACTTTATAAATATATTACAAAATCTGAATAAGGCATGCTTAATTTCTCGATGACAACAGAACTAGTCTAAGAGATTGCTCGCGGTACCCGTTTCATTCTTCTCAAACTTGTTGCTCGGTTAGACTAAAAAAAACAGATGTTGTGAGCTTGCTGATTAGTGCATGTGAATTTAAAAATTACCCTTGAGAGTCACAATATAAAAGGTTAAATAATATACTCGCAGTTTCTTCCATTAGTGACACAGTTTAGGAGCCTCTTGCATAATATAACAATAGACTATTAATAAATATATTTGTTTAATCTACTTTATCACACAAAACTACAGTGACAGTGTACAGTACGAATGACTACGTGGGCACATACAATTTTATTTTAAAAATAAGAATTATTGAGAATATAACAAGCACTAAGAATAAGAAGTGGATTAAACAGATTTATTGATGTCCATTTCCGGGGATTTCTAATTATAGTTAGTAAGAGATGATCCAAGATAAAGATATAACTTATAAGTTTCGGTTTCCTCCGGTAGTAACACTGGATCAATAAGGGACAACCTTTCCTGGATCTTGAAACTGCAGGCAGTTACTTATTCTAATTATCAATTTATACTCACGGCTTTCCTTCTTCACCCTCAACAGTTCTCACTTTTTCTTTCCCAGAATCGTCAGGATTCTTTGATTTTTTTCTGTTAAAATGCACGCGATGATTGCGACTTTTCTTGCCATGTTGCATGTCACGTGTTTTCCTCGATCTTCGTTTCTTAGCTGAACTAGACGTCGTTGACATTCCTCCCTCAGTTGACTGTGAGAGGAGCTTTGCCTGGGCTAATCTGAAATGAAAAACACTCTTCCTTTATGTCCGATTTTACAGAAAAGCTGGCTCGATAAGTGGTCGTTTTTCCTAACTTGACTCAATCCCGTCCAGAACTTATAGACCTATTCTCTAAAAGCGTTATATTAGTCTAGTGTACATATAAACACTAGCCCAAAAGGTATTTATTGAACTCTTTATAGCCAGGTATATGTAACTCATTACTTACAGGTCATTATCATCATCACTCATTGAGCTTAAAGAACTACCAGAACTCGCCTCAGACCCAGCTTTCTTCATTTCCGGCAGAGGTTTTGTTGCTAGTTGAGGTGAAGATTGGTCAGGTTGGGGAGCATCGTTACCCCGCGTTGAACTGTTCTTTAATATTGAAAGAATCTTTGGCCGGGGGAGAGGCTCCACTGTCGCAACAGGTGTCTCAGTCATTGGTTTTTTCTTCAATAATCGTTCCTTCTCTTGTGCTAGTTCTAAAACAGAGACATCGTTCGAGTTAATACCTGACATTTTAAAATCATGCATTAAAACGTGGGGATATTTCAAAAGGTTGGGAAAGATCTATCGATGTCTTCTCAAATAAAGATTTCAAAGAACCTACCCATTGGAGTGCTGTGCATTGGTCCATCTGACGCGTAGAGTGGGGCTAAAAACAAAATATATTGCTTGACTTTGCAACGAAAGACACTGAACGAATTGAAGTCGGAAGAAGAGATTTTAATAAAGTAACTCGCCTGTGTGTTTTGGTCTATGGCTCAAATATTGATGTTATTTCATACCTGTCGCTTTTTGCTTGTTAACACCATTCTCTGATTTCTTTTCCCATGAACCTGATTCTGAAACAACAGTGTTTAATATAGTGAATAGTATGTATTGCACCACATGCAGTATTGTATTACGTTATACGGTATTGTACCACATTATACAGTACTGTACGACATTATACGGTATTGTACCACATCATACGGTATTGTACCACGTCATACGGTATTGTACCACATTCTACAGTATTGTACCACAAACTACTCACCATCACCAGAACTGCCGGAATCTGACGAAATTACCATCGTCTCACGACGTCGACCACCATCGGAGGAATCCGAAGACTCTGGTTGGGTTGTGCTTACTTCTGCAAAGAAAAATAAAAAAACCAGGTTTTTCTTCATATAGTCAACATTACAAGGATGATATGCTTTTTTAAATAAACTTACCTGACTTCTCTGGGGCGTTCCACATTTTTGCTGCTGATTCTAAAAGTGGAGAGATGTGAGTTAAAGCCATTGAAGTACAACATCTTATTCAATTTAGTCCTAAAAAGTCCAGTGTCTGTCGGTCAAACGTCCGCGCAGCTAAAAAATTAAGAACTCATACCCATATCAATCGGATCCTCCTTGCGAGGCTTTCGTTTCTTTATTTCCTTGTAGTCTGTTCAAAGACGAGAACAATTATATTTTGATAAATATGATTGACTTTATAAAAATAACAACCCAAGGTTTTTTAACATACCAGACTCACTGTCATCCTCAGGGAAGGTACTAAATGGATCTGTTTTGCTCATGCTGTGCAAGGTGCTGGTTGAACGATCTGTTGATGTCGTCTCTGGATTCATTCCTTTCAAACCATAACCCTCCTCACCAGCCAGGTTGCTACCAGGATGGTATGACATTTCCTGCGGAGAAAATGTTGACAATCACAGTGGTTTTTAGGTTGGAGATTGTAACAATATTATCAGTTTTGCTATTCTGTGAGTACAACAAGTTTGTATTTCAACTGATTGAGTAACTTACATAAAGCCGTCGTCTCCTTGGTCTGCCGTAGGTCTTGTCTCCAGTCCTCCAACGGATATAAGCGTTTTTGTATTCCTCACGTACCTGAAGTGGTTAACTTTATTGTTATACGAATTTTATTCTCGAGATTAGGTTAGGATTAGGTCCTAAACCTAGAGATTAATTGAGATTAATCGTTTAATTCGTGATTGAATTCCTGAACATGGAAGTATTACGACTATTTTAGTAAAAAAGTGTTTTAGGGAAAGAGACTTAGGCAAGAGAAGTTAAGATATGTACTACAACAAAGGATATTCATAATTGGAGATGATATTTTACCTTTGGATCGAAAGCAACGTAAAAAAGCAGTACAAACAGGCTCTGACAACAACACAATATAGCATAAAGATAATGGAATATCAACAGATCCTGATTGACAGCCAAGACTCCAAATGTCAGAGTTATTCCGAGAACAGGAAGAAATATTGCGCCAACTTTCAGAGCATATCTATACGAGAAGGAGAATGTTAAAGAAGTTATGTACCATCGTTTGAAGTGGAAAAAAGTCTTTAAACTTACTTGATTTTTAATGCATTCTTGTGTACACTGGTAACATTAACATTCTTTGGATTATACGTGTAATGTTTCCGTTTTCTTCGCGCTTTTTCGACGGACAAGCGCAAAGCCATGAGAAACACAATCACGTTGGCCTAAAAATTAAATTCATAACATTAAGACAAAATTGCCTTTAATGCTTTTGTAAGTTTTCATGGCGAACAACAATATTAATATAATTATTACAGCATGAAGGCAAACTACGTAGCTATATTTTTATAACTGCATCGATAAAGCTCAGGTTTGCCCTAAAAATTATACGCGGTGAAGCTTTAAACTGGTAAATATATAGAATTGTCTTCGTTGATGATATGGTTAACCGGAAAAACACTTACAAATATCACACTAGCAATTGGAATCGTGAATGTCCAAATCAACGTTCCGTCCGTCGTCATCCAGCAGCTGTAGAAAGATTATAAACACAGTTACATGCTGTATAACGAAGAATCTTTCAGACTTCTTCACTGTTTTCCAAACGCAGCTTCTAGCGTACTTACAATTTCTGATTACCATATCCTTCGACAGCCATTCCAGTTGATAGACCCACAACGATCGCAGGACATCCTGAAATGTAAAAATATCGATCATCATGTCCTCGTTCAATAAAAACGGTTTTATCAAAAAATCTAATGTTTTATTTAACAATTTGTAAAAGCACCACGCATATTTGTTATTTACAAAACGTTCACCCGAACCAAATATACCTGGTGTTTCTTCAAACTGGCAAAAAATCGCCAAGCAAAATAACAAGAATATTAAATCTAATGTTGTTTATCCCTTTTGATGAATTTGAAACGTAGTGAGATAAGAGAGACAGAGAGGGCCATCATGTGGACGCTTAATTAGGCCCGACTGATTGCTTTTATGAATATATGTATGAATATATAGAAAATCACCCCAGCCTAACAATGTATGTATATAAAAATAATAAATTGATCAACTTACCCCACCCAAGAAAGTAATAAAATGTCATTTGTCCCGAATCAATGTCTCTCTTCTCCGTAAGCCTGCGATACATATGTACGACCTCGACAAACATCCAGGCAAACACGGCGTCGAAGAAATAATGAAGAATAATTGCGATAAATCTGCAAATTAACTGAAGAAAGATTCAAAAAGTTATTTCGATGTAAACGCCGGAGAAAATAGCTGCACAGACACGTCTTTCGCGCTAGTCTATGACTGCATAGCTCTACTGTTTCCCCCCAAATCAACGGGCATGGATTGTGACAATGGTATGGAACAATTGATTATGTTGACGCCACTTACTTGATTGGATGTTCTGTTTATTCCAAGGACATACACTATTTCAGCAATCACAATTGCCAACACCATGTTTCTGTGTATGTTGTTCGTGTTGGAATTTAGACCACTAAAAAAATGAACAAATTGTGAATCGGTTTCAAAGCAATAAATACAAAGATAGACAGTTTATGATTCCGTAAGCAAACGACTGATAAGCGATATGACTCCGTAAGCAAACGACTGATAAGTGATATGATTCCGTAAGCAAACGACTGATAAACGATGTAATATTAACCTCAGACAAGTAAATGTTATAATGGCGCCCAATAATATCACCAAGGAAATAGCCACACCGATATATGTGACGATTCTAATTTTATACGGCGAAATCACTGGGATCTAAAGATAAAGACATAGGAAATTACAAACGGATAAATCCACAATGAAGCAGTAGAGGCGGCAGGTAATGAATGACGAATATTTGTGGATGATTACCTGGATCGTGAGATCTGATACAACAGCAAACGAAGTCAAATGATGACATTTGCAAACAGTGTGCGTGAAATTACTGGGAGCTTTGGTACAACCATTCCTCGACCAGCCACCACCATGCTCACCACTACAAATAATAAACGGTTCATTAAAAATCAAATAATTTATTCGCTTATTGTTAATAATGTTCACTTATGAACTAAGTCTTATGAACTTACGCAACAGAATAATTCCAAAAAACACAATCATATTTTGATCGATTCACCTATAGGAAAGATGGTTTAAGATAAAATAGTAGTGGTTTCGAAACGTAGGGTATGATATGGTATAATGTGATGTGGTAAGGTATGGCCACGGTTTAGTTTAGTTTAGTTTGGTTTGGTATTGACCCTATTGTATGTTGTATTTTCGTACGTTTTGGTAGTGTGATAAGAGGTTTCAAATGGTGTGGGTCTATGGATTCGTGGGTCAGGCATAGTGTAAAATGATTATTGGTTTGGCAATGTCTAGTGTTCATGGTATGATGTGGTTTTTGTATAGTAAGCAATTCAATGTGTGTTATGGTAAGATATATATAGTGAAGGAGATTATATTAGTGACATGATTTGGTTAAACACCTCATGGATTTCGAACTCAATTGTGATTGGTTCTTGAAGATAAATAGACTCCATTCCCTTGATTCCAACTATTATGACGTCAGAGTTAACATCCAACGAGAGATCGCTAAAACTAAAGTACAAAGATTGATTATTATTCTTGTAGGAAATAATTTAGATTATAATCCTGGTTCTGATTTACTGATACGTAACACGTAAAATATTTTGAACAACAACATAGTTGACGTTCGCAGGCAAAAATACGTTAATCGGTGTATACACACCTCGCTTTTGTGTCAAATGAATATGGCAACAGATCTCCAAGATATTTTAAGGCAATGAAGGCAATTGCAGATTCATTCTCTGTTAAAGTAGAGAATACAAAAAAACTTTCAGCTTTGGAATATCCAGGCTCCTCTTGGGGGGGGGGTGCGTCTGGGGATGAAGGGTGGGGCGGGGGGTTCGGGGACGTCGCATACAATACGATTATCCCATCATGAGTTGCTTTAACAAGAGCTGTTAGTTAAATGGTGAAAAGCCTATCTTAACAGGGACGTACACCCATGGATAATTGCGTCAAAATGGTTGTAAAGAATTGAAGTGAAATGAGTCCAACTATTGCAATATTATAACTTACTTGGAGCTCCATGATTACGAAATAAAGATTCTGGAATATTAACTCGGTTGCTCGTGTTCCTCCACTGCTCTGATGACAACAGACTCGATTCGTGTTCTTTCAGAGGAAATTGTAAACCAGAGAAACTTTTCGGATCAACTGGTTCCAACTGCATGACTATGAAAAAAGAAGACATACAGAATGGTCGTTCATACATGGCAGTTAAATAAAAGTAAGAATAACTTACGCAAATGTTTTTCGACTTTATTGTAAGAAGGTAAGCTGGAGGTTGATCGCTTTTCTCGATTATTTCTCTTTATATAAACCATATTACTAGCAAGACTGATACCAAAGCTCTCCAATTGCCGCATCAATGACACAGTTGCTGGTGGAGTCTAAAAACCAAAATAAAAACATAAAAAACTTTAATAGATTGCTTAAACAATTTGATTGCTTCGCTTCTACACAAGCCCCTGAAGAGCTTCTGATCAAGCGCTGTTACAAGATCAAAGGAAAGGTTTCCCTAACATGCAGTTAACGTATATAGCTCCATTACCTCGTCTAACAATATTATCTCGTCTATCAATATATTACCTCGTCTATCACTATATTACCGTCTATCAATATAATACCACGTGAATCAATGTATTACCTTATCTATCAATATATTACCTCGTCTATCAATGACCATCCTTTAGTGTATTTTGGATCCACAAAGATACTTATGGCCTTCAAAATTATCTTAACAAATAAAAGATAATTATACATCAGGTTTTTTTAACAATTATATTATGAGCTCGAGATTTCTATGAGATGATACAGTAGTTGATAAGGGCAAGGCACGCGTGTAGAGTAGTTCTGGGGAATACTAATACGAACACTTCACCGAAACTATTACATTAACTTACATCCAAAAATTTCTTATCCTGAGAGGAGGCTAACTTGTCTTCCACCTGGTTACTCTCGAAATCCAGTAAGGCCATAATAATTTTACACCCCAAAGCGACGTCCTTTTGATAAAATTCTTTCACGGAGAACATGTTCCACAGCTTACGAGAAACTATAATCGCCGTCTGCGTTGAAAGGTTTCCATAATGCTTCAACTACAATATGAAATAACAAGTTGCATGTTAGGATATTGACATATTGTGAGTGCTGGATGTGGGATATGACGCAAACTTACCAATTTAATGATGGCAAGAAAACCTGCTGATGTACAGTTTAAAAGATCAGGTTCTTCCCAGCCTGTACCGAAAGCACAAAGCCTTTTTGCAGTTCCTTCTGCGCCAAATGGACACTTCTGCACAGAAACCACGCCAAAGCTCTCCCTCGGCCAAACAATTCTTTCAGCCTTTGCTCTTGGACACGACGTGTTGATAACTAAAAACGTTAGGATGTCTTTAAGTTAAGCGGTTCATATCTAGTTTGATGAGCTGTGCTGGTAGTATGTAATCATCTGTGCTATACATTCTAGACTATTATAGTGTCCACTCCAATGTAACCAACATTAAAACGACAACTTAGTAAAAAACAAATTCCGAATAAATAAGACATCTTGAGACTGAATGAAGATGACTTTGGAATAAAGTCGAAAATTTACAGTCTCAACCTGTGTCTTGTTTGATTCATCTTTTGACTCTCAAGATGTCTTGCAATGTTTATTCGTAATTTGTTTTCTACTTTAGTAATTCTTACTTTTACATCCTTTTCCACTCTGTGTTATTTCTCCTTGTTTCGCCTGGCACATATCACATTCACGACCGATAACGCCGGGTAAACAGGGACACTGTCCTCCTATTGGCTCACACATTTGATTCGCACTTCCCAGGTCATCGCACCTGCACTGTTCACAAACATCGTCCAGCTTTCCACTGCTCAAAATCGGGCGATAATAACTATCCTACGTCAAAAGAAAATATTGCACTTTTTATTTACACATCTCAACGAAATACGGAGCATCTTGGTTAGCTGAGGTTATACGAATCACCAGAAGCGTACCTTGCAGTAACATTCGCCAGTTGTTTTATTACAAACAGGATTATACTCCAATCTAAGGTCGCAGTTGCATGGTCCACAAGTACCACTGTCCGATGCGCTAAAAAACTCATCACGGCACGGTAATTGACTTCGTGTCTCGCAGAACTGACCTGAATTGAAGATTTTCCAAATGTTAACACTTCACTAAGTTCTTTTAGTAGAACACGTAGTTTCATTAGATGCACGTTTATGATAAATAGATGTGAATACTGACCTAAATATTTATCTCGACAAATACACCTAAATCCGACATCATCATTAGTCCGCTGACAGGTAGCACCATTCTGACATGGGCGCAGGGTACAGATATCTCGACAATCATTCCCGACATAACCTTTCCGACAAACACAGGACGTCTTTCCCCACCCCTCCTGACAAATACTTTCCTTAGGACAGGAGTGCGACTGACACTGAGCTTTTGAACTACATCCAGTTGTGACCAAGTAAGTTGTTGCAGAAGAAAAGTTCAAATGAGAATCGCCAATCATTACTCCTAAACAGACAGATGCAAAGATTATTAGATGCTATATAACGTTAATTTTGTTTTCTATGACGTCAATATTCTACCAAAATGTTTAAAGCTCGTTAACAAGTAGAAAATTAACCTAAAACGCGCTCTAAGTGAGTCTACCTTTGATGCAACCGATAAAACCATTCCCTGATTTCGCCGTATCACCTAGGACGACCTGTAGCAAGCTATCGCTAGTCACCCTTGAGATGCTCGCTTTAACTTTATGCACGTGATCAATTATCATGTAGACTGACATCATGGATGACGTGATATCCACGTGATGCCAATTACCATCATCGAGGATAATATTATTGCTTTTTAGGTTAAATAGACTGCTGTTTGTATTGTGAGAATAGTGGATGCCTCCGTCTTGAAGCTGCAAGAAAAGATTATATTTGTTAAAAGTTTTATCCATTTTAGCTTATTCACCTCAACTTTACCAAAAGGACACTCACTAGAGGACATAGAACGGCAATATAGCGAACATAATATGTACCTTCAACGACGATGTATTGTTGAGAAAAACAAGCTCCATTATCGTTCCAGCTTTGTGCACTGTTCTAAACATAACAGCCATTCTCCACATTTGTTTAACGACTGTGCTCTCCAGTTTGTTAACAAGGTAACTTTTGGAAGTAAAATCCAGGGGCGAAGTTTCTTTAAAAGAAAAATGACAAATTAGACATGACTTTATATAAAAAATACAGATAAAAAATATTCCAAAACAATAATTTGGAGAAACCGCATGACCAAGTTACTGACCATGAGCCCGTCTCGTGACCATCACATGCACTCAATTTTAAACCGTAGTAATCAATTGTATTACAAGTGAGTTATGAACGTATAGGAACAAGCTAAATGGTATTTCATTTTCCAACACAACAAATGCATTATACACACTTTCCTATGCGGTGAAAATATATTTGCATCCTGTTCATTTACCTATTTCACATTTTTTCCCAGCATATTTCTCTTGACAAACACATGTCGCCTTCTCCCAGGAACTTGCACACTTTCCATTTTGAGTACAAGATTCGTCTGTACAGAAATCTTTCTTTCGATTGCAACCGATTTTAGAGTTCTGGTTGAATATTGGATCACCCAGATCCAGCGGTGCATGATTTAATCTCACATTACGAATGCAGCCATTGAAACTTTTTCCTTGGATTGGGAAGCTGGTGGGCGTGACGGAAAGTCCACCAAGAACAAGTGGCGAGGTCAGATCCATGGATCTAAAAAGAAAGATAATTTCGAACGTGAAACATTTAAAAATTTGGAAATCTTTGTCTGAAGGGCCTGTAGTGTTCCTACGCAGTATTTTATCCAAATTTTACTTATAGAATAACATTTAGACAATTGTACAACAGAGATCGCAACGGTGCAAATATTATGAAGACAACTTTTACATTTTGAGTCACTGTACCTTAATTTCCCATTTAGTTTGTCTGCCGCAGCACAAGAAAACCTTCCAACTTGGTTGCCAAATTTGACAGCAACAGAAGATTTGCAATTCTTTCCCAGAACAAGAGCGCCAGTCTAAAAAAGAAAGCCAAATAAACTAATTTATTATATCTTCATTTTCTTCGTTTTTCAACCGATGTACTTGTAAATGGTTTGAATGTAGGAAAGATTATTCAAATTTCTATTTTTGGTAAAAAAACGGCAAATTGTTATATCTTTCTCTTTGAACTATGGTCTTGAAATATGTACACTTAAATAGCTTCATTTTGATAAATAGCCGAACGTTCAGGGTCGTTATATTCACATTTTCGCTCAACTCAGAAAAGCAAAAGGCTCAAATTCTCCTAACCCGCCCCCCTGAGATAGTCTTTCAGTTTACTTTCAGTTCAATTGTCTTACCCGCTGTTGATAAGAGATCGAAACTTTGTGCCATTTTCCATTCACAATACTTTCTCCCTCAGCTGGCCCAACACTGACTGTTTTTATATCATCACCAGCAGAGAAAACATAATAAAGTTTACCATTCCGAAGCTCGAGTGCCATAGTGTCGTTTTCGTACCCATAACGACCGACGTACACAAGGACACCGTTACTTGATACAGTTGCAAATTCCAAGGAAACATCAATGAACCATCGTTGGCTTAAACCTTCATGATAAAGAAATATAGTGCTGTCAAAAATTCACAATATTATTGGAAATATGGAGACTAGAGAGGGTTTGTGGAGGAATCCGATAGTGGTTACTAACAGTTATAGCGAGGATTCTTCTGACTTCTAGCTGGTACTTTATACCCTGATTTTTCCAAGTTATAAAGTTCCAATATCAATTCAAATACCTGAAAATGCAGCAAATGAACCATTTTCAAAACTTCTTGTAGTTACACGACACAATTGTTCGAGATGGTTGCCATTCTCACACAGACATTGAAAACCTTGCTTTGGATCGTCTTTGCATTTTCCTTGGTTCTGACAGATGTTATCTAACAATGAAATAACAGGACATTTTCAGAATAGCGAAAAATTGAACGATGCATAGTGACCTGGACAAAGACGAACTCACCTGGCAAACTTGAACATCGAGATTTTCTCATATCTATTTCGCAATTTTTGCCAACGAAATTTTCTGCACATGCGCAATAGTATCCTCCCTCGTAGTTGATACATTTTGCTCTATTCAGACAAGGGCTCGAATAACACGTGTCTAACCGAAAATTACACGAAGTACCAAAGAAGCCTGCTGGACAAAATGGTTTGAAGACCTCTTTGACTTTGACACCATAGAATACGGCACTAGGAGTGATGAGCAATTGACCTGGGCTGTCTGCAAAGCTCTTATTTGTCATACTAATGAAGTAACTATCTTTTGAAGTAAATGGTTCTTGCACAAGCAAATAGTGACTTGAATCTTTCCCTTTTTTTATTTCTTTATCTGAAGGCAGTAGAGTCATTTGTGTTTCCACTTCAAGTTCCTTTGCGTAAAAATGCAATTTCTCCAAAACTAATTTTCCATCAACAAATCCTTTTTCACTTCTAACAGCTAACCATAGAGTGAGATAATTATTCACAATGGTCACAACTCCAATTTCGTCTAAAAAATCATTGTGGATTCTTGTAGAGTTCACGACACAAAACACAATAACATTTCTTTCATCAACGTCAAAAATTGACCCCAATATTGACTTGAACTTATGCAAAACTTCAAAAAATTTCGAAGTTGTCGCATTCTTGAAGTAAACAGTAACACTGGCTTGAAGTAAGCGTTCCGTGATAATATTGAGGTTGATACTGCCATCTCTGGATATGGTATGAACCCCATCAGATATCCGAACTTTAAAAGGAATTCGATTTGTATTCGCAAGAGCTGACTCTTTTATACTTAAAATTCCAGTATTCTTGTCCACAATTACAGCATTTTTGGCCCGGTCGTTTTTTAAAGTGATTTCATATGAAAGTACTGAGCTTTTGTCCGGATCGTATGCTGGTATTCTGAAGTTGATGTTAGACGGAAACTGACCTTCTAAAATGTTGATTAAAATCTCAAAATTTTGCTTAAGTATTGGTTTCATATCATTAACATCTATCACATTTATCTCCACTTCCGCTGAGGCTAAAAAGGTGGCATACATTGCTTGAACCGTCAAGAGATAGCCAGTTTTGCTCTCAAAGTCTAATGATTTCACTAATTCGATGCTACCCGTCGTGCCCAAGATGGTAAACATGTTGTCATAGTTACCACCAGTGATGTCGTATTGAATATTAGCATGTTTCAGAATATCTTGAGTAACAGCTTTAACTCGAACCAGTTCTTTTTTAACAGGATAGTTTTCGGGAATGTTGACAACGTAGCGAGGTTTTATAAACTTCGGTGGGCTATCTAGGATGTCTTTCAAAGTTACCTAGATAGATTGAAATAAGATAATTGCATGGTTTAGAGTACTCATCAAGTTACAAGCACTTAGACAGCACTTTCATAATCTCTCATCGAGAAGATAATGTGGTAATATAAAGTCATGCACGTGCAACTTTGGAACCTGTTCAAAAATGGTATAATTTAACAAACGATAATTTACAAATTGAACAGGGAGATTTTCATTTTCACTGCTAAGCCGTTCCTTATACTTTCATCAACGCTGCTTTCTAAACTCAACATCCTGAAACATATTCGGAGAATGCTATGAGAGGAATTCAGAGACCTCTAGGGTACATCGAAAACCCAGTCAATATTGACATGCGATAAGTGCACCACTTCTAAACTAACCAAAAAAGACACTGCCGCATTCTCAACGTTATTTCAGCTTTCTACATTAGTACACGACAAGGCTACTTTTACACGAGACCGAAAAAAATCTGGGAGCGGCCAAAATTCGTCGTTTCCGGCCTGTTTTTAAGTGTTTACACTGTGATCATAAATTTGAGGGTCCGAAATTTGTCCGTTTTCGTTATTTCCCTGAAACCTAAAGGCCGAAAGAACGAATTCAAGCCATTTCCAAATTTGTCTGATAACTTAGCTTCCACCAAAACTCTCCCACTATTTGACCCCAACTGACATCTTCCTTTTAAACATCCAATCCATTTCTTATCATACCCATTCTAAGTTTTTCTCACTCTTTTTCGATGACATATTTGTTATGTTTGTCTTCGTGTTCACGTACGGGACGTGACGAATTTCTTACCTCGCTCGAACTCGCCCCTTTCTGTCCGCTTACACGGCACCGTTCAAAATTAATCCTTTTTTTATTTCCGAGTATGAACGTCATAAATTGCCCTGTTACCTAAAATTCGCCCAGTTCTCATGTAAAACTGAAGCTCGAGATTCTGACCGGTTCCAAATTCATCCAGAACCGTGCAAACAGAGCACCCCCCTCCCCCCGTCTGGCTACAGTTCGTTTTCATACCTTAACTTTAGTTGAAGATCGTTGCGCTGGTTCTCCGTGATCTGTTGCTACCACAGTCAAAGTATACTCTGGTATGATTTCTCTATCTAATTTCTGATTAACTGTAATATCACCAAGATCGTTGTTAATTTTGAAAGCATTGTTGATGTTACCTATAGTGCAAAATAAAAGTTTCACTTATAAATACGTAAATGGTTGTCAATAACTGTCAGTTATGACAGTCTGAGTGGTAGGTATATTCAACCACCCATAAAAACATCTGTTGACAAAATAGTCATTTAAAATTTTTGAAAGTTGCATAGGTTACATGAATGTTCTTTACCTTTTGCCTCAAGAGAATATGATATTTGTTTATTTACACCCTCATCTGCATCAGTAGCTTGAATTTGTTTAACCAGTTTACCAACTGGGACATTCTCAAACACCTCTACCATGTACAGAGACTGGTCAAACTTTGGTGGATTATCATTAATATCTTTAACAGTAATATCAACACGCGTTCTTCCAGATTTACTTCTTTTGCCATTATCAGTAGCTACAACCTTCAGTTTGTACTTTGATGTATGCTCTCTGTCTAACATAACTAGGTTTGTTATCACACCATTGCCTGGATTGATTTTAAAAATTGTACTACCACCAAGAATAGAATAAGTTATTTCTGCATTTTTACCAAAATCATCATCAGTTGCTGTTACCTTTGCAATATTTGTGCCAGAAGTCTCATTCTCATAAATTTCACCAGTGTAGCGAGATTTTGTAAACACTGGGGCATTATCATTTGAGTCTTGTATTCTCACAATGACTTGAGCTGATGAACTTTGCTTGCCATCTGATGCTTCCACTTTGAAATAATAAACTCTTTTTATCCTGTAGTTCAACTGACAAGTTCTCCGTTTTGTAATACCACCAAAAGAGTTTATTGCAAAACAATTATCAGGTTCTTCTAATAAGGAATACTTAATCTGGCCAATAGTATCTTTGTCCTTCGCAACCACTGTAAGAAATGGTCGTCGAGATCTGTATTTCTCATCAATACTAGCATTATACCTGTCTTTTTCAAACTTGGGTGGACTATCATTGATGTCACTAATAGTGATATACACATTGACAGGCTTCTTTAAAGGCTTCTCACCTTTATCTTGTGCTATTACTTCAAATTGATAGCTTGGCACAGTTTCTCTGTCTAGCTTGGCAGTTGTTTTAATTTCACCAGATGTTAAACCAATCTTAAATGGTAGTTTCTTGTTTTTTAAGAAATACTCTACTTCAGCATTCTTACCGGAATCACAGTCAGTTGCATGAACTGTTTCAACAAGATGGTTAAGACCTACACTTTCAGAAACACTGAAATGGTAGTTGCTCTTTGTAAACTCTGGTGGACAATCATTAACATCTGTGACATCAATATTTACCCACACTTCACTATATTCTGGGCTGTCTCCAGAATCCTCAGCCATGACTTGAAGCATGTATAATGAATTGGTCTCGTAGTCTAAGGAACCGTGAACACGAATGACACCTGAACTCATAACAATTTGAAAAGCTTGGTCTTCATTTCCAGAGGTTATACTATATTTTATTTTTTTGTTCAAGCCAATATCACAATCTGTTGCATTGGTTGTTCCAACAAAAGTACCCCTAGCACTGTTTTCTTTAACAGAGAAGGTATATAAGGTTTCATTAAATTTAGGAATACAATCATTTTCATCAATGAGATTGATGAAGACATCAACAGTGGAACTTTGTCGAGGTGTACCAAGATCTTCAGCCTTGATTTTCAAATGATAAGAAGGAACTTTCTCACGATCTAAATCATCATCGACCTTTATAATACCAGAGGTAACACCAATTACAAATACTCTGTTCTTACCACTGTGATAGACAATACTATATCGAACATCCTTATTTAACCCAGAATCTAAGTCATATGCACGAACAACCAATACAGTAGAACCACTATCCTCCAATTCTGATATATTTTCTCTGTAAACTTTTTTATCAAATACTGGGGCATGGTCATTTACATCCAATATCTTTATCGTTAAATCCATACTTGCTTGTAATGTTTGACTACGCTTAACAGTAGCTGTTACTCGGAATTGGTGCTCTGACATGCTCTCACGATCTAGTGAAGCCTTAGTCCTAATTTCCCCTGTACCTGCATTGATCACAAAGAAATCTCCACTACGAATATTTCCTGTGGGCTTCATAGTATAAACAAGTTTGCCAACCAAGTAACTGTTTGAGACAGATGCAGTATACACAAGGGTTGAAACATTCACATTTTCAAGAATAGAGACTGATTCAAAGGGATTTTTGAATTTTGGCGCAGTATTCCTAGCATTCCGTTTAATCCTTGTTAAATAATCAGTTTTTCCTTGTCTGTTTTGGTATCCATTAATGCCCGATAATAAATAGACTTGACTCGCATCACGTTTGTCCTTGTGAGATGTCCCGAAGTTAGTTCTTCTATCCAACTGGTACAAATGATCGGAAAAATAATTTTTAGGACCTAAACTGTCTTTTAGCCTACTTCTTAAAAAATTCCCACTGGATTTATTAAAACGAGATACAACATCGGTTTTAAAAGCGGAAATTTGCATATGACCAGCGTTATTGGAATTCATTTTAGCTTTTTGAACATCTAGACAACCGCGTCTGTTATGTAAAGTGACTAAAATTGGCTCCCAAAAATATAATTTAGGAGGATTCACGCTTATAGATTGTACTGTAACTACAAACACTTTGTTATGAAAAATACCACAAGTTATCTGACGGTGTAAAGTAACAATTCCAGTCAGTTGATTGATAGCGATAAATTCGCGAAGAATGTTTGCCTTTCGTGAAAAACTCAGCCTATAATTCGTCCTTTCTTTATCGGCCAGCGATACAAGTTGAGTTCCCGGTTTTACTGAAGGATGAATATGTATCCTTTTACCATGTGCAGGTCTTTCGGTAAAAAGAGCAGCCCATAAAACCAGGCAGAGTAGCCACAAACCATGCGCCATGTCTTAGGCATATATGATTCTAAACAATTTGCTGTTAGTGTAAACAATACTCTAGACCACCGAATTGACAAAAAATCCTCTTCGATTGGATTAAAACCATCCCCTGGAGACCAACGTATCTTCAAAGTGCTGAAATTGACAACCAGAAACAGCAAACTTTCTTTCCCATCGCATTTTGCCTCATTTTTGCGTTCGATAAACTTTTAACCTTCGAGAAACCAGCATTTTGATAGTTGATAAATGACTTTAGGTTATGCCGCATCGCAACCCCATTGGTTGTTTAACATCACGTGTCAGCGGGGGACAATACACAATAATTAATTTTTTTGTTTTTTCACGCCGGAAAATGCTATGAATAAATTTATTAAAATAGCATTTGTCATTTCGTCACATGAGGGGTTCGCAGCATTTAGTACTTTCTTGCACACAACTATCTCACTAAGTAGAAAACCTGGAACTTCTATGAACAGGCTGCACAGATTGGTACGGATAAAGAGAGGGTTACTTGGGTTTGTAAAACTCTGTTGGATGCAACTATTATCTCGCAAGGGCTTACCAATTGCCTTTATATGAATTCATTGAGCGTTTAATAGGCCATTCAACCGCATACCGCTCTTTCATTTGGGACAATGTGTATGTCATTTCCGTTGGGCATAAAAAGCCCATGGCCACATGGCACCGGCTAATTTTTAACCGGCCGATCTTCGGCCTTATAAGCAGATGATCCTATTCTGAGCAACCGAATTATTAAATAATCGATAATGTAAGCTTTAGATCAATTAATTTTATAACCGATCGACTGCATGCTTTCGAGCGCACGTAAAAACTAAGTTGTTGTATAATAAATTTTATGCTTAAAAACATACCGACTCACCAACAGAATCCAACCCTATGCATCTATTCAATCGTTGATTTCATAAGGATCATTTACAAAATGATTTTAAACTTACGTGCGTGTACGTGGCGAGAAAGTGGCAAGGATCAAGACACGTACGTAGTACGTAATGGCACCGATAAAGCCTGTGCAGGAGGACACTGAATTATTAAGGCCTGTTTAACACATGGAGCAAGTTATCCCGGCTAGGCGAGGTAAAAACTGCATATAACGAAAGACTAATTTAACACTGTAAGCATTTGATGTCATGCGCTTTTTACCTCGCAGGAATAACTCGCTCCATGTAAAGCCTGGTTTCCATAATTTTTTATGACGCCGACGTCGGCAAAGTATCGGTGATTATTGATAAGTGAAATCTTTTATCTTTCTGAAATCATTTTCTCCTTAAACAGGTCCTTTATAACAGGTGCTTTAGCTACGTTTCCATACGATACGGTTGAAGTAGAAAACGGGCTTTTATAGAATGTCTACTCAGTGATAAGACTTTTCACCTTCATGGCTATAGGCTTTAAAAAAAGACAGTAGAAGGTTAAACCCAAATATAACATGTTGAAGATAGTTTTTCTCGTCTGGGAAACAAGAGTTATTGTCCTACCCTCACAGTCAGTTATCAGAATGGTATCATTCATGAGAGATTTTTATCACGAAACCCAAAACTTAAGGCTTTCATGATAAAATCCTGGCCAACCGCTGAGGTATGTATGAAGGTCTTCATTCGAGTCATTCGACGACGAATGAAGTCGGGAATTGCCACGGTGAGTGTCAAAGCAGACCCCGAGGCAGCGTTACATCACCCATCGAAATGGCTAGGCCATCTCTGGAATCTGGTGTTTTCAAATACGGTGTTTTCTTGTAGTGGTGGACGCCCATCCAAGAGGCAGTTAAAATGCGCCCGGTTACCCATTAAAATAAGTCTTTGTGACACTAAAAAAGCGCATGCTATTGTCTGGATGACTACATCAGGTTTATGTTATATACAATACCTCAGATTTCACTTTGTTTAATCTCGGGTAAGCGGATTCATGTAAAAAGGCCCCCAAGGGCTTCAAGTTTATCACAAAGAGAAAATCTACCTGACACTATGAAAGGCACTATGTAAAGGTTAGAGAATGATCACGTGTGCTCAGTATAGATATACATGTAGAGTCCCGAGAATTAGATAAAAGGTCTAATTAGAGAGACTCTATATCCCACAGAGCACAAGTAATGAATAATGAATTCAATAAATCATTCAATAATTAAATAGAATTTCATGAATTTCAGACCCTATGAGATATAGAACAGGAAATACAGGAAGCTGATTGGTCGAGTGAAGGTAGCTATTCCGCGGTAAACTTGAATCACTTATTTTCTTTCTTTGTTGTGCAAAAAAACATGCACCTGTAATCATAATTCTATCTTTGTAACTCAGTTATGATTTGAGTAATAAGTTAGCACCTTGTCGAACCAAATCTCGAATTTTTCAGTCGCATTTCTACTAGTTGCAACCCATGTTTTGTTGCGACAAACATAATGCGGCTTTGTTAGTACATCATCTTCGTAATATTTTAGCAGATATTGCATCTCATTGCGAGGACATTTCGTCTTGATTCCCATAAACATACAATCTTTTAATGGAAAGATATCTGACTTCAAAAGATCTTTTTGATATTCATGATCACGTAAATACATTCCTTGATCCCGGAACACAAAAACGTCAAGGTAAACCCCACGAGAAATTAAACGTGCCCCGGGCGTATCGAAAGAACACTGATCGATATCCCTACCGAAAGAAACTATAAGTCCTTTACAATCCACTCGAGTCCTGTTATTCACATCATTGTTCCAGAAGTCCTCTTGTATTGCAAGATATATGAATCTGGAGTGAGGATGAAATGGTTTTCCTGAACGAATCAGCCGCACTTTTTGATAATTCTTTAAGGTGACGCACACATCGAGGTCTCTATCATATGGTATTAAATCACCATCTCTTAATGATCCAATGAGAGAACCACCACATATGAAACTTGAAATATTATAATAATTATCTAAGAGCATCCAGTAGTTGAACAAATATTTTAGTGTTTCTTTATGTGGATTGAACGGACATTGTGAACCATATATACTTTTCCCATTGATCGCAGAGTTAATTATCTGCATTTTATAAGTCAAATTTTCACTCTTACCATTTGATGTACTGTCTGAGTTAGATCTTGATAGGTTTGTTGACGTGATTTCGGTGTCTCTCCTTATAAATAATGGCCCATTCTTTGTAATGAAGCTTGGATTAAACAAACGTGGCCATATGACTAGAGTCTTCAAAAGGCACAAGATTACTAGAAAAAATAAGAGTCTTGAAATCAGTTGAAAACTCAGTTTGAAAACCATTATAAAAGATTGCACGTGTCACGAAGAACATCGATCCATTGTTACAGCCTTACAGGTGGTCGATTTGATGAGGCGATGCAGGATTTGTATTCTACACTGAAAAAACGTTATCTGCATGGATCATTTCCAGTCAACTATTTAAAAATTATCAAAAATGCTTTGAAAACTTTTAACAGTAAACTTGTACGTCTTGTCGTAGGAAAATAGTTAAAAATACGGACAATGTATGTGAATCACATCAAGCATTCAAGCAACGACGGCGTACAACAACATTTGACTAGTCACCTGTAACCATATGTCCTGGTCAACCCCATGGAATGGGATATTGTACTTTGTGACACATGCAATATTTTATTATGGCTTTAAGACTAAAACATAACAAACTTAACAAACCATTTTAACCATTTTAACTCAGTTAACTCTGACATTTATGTGAGTACACTAGTTAGTTAAAGCTTTTATTTCTAATCACGATATGAAGATACAGCAGAAGCTGATAGGGTCGTGAATATATTTATACAAGATATATATATATATATATATATATATATATATATATATATATATATATATATATATATAACCAACAAGTATTCCCACACTGCTCGGTAGCAAAGACATATAGGAAACAATTGTAACTACCACGGCCAGAAGTAAAACTAAAAGATTTTATTATTAAAAATATACTAAGCTTAAATTTTCGGCCACATGCCGCAGCCTTCTTCTATATATATATATATATATATATATGTTTATCATATATTCATTCAATATATTATCACTATATATTCTATCACAACATTTATCATTATATTTATATATATATATATATATATATATATATATATATATATATATATATATATATATATATATATATATATACACCCATTTGCAAAAACGTTGGCCGCAGATAGATAGATAGATAGATAGATACTCGAAGTCTAATTAGAATTGCATATGATTACATTTGCATGGGATTTCAATCATATTACACAACATATGCAATTCTAATTAGATTTCGAGTATCTATCTATCTATCTATCTGCGGCCAACGTTTTTGCAAATGGGTATATATATATATATATATATATATATATATATATATATATATATATATATATATATATATATACGTATGTTAATGTGCAAACATGCATTACATGTCAATGCTTTGTATCCCTCTTTTTTGCTCTTGAAGCGGCCTTTATTCTTGCTGGCATAGATTTCATAGGTTTTTTAATGTCGCACGTTCAATACCTTGTCAGCATTCGTTGACCACTTGCCTCAAGTCATCGTGGCTGCCGGGTCTGTGCCTCGCCCTTTTCCGGTTGAAACGGTCCTAGAAGTGTTCCATAAGTTTTAGAACTGGAACTTGAGGTATAAGCCAGGATAATGAGATCACCAGAACGAGTATGCTTCTAAAAGATTTCTGGCACATAGAAGATGTGCATGTGCTTAGGGTGATTATCATGTAGTTAGACGCGCGATCATCTTTGTAACAGATGAAATTCCGTGTCCTTAAAGAATTGGATGATACTTTTCTTTAATTAGGCTCCTATTAAATCTTTCAATATTGCCAAACCCAGCATGACCGAAGCAGCTAAAAGTTTGCTTGAGTAGGATTTAGTTTCTTCCAACCTCTCCAAGGTTAGTTGCATACCACCATTTGAAATTCTCACTTTTTCTGCGATCTTGCGAGGAAAGAATCCTTCAATACTTAATGCAACTATTTGTCCTTGTGCACCATTACTTTGCCCTTTTTCCCACCCATCTTGGGCAGTGTAAAAGAATGAGAACTTTATTTTGTTATAATTTAGATCATTATAGGACCAAAACAGTGTGCAATTAATATGGTTTACAGTACTGAAACACTAGCACGCATGGGTAGGCGTATCGAAAGAACACTCTGATCCCTGTAGTAAGACACTATACGTCCTTTACAATCCACTCGAGAGTCGAGTCCTTTTATATACATCATTGTTCGCGAAGTCTAGCTCTTGTACTTCAAGATGTATCCGTTTAGTAGCCGCATTTTGATAATTCTGACGCACACATCGAGGTCTCTATCATATGGTATTAAATCACCATCTCTTAATGATCCAATGAGAGAACCACCACATATGAAACTTGAAATATTATAATAATTATCTAAAATCATCCAACGACTGAATAAATATTTTAATGTTTTTTTATATGGATTGAATGGACATTGTGAACCATATTTACTTTTCGCGGAGTTAAATTTCTGTGTTTTAGAAAGCGAATTTCTACTTTTACTCAGTAGTGTACTCACATGAATGTCAGAGTTAACTGAGTTAAAATGGTTCAAATGGTTTGTTAAGTTTGTTATGTTTTAGTCTTAAGGCCATTATAAAATATTGCATGTGTCACAAAGTACATTATTCCATTCCATGGGGCTGACCAGGACATATGGTTACAGGTGACTAGTCAAATGTTGTTGTACGCCGTCGTTGCTTGAATGCTTGATGTGATTCACATACATTGTCCGTATTTTTAACTATTTTCCTACGACAAGACGTACAAGTTTACTGTTAAGAGTTTTCAAAGCATTTTTGATAATTTCTAAATAGTTGACTGGAAATGATCCATGCAGATAACGTTTTTTCAGTGTAGAATACAAATCCTGCATCGCCTCATCAAACCGACCACCTGTAAGGCTGTAACAATGGATCGATGTTCTTCGTGACACGTGCAATCTTTTATAATGGTTTTCAAACTGAGTTTTCAACTGATTTCAAGACTCTTATTTTTTCTAGCAATCTTGTGCCTTTTGAAAACTTTAGTCATATGGCCACGTTTGTTTAATCCAAGCTTCATTACAAAGAATGGGCCATTATTTATAAAGAGAGACACCGAAATTACGTCAACAAACATATCAAGATCTAACTCAGACAGTACATCAAATGGTAAAAGTGAAAATTCAGTGACTTATAAAACGCAGATAATTAACTCTGCGATCAATGGGAAAAGTATATATGGTTCACAATGTCCGTTCAATCCACATAAAGAAACACTAAAATATTTGTTCAACCACTGGATGCTTTTAGATAATTATTATAATATTTCAAGTTTCATATGTAAGGGTTCTCTCATTGGATCATTAAGAGATGGTGATTTAATACCATATGATAGAGACCTCGATGTGTGCGTCACCTTAAAGAATTATCAAAAAGTGCGACTGATTCGTTCAGGAAAACCATTTCATCCTCACTCCAGATTCATATATCTTGCAATACAAGAGGACTTCTGGAACAATGATGTCAATAACAGGACTCGAGTGGATTGTAAAGGACGTATAGTTTCTTTCGGTAGGGATCAGTGTTCTTTCAATAAGCCTGGGGCACGTTTAATTTCTCGTGGGGTTTACCTTGACGTTTTTGTGTTCCGGGATCAAGGAATGTATCTACGTGATCATGAATATCAAAAAGATCTTTTGAAGTCAGATATCTTTCCATTAAAAGATTGTATGTTTATGGGAATCAAGACAAAATGTCCTCGCAATGAGATGCAATATCTGCTAAAATATTACGAAGATGATGTACTAACAAAGCCGCATTATGTTTGTCGCAACAAAACGTGGGTTGCAACTAGTAGAAATGCGACTGAAAATTTCGAAATTCGGTTCAATCAAGCGATAAAATTACGTTATTCGAGGCTCCGTGGGAAAAAAATAAAACAGCGAAAAAACAATGAAAAATCGCGGGTATAAATGTATTTATTATTAAATAATAAAGGAAGTTAATGTTATACGGGTCTTCGTATCGTAGTGTCTCGGGTCTTAGGACGCCGGTCCGGTCGGTTACTTGCCCCCTCCGGTGAGTATAAATATGAGCCCAGTTTGCCTGATCGAGTTGTTATTAGTTGCTTGCGTGACCCATCCCTCCCGTTTCCCTAACGACTTCACGCGATGTTGTGAACTCTACGGGAGAATCTCGCTGGGTTTTTTTGTTAGTTTTTGTTTTGCAGCCATTGCAGGATTAAGCACGGTTCTTTTCACACCCGTTTTGGTCGTTGAATTGGTGGTTGGGGTAAAGGTAAATTCATTAATGATCGCCACAGTTACAGGTATTTTTCTTTTTTTTGTGTGTGTGTGTGTGTACTTTGATGTTCGTATCGTTTATTCCACGGTTTCACTTCAGTGACTCACGTGTGACAGTTGATCACGGGATGGAGGAGGTACCGTTAAAATAGCATGGTTCGTAGAGTTATTATCTGCGCCGAAAACAGCAAACTCAAAAGAAACACCGTTTCACCCCTAGCCCGATCGTTTCGCTCGGATACCGTCTCCATCCCTACCGATCGGCAGCGGGCAAGAATATAGTGTAAGAGCTGGTGTGCTATTGTACTGATGTGAGCCTTAGGATCCGTTAGAACGTTAAAGTAGGTTGCCATGACGTTATTACAGTTGGAAACTTGAAACCACCTCGCAAGCCAGGCTTTTCTACCTACGCTCCACGGCCCACGCTGCGAGAAGGGTAGGTAGAAAAGCCTGGCTTGCGAGCCTTGCTGGGTTGACTTGAAACACGAGTCCAACTAAAAGGCCATGGACCTTTTCCCTTTTTCTTCCAAGCGCGCAATGCGTGACGGTAGTTAATTATCGAAGTCTTTTATTGGCTTTAAATTATTTAGGTAATTTAGGTAAAAAAATTTAGGTAATTTAGGTAAAAAAAAACGCAACGTTAATAATTTCCAGGGGCAGGGGCCTACGATCTTTTGTTATTGAATAGAAGCGAATATACATGAATTCCATGAAGAAGTCTAATTATTGCCTCAACTGCTCAGATTAATTACACATAAAGACTAAAGTGGATTACCACATGGGATTAAGTGTACATGTTAATTTGCCAGATTCATTTTAGTCCCAAGAAACAGGGATCAATTCTTTCCAACAGATCTATGTGGTGGATAATGTCCACTGACAATGGAAGTCTTTAATTCACAGATCCCAGAGCACTCTGCACCTCCATAGCTAATATTTCCGTTTAGCAACTTCACACATTACACCATCTCTTGGAGTCATGGTAAGTCTTTCCTCCATTCGATCAGTCTGACCAGGTAGCAGCCGAAACTGAAACTTCCTCAGCAGTTTTGCCATGATTACTTTTGACTCAAACTTTGCAAATGTCTGTCCAATGCAATTTCGAGGACCAAGTGAGAAAGGGAAATGAGTCATGGTAAAATTTGGCATGTTTTCAACATTAGCAAATCGATCAGGGTTGAAAACTTCTGGGTCTTTCCAAATTTCAGGATTCATACCAAAAAACAGCTGCAAACTATCAATACCAACTCCTTCAGGGATATAATATCCTCCGACTGTAAGACCCTTCATTAAGGATCTTGAAGGAGATGAAACTACAGGAAATTTCCTCAAACTTTCATCAAAAACTTGACCAAGATATTTCAGCTTTGCCAAATCATTAAACTCAACATAATCACACTCACCAAGCACCTCGTTAACCTCATTAAGAAGCTTTTTTTCAATGCAAGGATTGCAAATGATTTCATATAGTGCAAATGACAGTGTATTTGCAGTTGTTTCTTGGCCAGCAATAAAAATGGTTATGAATTCATCAATTTTATCAACTAATGACAAACTATCATCTTTAATCAAAATGTTTAACAAATCATCAGGAACAACTTTTCCATCTGCGATGTCCTTCATTCTGGCAGTGATGCAATCATTGGCAAATTTACGGAGGAATTGAGCTGCACTAATTTGCCTTTTTATGTTCTCATTCTGAAACAGTTTAAATTGAAACAATGCCAGGAGAGTGGAGTTCAATGGGATATTAATATTGTCTTGTACACCTTGTAGATAGTTTCGTACTGCATCTGGGAAAGGTGAATCTGGCAGCTCAATAGCATTGGTATTAATATTAAAAGATACTTGACTAATTGCTTCCAAAGTTACTTTCGCAAACTCCTGTACCATACTGATCGGTTTACCACAATCAGAAACCGTTTCCATGTGGGCTAAAAATCTATCACAAACATTATTGAAATTGCTCATAAAATCTTTCAAGCATTTTCGATGAAAAGCTGGATTCATGAGTGTCCTTCGCTTGCGCCATAAAGTTTGGTCTGTATTGGTAACAAGTCCAAAACCACCTCCTCTCTCACCATAAATAAAACCGATCTTATGCCAAATAAAATCACTTTTGCACAAGATCTTATTATTGTTTATGTAAACATGTCTCAAATCGTTTGGATCGCCTAAATATACTACAGCCCTATGTACATAAAATATAACAAAGACTGGACCATATTCAAACCTTTTTTCCACCAAATATTCGGGCAACGTTTTACTAGTTAGAGTTTGGTACTTTGAAATCTCTGGAATGTTGCCCAAAATGAAACTAGAGCGAGGTGGACCAGGTATATGAGCAACTCTTCTGTGCACGTAGTACAAATATGCAAGAAAAAAGAGAATACAGCCGAAACAACTAACAAAAATCGCAGCTATAGTGTAGGAGATTAGCCATAACAGTTCCACAGCCATTTCGAATCGTTAAAGATGGAAAATTGCAACATCGATTGAAACATGATTCCAACTGCGTAAACGGAATGGACCGTTTCCCTTTTTCTTTTAAGCACGCAATGCGTGACGGTAGGCAAATTAGCTGGCAATGGCAAATTTCGTCATTACTAGTTTTATGTGCTTTTCATCACTTGTCTTCTCTCGCATACTCGTACCTCTTGTCAGTTGTATTCTGAGATTACTAGTGATTTAGATATTACTAATCTCTAGGTTGATAGCAAATTGAACCCCATCATCATCCTAAATAACTTCTAGCATTCCTGGTTTATTACTTGTATTCAATGATTGAAAGATGGATAAAATTAAAAGAGTTAATAAGACTTGAGTATTTTTCAGAATTAATGATGGTGCGCCCAGTGTCGTAACAGACGGAAGTGGGGTCCTTAGGTATATTTGGTACTGTGGGTGGGGCCATCGTGATGTTTCTTGACTTTCTTCATCAATTTTGGCATAGACTACACCAAAGACACTAGTCTCTGGGGCCTGTTTTTTCAGTAACCATGTTTTACTCACACCATCATCATGTTTCTTTATATCTATCCTAGCTTAGATTATACCAATGGAGACACTAGTAGACTCTGGGGCCTGAACGGCCGGGGGGTGCCTTAGTTTTTGTCCTAACCCTAGTACCCCACCTAACGTGCGCTACGCCACCGGGTGCGCCTTTCCAGGCGACTGACCTGAAATGGTTCGATGGATAGAAATAATTGTCATATCTTTCAGTATTCAAAGTCTAAGATATATAGATTATACGAAGAAATAATAAGGCCATTCATTAATTATTTAACTTATTGCAATGCAAGAAAATAAATCATGAGGATAATTAAGATAAATCACGTAACATACAGCACCAATATAAATGTATAAATGTCTTTCGATTATATTAATCCTTTAATGTCGCTATAAAGGTTTCTTCATTTAATGTTTTAATTAACACAATAAATTATCATGACACATTGACACCAGTTAATATCCAATATTGTATTTTGCAACAGAATTTACTAGGCCATCTCGGCGTTTTACTATGCATAGTAGATAATGTCCACTGACAATGGAAATCTTTTTTAGTTCATGGAACTAGCTCATGTGATTATTCACGTTTAGCAACTTCACACATTACACCATCTCTAGGAGACATGGTAAGCCTTGCATCCATTTGATCAGTCTGACCAGGTAGCAGCCGAAACTGAAACTTTCTCAGCAGTTTTGCCATGATTACTTTTGATTCAAACTTTGCAAATGTCTGTCCAATGCAATTTCGAGGACCAAGTGAGAAAGGAAAATGAGTCATGGTAAAATTTGGCATGTTTTCAACATTAGCAAATCTATCCGGGTTGAAAACTTCTGGATCTTTCCAAATTTCAGGATTCCTACCAAAAAACATCTGCATGGTATGAACAGAAATACCTTCAGGGATATAATATCCTCCAACTGTAAGACTCTTCATTAAGGATCTTGAAGGAGATGAAACTACAGGAAATTTTCTCAAACTCTCCTCAAAAACTTGACCAAGATATTTCAGCTTTGTTAAATCATCAAACTCAACATAATCACGTTCACCAAGCACCTCGTTAACCTCATTAAGAATCTTCTTTTCAATGCAGGGATTGAGAATGATTTCATATAGTGCAAATGACAGTGCATTTGCAGTTGTTTCTTGGCCAGCAATAAAAATGGTTATGAATTCATCAATTTTATCAACTAATGACCAGCTATCATGTTTAATCAAAATGCTTAATAAATCATCAGGAACAACCTTTCCATCTGCGATATCCTTCATTCTGGCGGTGATGCAATCATTGGCAAATTTACGGAGGAATTGAGCTGCACTAATTTGCCTTTTTATGTTCTCATTCTGAAACAGTTTAAATTGAAATAATGCAAGGAGAGTGGGGTTCAATGGGATATTAATATTGTCTTGTACACCTTGTAGATAGTTTCGTATTGCATCTGGGAAAGGTGAATCTGGCAGCTCAATAGCATTGGTATTAATATTAAAAGATACTTGACTGATTGCTTCCAAAGTTACTTTCGCAAACTCATGTACCATACTGGTGGGTTTACCACAATCAGACACTGTTTCCATGTGGGCTAAAAATCTATCACAAACATTATTGAAATTGCTCATAAAATCTTTCAAGCATTTTCGATGAAAAGCTGGATTCATGAGCGTCCTTCGCTTGCGCCATAAAGTTTGGTCTGTATTGGTAACAAGTCCAAAACCACCTCCTCTCTCGCCATAAATAAAACCGAGCTTACGCCAAAGAAAATCACTTTTGCACAAGATCTTATTATTGTTTATGTAAACATGTCTCACATCGTTTGGATCACTTAAAAATACTATAGCTCTATGTACCAAAACTATAACAAAGACTGGACCATATTCAAACCTTTTTTCCACCAAATATTCAGGCAACGTTTTACCAGTTACATCTTTGTACTTAGAAATCTCTGGAATGTTGCCCAAAATGAAACTAGAGCGAGGTGGACCAGGTATATGAGCAACTCTTCTGTGCACGTAGTACAAATACGCAAGAAAAAAAAGAATACAGCCGAAACAGCTAACAAAAAGAGCAGCTATAGTGTAGGAGATTAGCCATAACAGTTCCACAGCCATTTCGAAACTGTCAGAGTGTCAGTCGAAAACTCGTGATTTTTGCCTGAAAATGAAATATTGCACAATATACATGACAGGTTGGCACGTGGTTTTATGTAAACAATTTGTGGTTGTGCGTGTGGGTTCAGTGGTTCAGCCCAGCGGGAAACAAAAAAAACATGACGCCGGCTTAGGCGTACACTCGTGCTCTAGGGATTGTGTTCTAGGGATTTCGTGTGAAATTTCAATGATAATGTAGCCAAAGAAAGATAAGAAAATTAAATAATACAGAATTTTAAATAATACAATTGGACCTGTACAAAGATAGTAGCATGAAGTATGAGCCTAGTCTCTAGTCAGTACAGTGAGTCAGTACGAGTACGGTGAGTCAGCACGGGAACAACTTCAACTTTTTTTGCCGGTTGATGAGAACAGTGCCTCAACAATGTTGTCATTGTGCAGAACCCCATGAACAATATTGTCAACAATGTTGTTTTAACAATATTTCAACATTGTTGACAATATTGTTCATGGGGTGCAGCACAACATTGTTGAGGCACTGTTCTGAGTGTTCTCATCAACCGGGAACAACCTGAGCGTTTTGCCGTGTACATATGGCTATTATGGCATCGGAGTGATCAGACAGCCATCAGTGTTTATTATTATTATTAGTGTATATAGCATACTGATATGCATCAACTCGTACCCAGGGGCTAGCACTGTTTCCTTAGGAACTGGAGCGCAAAGTTATTTACGTCATGTTTTCGTGTCCTAGACGTCAAAACTGTGCTCCCTCATACTAAATGAAAACACTGATCTACTACCGGAGTAAAAAAAACCTGACGATGACATATTCAAATTTTGTGCAAACTTGTGGCTGGCCCAATTTGACAATCCTCTTGCCCTTGTGCGCAACAAGACGCTATAGTTATTATATGAATACGAACGTCACCACGTTTTTCGTTGAATCACCTCGCAATCAAAGGCGCAAAAAAAACTGGAGGCGAAGCGCCAATTTAAGACATATGGTAATAGCAAACTACAGGTAATTTTGGAGCTATTTGCGACCTTGTAAGCCGGGTCCCCGCGTGGAACGGGGCATTTTATTATTGATGTGAAACACAAGTCATTATACAAGTGTGCTGTGGGGTAAACTTGGTTATCCGCCAGCAGTCAACCAAGACACAACATGTACTGGTTACAAACCCCATGTGTGCAGTTCTAACAAGCGATAGTTCTCCTAAAAAACATAAAAGCTTGTCATTTCTCACCGTAATTCCGTCATAGCAACTTAATCATACTCACACTAATCGTATATTTACACAATATTAAAAAAATTCTAGTTATCATTGGCCACACAAAATCTTTAATTTTCCATCTTTGACGAGATCAGAAATATTTCCTCCCCGAAAATCAGCTAGTCTTATTTTCTTGCCATCTTTTTCGCAGCTAAAACAAGACAAACACATGAATTTAAGTCAGACTTTGCCATTCTCATTCACTGTCACAGGTCGAAAACGCAGCCAACTTACCATAAAAGCGACGCTATATTTCGTGCGATAGCTTCTTTCGCAGCATTTTGAATGTCTTCAGGAGTCGTTGATGCGTTGATATCCAAAGATGTTGACACAACAAACTGCAACGCCACATTTTGACTACGAGTCTAAAAATGCGTATATTTATTTGAAGCAAGATATGATTGAGCCAGATGCCGGCATATCGCAGCTCTTTTTCATTCATCGCTAATCGCAATGGCGAATTCTCAAACTCGCTGCGAGGGTTTAAGGTTTTCATCCAATAAAAATTCTTATGTGTTCAGTAGAAAAGAGCGTTTACTCACGGCTGTAGGGACAACACAGCCTATTGCATTATACCATAAATCGCTTGATACGAACTTTACTTTTTTTGATGATGCAACGAACTTTACGTATGCCCCAAACTAACCTCTTTTGCAGGAGTTTCAGTATCCTTCTTAGCACGTCTCGGTGACTGGGGGCCTTTAGGGGGTGACTGCGGTATTTTAGGGGGCATCTTAACTGGTTTTGGGAAAGTCGGTGACCCCAAAGTGGGTTTTGCCTCCACTGTCGACGTAATTGAGCCAACAGTAGAAATAGATTTAGCACGTGGAAAACGCGGAGCGACTGTTGGAGGAGCGAAAACACGTGATGGTTTCATGGTCGTGACTACTTTTGGCGGGGGAGCGGGCCGCTCCGGAGCTTTCCGACCATTTGTAGACATTAGTCTTTCTGCCGGTGTTATTACGTCATGTACAGCATACGGTTTTACCTCGGTAACATCCGGAATGTGTTCGTAATCACCATCGTCATCATCAATGTCATTGTTATTCGTTTCTCCTTTTTTCGAGCCAAGGCCCTTTTTACCAAAACGCGGCGAACCTTTTGGACTTTTTTCTGCTAGTATGTTTTCCAACGAATTTTTGCGACGAAATTTCGGAGGACCCGCGTGCATTTTTGGTTCCACTCTTGGAAGAGGTTTTGGACTCATTTTTTCTAACCCCCCTAGTTCTACTGTCTTTGGACGTTCTTTCCGGGGGTGTTCACGATAGCCGTTGGCATACGTATGATCACTTTCGATAACGCTGCTATGCCTTTCTCCAGGGAGGGGTTTATATTGTTGTTTGTTTACGGGGGGTTTAACCTTTCTCAATGACTGTCGCGTTTCCTTTTTACGTAAGTCGGTAAGAAGAGCTTGACGTTCAGTAACAGGCTAAAAAAGATTATATGTTTACAACAAGTTTATATTGGGACATATTGGGCCATGATATATGGTTTTTGGATATTTGCTTGAACGATTTCACTACGTTCAGTCGGTCGACTTTTAACAGAAATTTATCAGCGTAGTCACCTCATCTCTTTCTTTATATTTCTCGACATAGGAACCTGGCACTAGCCCGTTCTAAATGAAAAAAAATAAAATAATACCAGAGCCGTCGTGATGATGGCGCAATAATCATGGCTCTGATGGATGCAGATTCTGCACAATGGAAAGAGAAAATTATTTTTTCTTCTTAAAAATTTGTATTCAGAGACTGAAATTACCTTTCTCGAGTCATTGGTTACCATGGTAAACCACCCGTCGTCAGCAGTCTCAGTCACTGTAATAATATCACCAGCTTTGACAGACACTTCATTAGCATTTTGTGCGGTGAAATCATAGAGTACTCGATATGATTCGCCAATATCTGTCAGCGGAGGCTTTGACGTTGCTGTAGGAGCACTACTGTTAATTCGTCCTCTCTAATGAAAAAAGTCAGACATTAAAATTTCTAGCTTTATAATTATTATAAGAACAATGAATAATCTTTATTCTGAGACTACTGAATGCCAAAAGGAGTGATTTTCTTACCAAATGTAATGGGGTCTCCATTGTTTCATAAGCTCCACTATCAACCACAACCTGTTGAAGAGATAAAATGTATTCAGTGAATGAGATGCATGTATTGAAGATGGTAATCAACACTTGCCTGAAGAAATAATAAAGTTACATACCTGTGATTTTCCCAGGTAATCTCTTTTCTCTAAATTTGCTGTCTTGGATTTTGGTGGCTGAAAAATTGCATCCATCACAAGAAACTCTATGCCTTGGCCACTCTAAAAAAAAGATTTGTTACACTTGGTATTGAAGGATTACACAGGATTCAAAACTGGGGACAGAACAACATCTGGACAAGCTTTGTGCATTTTCTTGCATGAACATAAACAATCGTGTTTCAGTCTGGAACACACACATGAATGTAACACAAACACTTGTCCATTCAGGATTACAAAAAAGGATCACAAAATAGTAATCTTTTATCTAACAGCATGACTTTTCTCCACCTTAAGTATACAGTAATACAGCTATAACTATAGAGTACTTCATGAACTAGACTCTATTGTTCAGGTTTCCACAGTCTTCTCTCTTGACAATGCAAAAATGGTGAAGTATTTACTTGTGTATGTACAATATCTGCTAATTATACATATGCATGTTGCATATTTAACTATCATGAAAATACTTATAAAAAAATATAAATATATATATATATATATATATATATATATATATATAAAAATACCTGCAAGTTATTCAAGCTAACATCAATGATGCTATGCCGTGGTTCAACTTTACACTGCAGCCCAGCAAGAAGATCTTCAACTGCACTGTCAATATAACCAAGACTAGACAGACATACAGCGCGATTGAGAAGGACCTAAAAAATTGAAACAAATCTTAAATTTGACATTTTCACAAAAAAAAATATTTTAGGTTAAGACATAGGCAATGTGCATTTGTAGAAACTTAACCACAACTACTTGCCAATTATTATAGTACTTGTATTGTAATGTGCTATTAATAATTAACAAGATGCAACAATTTACTTTCCCACTCTTAAAATAGTAATGCCATACACAAGCCTGCCTGCAAAAGTCTATGCCCTTTGTTATCTGAGGAACTTACAGACAAATCAAAATAAAAGAATTATAATACAGTATGCTTACCTCACACTTATATAACTTATACCGCATGCCTAGCTGCTTGTAGTCAATAAATTTACTTTCTCTTAGATTTCTAAATGTCTCATTGAAGTTTACCAGAGCATCTGAGTACCTGTTGGAAAGATGAGGAAAAATGGGATTGATGAATGTTCATAATATGATATGTAATTCACAGCAGAGGAATTGATGAGGTTGTTGGTACTGGTGGAGAGAATATACTTTTTAAAAATAGAGGTTACCTGGATTTTAAAATTGGCCTGGCACATTTAGGTTAATGCAACACTTTATTATTAAATAAAAACATTTGGTATTCTTACATTTCTAGGTTTTGAAATTAATGGATTGTATATGAATGTTTCTAATCTGTTACCTTGTGCACATCAGGTTGACAACACCTAACATGAAATGCCCAACAGCCAAATGTTCATCCTTTTTAATAACTTCTTGAAATGCCTTTAAATTTATATGAAAACAAAGAAACAAAGATAAAATATCTATTCTGGAGATACTATACAGTATGTATATATGTATATATGCATGTATATATATAGATTGTTTTGTGAAGTGCACAAATAAATGGGCAATAATTATTGTTCTCGGTAATGTACTATTATGCAATACTGGTTAAAGAAAAATTGGACAACCACAGACAGACTAAAATTTAGAAGAATATCTGTGTAAACCGATATGATAATATTGGTGTAATCCGATATGATATGATACATAGATCTATGTTACATAAGATGGTAAACTATCTGACTATCAAGTGGAGGTCTCTCTTACTCAGAATGGTGAAAATTATGATGAACTTACAATGGGTTGAACGAGTCTTCATGGCTATAAAATATTGCGCCTAATGTTTAACAGATTTTAGGTACCAACATTGCTTACAGTTGCCAACATAGAACATTATTTATAGCACAATAATTGTGAACAATGTGGGCAGCACAGCATTGTTCATTGCTGTTTACATCAACATTGCAACAACCTCATAAAGTTAGCATGTGCATCAGAGACTTTGTTAAATACCTAGATACCAATTGATTAAACTTCAATGCAAACTATAAAACACCTACAAAATTTGAGCAGTTAATAACATAATCTCTTTATCACTATCCCGTCGCTCACAGAGGTTATCTATTATCAAATATCATAAGTAAAATTCAAATATTTTTGTACAGTATCTGAGACTCGTAGACTAAATGTGACATGTAAGATGGAATAAATAAACTCTGCTCATAAACTCTTTTGAAAAAATCATGCGAAGTATTTTTGATATTCTTAAATTATATTAAAGTCTTGATATGAAGCATCTAAGTACAATTTATACAATTCTTAATTATATTAAATGATCCCGGAGCTATATATATATATTGGTTTATATATAACACAATCTAGTTTCAAATGAAATATAACTTGGCGACTTAGTCATACAGTACTGACCTGTATAGCTGCTTGTAAGTCACACAGCGATAAATATGTCCTCCCAATGTTAAATGCTATCTTTGCCGAGGAATCTTTCATGTCTCTGAATTTATCGAGCGAACGCTGAAAGTCACCTTCGTTATAACTTTCCACAGCTTCTTTCCACGTTTGAAGGTTTTCAACCAAAGTCATGTTTAAGATTGATTTGTCTAGATTTGATTATTCGCGGCTCCTCAGGGCCTCTTGGAAACCAATATTAAAAGTTTATAGTTACGGCCAATTCCAGAGCAAATTCATAGGCGCAGAGGTGCGAAATTTCCCACATGAAACGTCAATTCCTTGTAATTGTGGGTTGTAGTTTAAAGTTGAAGCAAATTATTAACACATATCGTTTATGTCTGACCATAATCTACACCCACAGCCTATATTATTATTACAAAACATTGCAATTTGCAAAATGCTTCAGACAATCGAAGTGATCCACACAGGAAATACCATCTGTGATGCCTGAATTATATCCCTGTAAATCCCTGAAATTACCATACCGGAACAACACCCGAAACTCTATATACCGGAACTTAAGGCCGGGTGCGGCTAACTACGACATTCGCCTACTGTATTTACCACAGATTTAAATAATCTAACGTCGGTTACGTGCTTTTAATTGAGCGTACGATATTATGATGTTCACGTTTTCCAAACAAGAAGCAAATTTTTCATACGAAATAGTCTAGGTGGTCTAACATTAGACAAATTTAGAAATCTGTCGTAATTCGGTTTTCGTCCGGGGCTTTGGGTTAGTTTTGCAGCCTTCCAGTTGTATAAACCGGTTGTTGGCAGAGTCTGCCAGAATTTTTTTAATCAGAATAGTGAGTGTAACTACGAGTTTAACTACGCAAAATATAGCGAGAAGAAACAAGTGCTAATACTTTCACATACTTACTTGTCTTTTGTTTGCTCGCGCAGATTATTTTTCAATTTCATAGGTAGCGGGGGCAGAGATTTGAAAAGAGGAATCATTTAGTTTTACCTTAGCTAGCAACCATACAAAGAGGAAAAGGAAACTCGTAGGTGCACGCGGATTTGCAGATTCACGGCAGGACGCATTGGCAACATATCAATTATCTAAAAAATGTGAAGAGCAAGCATCGTAGTTATAGAATAGTCATTCTGAGAATTGAGATATAATTACTATGGTATATTGTACTAAATGGCACAGCTGCCTTCGCTCGCCCTCGTTATATAACTCCACTTGCACGCACGTGCGCGCCGAAATCGCACGTACGGCTTGCCATCTTGAAAGTAGACTACAGTTCTACTGTCATACGTACAAAATATCAGCCGCGACGGCCGACTTAGCGACCAATTTTGAGTCACCGAGCATGCGCCAAAGGACCGTGGTCGCCCAGTCACTCGCTCCCCTTGATATGATGATATCTAGTGAACTAAGTTTATCTATTTCAGGAATAGAAATATTCACAGCCTATACAGAAATTTGGACTAAATTTTTTAATTATTTGGACTAAGTTTTATTAATTATTAAAAAAATCATGATAGTAATAATTATTTCTTGCCACGTAACTTTATTCAGATTTTTTCAGCTCGATGAATTCCCACGAGGTTCGTTGTGAAATTCCCTTTCGAAACTACTGGTTTTAACCACGCACTCGATCTTATTTTGGTCTCAAAAGCATTAGACCGCCAACTTGCTCCAACCCGCTTTTGCCTATTTCTGGTAACATAATAACTGATAACACACTGCATTGTGTTTCTTTTTATTTAAAAGGTCGGCACTAAAGTTATAGTAACTAGACAAAGGAAAAATCAATCTAACCCAGTGATCTACCCACACATTTCCTCAATCACACAGCGCAACATGAAGTAACTCTATATACAGTTGTCATGGTAACACCTAGCAACAACAATATGGCTGCCACGTTTGGAAGATTATTTTGATTTAAGGCTATTCTTTCCTACTTTTCTAAATAAAATGGAGTATACAGGTAGCTCATATAGAGGTGAATTACAGAATGGGAGGTAGGTTATTAAAATCTATTTTCTTTGTATGAGATTTGCGGTTATTTCGTACTTGAAACATCTGAACAAAGCTGCAGACTGCAGTCTGTTAAACTGTAGTGTTAACATTTTCTTTAATTTAGAATGGAAGGTGAAGGTGAATACACGCTTCCAGAAGCTCTGGGGTCAAAATACGTTGGGGACATGAAAGATGGGATGTGAGCAAATGTTATTTTAATTTATATTGCGCTAACTACAAATCTGTCATTGTTTTCTTTTGCATTATTTTTATTTTGCTGTCTTGTTTATTTTTACAAGTTTTTACATGCTAAGATCGTACAGGAATAGAGTTAGATTCAAGTTTCTCAAGTGAGTTGAACCTCTGAAGCATAAACATATATTTCTGATACAATTTGCAGGTTTCATGGCTCTGGGACACTATTATTTGATAATGGTAGCAAATACGTTGGGACATGGGAAAATGGCATAGCAATTGAGGTAGTACATCATGAAGAATACATTGGCAATAAAGCCAAATTTAATGTTTGCCTTTTTTTTAATCTCCTATAGGGTCAATTTACATTTGCAGATGGACTAAAATATGAGCCAACAGATTGGAAATACTGCGATGGTTACGACAGAAGATTTTATACTGAAATCTGTAATGGTCTAAAACCTGCAGGTCAGTATAAGTCTTCAACAATCTTTGCACCAAAGAATAAGCACTAAGCAGTCATTGACATTGCAAAAACCATGCAAATATGACATATTAGCTAGTATAATTATGTAATTTTACAACTTATAAACTATCTTTAGGTCGTTCTCAACTTACAAACGGTGTTCCCCCTCGCCAAATTCCAGAGGGCTGTTACGATTGTGGTGATGGATTTTATAATCCCGCTACACGAGTTGTATTGGATTATCAGAATAGATTCTTACGTAATGCAGGTAATTTCAGAGCATCACTTATAAATATATCCAAACCATTAAGATTCAATGAAATTGAATGCTTGCTATGTATTTCTAGATGATGATGAACATGCCTGGATTGTAAAAACATGTCGTAAAGGTTGGGATGAAAATATTGGTTACACACCAAATCCAAGCTTCAAGAATCTCTCACAATGACATTTATTTTTATTCTGTTTGAAAACTGTAAATAAATTCATATTTAAATAAACAAATCATATATGAAAATGTGCTATGGTTTAGTTAAAACAAAATTAATAACTAACGCTATAAATATTAGGAAATACAGAACAATACATTCTTCAAATGTTTCATACCTCAAATTAAAAACCAAAAAAATGTCTTGTAATTAAACTTCACCTGATTTAATAGATTCTTAGAATAGATTGGAGTAGAAACAGTTCATCTTTAAAAAACTCACTTTTGTACAAAATGAACACAACTCGATCGCTGCAGTAACTGCTGGTTGATCTGCGAGGTTGCTACACTACACCAAAGCGTTTAAGAACAATTCCTATAATTATTTTGAGGTGGAAAACATTTGTCATAAATAGGTTAAAAATTCACAATTTCTCTTCACGACTCAAACACGAGTTCGATCGTCAAAAAAATTTATTCCCCAGATTGTGTTCCGGAACAGTCACCAACTTCACTGGCGATATTACAAGCAGTTGGCGAGGGAGGACGAATTTCCAGATCTGTTACGCCGGAAGATGCTGCCATGTAGCTGTCGATGAATGGAGAAACCACCTCCCATACCTTGATGAATGGTAACAGAAGAAGTTTGTATATAATAAGGAAATGATAAAACAAATATCTTTAAATAGCTGCTACTGCAAATATATGAATATGCTGTTGCACCCCTCCAATTATCGCATCTACGAAACTTTCTCACTGTTTTGAATTGACGAAAACTGAACTTCACCATAAACTCAATTCTTTGTCGTTGTAAAGCAATTATTTTTTTACCTTTTCGGATCTCAAAAGTTCTGTAACTTCATCAATTTCAGGCGCCATTACTCTGTCTCTATCCCAAGGTCTGCGCGTTAATCATAAAACTGTGAGTAAAAATATTACGAAAAAACACAAAATACATCAACTGACTCAACTGACTTGCCTGACATGAGATCGAACCAAGGCATGAACAGCTTCTAACGGTTCTGTCGATGTCAGAGGTCGTAAAAATTCCATCGCTTGACAGGCTGCCAATAGTTCAATGGCGAGGACTTGTTGAAGAAGAATATCAAAGAATTCATATCACAGAGATTTTAGAAGGCATGTAGGGTAATTAACAACCTAAATGCCAGCCGAGGGCGCATTTTAGGTGTGCCTTTCCCTCAGAATAAAAGAATACTGAGACAGGTAGAACCGAACCGCAACATGACAACACCCAGACTCAACAGACTCTTTCAAATAAATGATGGTGAAAAAAATATCGCTTATCGTCAATCCTAAGTTGGAAACATTAAATTCGTGTTTGAAAAGAGTTTTACTAAACCTCATTCAAGTTGTATAAAAAAGTACCTCTCTCAACATTCTCCACGACCTTAACTGCTTTTCGCGCTGAAAATCCACCCATGGACACGTGATCTTCGGTTCCTGCTGACGTAGGAAGTGAATCGACGGACGATGGATGACATAGGACTTTGTTTTCTGACACTAAGCAGTAAAAATTATCATATGTTACAAAAATTATTAATTATACTGAAATTCGCTACTTCTGAGCAGTGAGCTCTACAAACAAGGTTCTCTGTAACTGAATGTTAGACATTGATTTCCAATTTAACAAACCAAAACGTAAGAAGGGCATGCATTACATTTCAGCCACTGAGAAATACAATAGTCCGCTGGTGAAACTCATACAAGTGCTCACATTACTTTGACAAGTTATCTTTGTTGACTCATGCACGTTAGCGAAATTCAATTTGACAATTGATTTTGAACAAGTGCACTTGTCATAGAAAAAATTGTCAAAGTTGGGTGTACAGACGAACTGACGAAAAATTAAAACTTGTCACATAAAAACTTGTCATAGAAAACTTGCTCGTCTGTAAGACTTAAGAGGCTTTATTAATTATATCAAGAGAATATAAGAATATAAGTTCCCTCCCACAAACAAGAAGGAAAAATTACCGAGAGCAGCAGCAGTGCAGTGTGCAATCATAAAACCTGAATAAAATAAAGTAAAATTTTGTTTATGTGTTTTTCACAACGGCAAGTTGCGTACAGAGACGTAGATAGAAGCTTAATTGAGGGGATATTCATATATTCGTCCTATGCCCGACTGATTTCTTTTGTACGCTATTGTTCCTACGGTATATACTGAACATGAATATATGAAACCCTCCCCCCCAATTAAGCGGTCTAGCTACGGCCCTGATTGAGTAGGGTTGAATCTCGTGTAAAATCTGGTAACTACCTGAATTAAGCCCACCATCTTCGACAAGAAATGGATACTCCAAACCACTGTAAGCTTAAGAGATCAAGATGAGACATTAAGTAGTAATCTTGTCAAGGTAATTATTAAAACCATAAAATGAGGTTCAGAAATTACCTAAAAAATACAAAACAACTTATCCTCGTTTCGACCCTACAAGGCCTCTATCATAATGCTTTTGAAAAAGCCCTTAGGTTAGAACTTCAGTCACAATAAGTGCCTTTTACATGAGCCCTGTTAATAGAGATTACGCACGAGATGATTTTGAGGTATTAAAATTGATTGTGTTTACGGTCTGTGTCACCGGTGAACGCGACAAGACGCAACGCCACTGGTTAGGATGACAGGGACATGTCGCAGCTCTCGGAAACTTTCGTCCAATTGGATAATGCTTTTCTATGCTTTCTAAAGAACGAAGCTATGCTATTGGTTGAAACAGAAATGTATTGTAAAGTTCAGCCAATGAAAATCATTCTTGCGAGGAGCTGCAACACTACCCGGGGGATGACAACGTGACTATAGGAGTCATGTTATTTATTCATTTCAATACCTTAAAGTCCATTTTACGCTTCGTTAAATCTCAGTAACTTGGCTCATGTTAACAGCTCTAAACCACATTTCTGAAGGAGTTGCCACACTACTTTTTATACCTGAGTTTACGAGTCTTTCAATACGACGTTCGCTCATGTTGGCTAATTCATGGATACCAATAGCCAGATAGTCTAAGGCCTAAATTAGTTTTCCAATGAAATGGTTAATTTATAAGAGGAAATTAGGTTTCAACTAAATGTGATAAATAGAATACGATGATAAATGGCAACTGTAATGTTCTGCACCTTGGCTGGGTACTCGCCATGAAAATTACCGCCTGATATTGATTCACCTGATTCAGCAAAAATAATCTAACATTAAGTCAAGGATTGGTTAAAGAATAAGGATCAGTGTGTTTGTTACGTGAATCTTCATAATATTAGCAAAAGATACGGGATTGTCTGTAGCACTGTTCATCTCAGTTGTTAGGATCCCCTTGACAAATTCTATCGTATCCAAAACAATACCGTGGACCTATGAAGATATGGATGAAGATATTGTATATTCTTCAGGAATTTCGTTTCATCACAAAATTGTTACATATCACATTATTATTCTGATACCTGCGGACAACATCGCAAAGTATACGCATCTTGGACTTTGTCACAAAAACGATGACTTTCTAAAATGGAGGGCAAGTTGATCAGGAATGGAACTTTCAACGATGCGAAGGAAAGCAGCACCTCTGATCAGTAAAATTCTCATTTAATTCCGTTACTGGCCAGAAATGCTTAAGTTACACGGCCAGAAAAGCTGTTCAACTAACTAGCTCCAGTTCACAAATTAGGTATGCTGCGTAGCCGCTAAGCAGTTAGATGTACCTGATTCTATTTGACTATTGGTAGACATCTCTGATGCTATCTGGTAGTCATCTCTGATTCTATCTCATGGGAAAACTAATACCCCATTCACTGTGCATGTACCCACCAGCAATTTTAGAAAGATAGAAGTCAGAATGTAGCACAGATCTCAACCTCTGAGCGACAGTGATCTGTCCTTTATGAGGTCGTAGATTGTGTATTCGACTGTCAAACGCTCGTGAAGTTCCTTTCAAGCACTCCAGTGATAAGGCAGCAATAATATCAGCTTGGCGTGAGATGGCAATAGCGCGAACCAACGCTAAAAAATTAACAGTTAATTTGTTACAATAGAAAAACTTATACGGTGGGAAATGTATGTATAACGTATAACAATACAAAGCTATATATTTTAATTTCGTATCTGTTCTTAGTCTATCCTAAGATAAAAGGTTTCATAGAAATATAATCTGCCTGCAAGATGATAACTACTATGATTATAACTAAACGTTAAAACCTTCAGACAAACTATACCTTCATTTCCAACGGCAGTTATCAACTGTGTACCATTAATCATTGCTAAACCCTAGAGTCAATTAGCACTTTTTTAACATTGAATAAACCTCTGAGCTGCCTGGATAAGCTACAACCTACATCCAATCATGCTACAAAACTAGCGGATTTTAAAAGAGGAATTTAGCTAGTCTTTTTCAGGCCCCAATATAGTAATAAAAAGTTGTCAGATTTTAGTCGTTGATTAAAAGTCAAGTTAGAATAAATTAAAATTCTACTATATTTTAGTAGAACTGATCAACTACTGATCTAACAATAACAATATGGCATCAAGTATAACTCCCAGGCACAGTGAACTCGAATAAGACTGGAACGCTCACTCTCTGACTTTCCCTCATTAATGAGTGAAGCCAAGATGGCGGATCATGAAGCCTTTCTTGTAGGTAATTTCCTCTGGAGCGGAAATTTCAAAGGAAAATCATAATTGCCGCCATTTGACCTACGAAATTTCAGCGCCGGAGGCCTCGATCATACCTACAAGAAAGGCTTCAGTGTCCGGCATCTTGACTTCAAACTTCCGACAGAGTAGGCGTTCAAGTCTTATTAGAGTTCACTGCCCAGGCAACTCCCAAGCAACTCCTAGTCAACTCCCAGGCAACTCCTAGTCAACGCCTACTTTGTTTTGGAGAAAGGATCGAACAATATTTTTCCAAGAACAAAATTAGTCATGACATTACCTCTTTAGGTCCTAATTTTATAGGCTTTAATCCATGAGAATCCAATACCTAAAATAACAGCCAGCATAACCGATTCACAAATTTTTTTCCTAACCGTTAAAACTACAACATCTATTTATCCTCTTATTTCCACAGTATAAGCTACCGTTGTGCTAATTGTAGT